TTCCAGAAGCCTCCGAGCTTGATTCGCTTTGGGCTCGGCCTGCTTCTGGTCTGGTATTGGTAGGCCGCAGGGCTTACCCGCTTCCAATTTTTATAAGCCGGGCGGGGGTGCTCAACGCTCGAAAATTCGACGCGGCTGACACATTTCCCCCGGAGTCTGTGTCTTCCAGCCGGGCAGCCTCCTGCCTTCTAAGAAATAAAAAAGAAAGCCTTTGCCCATTTCTTAGAAAGTAGGAGGCTGCTCAGCTGGAAAATTCACACCCCGGGGAAAAAGCAATCAGCCGCGTCGAATTATTGCCGACGGCTGGCCCCGCGAAACTCTTAGGCGAAACCGTTACGGGACAGCGTTGCTCCGGTTCGCTTGTCGATTTCTTTGCCCACTTTTTCCCCCGTTTGCCTCCCCCGGTCTTGCTCAAGGCGTGGCCGCGCCTTGCCCCTGAGCCGTCCGCTTTGTTATCGGTTTCGCGCGCTGCCTCCTCTTCTTTTCTGTGCTTTTCTGGCGTCTGCTTATCGGTTTCGCGTCGGCTGCTTCCCCCCGTTTGTTTCTCGCGCCTCCTCGCGCCCCTCTCTATATAATGCCACGGGTCGGCCACCTCTGCGGCGCGGTCCTGTTGTGATATCTTGGGAGACACTTGCGCGCCATCGGAGTCCCCCCCGCAAAACTCTTAAGCAGAACCGCCACGGGACGGCGCTGCCCCGGTTCCCTTTTTGATTTCTTTGCCCCCTCTTGTCTTCATTTGCCTCCCCCGATCCTGCCCAAGGCGTAGCCGCGGTTCGCTCTTGTGCCGTCCCTTTTGCCATCGGTTTCGCGTCTTGCCTTCTCTTCTTTTCTGTGCTTTTCTGGCATCTGGTTACCGGTTTCGCTCCGGCTGGGCAGCGATCCCGGGACACAGGGCGGGCATCTTCTGCCGCCTCGGTCCTGCGTGGGGTTCATTACGTCGCGAAGTAATTGATCCAAAAAAAGTGGGAAGAGTTCTCTTCTTCTAGTCACCACTGGAACAAATTCACAGCCCAAGCGCTCCCCTCTAGTAATTGAACCAAAAAAGTGGAAAGCGTTCCACCTTTTTCGGCCCCCACTGAAAAAAACCAACAAAGTGGAAAGCCTTCTCCTCTAGATTCTGAGCGGAAAAAGTTGAGAAGTGTCCAGAGCAGCACCAATAAAGACGCTCGCTGCCCTCATTGTCAGTCAAGGGGAAAACCCCCAGGAATGAGCTGAAAAGAGTCGCTTTTTTCCAGTCCCTAACGAAAATGATTCGCAGACACAGCCCACGCGCCCCCGTCTAGATTCTGAGCCGAAAAGGCGGGAGGGGTTTCATTTTTGCCAGTCCCCTCTGAAATAGATTCACAGCCAAAGCCCTCCCCTGTACCTAGATCTTGAGCCGAAAAAGTTGCGGAGTGTTCTTCTTTTTTTTTATCCCCACTGAAAAACGCTCACTGCTCCAGGGGCCCCCCTCTAGATTCTGAGCCAAAAAAGCCGAGCGGGATGCTTTTCCTTTATAGTCTCCACTGGGGTGAATTCGCAGCTTCTTTTGTCTTATGAATTGCCGCCGAACATCGGTGCCGCACATCACAACATCATCAAACTTCTTGGGCTCTATCTCATTCTTGGCATCAAATGGAGACTCATGCCATGCTACCTGCCACAAATACTCTGCTCACCAGCAGCACAGCTCCGCCCGGTCTTCCACAGCCACGCCAGATCCTTAGCTAGCTACTTTAACTAAGTACTGAGTTAAACTATCTATTTTCTAATGGTATTAAGAGTGGCATGGAAATTTTTTGCGTTTTTGAAAGTGAAAGAGCCTTCCCGTTTGATAAAAGGCCCCCCGCGTAGCCTGGTAGCCTGTCACTACGCCACCCGCGACACGCGGCAAGGGTAGCCAAGGAATGCATGGACACCGAAGGCGACCGCCGCGCTTAGGAATGGCCTCCGCAGCGAAGAGTACCCGCATCGAAGAGGACCCGCGCCGGATACCTACCAAAGCGAGCCAAGCCCTTGAAGAAGTCCCGAAGTTTGTGGCAGAGCCTCTCCAGCTATTTCAAGCGCCTCCAAAATGATAGTCGGGCATGTATGAAATTTGTCAAATTTTACCAGTTTGGGCGAGCTCTTGCTGGCTTGGGTGGGTCTCTCTCAGCAGATTTGTCCACGGTGCTCCCTGCTCTCAAGTCCTGAAGGCTGCGCCATCGGTTAAGCTAAGAAAAAACCGCACCGCAACACCGCCAAGCGCACCCCAGCCGCGGCTGCCAGCAGTCGCCCTCAAACACAGGGCGGAGCCAGTCCCAAGACTTGTCTTCGCCCAGCTCGAGAGACACAGCACGGCGCACGCCAGCCGCAGCCACCGTGGCGCGCCCTCGAATCACCGGGGGAGGAGAAAGGAAAGAGAGAGGAGCAGACAGCAGCGACATGCGAGCCAACTCGCGCAGAGCTCGCAGGGCTGGGCTCTCTGAGGAGCTGTCGCGGCTGTCGTCTTCCTCTGGCTCCCTTCTTCGCTCCATTCTCGCCCCCCGGTGGTTCGAGGGTGCGCCGCGGTGGCTGCGGCTGAAACATGGCCACGCACCGCCCAACGGCCTGAGGGCGTTCCCCCGTCTTCTCTGCTAAGTCGTTCCACCTGTTTGGCCGTCGGTCTCTCTGCTCTGTCGGTCTGTCTGCTCTGTCGGTCTGTCTGCTCTGTCGGTCTGTCTGCTCTGTCGTTCTGTCTGTTCCGTCGTCTTGTCTGTTCCATCGTCTTGCCCGTCCCGTCGTTCTGTCTGCTCCGTCGTTCTGGCTGTTCGGTCTTGCTTCTGTCTCTTCTGTCGTTCTCCTTGCGTGGTCGTCTTGTCTGTTTTGTCGCAGTGTCTGTCTTGTTGGTCGTTCTGTCTGCTGCGCCGTTCTGCCTGTTCGGCTGTCTTGTCTGTTCAGTCATTCCGGCGCGCCTGTTCGTTCGTCTTGCTTGTCTTGCGTGTCCCGTCGTTCTGTCTGTTCCGGCGTCTTGCCTGTTCAGTCGTCCCGCCTGCTCGGTCGTTCTGCTTATCTAGCAAGCCGCGCGGCCTGTCCATTCGTTCGGCCCGTTCGGCCGGTCCGCCTGTCCAGTGGTTCTGCTTGTTCCGGCGTCCCGCCTGCTCCGTCTTTTTGGCCAGACATTCGGCCGGGCCAGTCGTTTCGGCTGTTCAGTCGCCGCGCCGATGTGCAAGCGGAGCAAAGTAGCGACGCACCTGCGCACCGCGACAGAGCGACGCGGTAGCGGGGTGCATAGTATCCCCGGAGGCTTGCGCGCTCGTGGCCTGTGCTCTCACTGTGGTGGGTGGCGAAGCACGCCAAAAAACCCCAAGGCGGCGAAGGTTTTTCGGGTGCCGCTATCGGTTTCGCCTGGGTCGCTTATCCATCGGCTCCGGCTTTTGAACACTTAGGGAGCAAACCCGCCAAAAAGCGAGACACGCGGCGAGGCCTCACAGGTGGGGAATGGCCGCAACACAAAACACAAGCGCCGGAAAAAGGCCAAAAAAGCGAAGACAGAACGCAAGAAGCCCCCGGCCGTTTTGCAGGTTCCTGAGCGGTTTCGGCTTACCTAAGTTATGTCCCTTAAAAGTTCCGAACTTCGTGCGGGTATCAGTTTCGAGTGGTAAGCCAGCGGGCGACCCTCATGCCATTCGTCTCCCTTCAGTCCAGGGAGACCAATCCCCCACCCCTGTAAGGGGTAAACGCCTCGCCACTTCAAAGGCCGCCCACCCTATCCCCGCGCCCCTCGTGAGTCCCAGGGGCCGGCTTGAGGGGGGCCGTGTCGGCTGCGGGACCGTGTCAGCGTCCTAACAAAAAGCATGCGCCGGGGACTCGCGAGGGGCGCGGGGATCGGTGGGGAAGTTTTTGGCTAGATTGCTTCTCCTTAGCCAAGGGAACGCGGCGGCGGCCACCCTTTAGCCGTCTGGTTCTGTGCGTGTGTGTCGTTTATTATCTAGCTGGCTAGGCCACGGAGTGAGAGGGGAGCCCGCGCGCGCCTATTTTGCGGAGAAAGATGGCCGGGACCTTCTAGGGGACAACGTCACACAAAAGGAGGGCGCCGGAGATCTTTTGGACGACGGTGCCAATCTGCTTTAACGTGACGGCGCAGAGGCTGGCGCCTGGTCATCGGGTACGCGGTCGCTGTGCATTATTTCTCTGGATGTGTGTCGGCTCCATAGTGACCGCGTCGCCCTCTAAGATCGACGGGCGGCCTTGGTGCTTTCCCTGATGCTCCACGGCTGGTGATAGTGTTGGGGTTACTCTGGGGACACGCGTGCGCCTGTGACTGGGGCAGGCGCGTGGCGGGGATCTCTTCTTGGGGCCCGCGCCTCCGTCTGCGACCATTTTACAAGACTCGCCGGCAAGGGCAAGACGCTGCCCCCCATCTGTCCCCAGACGGCAACATCTACGGCATGGACTACCGAGGCAGCCCGCTTGCGGATCCGCTTGACTTTTTGGGGCGGGACGAGCTCCGGGATGTCGTCAATTTCAAACGGGGAGTGGCGTGGAGTATGCGCACGCGAGAGGAACCGCCCCAAGACAGGTGGCGCACTCCCGCAGATGAGGCCCCCTCCCTTCCGTCACTGGAGGGAGTGCACCAGGCGCCGCGCCTGGCATGCTAGGTCGGAAGGCCATAGACTTGGCGCCCACATTCTCCGCAACCACGCGAGGCGCCCGGCAATCTGCGCCTGGACTGCCGCTGCCCCCGGCGTGTGCATCCCCCAAAACGTGCTGAATCCAGTAACCTTGTACGCGGGGGGCGCGGGGGTCAGGATAGAGAGCGTCAACGCCAAGCCGCGGCCTCGGGCCTCGGGTTTCTGCTCGGCGTTGACGCTCTCTATCTAAATACGAGCTGATTAATCGGCTTTTCTTCGTGATCATTTATGATATTTTGCATGCAGGTCCTGTATTTTTGATGCAGAAAGAAGAAGCAAGCGGTCCTGTATTTTTGGTGTGGCTGGTGTGGTGATTTGGTGCAAATTGATTGATTAGAAGACTTTCCTCGCCCGTAGGACTTTTGCCACGACTTTGAGCGCCAGTGAGTAATATCAGTCATTTCATCTTCCGCAGCAAAGGATTGTTCATTTGCAAACGAGGGAAAAATAAAAGATTGTGCTCGTCAGGTCCAAGTGGGAAGGTTTCGTGCCTACTTGAGTAAGCATTTTGCTCTCGTATCGAGTTTCGAAAATCCACGGAGAAAAGTGCCCGCTTCGTCTTTTGTCCATATGCGTGGTTTGGTTCAAAAGCTGGAGCTGAACGGAAAATACGGGGGGGTCGCGGGTGGCGTTGATAACAGGAGGCGAGACCCGTTACGATTCGAGACGGTTACAGTGATGAAGTGAGAACAAAGACACTAAGCTGAAGCCGGAAAACACGGTATAATTAGCGGACCTGAACGAAATTTGTAGGGGCCTACCCCACCCAATAGAGGTGTTCGAAGCAGATGTTACTGCGGATGCGGCGGCGATTTTCCGCCCGTGTCTCGTCGCATTCCAAAGCCGTCTCCAGACCATACCGCAGGACGGAAGCAGGTACCTGCTGGTGAAGGACGTTGCGTTTATAGTCGAACTCGGGCTCGCCAAGTGTGAGAGTCTCAACTCTAGCAATGTGTTCCCCGCCAGCCGACTGGAAGAGGTGATGCAGTATTTCTTCGAACGTGCCGCGGAAGTCACGCCGGAGACGGGCCACCTGGCTAGATACTTTCCCCCACAAAATTCCGGCTCTGCTCTCTGTCCCTACTACCTGTGCTACACGTTTGCAGCGCTTGATCTGAGCGAGTTGCACTACAGCAAAGTGGGCGAGTTTGACAAATTGGACACCCTCTGCAGACAATGGCTAGCTCGGCATGAACAGCGCACAGAAGCCATGACGCAGCGCGGTGAGCGTGATTCCTGTGGATCCTATCACCGCAGGAGATTTGTGAAAGTGCATGCGTGCGCACTCCACGGACTTGAGAGGCACGGCGAAGCCCTGGACCGCCTGGAAGAAGTTTTGCGAGTACTGGAGGAAGAAAAGGCGGCCGAGCACCAGAGGATACTCGAGGAACTCTAGAAGCAGTGCCCCGTGAACAATACGTGGAAACGTAGCTGCGACATGTGGTGGGCAGCTTAGTGAATACCCACGACCACAGTCTGTCTTCGAGGGGAAACGAGCACGCCTGTCGAAACACCCACTGCGCGATCTGCCTCGATTCATTGGGTGCGGACGGTTTTGCTCTACCATGTTTTGACGGCGTCCACAACTCATGTCATGATCAGTATATACGAAAACTCCTTGGGGAAAGCGCTCGAGCGGCAAGCCGTGGAGCAGAAATCACCAACCGAGCTTCTTGTCCAGCGTGTCGCGATGAGGGACGAAATTCAAACATGGGTCAAGGGTTTCAACGTGCAATAGATGCTGCACTGCGAGGAGCTGCCAGGAGAAGAGTGGCAGGAGTTTCCAGGTAAGTAGGCAAACAAACCTTCTAGTACGAACTTCTACAAGATTCTTACTAAGTTAGGCATGTAGGCCAGTCTTCGTGCGCAAAAGGATTTTTTGCGTGTTTTTGACTATCATGATTTTTTTATTTTGTTGCTTCACCCAAAGCGTTGTTATGCAATTAAAAGCGACAAGACAAAATTGGTGATGTGTTGACGGAAAGGGAGCAATCCAGTCTTTTTTGCTCATGGATCAAAAGAATGCATCTTTGGAAGCGAATTTGATCTCTTTCTTCAGCGTCCGTCAAAAGATCATGCGCCGAGTGATCTACGTAGCTTTTTGGTTTTGATTGAAAACGTCGAGAGTGATTGGGATTTTTATTAGAAGCAAGTTGAAGCGCAACAGCAGTCGTCTTCCTTTTCTTTCGTTAGTACAGGTTTTTTCGATGTATCTTTGTTTCCATCACATTTTTGGTGTAGTGGGAGATTCGAGGGTGGCATCCGTGTGTGCTTTTTAGTCTTTTTATGATTACCGAGGGGACTGATGAATTTTTGTTAGAACATTGAAGTTTTTTCTTTCGCCGCCGGAAGACTAAAGTATTTGTGGTTTTATTCTATTTCTTTTTCACGAGCTAGACGATATTCGTGTACTTCTAGCCAGATCGGACCGAATTCGTGGTCCGTTTTCTTCTCAAAAAGGAAATCTTCTACTAGTTTTATGCCCGACGCTCAATAGATACTCCTATTTTTTTGGGAGAGAACGAAGAATAATTTTCTGCGCCGTAAGCGTAACCGTATAGAGATGGATCGAGTAGGTATAGAGATGGATCGAGCAGATGAGGTAGAGAGCATGAAAATGGCTAAGCCCGTTCTGTTGGAGGACAGCTGGGAAGCTGAGGATGTCCTGGAGGAGTGCCGTCGGGTGGGCATTGCCTGCGTGGAGTTGACCCCCGCGGAGCTCGAGAACAAATCGGCCGATGAGTTCGTGAAGGAGAGCTGCTTCATGTGTAGCACGGAGATTGTTCAACGACAACTCCGGAAATTCTTCCATCAAGCCGCAGATTTGGAGGAGATCGGCGTGGTGCCCTGCACGTATCCTGCGGAGTTCTTCTCCTCTAGTACCTCAGCCTCGTCTACTTCCGCCTCAGCAGCTGCTTCTTTAGCCGAAGAGGGCGAGAACAATCTCTTCAATCGGAAAATTTCGAAGCGAATGCTGAGCTCCCTGTGCGCCGAGCACGAGGAGCTGCCGCTCTTCGTGAAGCCAGCGTCGAATGACAAGCTCTTTGACGGGGGCGTCGTAAGAGATGCCGAAGATTTGGCGAGGATTTGGGAGCAAGTTCGTTCTGCTTCTGATGGAACTGGTGGACGAGGAGGTGCGGCGCGAGAAGTAGATCATGCTCCTGTGGGTCGAGATGAAGAAAGAACAAACTGCGAAGTGTACACGGCGGCAGTCGTCAGATTCGTGGTCGAGTACCGGCTTTTCATCGGGAGCGGAAGGCTGTACGGCGACGCGGGAAAATTCTACAAGATACGGGCGGCTAGGGAGATGGAGCAGAAGGGAGATCTTCCCATCCCACCCGCCGCATTTCTGGAGGACATCCTCCGCTGCGTAGGTCCGGAACGGTTCTGGGTAGTCGACGTTGGCATGATGATGTTTACGACTGAGGTAGGGGAAGATACGTCGAATACAACGAAGAAGTGGGGAGTGGTGGAAGTGAATCCCCCCTTCTCGCTCGATGATCACGGACTCCCCATCGAGCCCTATTGCCAGTACTGCCAGGACGCCTGCGAGTGGATTCGGAGCCTGCGGACGGAGTAGAGGTCGCGGGGGGGGGAATGAAGTCTTATACTTAGACAGCACCCACATCCGCGACCGCGACCGGAAAGAATTCCACTGTGTTTCTCAATCGCGGTATGTCAACGTCCAGTCGAAAAATCGCGTCGTCCTTTAGTGAAATGAGCGAGGTCTACAATAAGCGAGGTCGCTGTGTAGTTGTCTATTGATTCACATGTGACACTCAATGTACCTCAATCTATGATATTATTTCATTTCGTTGATTTAGAAGAGGATCTCTTCTCCAATTTAAATCATGTCTATCCCGCAGCTGTAGTGGAGCCATTCTCATAAGTTTACGTGATTGATAATTACATTCGTTGAAGGCGTCCATGATCACTGTGAATGGAGCGAACCGGCGTACTCGGCTACGTATTATTATTCGAGTCACATCAAGTTCCAACTCGGAGGCGTGTGTGCGATCGGTATAATCCGAGGACGGTGGTGCGTTGTACTTATAACTTTCAAATCGAGCAGAGGCAAAAAACCAAAGCACGATATATGCAAAGCAAGATATTGCTGGCGAGAGACGTCGGAGTGAATTTGTTTGCATCAGAAAAGAACGGAGGCGCTTCAGCCTCATCAGGAACTTTTGTCAGTGATGCTATACTATCGGCGGATCTGTTGAATCTGTGCGGTTTGATACATGTACCTGTGCTGCACAATTCTACTTTATAGAGCGAAGTTTATAGTACGAAGTTCTTTCAAGCTCAAGTTTCACACGAAAGTAGGTTCTTATGAGAAATCTTAACCCCACTGGTATAAGCTGTAGATTGGTTGCTGGAAAAGAGTGAAAGCGTAAGTACACTAGGGACCCAGGAATGGTTGTAGGCACACTTGCACGTCGGCCGTCACAGTGTTGATATACCGTTGGAGCTGCTTTGTCCCGCCAATAGGCTACTAGAACTAGACTTGAGACATCAGCACCTAGAGGTGGAAAAACCGACAAGGCTACTCTCAAAGATAAGTAATTTGACATTTCTTGTTGACTTTTCTTGAGTGGAACGCCCTGATGATGATAAAGGATGGATTATTCTCCAATAAGTAAAAAGTTATACCGGCATTTTGACAGTTCTTGAATATTAAAGGATGGATTATTCTCCAACGGTAATCGACTACGGAGAAGAGCGAGAGGAACTGCAACGCCAGGTTTATGCGTTATGTGAAGAGCTGGGAATCGATTTCGCTTTCGAAAAGGCGCTCGTTTTCGTCGTGGAGATCGGCTTGCAAAGTCCGCTTCCGCCACGATTAAGGCTACAAGAAGTCCATCTTTAAAGGCATCTTGGTCCCGTTTTTAAAGGCAAAAGGGGGCCAAGGATGCTCCTGAAGATGGATTTCTCTTAGTTCTAACACAATGGTCCTCTCATGTTGCCGACGACAGCGGTCAAGTCTACTACGTTATGCTCCGAGATCATCTTTTCCCTCTTGTGATATCAGGAGGCCACGCGTTGCTTATATAATTCTTTCACCCACAATCTCAGGAGACTGCTGGGTCGATGTAGATCCAATTTTGTCTTAGGCGAGACGCATTTCAGAGTTGTCTCACATTACAGCAAGCACGAGCATCGCTTTCTTGGAGTCACATATTGTTAGCCAAACGAGTATGGAGTATCGATAAGTTTCCTAGTGGGTTCTTTCATGTTTCTTTTACATTCTTCACAGTTCTCTCTCCACCCGCCCTTATTTTCCAGTTGCTAGGGGAGGGAGGGCTTCATATAGTATGAAGATATTGGCTCCTGAGTCATGCTCGTGTTGATGTCTACCACTAGTAGTTGTTGTCGTCATTCGCTTTCAGTATGCTGGTGAGTCCTCATGATGATATCTACCACCAGTTGTAGTGTCTACCACTAGTTGCCGTCATCCGCTTTCATAGACGTGGACAACGACACGCAGACGTCTCAGTGGGAGTCTCCTCTTTTGCCGTATATCAAACAAGTGGTCGACATTGGACGTCTCTACATGGAGAATCCCTATCAACACGTCATCAACGAGCAGGTAGTAAATAGTTGTTGATCAATGTCTGCGGTACTAGTAGGTGCTTGTAGAAATAAGATATCTGCAGCTGCAAGAATACTTGAGCCAAGAAACCGGAGATGAGCTTTTATAGAGTAGAACCAATCGAGGAGATGCGCCTTTATTGAGGAGATGAGCTTTTATAGAGTAGTCGTAGGCCCAATCCGAATCGACTAAGATCATCACCCTCATAGGGTAGAACTAAAAAATGGATAGAAATCGAGTCGTCTCCCGATGATCGTATAATTCGGTGAAAAGGTGAACCCTTGAAGGATTTCCTAGCACATAAAGTAAATTAGCCGGCTAATTTCCGTCGATGAATTAGTCTAGCATACCAGGTTGATGCTGGGTCGAGTGTAGTCCTTAACCCTTTTCCTCGATGTTTCGAGTGCAGTCCGCAACTAAGTAATCATTTTAGGTTAATGGCTTATGGCAGCAATTCCGGGATAGCCTATGCGAGTGGCACGGACCCTACGTTAGCGATGGACGACAGTACTTTGTGAATCAGAATAGGGGAATATCAAGTTTATGGTTTGTTGTGTAGCGAATGATTTTGTCAATGTACCGAGACTAAAAAGAACTGAATGTTCTTTGTGTCGTCTGTACTTACTTATTTGTTACATCAAAACGGACAGCAGCCCTGCAGGCACGACTGCTGTGACACGGTCGAGAAATGTATAATTTGTGGCCGAATGTACGGCCTTATGCGCCCCCAGTATGTAACTTGGATGACAATAGTTGAACATGTTAGTTGATTGTTTGAAAGGGCGGCTGCATATAGTCCTAACGCAAAAAAAAGAGAAATGCCCGCATGAGGGGCAATTAAATGGAACTATAGCGGGAAATTGTAGACCCAGGTCCCAAAAAGAAATAAAAAGCCGACGTCGCCGACTGAATGAATGAATGAGTGGCGATGATCATAGTTGACAAGATTGATCTATTTTGAGTGCACCTGGCCTGTTTCTAAACATGCACCCTCATGATCATTCATGAAGACACTTTACTCCAGATTCTACTTTCCATCGTCTTACTCCCTTCATCCAATTTTTTACACAGTCCTCGTCCCTGCTTCATAGTCCTGGGAGGATCCCCGTGTAGAAGCGCAGTATTTGTGCGAGCTCCAGTCTGCATTGATACAGAAGTTGCAGAGCGCAATTCCACCGCAAGAAGTCGATAGCTACCGTAGGCTTATGGCACCGCCAATTGCTAGTTGAAAGTAGTAAATTTGACCAGCACGACCCTTGCGCATCCTTAACGCGCATCCTTCAAGAGCACTTCTTTCAACAGCTTCGTGGCTGTTTAATGATTGATGTCGTATCTTGACTCTGAGAACCACGCTGTGACTTTTCCTGGAGGGGAAAGCGTGCTCAGACGAAGATGATCTGCCTAAAAGATTGGAAAATGCATAGTCTTTGCATACTCATTTAAGGGATAATATTCTTGATAGAGAGATGGGTAAGAACCTGGTAGCAGCTGCTCGCATTTTCTATCTAATAGACCGGGATCTGCCGGGTTCGGTGGCGGAGCCGATGCGGAGGAAGCGAGACCACAGACGCCAGACTTTGCCGCTTGGCAGGTTGAGGCCAGTCCTAGGTATGAAGAAGAGACTGGCGCAGTGCGGTCCCCACGGGATCCATTGAACACGTCGGCGCCCGCACCGAAAATGGCGGACAACAACAGTCTAAAGCAGTTGCGCGCCGCATTGGCCAATAAACTGAGCAACATCGACTTCAAGGGCGAAGCAGAAAAAGAACGGGTAATAAATAGATCTAAAGTGTTGAAATTATGGACATATATCGTCTCCCCGATAGCCTAGTATGGTCGTTTGGGACGCAAAATGATGACAAATCTTCGCGAGGGTAGAAATCTTCCTTATGCTCTAGCTGAATAGATTCACAAGCAATGGAGTTAGACTAACTTCTTGCGTTGTTGACGATGTTCTCTGAGAAGTAGAAATAGGGTGGTAATGATAATCATCTCTTTGGTACGAGTCCTATTTCTATTGTTAATGCATTTAGGTGAAGATGGCGAAAACGTTCACCGATGGCATACATTTGGTTTACGATTTGCTGGAAGAAGAGCGGGAGATGCAAATGCTACAGATGGAGCGCAGGAAGCAGCAATTGATCGTGCAAGAAATTAAGGCTAAGACAGATAGTACTTTGGAAATTAATTTACTTGATTGTACAATGTACTAAGTCATTTCCAAAATAGATGGCCATTTTCGTCGGTGTCGGTTTTGTATCCGGGATTCATTCGGAAGGAAGCAAGTTTGTTAAGAAGTTGATTTCTTTGAGAGAGCTCTAAAGAGAGGCCGCGAAAGCCGCCCGACAGTCCGAAGAGCAGTCGGGGTCCGGCACCGGAGAGTCCTAAGGGTGGGCCTGGTAGTCCGAAAGGTTTCTTTTCAGTCGTGGAAAAGTCACCACCCAAGTCTGGCGACAGTCGAAAGAAAAAATCCGATTCTTCGGCATCAACAACTAAAAAAGGTAAAGAAGCCGTGAAGGGCAAGAGTTCATGAAGGTTCTCTGGGTGAATCTTTTTGTTCGAAACAAATCATGAGATTGATGTCAATTGATCTCAACAGTGTTCTTCTCACTACTTGAGTTGAAAGATCGATCCGATGCACCACTACAGGCAGCAAGAATCCAACTCAGAGTCAGCCGCGCAACATCATGAGATATTGAAATTTAGCTCGCGTCATTTGGCGAACGACCAACGCCTCACCATACTTCGTAGTAGTTCTGAATTTGATTATTGTAGTTTGCATAGCTATTGCTACTCGGATTGTTTTTCTACTCGTAGTTCTTCCAGCAAAATCAAAAAAGCGGCTGCGTACGAAGGTTTATCCAAGAAGCATCCATTCCCATGATCAAAAACAGGCAGCCAGGCTTCTGACGCATCTTTTTTTGGATCTTTTGTACGTCCCACAAGCCTACCTCTGCGTTGATACTGCGACTCCTATTTTAATTGAGTTGTCAAGTCTTCAAAACTCCTTGACCATCTTCTCTTCACACCACTCCTTTCATTGATTGTCCGCGTATCGCCAAATAACAGAAGTACATGGCCAAGAAAGAGGCACCCAGGCCGTTTTGCTGCGTAGGGTGCCGACGCTGCGCACAAAAGGGAAAAGGGAAACGACGTAATTCAAACGCAGAATTGGCAACAGTTGGGTCGTATTCACGAACGTCAGCAGGTTGCTAGGAAAAGCGGATTTTAGCGGTTTGTACTACATTGAGGAGTCTTTGGAGGACGGAACCTGAACCTTGCCAGGCGCCGCGTACTACGATTGCCGACGACAAGTGAACTGAAGCAGCTGTAACATTGTTGGCGCACATTCGAGACTCCTGCTTTTGTTCGGAAAAAAAGGCAGTAAGAAGAGCGAAGCAAGAACAGCGTGTACATAATCGGCGACAAACTGGACTACGTCGACACTGCTCTCTCCTGAAGTTCTTGCAGCATGGAGATTTTTAGCGTTTGCAATAGACCGTAGACCGGACAAGGACCAGAAGCCGGACGCGGCCCGGTACTGGAAAAGGACCAGAAGCCGGAAAGGACTTCTTGTTCGTTGACCTGGAACACGACCTCCACACACCGGAAAAAATGGGGATCGAGCTGCGAGGTGCAGGAAAAGGCAAATCCAAAATATGGTGCATCTGCGAGCCAGCTGGGACGATCTGCGTCATCCTCGCATACTCAATCATCATATCGTGCTCCTACGTCACCTCCGTCAAGGTACCTGCACTACTCGTGGTTCTGCAGTTTCGACATTCCTTCGCAGTGTCGACGCTCCTTTGCGTTGTCACCGTTGTTTTTTTGGTGCAATTGCAGAGATATATATTCTTCAGAACTTTAACAAGATAAATTCAAATTGTTTTTAATTTTCTCTCTGGTTTCCCTGTTTTATTGTTTTCTAAGGTCCTCTTCTTTTTTCAATTATGCAGGTGATCGGCACGTACTCAACACTCCCGTTCTACGGTGTCCGAGTTCCGATGCAGGTAATTTACCTTGGCGTAGTGGGCATGGCCGTTTGGGCTCACCTAGCTTGTATGTTGACGGACCCAGGTGCGGTGCCGTTAGTAGCGGATGATCCTGAGGGAGGCAGAGCATTGGACGATTTTTGCACGAAATCAGCAGTAGACGTAGGTTTTGACCTAGAGGGTGGACCAGTGAAAATGTGCAGAAAGTGCCAACAAAGAAAGCCAAACCGAGCACATCATTGCTCCGTACAACTACTGTCTCTAGGCTGTCTTTTAAAGACTTTCCTCTTCCTCTACAAACACTTTTTACTTGCACACACTTGTTTTCACTTGCACACACTTGTTTTCACTTGCACACACTTTTTACTTGCACACAGAGCAAAAAATGATGTTATTTCAGGAGCAGTATTTGATTTCTACCTTGCAAAAACGCCAGATATGCAAGCGTTGCATCATGAAAATGGATCATCATTGTCCGTGGGTGAACAACTGCGTGGGCCAATACAACCAGAAACACTTTTTACTGTTTCTCATGTACATTTTCCTCATGAGCAGCATGTCTTTGGGCATCATCGGCGTCCGGACCTACGACTGTATCAGCTACAGCGGTCGGATGTTCGAAAACTGGTCTACTTCCGCTTCTACAAGTGTAGGAGTGAGTCCTTCGTCTACAAGTGTAGGAGTCGTGAGTCCTAGTGCAGCAGAAGGAGGTGGTGGGAGTGGGGAAAGTAAGTCCTTCGCGCAGATGCGGAGAGACATGCCGGCTGCGCCATACGAGGTCCCTGATGAGGGAGAGCAGTATTACGGCAGTGAGGGTGGTATTTCTAGCGAGCCATTAGGGTTTACACAAGTGTTGTCGTCCTCTGCTCCGACGTCCGCCTCCTCAGTTCAGAACCAACAGAATGCCAACAAGATGAGAAGAAGACGACTAACTGAAGCGGAGGACGCACAGGAAGTAGAGGATTATCGCGACCAAAGTAAAAGTACGAGTGCCAACGTACTAGAAGTCGAGCAGACTTCGGAGCAGTCCTCTTTGTTTGGATCGTTGTTTCCAAACATGTTCGCCATGGCTGCGCCCCTGTCGTTCACGCAGACCGAATCCTCGAAGTCTTCATCCTCGTTGGAAAAGTACAATAGAGACCAAGTCCTGAACAACGTAGACGAGGGTGTAGAAGGTCCTCGTGGCGTGACGAGCGACCACAGAAGTGCTACACCAGGTGACAACGACGTGAACCGAGGAACTACGAGGTCTTGGCAAATGAACGCCAGTCCTAGTGCATTGCCGCAGACGCAAGGAACACAACAACACCTGTCACAAACAGCAACTGTTCCAGCAGGCGGCAGCTTGCATAGTGCATCAAGGATGCTCACCACAGGCCTCGAGGACGCTTTGCAGACGGTCGCTTCGGGACTGAATAAGCACCGACGCAACATGCGAAAGCGGAGAGGCTACGGAAATTCAGCAGAGGACGATGAATTGTGCGAGCCTAACGAGTGGACCTTGGTTGGCGGAATCCTTGTGCTTTTCATGGGAGCCACATTCGCACTCTTCACGTGCGCCATGAGCTGCGATCAAGTATCCGCGATAACCAGCGACCAAACCCTTATCGAGAAATTGCAGGTACTTGTTGTGCTTGTTCGATAATTGTAGAGGTTGTGAATGCGCCTCCTGTCAGAGGTACTTCGTAGTTGTGTCCTTGGAGACGTGCGCTCTCTTTTTCGATAAAGGGGGCCTCCCACTTACTGGATTAAAAGTTTTTTGAACAGCAATTATTGTTAGAACAGTCATAGTATACACAACATTCAGGCTAAGCGTCAAGAGAAGGAGGTGCGGGAGGAGGCGGCTCGAAAAGAGTCGATATCTTCTTCCTCCCGAGACGAGGGTCAGTCGTCGCACGCCACAGCTGCCGGGAGCATGAAGGGGGGTCTCGATGCCGCTTCAGGCGGGTTCGCGCAGGCCACGAACGGTGGCGTCATTGATGTGAGCCACCCTGGCTACATTGTTGGAAGGCCCATGAGCAATGAGCGCGGAGACGGGTACCAGCCTGTGGGCCGATCACCGTTTTCTCACCACGCATCAGCGGAGAGCGTCCAGAAGGTTTGCTTTTGCCTGCCAAGGGAAATCGTATGCTGCGAAACGCTGTGTACGTACTGCTGTTGTGGCCGGACGGTCTGTTGTTGCGGAGAGCGAGACGGATCAGGCCAGACAGGAGCGCGAAAGAGGGGTGGGCGACGACTCTTCGTGCGAGCGATGGCGGAAGTGTGCGGTAGCGGCAAAAACATCAACTGGCGGTGGTTCGTCCCTTTTCCTGTGAAGCTCGCAACGCCCAAAGCCATCGTTTGACCAGGTGGTCGTCACAAGAATTTCAATTGAGAATCCAATCTCCTCTCATTGTACGCCCTCCCGATCACCCTTCTTTGGCGGTGGCCGTTTGTCAATCCCCCTTCCACCTGTGACTCTCTCCGCACCTCACAACACTTCATAATTGAGTGGTCCGCGTCTGGCGACGCTTCGCTGTTTTAAGAAATCTTTCGCTCTTTATTTGACGCACCCGCACAAAGTTGCGCAGTTCTGTATGACAGCATGAGCCTACTTCTCGAATACTAGCAGAGAGAGGTATAATATCCAAGATGAAAATCTTTTTCACGCAATAAACATCGTAAGGGAGTTGAGATAGAAGGTCAACGAACATGCCAAAGATGCATTCGAAAGACTCCTCAGTGTTCGTTGCTCAGTCGTAGATGAGAATTGTGAATCCAAAGAACAAGAGGGTCTGCATCGTCTGAATTCTCTTCGTCGTCGTCGTCATCGTCGTCGTGCATCTGAACTAGAGATGAGTTCGCAGCTTTTATTCCAGTCACATTGCAGGGAACAGTCTTCCTCCTCTATGGCCAGCGCCTGCTGCGGGCACCCGAACGCCCCATGTTGTGTTTCTTAATAAAAGTACAATGAATTTGAATTTGCATCGCGACGTCAAACGAATTAGAATTGAAGAGAAAAAAGGTAGACCTGCATCGACAAGAACTGCTGAATGGAAATCTTATGAGCTGCTGAAAGTTTTATGATAATGATATCGACCAACTCGTTTGAAGCATGGAGATCGCCTAGATCGTGAGCTTTCGCGTTGTCTCGTATCTCGCGTCCGCCGCTCCTGGAACTTACTCGTGGTAATCTCATCTGAGAATTCTAATTCGCAGCTGATTTTCTTAGGTGATGCTCCAGTAGTTACAACTCCTGATTCGTGTTTGGATCAGACCGTTCACGACCTAAGATCTTGCCACGAAATGCACCACACAGCGACCAACTAATTTGTCTTTTTGGCAGTATCAATAATGTACTTACCACTGTACTTTGGCGAAACAAGAAAGTTATCAAACTGTTCATTGACGACATTTTCAAACTCGATAAGGAAGAGACTAGCTACGAAGATTATATTCGTATTAGCGACTACGGCGACCAACTAAAAACTGTCTTAGGATTGAAAGAGCGGTGGACATTATTTACGAGGAAAAATTGATTTCAGATTTGCTCTACTTTTTCGAGTCTATCACAGATTCGACGAATTCTAATTTTAGGTTTTAGATCATTGTCATTGAGCATCATAGAAGTTCTAAATTTGTATCTTTACACGACCTGCTTTATGATCCACAGTAGATTTCAAGGTAGTTGAGAATTGTTATTTAAGTATTAAAAAAGCTGGTCTGAAACAAGAATGTATCAGCAGTACGCAGCTGGCGCAGCTGCCGGCGGCACAGCGTGGGCACACGTCCCCGCCGCTGCCGGTTACTATGGAGCGGCAGCAGCAGCCGGAGCAGGACGGATTCGACCGGATGCGGCAGGTGCCGTCTACGATTCAGCCAAAGCGAAAAAAGGCCGCAGCGAACAGAAGGCCCGACCGCCACCAGGACTAAGTTCTGCATACGACGTGCAGGAAGACCTCGCTACCGCAGACACAACCGGCGCAGCAACGTTTGCCACGACCGCAACCGGATATCCGACCCATCAGACGATTTACACAGCGAGTACTCTTTTCCGTTTGTTTTTTTACGAACAAAATCAAATGATTTTGCGAGTTCCAATTTGTTTCTAGTACCAAGAAGCAAATTATATCGTGTAGTATACCTTATAAATGCGGTAGTAGTAGTAGTAGTAGTAGTAGTAGTAGTAGTACACCGCTCTATCCCAAACCTTGTTACAACTCTGAGTATACAACTAAGAAAGTAAATCTGCCCCTCCACACTACAGAACAACTATAAAAAAGACAAAAATACTAGCAGAAAAACTTTTTAATCGTAAAATCAGCAGATCATGGGCCTACTTACGTGATCACGCCTGCGGCGTTGGCGCAACCTGCTATGGGTGTTGCTGGATGGACCGACTATCATCCATATTCCACAGTCGGCGACCAGGAGTATCAACAGGCGATGGCTGCCGTTGCATGCGAATTTCCTGCAGTGGCACAAGAGTATATCCATGATCTAGTGAGATCATTTATTTTAGTACTGCTACTGAACTACAACATGACAATCGTTCGTGCCTTTACTAATACTACGTACTACATGATTAAAGAATCTTATGCGGTACGTTGTTGTCGTATACACTACATCGTCTGACATCAACATGTTTTTTTGTTATTTTGATTATGCGATCCAACGTGATTCCGATTCTTGGCAGGTATGCGACGAGCCCCGAACAGCGTGCGGACCCACCACCGCCTCCTCCGGAGGAGCTGCAGCAGCAAGAGCAATACTGGGCTGCGGCTGCGGCTGGTGCCTCGGGTAATACCGTTGCTGGTGCGGCAGGAGCAGCCGCTGCCGTCACAGGAGCAGGATTAGCGGGAGCTGCCGCTAAAACTAAGCCGCGCGCGGCCTTGGGAAAAAAGACGGGTGGAGCAGGCAAAGGCGGACCAGCGGACTACACAGCCAAGGAAGCTGAGAATGACGACGCGTGGGGAGCAGGTGGTGCTATTTTTATATGGGACCACGAGAAGTGAAAAAATGTCATCTGTTGTTCTGTAGAAGTCGGCTCTTTTTTTGTCTAAGGTCTACCTGATTGAGTATATGGCGCCACGTTTGTGAATTGTTATGCTTGCATATGTTCAACTTCCATCTCCATTATACTAAATCTGTTGTTCTTCTGATTTTTTTTTGAGAGTCAGCAGCTTGTTCGAACAGGTTCTGCCGCTGGTCCGGGAGGGAATTCTTTTGCGCCTGCCGCGGGTAAGGGCATTACGGGCAAAAAATCTAGTCCGAAGTCACCGCGATATTCTGCTGCGGGTGTGACGGCCGCTTCAGGTTCAGACGCGGAGAATGCGAAGATTTCCTGGGCTCATATCGTAGCCCCAACTCCCGCTGCCACGACAGAAGCCCCTCAGCCCGTTCCGGTTCCAGCGCCCACCGGCAAGAAAAAGAAGAATAAAGCCGAACAGAAATCTCTTGGGCAAAAGCTGGCTGAGGTATTGTCGTGAAGATCACTGGTCGTGATAGTTGTTAATGCTGAGTTAGCGTACAGAGTAGTGTGAAGGTAGTATCAAGAAATCAATATCAATATGATGAGACACTTCTTGATATGTCCGTCCTTAGCCTTTCCTGAAAATTGATACAACCACTTCTAGATGCAAGCTGGCGCACCAAAAGAGGAGGCAGCTACTTCAGAAGAAACGCCGAAAAAAGGCGAAGTCGAAGGAGTCACAACTGCGGCCACCGCCGCGGATGCTGGAAAGGGAGCCAAGCCCACGGAAGATAAGTCACACGCTGCTAAGGCTGCGGTATAAGTAATTCTTTCGAGTGAAGAAGGCAAATGATGTTAGCCTGTGTGTGAAGAAAAGTTGCTCTTTCTTGAGTCCTCCGAAAAGTACTTATATGGCTACAACAAGTTAAGCACAAGATGATGCGAAAAAGGATGATTTGTTCTTTGTGCTGCCACTCAAATCCAAAATACATTTCGAAAATCTAAATACCATGTAAATACAACAACATGTGAAGAAACAAATCAGGTTGATTCCGCTTCGAAGCGTGCGGCGTCTCAGTCTCCGGGTACCGTTCGCGAGGATGTCGCTATGCGCGAGAAGGTGATTGATCACCGAGCCCAGGAGCTCGCAGAGCAGGCACAGGGGGTGATCGCTGATCCGGAACTACGACGGAAGGAGAAAGATCGCGAACTCCGACGAAAGCAGCGTGAAGCCGCTGAACGCTTTCGGTACCTATAGCCTTAGTCTTAGTGCTGGTCCTTCTTCTAGTTCTATTGGGATAAATCATAGACTAAAAGGAGATGATCTTGATCTCTATGGTCTTGAATCTAGCCAGTTCTTCGAAGAACAACTAGTCGTACTTGTAGATAGTCTACACATAAAGACAAGGGTGACAACCGTTGTAAATTTTGACTTATCATTCTGCTCAACTTACTGTCATCAAATAAAACATCAAATTATTTAAATCTCAAGCTATTGATACATTCCTTACAACTACAGCAAAGAAGCGTCTGCAAAGCGTCAAGCAGCAGATGAGGAGCGGGCTGAGGTGCGCCGAAAAAAGAAAGAAGATGCGGAAAAGAAAAAACCGACTCTTTTTGAAGCCATGCAAACAGGAGGTGTGCCGCCGCATGCGGATCCAAACGCCAAAAAACCAGGCGTACTTTTCCAGCAGCCAGCGGCGACAGGTGAGAAAATTTCGCGTCTACTTGATGTCCTCGGTAACAACACCCACGACGATCATGGTGAGCATAAGAATTATATATAAGTAGAAACTTTGTTGCTTACCATCTGCTTAGAGGATTTCCGTAGTTTGTGATGCGACTGTAGTGATCTTCTGCAAGAAGTGTTTCTGACTGAACACATGATCACTTTTCAGGTCATACATCGCAGCAAACGCGCGCAGCACCGGGTTTCATGAAAGCAGGATTTGATAGTCCGAGTCGTGTCCCTTTGTGGTTTGCACACGGCACGCCACCTGGATTCGCAGCATACTACCAGCAGGACGGAGCTTACCAGCAGGATGGCACTCTGCAGGAACCGGTCTACGTCGAGTCATCAGGCGAACCAAGCAAAAACGGAAGTGTGGAAGGCGGGTATTTTATACGATAATTTGTTGACTTTTTTATTTTGAAGTTTGTGAACAGTTGAGCTGATAGAAGAATTGATGTAGTACAACTTGTAAGTATGACTATAATGCAACTTCTTCGTAGTCTGAACAACCTTGATGTCCAATGTTGTCCTCGTCATTGAAGAAGTCCAAGTTATATGCCACATTATTTCCAAATCTCAGCGACAAAGAGGCTGATCTCGGCAGTAGCGACGAGTATGTAGCGATTTTGAGGGGTGAGGTTCCGCTTGAGAAGCTGTACCAGGGTGGCGAGTTCGAGTACAAGGACGAATTTGAGAGTCACACCTTTGACATTCCCGCGTGGACTAAACCTGGGACGAAATTGGTGCAAGGCTCGCAGAGTCTCATCGTCACCCTCACTGAGGAGGACCAGGCGTTGCTCGATGGAGAGGATTTGCACCTGAAGAATTGTCCGATCGACTTCTACACAGCCCTCTTGGGAGGAACCTGCAAAGCCAACGTCTTTGGCGAAGATGTGTCCTTGGCCATACCGAAAATGGTTCGAGACGGCGACCTCCAAGTCTATCCTGGACTAGGCTGGGCGAAAGAGGGACGCCTCATCGTCACTTTCGAGGTACTTATACTATACTGCTCATACTTCTTAAGTACTTATATCTACAGTTCCTTTGAAGAATTAGATTCTTGAGTGCGATAAAGATAGTATCTTTTTTCTTTCTTATAAATATGGAAGACTGATTTTTCTGATGCATACAATCCATCTTCATTACAACTAGGTCGGTGATCCGCCTTCAGACTGGGCCGAGACTAGAGCTAAATGGGCAGAAGTTATTTCACACAGTTCGGACCCAGCTAAGGAAGCTGCGCAGCCTGAAAAGTAAGAAGTTGCTCGGATAAGATTGTGGAAGAATTCTAATTGCCTCTTGGTCGTGCATAGAAGTGCCATTTGGACTTAGGGCTAAGGGCGTTGTCAACGACTGAACGGGTATCAATTTCACGAACAGCCTTCAATGATCAGCGATAGATCTTTGTGGCCTTTCGTTTACTTGGTCCAGCACCCGAATTACCTATTTCTTCGTGAATAAGAGCATTGTGATTATGACTTTCTCGTTAGCGACATGCGGAAATGGCAAGGCGCTCCGCTTCCTTGTCCAAGCGAATTCGAACTACTTTGGAAGAACTGTCGTCATTTATTGTAGTATTGGATCTCCAGCACCGTGTTGACGGAGTACTACTAGAAGACGACGGTTATTTCACAAGTTATCCAGTACTCCGCACCAGAGATGATTATACTAGAAGATATTCAATAGTAGATGAATTTCATCGAGTTTGAAGTTAAATTTACCACCAATTTTAAGAGACAGCACTGAATAAGCAACATGAAAATGTCGTTTTGTCAGTGGATCTCGCTTACCTATTTCCTACTAGCATACACGAGAAGATGTACGAGTAATTTGAATCGAGTTTCAATTACTGTACACTCAACATCGGCCAGAAGTGATCGATTGACGATACTTATGAAAAAGTTGTACTACAGGAACCAGTTTGTTATTGAAAGTTATTTGATTCTGAAGTTAGGAAGGCCTGCCATGCCGAACCCGGACGAGGTAGGGGAATGTACTTACTGCTTTGCCGTAAATGTTTTGTTTGCTGCTCGTAATCTCCAGTTTACGGCGAAGAAAGTAAGAACAACGCGCGGTAGGTAGCACGACAACATGGTTGGCATGTCTGTTGTTGCTCTTGTAGTGTAGAAGAGAGTTGTAGTGTAGAAGAAAGAAACACGATATGAAGACGAACGAAGATTATAAGTGGTAATAAAAACAGCTCCTTCTGCGCTTCGTTTATACCTGTTCCTTTGTTGTATTGGATACGACTGCTTGTTCCGCGTTTTCCTTATAGCGTCACCATCAACATCATTCATTGATTGTTAATTCCAGTTACCTGCGGCCGGCTTATTTTTTTCGTTTTACATTATTATTCAGGGTGACCGAAATGATAAATCTATCTATGATCACGCTGCAACTTCTATGGTGTCGTAAGGTCTAATTTCCTCCGGTGGGAAGCTGGGCGCTGGCTATTTCGGCAGCAGGGGATCCCTGCTGTCCGAGATGATTACCTTATTCTTAGGTCGTTTCGTTGTCTAATCAGAAAATCTCCTCGTGGATTTCCTGTCGAGACAGCGACGAAAGGCGACCATCTTTTCTTCAACAGGATTAATTATTATACTACAACTACTCCTTTTTAAACTTAACACCACGAAGAATAAGATGCTTCTCGTTGAACCACTACTATGCTCTCATAATTACTACAAAAATCTTCAATGCTAAACTCCTATATTTCCAAATTGATATTTCAATTTCCTGCGCACCATTATGCTCAGGGCTTTCCTTGGATCACGTTGTTATAAAAAGTTGAAATGCAGCTGCTCATTACTCGCTTTCATCTCATCGAACAAAGAACATAATTACGACCAATATGACTGTCTCTACACATACGAGATGCAGATCGCTCGTACTCCTGGCCCAGCAACTACGAGGACCATTCAGTGCATTATACTATCAAAATTTATTGAACGAGAAGTTTTGAGTTGTCGTCGATATTGAGTACCCAAGAAGAGGTTCAGGTTGATTAGGTAGTTCTGTGCTGTAGAATACCAATCTGTTATTTGTGTCAGTGTGTGTTTGAAGATAGCCTGCTCACAATTTTCTTGATGAAAAACAACATTTGAGGTGGGAAAGTAGATTGCAGGGTAAGGTGGACGAGGTCTCCGAACCTTCAAGGTAGACCGAACCCTTCAACGTGGCGAGAAGAAACAACAATTGATCTATTGAGAAGTATTCGCAAGGCCCCTGATACTGTCACCCTCAACTACGTGCTAGGATCTGGAAGGAGGTATCAATGGGGTTAATCCTAGTATACCAATTGTATTACTTGCTATCAACTTATAAGGCCTGTTCGCACTATTTCTCGGTTCTTTCTGTCCCTTTCTGTGCCAAGTCCTGGGCAAGCGTCTACCTAGTGTTGTTCAAGCATCCACCGTTGGTATGGCTTGAGAAACGAGGCCCCAGCCTCTGAAGACTGCTCTTGTTTCGTCAAAATAAGAGGCGCCTCATCAATACAGATTTTTTGCGAGTAATGAATGAAAGTAGATTGTTAATATGCGCGAAAGAAGACTACAAAGGTCGGATGACGGAAAATCCCTTTTTCATCGTGCCAAGAAGCGGCAGATTCTTTTTCAATTTAAGGAAATGGAGTGTTCGTGTGCTGTCCGCACTGAGATCTTTTGCAAGAAAGGTGGACCTTTTTTTTGACACAGAGCAAACTGGTTGGTCAACAGGGGAATGTTCGTTGTAATTAAGATCGCAGCGTGTTGCAATTATGATCTCAAGTTCCAATGACGATGCTTTCTCGGTCAAGACGAAAGAATCTTTTCTATGAAACGTTCAGAGTCCTCTCTTTTTTCGGATGATTCGATTTCTGCACCTATGTTTTGTTGAAGTGTGCAATTTATTTAAGGGTCGTGTAAGAATATTATGGAAAGACAGAGGACGCTGAAATCGGTTTGAGTTCTCAATTGTAGTCACACCTTGATAATACGTTTTTTTTTTTGGCTACGGCCATTCTGATTCCGAGGGTCCATCGAGAGCAGTACTCACAAAAGAACTTCCACCGCGCGTTCGAGAGCACAACAAGGTGAGAAAGTGAGAGATCATTTACGTTTTTTTGTGAATAGGTCTTGATCTAACATCTGAGGAGATATTTTGTACTAAGGAAACGTTTTTTTCCATAGCTTCTGTGAGTGTGACAACTGGATCTGCGTTGTCCTGGCTGAATTCGGATTTTTTTGCGACTAGCAAATGTTTTTCAAGGTTTGATGTTAGTATAGAAGTAAGATCGTTGGAAGCTGTTGCTGGAAGCACTTGGTGGACTATGAGTGTCTAGTATGAGTGTCTATTATAGAAGAAGGCTTTGAGAAAATCTCTTCAATACCTCTTTATCAGGATTTGTTTCCTCTGTGATCCCTCTGTGATTACGTTTCTTGTGAATCATCCTTGATAGTATAGTTTTGAGTGTGACAGCCTTGAAGAAACCATCACTAACATCTTCCCTCTCATCATAGATACCTCATTTTATTTCTGGGCATTCATTCTGTGCCAACATCTTGACCTTGAAACCCAAAACCGTAGCCTGGTGCTCGTCAAGGAAGCGAGCAGAGATCAGGTGTTTTGATCCTCGAGAGAAGTTGGGGTGTGACGAGAGTTTTTAGATATAAAACCGCGTAGTTTCAGGTCGTGGTCGTGCGCACACTTTCATTTAGAGTTGTGAACTAGGGTCTCTATTGCCCCAGCGGCGGGCTCCCCTCGTGAGCCAATTGGGTCTCCTAGTTATCGTAGAAAGTGGGCGTCAAGTTGCTTGAAACAATTTTTGATTTTGCACTACGGGTCGTGGAAAGATACTTAGAAGGCACGAGTAGACTACATCTCCACTAGACTACATCGATCTACATACTAACCATTGTTAGTCTTCTTGTATGTGTAAAAACTACTGGTTGGATCATTTCGCATCATAAGTATTTGTACGGATATTTGTACCACGGAGTAGCTATTCATCATTGTATCCATACCGTTATAAGTGAGTGAAGAAGCAGGAGAAGCAAAAAGCCAATTTCGTTTTTGATCTTTTCTGTGGCCGCTGCGGCCTCGCCGCAAGGCGAGTACACACGACTTCGTTGGTTCACGCGTAGAGGACTTTACTATTCTACAAGTTCAAGTACCTACATCAGTGCTGTCTTGGGTAGGAGTACTATAAGTCAATCTTCCGTAGTAATTATAAGTCAATCTCTCTTCGTCATCTGCGTAGTTCTATAGACGATAGCCTTTACTTTTGGTCTAGCAGCTGCTTTGGTGAGGGTTGAGTCTGCTTTGCATTGTGGACTCCCCGCCGACGCGCTTCGTGGCCACGACATTTCGTTCGGCAAGCAAGCTAACATTGTTGATATTGTTGTGCTTGTAAGCTTTTTACTAGGAGGTACTCGCTTTTATAATATTGGCAAGCAAATTGTTTTTGCTACAGCACCTATTATATAGACTTGGATAATAACAACAAGAACAAGGATGTTGTTTAATTACAAGTTATCAAACATCAAGATGATGAATATTTTCCGTTTTTTGGCCCTCGTGGTTGCTGCGCACCAGGTGGTGGATGCTGTGGTGACCACGCAGGAGCCCCATGCTTTGCAGCAGGACAAGAGCGCTGCTCGCGAATTTGGCGGTTTCGCGCTTACTTCCGTCTTCCGTGTCGGCAGTTTGGAGACCGCTGCTCGACCGGAAATCATCGAGCACCGCGTTCCCACTACCACTTCTTCTGACAACCAAGAAGACAGCCATGCCTCCGAAGGCGAGCAGAACCAGAAGAATGTGAGAAAGCTCCAATCTGTTTCATTCGCCGATGAGCGCGCGAAAGTGCGAACGTTCGCGAACATGAACCGCGTCATCTACCCGACCACTGACTACTCCAACTTTAAGGCTACCACAAATCCATCTTCACAGGCATCCTAAGACCGTTTTGAAGGGGGAAAAGGTTCCAGGATGCGCGCGAAGATGGATTTCTTTTAGTTCTAACAACTACATGGACAAGCTGGGGGAGGTGTTTGAGGCTGGACTCAACTTTTTCGGAACCGGAGAAACGGCCGCGGATCGCGCTACCTCCGAAACCGCGCTTACGGCTACCTGGCACTCGGCGATGAGCACGGCAATTGCAGCGGATTCGTGGACGGATAATTATGATATTAACACAACTGAAGATCATGCGAGTTGTATAATTTAGTGGATTTAATACTTGTTCGAAAGTAATAGTTGTAGCACGTCGTCGAGAAATTGCACTTATTCTTTTCGTCATGGAGGCACCATTGCTATAGCTTTTGTTCTTCCTATAAGGCGTCGTTAGATCATTTTGTTGTGAGTTTGATGAATTTCTGTTCACTCTCTTCTAATCCGTATTCGAGCCTAGTGCGGGCGAAGAGAGCGGTTTGGGCGTTGCTGCTGCTCTGTACCAAAGTAGCACGGATGCAGTGTTGGTCTTCCGTGGTTCTCACACCGCAGCCGACTTCAACAACATGTTTCTGTGGTTCGAGGGTTGGTTCACGGACCGTCTGCAGAGTCAGATGATGTCCAACTGGCAGGACGCTACCGGCGAGTCGCTCACTGATGCGATGACAGAGCGCGCCACCGTGCCAGACCTGAAGGAGAAGGCCGCGTTCTTGGCGGCAACCCAGGGACTGCTCGTCAAGCAAGACATCGACTGGACGCAATTGGGGTTGAGCAACACGTGGAGCTTGATCAACGAAGGCTACTGGCCGCTTACGAAGCAGCTGGTGGAGTCGGTGCTTCCGCAAGTCTCCGGAAAGAACTTCTACATCACTGGTACTATTTTTCTTCCTGTGTAACATCTACGACGCGCCTATGGCAGTCTACACTGAACGTTGTGCGAGATTTATGGAATTGCATTCTGTAGCCCTTACGCCTACAGAGGTCTGTACTTCATTACTTGCCGATCTGTGCTCTTTGAAAAAATTGCTTACCGTTTTGTAGGAGTCATGCAAAACCCATCCAAGAAAAGGGTTGCAGGAGAATTGCTCCTCGAAGCGCAGTAAATTTTTCCTATTATCAGAAGGGTTTGCGTTACCTCCTAGGAATAGTGAACGGAAAGACGAATTAAGGGGGTAGAGACTCTGCCCTATGCGTTCACTTTTCCGTTTTCAGTCATAACTCATAAGATACAGCACTTCATCTCACTTACTTCCCACACTACATTAATCAGTTGTAGAAGCCTCAAACACACTACATCATTTTTTCAGTTGTATATGCAACAGCTCACTTGTGCCTCTTTTCCCTACAGGTCACTCCCAGGGCGGTGGTCGTGCATCCCTGGTTTCTATGTGGTTGGAGAAGACCAAGGGCATGACTGTGCCTACTTACACTTTTGACGGTGTCGGCGTCCAGTGCGCAGTCCGCTACGCCTTGCCGGCAGCCTACGAGGCCGATGTCGATGTGACGATTCTGCATCCGCAGATCACACAGTACGTCCACGCCTTGGACGCGTACGGCCGTATGGACTATCAGGCGGGTCGTGTCTGCAAATTCGGGACTACAGAGTTGCAGGACACGAAGCGTTACTCCCCAGCCAAGGACTTCTGCGCGCGCTCGGTCGGGTGGAGCGGTTCTCGTCTGTTGCTGCCCGTGTTCGAGGAGCAGGAGAAAGACTTCTCGATGTGCCGCTACTTCACGCATTGGTCGACTGCGGTGACGCACTATTTGGACCAGGACAGCGTCTTGAACGCAGACGGAACGACGGACGGCGGGTGCGCCAATGAGCAGTTGGTGCCCGCGGGAGATCCGCAGAATATGTGCCCGCCGTGCCGCACCGCGCGCTGTGCCGTCAAGCTGCCGGAGTTGGCCTTGAACTGGGAATCCAAGGTGCAGGATGTGAAAACCAGCATGCCTCTGAACCATCCGTGCTTGGCCGACAACTCCTTGGCGGTCCCGATGAAGGTCGAATCGGTCCCACTCTCCGGTGATTTGACGCAGGGTGGAAAGTTCCAGCACTGCACGTTTTTAGGTGGTGCGCACGACTATTTGCTGACCGGAAAGAGCGGCTCCGGCTCTACCCAAGCCTTCAACAGCGTTTTCCGCGTGAAGAATTTGGCGGTGGATGCAAACTTTCAGGGCACTTTCGTCTTGGCCGACGTTTCCACGGCTTCGGAAGTGCGCTTGCACGTCCTCTTTACCTACACCACGGGCGCTTTGTCGACGCCTGTCACCGCCATTGACGCGGTGTTGACGCAGAATACCAAGTCGTGCGGCATGGTCCACTCCTTCGTGCAGGTGTGCGCATCGGCCGTGCAGGGTGCTACTGCCGATGATTTGACCATGTACGCCGGCGTCTCGCGCAAGAACATGCAGTCGCAGTTGCTCTCCTTCAAGGTCGCAGACTTGGCAAAAGTAGGCGGATTGGCAGTGCATTCCGGACAGGTCGAGTTGTTGCTTCCCGGAAAAGACAGCGAGACCGCGATCTCGCAGAAGTTGGCTCAGGTCACGACTCTGGCGCAGGCCTACAACCCCCTGCCGGATCATCCGAAGCTCATTCCAGACACGCACATGTGCTTGAGTGGGTTGACCGCTGACCAGAAGACGGCGAACGCGAAGCCCTTGTCCATCGTCAGTGGAGCGGACGAAAAGTGCTTGATCGTGTCGGGAGGCATCGGCGCAAAGCTGTCCACTGTTGCATCCACCCCGACGAACAACCCGCCCACCGCGGCGCAGGCAACGAACTGCTTGGATCAGGTAATGACTGAGATTTTTTTCTTTTTGTCAATATTTTTTCAATTCAAAATGCTTCTTCTTAACTCGAAATAACAGACGACATATTACCCGTAGGTTGTATCTTCGTCATGAGATGAAAACTTTAACTTGTCTTCCAACCCAAAAAACGCACGACAGGTGAAGCAGCGCATTCAGGCTGCCGGCGCTGAGTCTCTTGACGTTGCTTTGATCAACAACATGCTTTCGGAGATGCATTTGTTGAATGTCCCTTCCTTGGCTACGACTGTGAGCAACATGCAGAATCTGGATATCTCGGCTTGGTTGGACGAGGTTAAAACGTGTGCTGCCAGCAACCCGATCCTGAGCGAGTTCGTTTGCGAGGCCTTGAACAATCCAGCGCTGCAGCCAGCCATCGGCAGTGACGAGGCCGTGGCCAACAAGCACATCAAGGATGCGGTGCACTACTCCATCTTGTTGGATGGCATCACCAAGAGCATCTCGGCCGATGCGAACGGGGGCTCCGGCATCTTGACCGACGTCTTCAACGCAGTCACGAACAACCGACCGGCCGACTGGAAGAGCTATTTCAACGCCTTCGAGATCGCGAAGACCTTGACCATGGAACAGGTCGTCTTGGCCTACATGCCCTCTACCTCTTGGGGCGACAACGACAGCGCCAAGAAGTGCTGCACGAGCGGACAGGGGGTGTTCGCGCTGCGTGTCAACATCCTCGAGGCCGTGCTGGAGGACCTGCGACTGGGCTTCCCGGAGAACGCCGATGCGGGGAACGCGATGGTCGTCGTCCCGGATCACAAGTTGTCGGTCACGAAGATCCACAAGGACCTGTACGAGACTTGGAACATGGCCTTCGTGAGTCACTACGCCGAATCTCCTTACTTCTACGCCAAGTTGATGGCACCAGCGGTCACGTGCGCGTTGCCGGAGGAGTACCTGTTCCATCGCTCCATGGCCCTCTTTTTGCACATCTACGGCGTGCTGTACTCACGTGTGGCACGCGCTAACGGAGGGACCCCGGTCTACGAGACGACGGACTGGAACAACGCAGTGATGACCTCCCGCTGGGGTGTGATCAACAAGAACACGGCTAACCCGTGGTTGCTGTCTGAGTCTTTGGGTGTCACCTTTTCGGAGGCTGGCAACGGTCTGCGTCTGGACGTCGTCGCAGAAGTAGGCGACGGAAGAATCTTGACGAGCACGATTGCGGCATCTTTGGCCAACGGCGTGTCGGGACTTGAATTCCAGGTCACTGGCGATCATGGTACCACGTCGCCAGCCGCTTTGTTGCTCTCTGCCGACACCGATTCGTGCACGGATTTGGGTCTCGCTGGTCTGAAACTGTGCGTGAAGAAGCTCCTCGAGGTTGCCTCATCGCGCCGTGCTTTGACAACTGGAAGCAGCTCTTCTAAGACCAAGGTTCTTGCCACCGTTACTTCTGCTGCAGGAACTTTGCGCAGCCCTCAGATGCAGGTTTTGGAACTGGACACCCCGCATCCGTGTCTCATGCGCGCTTGGCAGGGCGCCGCCGACAACTTCAGCGTGAAGCAGATGGTGGACTCGGCTACGGCTTCGAAGTCTTGCACGGTTTTGAACGAGAACAGCTTTCTCTCGGTCGATTCCGTGTGCACGAGTGCGACTGAGTGCTCGATCAACGCGAAGGTGGACCTCTTCGGAGCGCTGGCTTCGTCCACGCGCCGCGCTTTGGACGCCCGCCAGGGTAAAAAGGGCTCTTCTTCTTCGGATGCGGATTCCGACTTGGACGACGATGAGGAGGTGATCGACTCTGCTCGTGCGCTGACTACGACCAGCGTGTTGGACGCTGTGCAACAGCAAACCTTGGCCCTGAACTTCGTGAAGAAAGCAGATAACAGCGATGTGCGCGTACAGTTCGAAGTGAACGGCTACCGCATGTTCGATGTCGATTTGACGGAAGAGTCTGAGCAGTGCTTGGGCGCATCGGAGTTCACGATTTGCGTGGAACGCAGTACTAGCGGAATGACGTTACCAGATGGTTGGAGTGTCACAGCAAGTGGCTCCGGCCGCCGCTTGTTGGAGACTTCTGAGTCGGTCGTGGGTCTCACGGTTAGCTCGACTTTGCTCTCCACTGATGGTGCTGCCGTCAAGAAGGTGTTTCCGCTTGCTGCGTTGGACGCGTCCTCGAAAGCGATGCATGTTGCCAAGGGCATTTGGGTCGGCATCAACAACAATGAGGGCTTTGACGCCACGAAGGTGGCAGCCACGCACGACGAGTGCCGACACATCACGTGCCCTGCGGGACAGGTCTGCTTCAAGGGTGCAACCACAGCCCAAAACCCGTGCTACCCCGACTTGTTCACTACCCCGACAGGAGAGTCGCGCTCTCTGATGCAGCAGTTGGTGCGCCTCGCTGGTTCTTCCTATGCCGAGGACGTGCGCCTGGAGGACGACTCCTGGGGCGTCGTCGACTTGTACGAGGAGGATGGTTGGAGCGTGCACAAGCGCTTCTGTCTCTCCCACGAAAGCGAGTTTCCATCCGCGATGCAGCTGGCCGCACGTCAGGACTGTGCAGTGATCAGCAAGAAGACCGAGAGCGGCACCGGCAGCAAGCTCTGCGCCATCACGTTCGAGGGAAGCGATGACGATTTGGAGCCTATCGAGCCCGCTTTCAGGATGGGCACGACCATGATCTCCGGTTACGAGGTCTGGCGCGGTTGCGCGCGCGAGTACAAGCGGTTCAAGGAGCATGCGGAGTTCCCGAACTGGCTCTCCATGTCGCAGGACAGTTCCCAGTGCGACCAGGTGTACATCACTGGGCACTCTTTGGGTGCTGCCGTCGCGGTACTGCACCGTCTGGATATCGAATACGGACGATTGGTCACCTTCGCCAGTCCGCCTGTCTTCGCGCCGTACTCGTATCCGCAGTTCTGCTTCGGCGACAGCTTTCACATGCAGCAGGACATTGTGAAAGCCTTTCCGTTGGGATTCCGTCTCGGCGGGTTGCGCGAGTACTCTCTGTGCGCTAACCCCACTGGCTTGATGAACTCGAAAGGCTGCAACGGCTTCGATTTGGGGGAGGTGAACTTTTGCGACATCCACGAGCACCATGTGCTTTCCGCCTATCGCTCCTTCATGGACGCCAACGCGCCAGCTTCGAGCCCGAAACCCAGCGCAGGTGTGTGCACGAACACCAGCCCGCAAGCTTGGATCGACAAGTGCGTGGCCGACAAGTGCGCCGCCAACGACCCACGCTGCGCGATGGGTGCAGAAATCTTCAAGACGCAGCTTTCTTATGAGGCCATGCGTGCCGGGGCAATCGCGCAGGTCCGCCCTGGCGCGCCTCCAGCATTGCTTCTCAACCCGACTAGTGCCGCTACTGCCACCTCGCCTTCGTTCTCGGTGCCGGATCTGCAGGAGCTGGAACTCAAGGTGAAGAATCCAAACCTTTGCCCGACCTCTCTGTTGGACCAGTACGCGAGCGCGGAGCGCAAGGTATGCACGGCGATCGACGAGCAGAGCATGCTGTTGGCTCACGGCAGCCGCGTGAGTGGAGAGACCGCTGTGCAGCTCACGGCCTTGCTCTTCCAAGGTGTAGACCCCGCCTCAAGTGCAGCAGCCGTTTCTGAGACCGCTGCTTTGGTTGTGCACGTTGCGTCTTTGCTCCCGGAGGAAAATGCGCTTTTTGTTCAGGCGTATCCGAAGAACGCACCCGAGGCGTTGCGTATGCAGTACAAATTGACGCCGCAGCAGCTCTTGTGCCGCGGCATGACCAACCTCGCGCGCGTCTGTCTTGTCTACGAACAGAAGTCGGCCGCAACGACGAATGTGTACTCTGTAGATCTCTACTCCTTTTTGGGCACGGCTTCGCCAGACTCCGCCTTCAAGCTGCACATTGCCGATGTGGATGTTACCGCCGCATCGCTCGCTATGAGTGGAAGTTACACGATTGTCAAGGAGTTTGGCAACCTCGAACAACGATTTTTGAGCAACGGCTACACGGAAGTTGAGAACGATCTGTCGTTCGTCGGGAAGTCAACTGAACAGGACTACTGCGCGAAAATTGTACCAGGACTCTTCTGCGACTTCGATGGTGGTGACACGGTTTGCGATGGATTCAGCAACGCGCGTTGTCTTAGGGGAGGTAGAGCTCTTTGATATTTTGACTTTGTTACTTCTGTTCGGTCTATGTATAATTATACCCAGTCGTACGGCATGGGGCTGCAGCGTCTTGGCGCCGCCGACGGTCAAGCATTTGGCGACAGGAGCAGGCAGATTCGTTGGTATGAGCGGGCCTCAGGTGCAGCGACCCAGCCGGCGACCGCCGCTGAGGAGGCCATCACAACTAGGGGAGACCCTAGTCGCGGCAGCAACAGGATTCGGCCCCCGAGGCGATGCTGGCGCGGGCCCGGCCTCCTGCGGGAAAAGCAGAAGCGGCGGCGCAACGAAACGTGGGGCTTTAGGGAAGCGCAATGCCACGGAGGCGCGGTAGGGCGGGCGCGAGGGCCTCGGGGGGTCGTCGTTGGGGGTAAGTAGCCCCTAGTGCACGGACGTTGCACATATATCGCCGAAGAGCGACCCGCGGTGGATTTCTGGGGATGCTAAACCCTTACTGAGGCGCTGAAGTGTGTGAAGCGCTTCTCCGCGTTGGCTGATGAGATCTAAGAGGAGGCGTCGCCGGGCATCTTTATCATATGCAGAGGCGGCGACTCTCCAAGCAAGCGGCCGGCTCTCTCGAAGAGAGGGCGGCCCTCCAAGCAAGCGGCTGGCCATATCATAGGCAGACAGATGCGCAAGCGAGAACAGGTGGACGACTAAAAGAGCCAAGCGGCCCCGCTCGATCTTTTGGCCGTTGGTGTTGTATGTCGGGGGCGTCGGGTGTTCCAAGACAGCAAAGCCCTGCGGTATGAAGTCCGGAAAACCGTGCCAGGTCTTGGACTGAAATCGCCAGGCCGAGGCACCGGAGGCGTTGCCCGCAAAGAAAGAGGGAGGCGCGGCGCTTCTCGAGTCTGTCAACGCCGCAGCCAGGTCTGCAGCTGCGGCTGTAGCGACTCAGACGGCCTGCAGAGTGGAACGAGCGCGGAGGCAGAAGGCAAGCCGGAAAGGACTGGTCTGGCCCAAAGCGTTGCGCCGCGGGTCCAGCTGTCTGCGTGGCCGGGTCGTGCGTTCACATACTTCCCGCAGCTGGGTCGATACTGACTGGGCTGGCCTGGCCCCCTCGTAAGTGCGCGCGCCTGCCTCGTGAAGCTGCTCGCAGGCGAAGGCTTGGGGCGTCCGTGGTGTTCGTGTTTTTGCTCTGTCTTGTTTTTCTGTGTTTTTTTGGCCTGGTGTGTGTTTGCTCTTTCTTTGGTATGGGAATGCGTTAACCGAAGGGAGCTGGGCAGGCTTTCTGTCTCGCGCTTCGTGGATGGTCAGCGATGGAACGGGGGGGAGCCGGGGTCACCGCGCAGCCTCGAATGGGGGGAGAGAGTGCCACCTGACTGATGCCGTGCTATCTCTTCGGCGGAGTGTTTTCTGGGCTGCTTCTGTGGTTTCGGCCGGGCGATCTCCGTGTTTGCTAGGATTAATTTTTTGTATGTCAAAGAATCGGTCGGTGACGCCAAGCACAGGATAGATAGCCACGTGAGACTGCGAGGGCTAGTTTACCAAAGGCAACGAAAACAGAATCCGTAGAAACAGCTTCTGTGATTGATATTGTTTTATATGTGTATTCTCTCCAAATCTACTGCAGGTGTTTGCGGTTGCGGTGCAAACATGTGTGCCAGTGACCAGGGTGTTTGCGTACCAGACACCGCCGCTGACGCTTTCCGCACTGTTGGTCACCCTTGCATCGAGAAGGATGCTGATTTCGAGTTGTTTCAGCTGCAACAGGATCCTTCCATGGGCGCGCCCTATGAGCGCTGCGCCATCCTTGGCGAGAAGTCTTTCGTTCGCATGCAGTATCCTAAGGTTGGTGAAGCCTTGGCCTCTCCTACCGATTTGACCGTTTCCGGTTTGGTCCGTGTTGGCTTTTCCGTCGTGCCGCTCTCCTTGGAGCGCCAGGTGCGTTCGCGCGTGCAGCTAGTGCAGGACGGGGCGACCGGAATGAATTCTCTCGCACTCGAGTTGAGCGAGACCGACCTGGAGTCTGGAGTGAGCAGCACTTTGGTTTCGCAGACTGTGCCTTTGACCGATGCACAGGAGACTTGTGCCCTGGTTGCCAGCGGAAAGAATCCAGCGCAATCTATCCCGATCGCGGATCTCTGTGTCCGAACTGAAGGTCCAGGCGGTGTTCTTCCTGGCACGACCCGTGCTCTCAGTACCGGAGACAGCGTGGAGAACACGATTGCTGTCTCCTTCTGTGTGCCCGCGCTCTTTAACAGCTGCTACAGCGTGCCGGTTGCGAAGGTAGTGAAGACGATGCCCAATGGTGGATCTTCTGGCTCGTCTTCAAGAAGATTGTTGACCGCTGCGGACCCGTCTGCGCCGTCTTACTCTCTGTCGCCTTCTGTCCCAGCGGCGAATGAGGACATGCAGCAGACACCAGCTCCCGAAAGTGAGAAACCCGCAACTCTTTCTCCGGCAATCATCGTTTTCATTTCCGTGCTTTGCATCACCCTTCTCGTCACCATTATCTGCGCATGCATCGCCTATATGCGAGAATACCAGAAGTCCGAAAAGACCACTGGCCGCTCGCGCAACGCGCGACTCTCTAGTTCCAGTATCCAGGGTGAGGAACTCGGAACCTTCGACAGCAACGAACGGCCGTCACCAGTTATGCTGGCGCGTTTGGAGAATCCGCACTTGTTCTCTCGACTCACGGGACGAAAGGATATAGTGTGGACCTGCTCCAACTGGATCCCGAAGAACGCAAGTGTTCGTCGCTTGCTCCTCAATGCCTGGCCGATGCACGTCGCTCGTGTCGTCTTGCGCAGAACGAAGGTATCTCTAGTTTTTAGAGTTGCTGGACTCTCTAAAAACGAGAGCTGGATAGGAATGATAATTGCGTAAAGTGACATTTCAACAATTTTGTCTTCTTCACTTGCTAGGTGATTCAACTTCCGTTGTTCCCCGATGAGAAGTATTGGACTGACGCCACGTTGACGCCAACGATCCGCTCTTTCTTGGCTTTCCGCCGTAGTATTCTGATGATTTTTGTCGGTTTGGCCTTGGTTATTGTTGCTATGGGGGGCGCTCAGGAGATGCCAAAGGTCGTCTCTACGCTCAGTTCCGACACCGAAGCCCTCACGCACGATGACGTGAAGAGCATGCTGTCTATGTTCCGCGCTGGTGCAGGCGGACTCAGTGGCAGCCGTGGTTCCCAAAACTCCGGCGCAGCCAGCACGTTGCGCCGCAGAAGTCTCTTTGCGGCTGAGCCTTCTGCAGAGCGCTTAGGCGGTGAGAAGCGCTTCTTGCAGTCTGGAGTGGCTGTGGCGACTAGCTCCAGCGAGGTGGATGACTACACAGTAGAACAGGCATTCGAAGTGAAGCGCAGACTGTCAGTTTTCTACACATTGATGTACATGTTCAAGCTGTTCATGGCCGCATTCACGCTCTTGGCCGCATATCGGGCCTTGTGCCTGTGGAAGGACTACAAAGCGAGCGCAAAGTGGACCATTATGGCGCTCACGGTACTCCAATCTGTTCCTTAGAGACGCTACTCCTGAACAAGGTTCGTGTTGATTTGTCATGGCTATGGGATTTCTCATCTATCTCAGTTTCGGGCCTACGCCACATAGAACTTACACTTAGCTCCTTCATTCATTGTAAGAAAAGACGAGAATCAAGGGTTTCCCTCCTCCAATCAATGGGTTCCTCCAACCTCTTAGGTCCGAATGTCGATTACTGTGCTGTTATCCTGGTTCCCGTGGTATTACATGTTATTTCCCGATCCAGAGGCGCGACCGGAATACCTCAATACTGCCGCTAGAATGTTTATCGACGTTATGCTTAACTTGCCGGTCGCTAGCGTCGCTATGATGGTACTCCTGCTAACTTTGAATGAACTCCCACCTGGAATGTGATTCACTGGTGTGTGACGTAAGTTTATTGTTCAGTTTGATGACTTTATTTTAACGCTTGTTTCTATTCAGATTCACCATGAGTAGCTCACGAATTCCACGTCGAAGAAAACCTCAGGTTCCTCCGGGGGTCGTTGGCGGTGCGCGACTTGTTATGGAGCTTCTCCCGTTTACGATCGTTCCGTACATGATCATCTTCGTGACGCCGCTTTTGTCGACTGTCATGCTCTGGCCGGTATTTATAAGCTGATAACAACCTTTTTTTTGCGTACTTCCTTGATCCACGTTACCTATCAAGAAATGTAAGTGATAGAAAATAGATGCCAAATTGCAGCGTTTTCTTCATAGACAGAATAAGAACCACTTTATCCTCACTCCCACCCCATCAGGTTTTGTCTGTGATCGGTCATGGTATGGGCAACTTGAAGTTGTTGTACGGTAGTTTGATCTACGTAGGCTACTGCATGATTACAAGCTGGGCCGCCTTCCGCGCATTGGCCTCCCTCGACGCCTTTCGCCAGCTTGGTCGTCAGGCAGTGGAGAAAACGGGTGTAGCCGCTAACTCAGGCACTAGTTCCCGTGTCATCACCGTCGTCGGTGGAAGTGCCGGTTTGAACAACAACAGGGGGGGCATGTCTTCGCCAGTAAAGAGCAATAGTGCTCTGTCGTCGCCGCGCAGCTTGACGAGCAAGCTTAGTGGAGCAAAGATCCAGACTGAAGGTGCAGTGAATAGAGTGCAGGCAGAGGGTTCTTCGCTGTCGCCATCGAGCGCCGGTAGCTTCTTGAACAACGCCATCCCGACGCTGCTCTCTGGCGCCGACAACAAGGTTAGCGACAACGTTGCGACTGAGAAGGAGCCGGTCGTGAGTCGTCGAAAGGACATTGCTGCTAATAGTAGTAGTTTCCAGGCAGCAGTAGGTCCCCGACAGAGCGTGATCAAGGACAGCCGCGATTCGTCTAAGGAGTCCGCTTCTAGCAGCGACAATTCGGTGAGCAAGGAAAATGTTGTGCCACGCAAGTCCTTCGCGCGCCGTGGATCTGGCGCAATGACCGAAATCGGATCTTGGGTCCTCAGAAAAATGCGGTCTCAGGACGACATAGACGAAACCACGAATCTCCCAGCCAACCTCTTTGCAACGGGAAGCGGATCAGGAGATGTACTTCTATTTTTAGATGAAAAACATTGTTTGCTGTTTTTCATTCTCAAGGACTGCCAATGAATTTTTTTGCAGAATCTGAGGCAGACCAACTTTTCGCCCAAAGAAATCGCACTAAGGAAAGTCTCATGTTTTTCCTCTACATGTCAAAATATGAAAAATAGACTAGACGTAGACCTCCAACGACATGAAACCTTCTCAGGTCGCATCCCTGGTTCCGAAGAAGTCTTCGCGTCAGTCTGTCGAATTAAGAGAGGCAGTTGTACAGGGAACACTTATGTCGCACTTGCATTCGAAGATGCTTCCACAGGTCACAAAGGCCTGGTTCGCAGCATTTGCTCTCTTCTGGTGCGGTTTGGGACTCCTGCTTTGGGGTATGATATATTCAATTTTGAGCAGTGTCATTTCAGAACTTGCATGCTCACTTCCTACGAAGAGCAAAGTAGTACCATACATGGTCTTGTAATCTTTGCGCTTGCACAAATGATAATCGATAATACAACATCCAACGACTCTTCACTCAGGTGTGTATGAGGAAGCCGCCAGCGTTCTGGATGTCATCTTTCAGACTGACGAGTTCGTTGGTACTGTGGTAACTATGGCTGTGGATGCTGTTATCAACGTGTTGATGATCCGCATTTGCTTCACCGATTTGATCTTCGCTGGCTTGGTCAAGATGCGACTCTTCAACGGCTACATGAGCGATGACACCGTCTTGACCAGCTTTTGCTTGCTTCAGGGCTACTCTTCGGAACTGAACAAGGCGTTCAACAGTGGTGTCAAGCAGATGCACCGGCAGCTCAGCATGGAGGAGGATGGATCCGGCGGAAGCGGCCTGGCTAGCAGCATCAACAAGGTGCTGCCGACTTTGGAGAACGTGCAGTCCTTCCGTAAAGGAACCTTGCAGAACATAGGTACGAACTTGCGGGGTTCGATTTTTGGCGCCAACGCGTTTTTGTCCAGCAGTTTGGCTGCAACGGGAAGTCCACGAACAACACATGAGGCGGCAGTCGACGCTGTGGTACCCGCGACAAAGTCAAGTGTGAAGGGGGGACAGCAGCAGATGACTGGTGGTGTTGCAATCGGTCATGCTGCACGCATAGAGGAAAAGCGAGTGACCGAAGAAGATGCAGAGATGAGCGAGGTCGCAGCCGACATTGAGGAGCCAGAGACAGCAGTTACTACAACGACGAAGGAGCTGCCGGAAGAAGTTTCCTTGGCTTCGCCACTGAAGGAAGCTGTCAAGAAGGGCAGCAAGAGCAGCGCGCCATCCGTTGTCGTGGGCACGCCAACGCACTTTGGTTCGGGCGCAGCGGCAACATCAGAGGTGATGAGCATGCAGATCGACAATCTAGACCAAAACCACATCACGACCTACCGATCTGGAAGTGCAGACACACCGGGAACGCCACCAGGCCACAGCACGACGACCATCGTGGCCACTAATTCCACTATCGTGTTGAACACCAGCAACAACGCTGCACTAGAAACTTTGCTGCGCGAATTCCAGACCTCCAACAATGGAAACGCGGCTAGTAACAATGCTAATGCTATTACCGCAGGAGCTGCTGCGCCAGCTGTAACTGTGAGTGGTGACGACTCGGCGGCGACTCCCGCGGCCGCACCGGAACAGACGAACGGCATCACTGCCATTGTCGGTGGAAGCGACAACATTCTGGTACGTCGCAACAGCGGAGCCAGTGAGAATGGCATCGTCTAAAACTACTGGATGAAGACATGATAGAAAATATGAGATCGTAGATTATAGATGTGAATTCTTCGAAGCTCTCTTGCTTCAATTGATTTACAGCTCTTGAATCGAAAAATGAATGAATCGTGAAATGATTATATATGTTATAGTTGTTCTAGACCTTGAACAAGTTCAAATTGATTTGTTATTTCTAGTGCCGGCAAATATAAGAAGGTCTTCTGTTATCTGTGCAGGCCAATCAGAAGCGGAACTAGGCTCAACCAATAGCTACTTCATTAGATAACTACTTGTTCAGAAGTTTAAATTTCTCGATAGTCGGTATAATACATAAGGATTAACAATCCTAGAAACAATCGCTTAAGTGACCCGAGAAGTAGCATGTGGAGATCAACGTGGGGTGGGCGGGAGGTGTGGGAAAGATCTCACTGAGATCGTGGGACGCAGGTAGGAAAATGCTACACTCATCTTAGCACTACTTTACAAAGGGAAACTTTTGTCATCTTCAACATTCATAGGGATGGGCATATTTGATGAATTTTATCCATGTTGATAGATATGAGATTCTTGACCAAGAAAAATAGAAAACAGTCCATGCTGTTGGTAAGGAAAGTCACATAAGTAGAATCTGCAGATACATGCCGTTGATTCCGATACATGTTTTAATTTCTAGATTCAATACTTCACCAGATGAAGCAATCATCAAGATCACTACTGATACGATTTTAGCATAGAACTTCCCCAAAGTGGGCACCTTTTCTGTTTCGAGACAGACAAATAATTTCCTTCATTATAGTAGCCACAAAAAATGCAAAAATTCAATGTCGTTTCCTACACTATAGTGTATCTTCGTTTTCTAGCCTCTTGAATAGTTCTAAGTACTTACTTCGATTTTGATTGAGTGAGATTGACAATTAAGCAGCATTGACATGCGTCGCAGTGGCGTACTTGAAACCTCTGTTATCCACCTGAGCATTTTCCTGCTTGTAGTTTAGTTAGAGTCTTCTAATTCACTGCTATCAATGAATGTAAATTTTTCCTGCGGATGCTGTAGGGGATGCTACACACATCTTGGAACACTGTAAGATCGTAAACGAATTGGCATTGGCATTGTGAAAATAATAGCTTCATCCTGCAACACAACTTACTTTTCGATTGTACAGATTTTCTGGATAAGAATGCACAAGTTTGATAGTGATTTCAACCAGTAGTTAAAAAGTGTATGATATGATTGTTTGAGAGTAGTTTTCTTCTAAGTAACAATGATATTCTTCGTTAATGGATTAGATAGTGGACATAAAGTTTTAGCATAGAAAAAGTCTTTTTCAGTAAACAAGTGATACTATTAAGTGAAGATATGTAGTATACCAGCATCTATTACATTAGTATACATAGTGAGTATCATCGTTTTAGTATCATCGTCTAGAAATGAAAACGAAATTTCGGGACGTTCATCCTACACCACTTGACTAAGAAAGGCAGTAAACAAAGTAAGGAACAGTCTTGTGGTATTCCAATGTAAAGCTCTTCAGCGGAGCGAGGACTACACTACGATGAACGAAAAAAAACACTCTTGCAATCGGGATACGTTGCACAAAATTTAGAAACTCGAAAGACAGCTCCTCAACGATGATAAGGATTAGGAGAAGAATGACATAGCATACAAGACCACACGTATCACATGCATCATGGAGACATAGAACATTCATAACAAAACAACAAGAGACACTCCTGCTCGCTTTGGAGGAGCAATGTGCAGGCTTCCGAGCTGGATGCACGACGTCTGGGGAGTACTGTTCGAACTGGATCATCACATATTTTAGTTGTCACTCGAAGGAACTCCTTGGTAAGAGACAGGAAGACCCGCATTGAATTGAATTGCCACCGCGGGGTTGCACAAAGAGGTTCAGAAGCGAAAATTCATAGAGCTACTTCTTTTTGCAATGGTGCGGCAATGACCTAAAAGAGATCTCTGTCGAGCATTGCGGACGACAATGTGAGCGCGAGTGAAAATATGCTGGTCGTCGTGAGCGAATATGATCATGATACGTCACTACGTGCGGAGACAAGGATGGGACTACAGCATGTCAACGCTAACTAGGGACCACCTTAGGAACGCGAATGCATGCGCGGCGGCGTAGAATGCAGATGCCACGTGCGACTGACTCCATCGAAAAGGTGACTCCCAGAGGATGTTGTGTGGCGGACCAGTCGGGCTTCGAGTACCTATGCGCGGGCTCGTACCAGCGCATAGTTCCGGATCACGACGCCGATTCCATGTATTTGCACCCTCTCCTCCGCGATGCAACGGTCGGTGGGTAATCCAGCCAAAGAGCAACATTGCGGAGTATGGGCCTTGGTCGCCACCTGAGTACGAACAAGATACTTTTGGTTGTACACGACGGTCAGGCGCGCTAGTTCTGGCGATGAAAAAGCCCAATGCGACATGGGAAGAAGCATTGTGGGATCAAACCGAGGCGCACAAGATTGCGGAAGCTGCGGGGTGGGTGCCGATTCCGCATCCATTATGCAGACTCTGGGCACAGGCAACTATTCCAGTAATCAACGATAAGTTCTACATCAATGGCGAAGAGCTGAAGCGTGTAGGCAAGCGCGTAGTAGACTTATGGGAAGGTCGTGACAATCTAGAGGCATTATTAAAGCTTGCACACGACGTAGATGCTGTCGTTAAGGCTTCCGCTAATCCATGTTCAACAAAAGCATCTCCTGATCCATGTTCCCGAAGGGGAAATAAAGGGACCGGGATGCTAGGGGCCGGGATGCTTTTCAGGATGGATTTGGGGGAGCTCTAACGTTGAAAAGCGCTCGTTGCGGATGGCACGCAAAAACAAGTTGCGAGAAGACCTGGCAGAAGAACTGGGTGTCAGCGTGGAAGAATTGATGCCTGAATCCCTCAAGGCGAACGCGGAGCGTCGTCATTTACGAGGAAAAGGACTGCCAAGTCGCAAACGAGTGCCGTATCGGAATACAGCCGCGATGGGCGGACAAGCTGTTTCCGGAGAAGGTGGAGACGAGGGAGAATCGTGTATGATCACAGTAGTTGAAGTAAGAAAAATTGAGTTTTCTTATTTGGCAGAATCCGAAAAAGGACGCTGTTCTCGTTGCGAGGTTGTCTCAGACCATACAAGTAGTATGTTGCCAGAGATTTGTTTTTGATCTTAACTGGACTAGAGGGAGCTAAACCCTGTATGAGTTTCTTTACGAGGATTTTGATGCCTAAAGAAAATTACGTACTACTACAGCTCTGTTTTTTCATCTTGGTAGACGGCCGAGGCGGTTTTTACGGATTTGCAGACCCAAGAACGCGGCACCAGGCTCTGCTCGATCGCAAGCATGATTATTCACAGGGTGGGTCGATCCTCACGCCTGAGGTTTCTAGCAGTCTCCGCAATGTCGGTCGCACCTCTGCCTACGACTTCGGCGATGACGTGCGTCCATCCAGGTTACTTGCGCCCAACATATCGGTCAAAGCTCGATATCCGCCACCACAAGTCGTTTTCCTCAATGTGGATTTGACAGCGAAACAGCAGTTCAATCTGGACATGGCGATCAATGTGATTGAGAGTTTCATCGCGGCGAAGGGCGAGAAGAACGAGCGCATCGAGATTATCGATCGAACTACCGCGATTTTGAAGATCTTTGAGCGTCGCGCAACCAGGGACCCAGCCAGTCACTACCAAGTGGAGATGGCTGCCATGAACAACATGAAAACAAATATGTGGCGTTCTGGCACGTGGAACGCAAAGAAGTGGATGGACGACTTGGCGCGGGCTTTAGGCGAGCGAAAGGTGTCTACAGGCTATGTGCCATCATTCTCGAAGCACGGTCGCTCAGCCCACGCGGGAGACCAATGTCATAGTTTCACGGATGACCACGCGGCCTTTGGCTACCACGATCGAGAGAATATGCAGCGGACAGCGAAAATGAAGCAAGTCAAAGATGCTTTTATGGCTTTCGTTGGAAATGTAAATCTGTCTCGATGGTTCAGGAGGTTTCAGAGTAAGGGGTTAGGTTTAGGAGTAGCAGAAGTAGCTGACTCTGACCTACAGTAAATTTATGGTTTTGTCACCAGTTTTGGTGTAGTGGTCACAGGGCTTTGCTTTATGCGCTAGCAAATAGGTCTTCTACTTCCTTTTCATACACAACGAAAGGCAGATCCGTCGTAAAGCGAAGGAGCGACAGCGCGTCACGCAGGGCAAAAACTTGATCGGGGTTGTAGGGTACACCAACGTCGGAAAGTCTGCACTTATCAATCGTTTGATGAGTAGCGGTGGTCGCTGGTTAGATAGCGAAACGGAGTTTGTAGGTATTGTTGATGTGGAAATCGCTAGAAGCTCCGGAGATACAAGGGGAAAAGATTTCACGTGGCAAGCGAAAGTCGATGTACTAGAAAAGGAAGATGTCGACACCGAATCTTCTGGAGGTTCTGTCTCGAACGGCAGCAACTTGTCCAGAGAAAACATGCCAGATCCTCTCCAACATTGCTACGTTCCTGGCCGTGCTGTGCATGGCAAGTACAAGGGGAAGCCGCTGGCAGAACAAAACATGTACTTCTGTACGGCTGAGACACAGCTTCGCGCCGTCCAGTGTAACACCGAAACCGCCTTCTTACTCGACACTGTGGGCGTCCTGAAGGAGTTGCCGATGAACCTCTTTCCAGTTTTTCTCTTACGCACTCAACAGCTCGCACTAGAGACAAGATTTTGCTAGACTCTTTCATCTTGATATTTTAGATTTTCCTGCAGTATAAAGTTCTTGCCATGCCACATTGGTTTGGATTGATTTCACGATTTAGTTTCCTCAGTCTTGTATGATTTGAAGTGTAATTGGTCCCGGTCCCGATGGAAAGAGTCTTTGCACCAGATCGCTAGCGTTTCTGTGCTATTCATTCTTGGAAACGATCGAGGAGCTTCGCCATTGCAGTGTCATTTTGCATGTCCAGGACGTTACGATTCCTGGAAATCAGCAGTTCTGGGAACACCACGATGCTACTCGCGTGACCATGTTCAAAGCAGGCATAGCGAATGCGTTCGATTGTGAGGAGATTTCTTTCGACAGCCCGAAATTTGGTCTTGGTGGCCTCCTTTCCGGCGAGCGCTTGCGGTTCGTAGCGGGAGCGCAAAGTGCGACTGTGGTTGAGCCAGTTCAGAGGAGAGGGGAGAGCAGCACTACAACAAATAGAACTACGGCTACAACATCAAGTATAGAAACGTATGGAAAGCCGTCGGTGGACTATGTTGAAAGTGGCGTTCGTGAAGAAAAGACAGGAGCTACGGAAAGCTTTGCTGACTCAGGCGCAGTAAAAGGGACCACGCTATCGGAACGGCTGAAGGCAAGTACTAGTTCAGAACATTGCTATCGGGGATCGCATGCATCTGTTGGACATGCATCCTTCACAGCGACAACAGGTACCAAAATAGGAGACCTCTCGTCTTCTGGAGCGTGGCGTGACCCGCTGAAACGAGACGTTAGTGTGCACGATCCTCGCGAGGCGTATTTGTACCAGTTCTCTATCCACGGTCGTGAAACCAAAATCAAAAGAGATATCGCACTTTATGGCAAGAAGGCTGTTGGCGATGGAGAAACTGAACCAGGAAGCAGACCACAGGAAAAAACTGTAGGTTCGGAAAGCATGGGGGGCAGCATGGAGAATATTGAGGAAGGGGAGGCTTCTTCCTTTTCCTCTTCGCCTACTTTGTCGTCGTCTAGTCCCTCATCAACATCGACTAGTTGTGCAGTTCCATCGGGGACGGCGTCGGGGCAGAAATTGCGCCTCGAAGTGGAGGCGAATCGGTCGCGCGCAGGCGGTTACGCAGCGCCCAAAGCCAGGTACTTGACACCGAAGGAGATCGTCGCACGTGCACGAAAGCGCACAGAAGAGATGATTGCTCAGGAAACTGCGCGTGTCGAAAGTCATCCGGTCCGACAGGCTGAAGAAGCTCTTTCCAAGCAACACGCGGAGTCAGCGAGGCTGGGGTCCTGTACTACGAATGCGGAAGCATTAGCGACAGCACCAGCTGGCAAGAATATCTTTAACCTATTAGCCGGTCGCGACGCGGCTGAAGCAGCTGCGGAAGAAGAAAGAGCCAAGAAAGCTGCAGGCAATTCTGGTACACCTGGAAATACTGGTTGTAACGATGGCGCCACTGACACAAGTTCTACAGGTACAACTACTCGCTCATCTTCAACAACAAGCTCGTCGGAACTTAATAACAGCGCCTCGTCTGACGAAGAAGTTAAGGAAGAGTTTCCTGTAGTCTCTCAAGAGGAGATAGAGATGGAGACACCGGAAGAGGCGAGACATCGCGTCCAATTACGAGAAACATGGTATCGAGGCAACATGCCTTTAGAGAAACGAAAAGCGAAAGATGCGATGATCTTCGAATGGACTCACAGGGACATGGATAGGAAATGCTATAAGAGCGAGCCTTCTTATGTTCCGATCATAGAGGTGTGGAACAAATGCGACATTCTGCGCGACCAAGACATCGCAGAGGGTAGGCATAAGAGTGCAGAAACCAAAAGTGGTTCCGCTGTGGAAGATCCTAATTCATCATCCGCAGCTGGTTCGACCTTGTCGGGATCAATTAACACCCCAGGAAGTGTGAAGCATGCGGTTGCGGCCTCCATGGGTGGAAACAAGGCTTCGTTGACAGAACAAAACAGTGATGGGGGATCGGAGGGATCTGGGAAGCACACGAAATTTTTCAGTACGAAGAAGATCGACGAGTTTGCGTTCTCGACACCCGTGTATGGCGCCGACGTTAACGGTATCCATTTTGGTAGCAAGGACAAGCTTGCAGTGGCCAGTGTGGTGAACGCAGAGACGCGTCCAGCGACTATGAACCCGAAGAAAGTTTTCGAACAGTACCGAAATCCATTTGTAGGCACAGGCAGTAAGAAACTGAGGGATGCGATTTTAGAGCGAAAGCAGAAACTTCGGGAAGCACGGAATGCCCAGGACTCAAGTGTCGCGGCTTCTGGCGCGGTGCGGAGCATGACCGGACGCGACTATGCTGGCACTGAAAGTAGTAACGCTCTTACTAATGAGCACGAGGAAGAAGCAGAAGCCAACATTAAGGCTGAAAAAATCACCGAGGATGCTACCAGTACGACTACGGTTCCAAGCCGCGACGAGCTTCAGAAGATGGGAGAAGCGCTTCTGGCGGGATCGAATGATACTCGTACGCAAGAAACCGGTTCAGGATGCTGGCGCATGATGTCAAAGGATTTATCCTATACAGGAACAGTGAAGGCTCATTATGAGGACCGGCGTGAGAAGTCGAGCGAAGCCGCACGCTCTGACGATGTAGAAGTAGGGACTACTCAGGAGCACGTTCTAGGCGCTGCGGGAAGCGAGGAGCAGGGCGACACTGACGGGTGTTCAACAGCAGCTGAGAAATCCTCTGCTAAAGCGTGCGGTAGCAGTAGGTCCGATTTGGGGTATGGCACGAGAGTCTCTTTATGCCAAGACGACGCGCACTTGAACACGCCTTCATCTGGCTCTAGAAATCGCGGTCCGACGAATAAAAAGAGGCACATTTCGCGGTTTGCACAGTCATCGCTCTATTGCGATTCCTTGGAGCCGTTGCTTGAGCAGGCATCTCGGCTCCAGATCTCACATCGTATGCCAATATTGACCTCCGCCAGGACCGGAGAAGGCGTAGAGGAGTTACGGGATGTGCTCGAGTGCGTGTTTAAGTGGAAGCGTAGGTCGGAGTTTTTCAATGCGAAACGTGAAGAGTACCCCTTGAGCGCTGTGCAGGCAGACGCGGAACATCTGCAGGTAGTGAATTATCGTCCACCAGCGAGCACTTTCAGTGAGGCAGAACATTTTGGGCCGGCTGTTGCTAGTAGCGCAACAGAAGGGAACATGAATGAGTTAATGCTCGATGAAATTGATTTCCAGGGGTCATTTGCTTCTGTTTCCTTCTTAGGATTCTGAAGAAATGAAGGCAGGAAGTGAATTGTTTTGAGCTCTAAGTGAGGAGGAAGAAAATGACGACCCATTGGCGGAGAAGGCAGCGACTTGTTTTGGGAGTAGAGCGGGTATTCGCACTAACACACCCGACAGGTCTTTTTTCCCGTCTGCAGATCCCGGACGGGATGGTGGAGGATGTCATGCACGGGATACAGTTTCGGTAAGGAAGAAGCTCCGTGGTCACGGAATAGATTTCATACCGAAAAGGACTGCGTGGTCTGCGGATGCTGATGGAGGTTTTTCTACCAAAGAACCTCCAAAAGCAAGTTTAATCCCGGATAAAAGACCAGTTCCTCCCAGAAAAGCCGGCTTCACAGGCACCGTAAAACAGACAAATTTTTCCGATTTCGTGCGCTCTACGGAGCAAAGCTCGCAACAATATGGTCAGAGCAATTCGCCATGCGTAGTAGAAAAAGTGAATGAAGAAGCGACAGCCGTTAGGGTTCCGTGCGACATCGAGAGCAAGAGACAACTTTCCGCACCTGAGGGGGACTTGATGCAAGCTTCGAGCTCATCTTCGCTTGGAGATTCTTGTTTCCAATCTTCTTCTTCCATTGGCTTTTCTAATGACGGCGCAAAACAGGGCGATTCAGCATTGAATGCTCTGCACAGTGTCTTTGCCGCGAATGAGACACGGAAACAGAAGAAAACAGCAGATGCGGATACTGCGGGCACGATATATTCTGCGTCTTCAACGACTGGCATCAATGTCAACCGGACTGATTACCGAAATGACACTGTACGAACTGCATCTTCAGTCCACCAACCGAGTCAAACCCAGCTGGTCACCGTAGGACCAAGGGAGCCTGGATTTGTCTTCGTGCGTAATCATGGGGTGTTGCGGAAGGTGCTAGACGATGGCAGCGTAGAAGTCTGGCTGGATCCAATGGATTACAACAAGTTGGAGAAAATTCGCGAAGAAAGAGCACTCGAATTAGCATGGGCTAGGAGGCAAGACAAGCGCGTGTCGCGGCGACTAACGGCTTAGAGGCTCTGACGGCTAACGGCGAACGGCTTCATCAAAAATATAGAGACTCTTCGTAAATTCATTACATTTAATAACTGGATTACCATTGCGTCAACAAAAAGAAATCCTAAAGTTGGAAGGGAAAACAAGAAAGTAGATAGAATGTAAAAATGCAAGGGAAACAACGAGGCAACATGGGGAAAAGAATTGCTAAAAGATCATCGTGCGTATCGCAAGTGGTGGAGAAATCATCATGGATACCTAAATCTGTCCTGGAGAAATCGTCATGGGTATCGACAATGCTGGAGGAATTTTTGTGGATATCAAACACACAATAGATGATCACTCGAAGAGAAGGAAAGTGTGCAATTGCGGTGGACCGCTCTCAACGTGCAGCTACAAAGAAAAGTAGCATGCCTTCTGAAGGAACAGAAGCAACAAGAAAAAAGCAATACAGATTTCACCTGAGGCAGCGATGCGCATGATGCAAAAGGCTTGAAGCCTTGTCACTCTCACTGCGCATGACGATGTTGAATTCTACATTTAGACAAGACGGAGTGAAAGTGGAGTTATATGAAGTACGAAGAGATACCGAAAACAAGAAAGGAAAAATCAGCACCATTCGGTCTAAAATCTGACTTAGTCCGGTCGTGCCCTTCTGTAGAACAGGTTTTTCCCGAAAAAGGTCGAGAAAAAAGGTAATAGATTTACAGGCATGTTGAGATGATCCAGCGCTCGTTTGATGTAGAGGTAGTCAAGTTAACGGTTCTTCAATGTGAGTTTTTGATTCATGATTGTATTGATCGCCAAGGGAAGAAAAATCGTGTTGTGAAAATTAATAAGGTGGCATCTCCACTTATTATTGTCTGTTCTTCTAATAGCCGTTCGAGTAAATACTTTAGATTTTTTAGTTTCAAAAATCCAAATCGGTATACCTTCCTCCTTTAAGACCATGAAGCGAAGGGGGATAGGTGCGGATGTGGACGCCGCCACCGGCGATAAGCTGCGAGATACTGGAAGAGGCAGTGGCAGTGGGGATCGATGTGCAACGCAATGCGGCGTCTTCCACAGACGATGCGTGAGCGTGGACAAGCTCGTGGTCGCCTACTTCGCAGTTACCGTGTGCGAGCAGGCTCGGCTGTCCAGTTCCGCGCTCGCGGTGATGTGGGTGCTTCATCGGGCGATGATAAGTGGCTCGCTCGCATGAAAAAGTTTCACCTGCCTAACACGATTCCCGGAAGTTGACACGAAGGGTTGACAGTGTCGTGCGCCTTGTGTGGCTCCACCCTGGTCGAGAGCGTACACATATACCAGATTGAGTTACGGCTTCCGGCCAAGCATTGCATGTCCACTACTCGTAGATAAAGCCCCAGTTTGACTAGGAGAGTGTCCAATGCGTCGATTTCAAGATCAAATGTGATATCTTTTGATTCTTTCCTAGAATTGGTTGGATATGAAGACAGTCCTCTAGTTGCAAGACCTAAGCGAAGATGGGATCATCGTAGTCAATGACCCGGAAGTCGTGCATAACAGCAGCAGTTTCGTCATCAGTCGGCCGGGAGACGGTAGCGACATGCTTACGAGTGCTGCCTATTGCGGACGTTGTCCGGATGAAACAGACTGGGTCTCGCGCTTTATCGGACTCGTCGCGCCTTATGCGGTCAGCCGTGACGACGTCGCGTGGGCGGCCCCGCTTGACAGCTTCTACGAAAACGGAATCGCATCGCCCAGCGATTTTTACGACGGTAGTTTTTTCGGCGCACCGGAAGCGCGCAGTCGCCAACAGGGCACCACCGTCTACGTGTCGGAAAGACTTGAGATACGCGTGAATAAACCGGAACGCGTCAACTCTGAGGATGATGCCGTATACAGCAGCAGCGCAGCTGTTGTTTGCCTGCACGGCGTGCCAATGGCGAAGCTTCTGGAGCTCCCGAGATGGCAGCCGTCAGTTGACAAGTTTCAATGGGAGCTGTCACCGGACCAGCCTGCGGAAGTTGGTACTTGGCTTTCGTGGCGCCTTGAAGCTCAGGCACTCAAAAACAAATTGCAGACAAAATCTTCATCGTCAACTGCAATGCCGGTTGTCCATTCTTCACCGACCGAGACGAGAAATGGAGGGTGCGGCCTCTTCTTGTTCTTGCAATACTACAGGGTCTGCACTATCGCAGCGTGGCACCACCACCTGTCTTACGCAGGGTTGTGTCGAACCTGTTAAAGTTCAAGGCTCAGCGCTTCGCGGCTTAAGTGAACTGCTCCAGCAAGCGGCTGGCGAGGACAAACAACTACGAGAGCTTTGGATGAAGACAGCATCTGAAAGGGACGCTCTGAAGGAGGCGTTGAAATCGGCGAAAGGTGCATTGGAAGTTGAGAAAAAAACTCGAAGGGTGACCGACGAACTGGTGCGAAAACTGCGAGGAGAAAACAAGAAATTGCGTGAGGAAATAGCAGCAGCGAAGGGAACTTCTGGAAATACAGATCACATGCTTTCGGAGTGGGAGAATGCGACCGGTAACAAGAATATTACGTGTAGTACTAGTGGCAGCGCATCGTCGTCTTCCTCCTCGTCCGCCTGCTCATCCCATTGGGAATTGATGCCTGCTGCAGTGTGTCACAAGTTAGACAATTTGTATGCGCAGTATATCAGATGCAAGCCGACGTCGGGCATGAACGAATCCAATAAAAGTCCACCAACAGCATCGAGTAGTTCTTGCAGGAGCAACGACATTGATGGCGCCCCGCTATCGCACAGTTAGATCCATGGAAAATCTGTCGTTTCGCAGCAGAGGCACGCTGCCCTTCGCTTTGTAGAGCGCTTTGAAATAGGGGCGAACCGCTACCGCTTCGATTTCCAAGAGATGACGCAAGAAAACGAAAGGTCGAAAAAGAAGCGCCGCATCCGAGTGCGTCTTTGTCTGCCTCTCCACTGGAAGGGCGAGGGTCTTGATGCAGCCTCCGTGTTGTCGGTTGGTCTTCGGACGTCGTTAGCTGACGTAAAGAAGTCACACATGATCAATCTACTTCCGTTCAGGTTAGAGCGTTTCGCTGCACAGCTGCGTCTGACGCATTGCGGCGGCCAGTGCCCAAGCAAGATGACTGCCATTATCGACGTGACGCGCAAGTGGCGAATCTACGGAGTGGAAAACTGGCCGCTATGGCAAAAGTACGAACGAGCACGGCGGGCTCTTCGAGACGAGAACCGACATTAAGGCCATCGTGGAAATCTTAATCCACCTTACTTCGATGAGGAATGATAGATCAAAAGTACTCCTCACCCGGAACATTTTTGACTACGAATTTGACCGCGGTTTTCTTGTGGGGCTCTACTACGTATCTCAACCAAAAAGATAGATTGTTGTGCCTATGCTTGGATGAATCTGTAGTGCAGTGTCTCACGAACAAAATCTACCCTGGTACAGCGGCGTTCAAGATGGATCAATGCAGGAAGACTTTCTAACGAAGGCAAGGCGGGCAATGCTGCACGAGCATACAGTGCGACGGACTACTGAAGAGAATTCACGTGGGGGTGCGTGAGCTCTTCCCAACGTGCCAATTGCACTTGGCTGCAGATGTGAACGAAGTGTTCCTCTTTCATGGGACGGACGCAATAGGGTGCGAGAAAATCCTGACTTCTGGGTTCGACTTCCGCATCGCCAAGGAAAGTTGCCTGTACGGCCAAGGTCTGTATTTCGCCAGCAACGTCTGCAAGAGTCTGCAGTACACCGGCAGCAGGCACAAAAATAAGAAGTACGAGAAATCTAAAAAGCATCGAAAAACGGAAAAAACAGGGTCCCTAATTATCGCGCGGGTCTTGATCGGGGAGCCCTGCCTTACCGACCGTGTGTGCAGGGGAGGCGAAGCGACCACCAGAAAACACGAAGCGCAACGGCCATCCGTATGATTCGATTATCGCGGATGTCGGCCCAAAAAAACGCTCCGTAGACGGTTCCTCGCATGCACACCCTGGAGGACACGCATCAGGAGTTCGTCATTTTCGACAGATTCCACGCATATCCCGAGCTCCTGATCGAGTACACAGTTCCAAGCGATGACTAATCAGTGCCTTCTTCTAAACAATGATCCATGAGTCAGTTATCTAATTCAAATCAATGACGTGTCGAAGACAGCTGCTTACGACATAGTCTATCGCGACCGTTTACGGTCTTGCTGATGCTTTGATGTGAAATCGGGAGAGGGTTTGGATTTTGATTTTTCTCAACAACAGTCCATCGCATGTTGGAAGACAGCCCAAAAATGAGAAGGTGCAGATGTATGTAGTCAGTGCCTCCAAAAAAAAAAACCGATTTTCTCTGGAAACAAAACGCGAAGCAGTGAACCGCATCCTTATATCATGCATCCTTTGACTCTTGCAGGCGCATTCTTTGTCGCACTTGATTATGAGGTGTGATGTTCAAGAAGATGATCTGCTTTTCATCATTGCAGATCTGAACTGTCATGGATCTTCTAGATTTGAAAGATCTATTTACATAGAGTGCGAAAGAAGGACTTGCTGTTGGTCCATGCTCACTAGCTAGTGAGACGGTTTTTTACCGCAACCGCAAGCCGTGTAACGGTGCTGTGGACTACCTCCTGTATATATTGCATTCAAAGTAGAGAAACAGACTAGCCTACTTTTTTGTACTAACGTTTTCTAAAGGACATGCTCTTTAGGTGATTTTTTTCCCAGAGGTTCAGCGTCTCTTTTTTGTTTTCTTCGATATTTAGCCGAGGCACTTCGAATGCTGATTGTCATCGTGCGATTACTGAAGCCATACATAAATCTGCAGGATATCCGTAAATTTGAATAGAGCTGAACAACAAGAAGAAAATGCCTCCACGTGGTCGTCGTAATAATCGTCAAGGAGCAGCAGCTGCAGGTGCTGCTGCGGCAGCTGCTGCTCCGGCTGGGCCTGCAGCTGCAGGTGGAGCAGGCCAAGCAGGGGCTGGAGGCGAGGGCGCGCCCGTGCAGCCTCCTCCCTTTCCGCTGTTCCAGGATGGGCGGAGTTTTCATCAGCTGCAGAGTCGCATTACAAATTTGGAGATTGTCAAGGCGGAACAAACTAGTCGCCGAAAGCTGAACAACTTGATTCTCAACGTAGTACATATCGTCTTAATTATTTCTGTCATTCTCAGAGCTAGAGTCAAAATATCCTTCAGCTTCTGATTAGATTATTGAAGATTGTATTTCATGTGGTCGATCGACCTCTACGGAACTCCGGCCCAGTTTTTAGCTGCACCTTGATTTTTTTCAGGTGTGGGACATGTGTGGGGCAAAAAGAACGCATCGTGTTGCCACGGGTGGAGTGCCAAGCGACGTCAAGCGAAATATACTCGAGTTCATGGGAGACGAGAAGAGCTCGGATTTCGCCAATCTCAACCCGAAGTGGAATGCAAAGCGGATGCACACATTAGTTATGAAAATGTACTTCTCCTGCACTTTTCTCACGGGAGCGCAAGAAGTGATTGTATAAATAGGGTTTTGGTATTTTATGTTTACATGAGTACTTCTGAGCTGTTCTTGAATCAGGAGGCACGACCTCCCGCTAATTGCGACGTGAAAATTTTCTGGTTTCGCCACCTCGTGTGCGTTACGCGAAGTGATGCACTTCTCGACAGATGATTTATAAGGCTTTCTTCCTTGAATGTGAGCACAAGGCGTTTGGGCGAGTCTGAAGGCACTCAAAGGATATTCTCATTTCTAATTTGGCGCTGCAGGAGAAGCGGAGGAGGGCGGAGAAGATAATTGACAACCTAGTAAGGATATGCGAATGGAGCGCCCGCGAGAGCGGGAACCTGTCTTCATATATATCGTGGAATGATGCGATCGCAGGGAGTGACGTTCAAGGTCCTGCAGATTTTAGAACCTTCGAGAGTGGTGACAAAAACGTCTGGGAATGGACATTAGATTTCTATCTTCCGTGTTTGAAATCAATGATTTCGGACGCTGGTTTCGCTTTTCGGGTTATCACGTCCAACCCGAATGCAGAGACCGAAGAAGACAAGAGATGCGGAAGGAAGGCAGAGCTAATGATTGAGTGGAAATTTTAGTCTGCCTCGGTCCAAGATGGACCCTTGTGTCGGAAACGCGAGTCCTTTTTCCAAAGATACTTAACACGCAATCCCGCAGATAAAGAGGAGGACAAATAAGTGTATCTAAATAGCGAGATCTGTATGAGCTGGACAGATCGATGAGGCACACTAGTTAGAAGGGCGATCACCAAGCTAGAAAATAATACATTCACATAAAAAAGTGTTTCATTAAGTTGCAGACGAAGACGAGGTATGTAGTTTACTAACACACGGGCTCGCCGCTCCCGACAAGATCATCCCATTTGCACCCTGGTACGATAAGACGTTATGTATCGAGATACAGACCCTTTTCCACGACAAATCATCCTGGATAAGCTGCTTGAAGAAACCTCTATTCCGATTGGATATTTTACAACTGCTACAGTTTGCAGGGACATAATTATTCGATATCAAAGTTGTTGTACTCTTGCATGTTTTAGTGGTGCATTTTCAAGGTGACGAGAATATCCCATCGACTCGAGATTTGCTGGAGATGTTCTGCCGAACACGTCCTTCTCAAACAAGCGCAATATTGGCGATGCATTTTCGGTACAGGATCCATTGTCGGTAGAGCCTTGTGTGCCAATGGCGGATGGTCTCTCAGTAGACAGAAGCGAGCCGATGGTTCACACCTTGTACACGCTTTCTTCTGGTCAAGGGAAGATCCTCTCTTCAGAGCACATGATAGATATCGTCCACAGTGTGCGGAATGATCAAAACAATAATTGTTTGTTGATCTTCGCATTTAGCAAGGACACGAGTATTCGCCCAAGTCTTTGATGTGAGGACTAGTGAAAGGCTGGATATGCAGATGATGGCAAAGATTGGTGTTTCTAATAATCTTTTTCAGATTTGTTTTTGCTTTTTTGGAAAATAGGTTTGGTGTAAATTAGACAAAAAAAATGCCTCCACGTGGTCGTCGAAATAACCGGCACGGAGGAGCAGGTGCAGCTCCTGGCGGAGAAGGAGCAGCAGCACCTGGCGGAGGGGCAGCCGCAGCTCCCGGCGGAGGTGCCGCGAATGGCGTGGTCGCAGCGGGTGCCGCGGCTGCAAGAGAAAATGCGCAGAACGCTCCGTTTCCATTGTTCAAGGATGGTCGGAGTTTCAATCAGCTACAGTGTTCCGTAGCAAATTTGGAGATGGATCGTGCGGAGAAAACTACCAGGCGCAAAGTGAACAACCTTGTTCTAAATGTACAGTTACGACTATTAATGTCAAGTTGGAGCAAAATAGTAACTGTAATTTTTTTCAATCTAAGTTTTTGACCATGACTCAGACGTTTCCCTAGCATCTTTCGTAATGATGTGATTGTGAGGAAATCAGTTATACAGCACGAAGCATCACCGAAGAAGGAGGATGTCGTATAAGACGTGTCCAGGTTTTTCGAATCTTATGTGGGACCAATGAATTGTTGCAGGTATGGGATATGTGTGGGGCAAAACGAACACAGCGCGCTGCTATTGGTGGAATCCCGAGTGACGTCAAGCGAAATATACTCGAGTTCATGGGAGACGAGAAGACCGCGAATTTCGCAAATTTTAACATCAAGTGGAATGCGAAGCGCCTCTTGGCTATAGTTAAGGCGAACGAATTCGAGTTGTCATACTCAGATCGATAGCCTGTCCTGGCCTTATCGAGAAAACTGCGAGTTTTTTAATGTAACTCGACTCAAATTACACTTTTTGTAAGTCGACTTTTCAATTCAGACAATGCGTGGGGCTCCAGAGGTCGGACTTGTCTAAACTTTGTGCGTTGATTATACTCAACGATTTGAGTGAATGAAGGCATTGCCTTACTTCTTCAGGATATTGGTTTTTCCTTGCGCTAAAAATACAGAACAGGTTAAGCTTGGTTACGCAGAGAAGATCGTTGAGAATCTTCTGAAAGAGTGCGAGGGTGCGGCGAGGCGGGCGGGAAATACCCAGGTCTCGGTTACTTGGGAGAAGGGGGTTGCAGGGACGCAAGTGGGAGGGCCAATTAGCGGCATGGAAGATTATGATGCAGGCAAGTTGAATCTGTGGACTTGGACCTTCACCTTTTTCGGCTCGACGCTTGGCGCGTTGATTGGTGACGCAGGTTTTCGCTACGCTATTCTCAAATCAAACCCGGAAGCAGAGAAAGACGAAGACAAGAGGTGCGGAAAAAAGTGCATATTGCGTATTGAGTGGGGAAGACCTATTTGAAGAGGGTAGTCTGTACTGGGACTAATTTTTCCGTGATAATGTCAGCTTCGTGACATCCTATCTCAGTGAATCTAGGATATTAGTTCGTTCGAGAAAGAAGCAAACTGGTACCTGATAATTCACAAGGTGCAAAAGAGTCGGACCTTTTTATCCAAAACGTGACAGTTAGTGTTTATCATTTGACATCTGACTCACCCTATGTATATGCCTATCTTAGGCCTGTGATGGTCTGATTCCCCCATCGAATGCGAAAGTTACAGGACGTCGCACCATATCCGACGCATTTCTGCTAACCTCTTCTCTTGCTTTCCGAGGAGAGCCCCTTTCCGAACTGTATGGTTTGTTTTGGTTTTCTTTCTCAACGACAGTACATACCCGAGGAAGCAACGTGCGGGTTTTCGTAGAGAAGACAGCGCTTGTTTCAGGATGCGTCTGAAGGCGATTGAGAGTGAGGCTTGATACAGGAGGTGTTCTTCATGCGGATCATGCATTGTGGCTATGCATTTTCGGTACATGATCCATTGACTTTGTCCGCCAATGTGTGGGAGCTGGTGAGAACAGGTCAGCATCGTTGATAAAACCAACTCTATGTATCAAGGACACAAGCCAGCATAGTGGATGCGGATCCAACGGAGTGAAGAGCCCATCAACTCTTGGGTTGATCAAGAAGAGGAGATCCCGTTTCCTGTATCATTCAAGAGAACGGAATATTGATAATACTTGTGTATTTTATACTTGCTAGGTGGGGCGAGAATCTGAATAGCAAGGAAACACTTTAGAAGTGCTACCTGTCCTCTACTTGTATCTTAAGGAGGCATGATATGAACGATATTAAGTAAACATCTTGAAGACTCTCCAGAACTAAAAATTTCCTACATTTTTCGCAAAGATCGTACATTTTACTCGAAGTTTCTACATTTACTGCCCAAGAAAAACAATACCGTCTTCACGATTTCAAACGTCAAAAACGCATGAAGGGTTCTTCACGGCTGTTGCAGCCTTTATGGCGGGAAACGAGAGGTGGACTGTGCCATAATTTCCGTTCTTTTTCCAGTAGCGCAGCTCCAAAGCCTCCCGGGAATGTCAGTCGGCAACCAGATGGAAGCTTTCGCACGATTTTGTAAGCGCTTATTTTTCACTCCAATTCAGATGAGGTATGTTTTTTTTTTTTTTTTTGTAGTGCGAGCGAGTTCCGATAAATCAAAACCTACCTGCGAACTTTCCGCGTAGCTACCGGCGTAGGGGGGAGCTCTTAATCTCCTTAACTACGACGCTAAATGCCCCTACGATTTAAAATGCAGAACCCTAGGAGCAAAGGCCGGGAAAACTACATACCTAATACCTGCCACCCGGGGCGTTGCCCGTCTCCCCATTGCGCGCTTTTTGTGAGTGCTACGTTTGGGCGGCGGAGCGCTGTCCGCATAAACAAACTAATTCATTTTTGGCCCTAGGTGGAGCTGCGCGGCATCTCGTTGCTGAAGTGAACTCGACGGATGTTGTTGACTAAGTAAGAGCATGCATGTTGATTAGATTGGTGAAGGACGGCTAAACTCTACTAGTTGCTTAAGGTTTTGCTTCATCTTCATGCGTCATTTTCTTCTTGTGGCCGGCTCCTCCCGTATGGTAAGATTGCGGTCTACATCGGCATTATTATTTCATAGAGATTTTCCGTTTCCTTTTCTAGTTAGGGCTCCGCTGGACTTCGTATAGGTAGTTTCCCATCCACATCCACATAGAATAACTACAATGGACCCCATCCATGATGTTGATCGTCATAGAAAATATAGAAGTCACTCTTCACCTGAAGAAGATCTACTTTCCTCCACACAGTCGATCGGCTTTTTCTGTAGGTATGACGGCGAAGAGGAGGTGTTGACTGCTGCCCAGTACGAGGAGAAGCAACGACTGATAAAAGAACTGACTCGCCGGTTGAGTGGTCCCTTAGCCGATGAAAACGGCAATGTTCCCACCGGAAAGGACCGACCAATTGCTATCGAGGTCGATGGGCCAAGCCATTTCTACGCAAATTCACAAAGATATACAGCGTACTAACTTATCATGTGGTAAGGGTAGTTAGGTAAAAGGGATGATGATGTTCATGTTTTTGATGTGTTACGTACTAATTTCTTTCGGAGCTGTATGAAGAGATGTGTTGAGTCTAGGAAAAGAAATGGTTCATCTGGGCTTTCGAAAAAAGTGCGTCTTGATCTGATGTCCCCACAATTATAGACACTACGCTCTCTCATACCAAACATCAAAATCAGATATTCGAAGCTGAAACATCGACTATTGACGAGAATGGGCTACAAAGTGCTTCACGTGCCTTATTTTGACTGGAGGCGGTTGAGGGGTGCACGCGAGCGAGAGGAGTACATGCGAAACAAGCTGAAGGAAGAACCAACCGAATGGCTAGACCCTGATGATGCAAAGTTAAGGCTGAATTTAAGTAGTATGTGTAATTCTGTTTGATGTTTTCAAGACTGAATTATTACTGCGGTTTATCGGAAATAGGTTATTGTACTGTTTTTATCAGATAAGTAGCGCACAGAACGAAGATGATGGTGAGACTACAACTAAGCACAATATTAACAATTGTTGGTTTCTTTTACATCCGGTATGTGGTGATAATTCTAAGAACATACTACGATCGATTCCGCAACGGACAGAGTGCAGCAGTGATGAACACGGCGTCGACTGGTCAAGCCGGGACATCAACACCATCTGCGGCAACAACAGCTACCACGAGCTTTGGTTCTACAGCGTCAGCTACGGCGCAGGCGATTTGAGTGTGCCGTTGTCGCTTCTTTGGTCCTATGGGGGTTAATCTTTTCCCAAGAAAAGAAAGTAATACATACATAGTATTTGCAGGCAGTGGACGACTTGGGCTAGCATCTGGCGAATAATAAGTTTTGAAAATCTAGATGGAACACTTGATGAAAAAATAATGAACTACGGAAAGAACAACGCCGGTTTTGTCTGTTTTCTTCTCGCGGGATTGATTGTCACTGACGAGAAATGAACTACTGGTGGGCAAGGAAAAATGTCAAATGAAGTCATCGCAAAAAAGTTTGTGGGATATTTTTATTGTTCCAACAGCTAATGAGGAGTTCTTTGACAGATTGGCAACATGTGTCATCTGTCAAATGGTGTCCCAAACATAGCATTTTCTGCGATGTAGCAGCATGCTTCGTTGCCGAACTCTCGCAGCCTCGGATTCGGGCGCTCCCTAGAATCGGTCTCGGGATCTAATTTGACTGTTACTCGAGGAACGTGACAGCCGCTCCAGTAACGTAATCCTTGCATCAAAACGACGTTTTCCGTCGTATCTGCTTTCTGCTTGGTCGAAGAAAAGTCACACTAATTGGTTTGCGAAACAGCATGGATTGAATGAGATGGCATTTTTCTGTCGACGAGGCGCAAGAAACCTCTCTTCTGTAGACGGCGCGCTTCTCCCTCTGTCACTCCCTGAAAGAGTTGGCGGACTGAAAAAAGGATTGATGTTTGAATCAGTTTCTTGTGCGCATCTTCTTCCGGGAACATCTCTACACACATTGATTATCGTGCAGTAAAAGTTGTAATTTTGATTTGTCCTTGTGTCAAAAAATCTTTTACCGCGTTTCAAAACCCAGATGTCTCAACATCTCCTCCAAAAAAAGTACAGGATGCCAGGACCCCTGTGTAATACTAGTTGTCATCGAAAGCGCTTTCGTCGGAACCCTAATGGTTTTTTACTTTTGTAATTTGCTTACTTTGATACGAACATTTTAACAACGGATTTTTGTTTATTTGTCTCAGCTAGGAATTATGCGGACCTATTGTATCTCGTGAAAAACACAAAACAACTTTATACGTTGCGCAATGAATAACAACGTTAATAGTGGATGGAAACAAGCAAAACTGTAAAAGAATGTCGCTTTGCAGGCACTCGACCTCTCACCGAGGCAATATCCCACGCCAGCGAAGGCGCGCATGTTTGCGCGCTTTCCTAGTTTCGGAGAATGGCAGGCGAGCGCGAGATGGGGCGTGGAGCGTCACATCACGGTTGCTAAGATTAACGCAGATCTGACAGCAGAGTGCTGCAAGCCCTGGACGAAAATCGTGGTAGAATATTCCGGAGAAGAGCCTCTAGAACACGAGGCGAAGTGCTTGCTGAAATTACATGCACGATTTCTCAGTGGTTACTGCGAGACTGCTGGAGGTTGTCAAGGCTGTCCTATGTTGGGATTGGGAAGCAAGGCTTGGGTGTGAGCTTGCCGTTACGCTTGGATTGGTCTGTTTCGGAGAGTGGGCGCCGTTATTAACGATCAAATTGCAACACGGTGTGACAATGTTTTTCCCGATGATATACCGTACCTCGAAAATACGCCAAGGCTGTCTCGGAGGTCTTGCCGTCTTAGATATACTTTGCGACGTGGACCGAGACGGACTGGCGTTTAAGTTTCTGTGAATATGGTTGGGGTACAAAGGCTACGAGCGTTATGTTTTATTCGAGCCTGTTCACCCTATGCATAAGGGACATTACATGCCGATCTTCGATCTGCTATCCGATTCTCTCAATGCTGCCACAGACAAGACCGAACGCTAGAGGTGTTTCGAGCTTCTGGCAAGTACTTCGGAGGAAGCGAATGTGAGACGGAGAACGAAACGGATGAAACCATGCCCGAAGGTAGGCGCCGCAACAGAAGAGAGTGTGCGTGGGCCGGTCGAAGCCAATTTGGCATTGAAAGTGGTAGAATCATACGGAGGAATCGAAAGGGTGGAGCAGTACTTGGTGGCGACAAAGCACTACCACGATCTCGATTTTTCTGCATGGTGGGCGACCTGTAAGTCGGAAAGGCAGGAACAAAGCAGAAAAACCACATCGGGCGGGAAGGTTGTGCGAGCGTGCTCCGAAGTTACATATCGCACGCTTATTTGCTATGGGATCGAATTCCAAAAATGTGTGAGATCGATGAAGCTGCCAATTTACATACCGGAAATTGAATGCCGCTGGATCGACATCGCTGTGCTACTTGATGACAGTGTAAGTGGTGCGCCGATTTCTCTAGGAAGAGCGACATGCTGCCACCGGCTCGGCTTTGATTCAATGCACTACAAAATGTCTAACGACAGTGTTCATGATCAGGTGGGCTCGGCGGGGTGCATTGAGACACTCACCGGAGCACTTATCTCGATGATTTTCGAGTGTACGCACGCAGGAGATTTTGCTCCACGCATCGAGTTGCATACCACAAGGCCGAGGTTTTTGCCACTTTCTATGAATAGAAAGCTGTCGGGGCCTTTTAAGCTGGGGATCGAGCAAGATCCCATATCGCCACTCTCCTCAGGCGAAAAGGCGGCCTACTGCGTCTGTTGCGCTGAGCCTCCACGGCTCTGGTCTGACGCAGCAGGAGGATGTAGCGACGTCATACCGGGAGAGCTTGCCACCACCGGAGTGCCCTGAAGAGCAGACTGTTGATGGTGTTTTCGATATTTTTGACTAATTTTTTGAGGAAAAAGCGGCACGCTTAAAGGAGTTCGACAGCCAGGTCAGAAGACTGGGGACCAACCTTCTCGCATATGCCATGAACGCCACACGGGGAAAATACAAGGCAGACCTAAATGCGCTTCCCGAAGCAATTAGAGCAGCATTCTGTGACACGCGCATCGGCCACACTCTTCCAGGATACTCTCAGGGCATTCGAAATGCTATGAAGCACCTTGCGCTAGACCGAAGATCGGACTTATAAATGCAATGGGGCTGCTGCTTCTTCTTCATCTTCAACTACTGCTACCGAAGGATACGATGACGCCGGAGATAAAGGCAAGCCTGGCGCGCACCCAGTCGCTGTTGTAGCGTTCTACTTCAGCCGCATTGCGCCATCAACGCTTCTACGGGATGCCGTACAGTGCGAACGTGATTGGGAGACACAGAAGAAACAACTTGGCCCTGAAATCGAAGGCGCAGAGTTAGACCTCGTAGGCGACACGGTGCTACATCGACTTGTGCATGTGGATCCGCCGATGGACGCGAACGGTTTTGCTAGCTATGAGTATGCCCCAGCTGGAGACCTGCCGGACGCGGAAAAGATCAATACTATCCTTGCACAGTATCCCGCTTTGGAGCATCGGAGGGATGCGAATGGCAACACGGCACAAGAAAATGATGCCTATTTTCGGGAAAAATTGTGTCGGTCGTGGAACAAAGCTGATGGGCGGAAAGGTTACGATGCCATTGCTTGGGCTTCTGCGTCTGCATATGATCAGCCTACGTGAAAAGAATCTTGACCCGGATTCTAGGTACTACGTCGTGTCTATTTAGTAATCGTAATTCTGACTACATGCTGTGAATTTACTAGCCTTACTTTACCACTCATGACCTCTTTAGTGTACAAATCAGTAGTTGAAGTGTCACAATCTCTCTGCTATGACTACATATTGCTTATTCTATATGTGACTTCCCCATCAATTTCATCCCACTTCCTTTATACATCAGAGATACTGTCACTTTCTTCGCTGGGCCTGTTGTCGCAAATTTACTACGATGGAGTCTCTAACAGACAAAGCGAACCAGTCCACATACAAATTCAATATGAGTGTCATCTTCAGTAACAGCAGTTGCCACGAACCTTAAAACCCAAGACCATCCTACGAATCTATCTACGAGACAACCAATATCAATCTGCCGTTGTCGCTTCACCTAGACTGATACAAAGGTAGATTAGGCGGACAAGGAAAATGTCGTAACAAAACGGTGCACCAATTTCTTTGTGTTTACAGGCTGGAAGCAAAGGAACTTTACTGTTCATACATCGTGTATTGTTCCTCAGCGTGCTACGAAAGATCTCTGAAGAGAACTGATGGTTTATAGATATGTACCTCCTAAAGTCGGTCATCAATGTAATCGGTCTTCTTATTCTGAGATGTAGAGATGAGAGAAGCTTGATACCGAGTGTGCAACGTGAGGAGAAGCGCTTCCTTTCTTTGAGGATGCTATCGTAAATGATGAATATATTAAAGACTCAAATGTTTTCATTAAATTGCGGGTGACTTCATTCTCTACCGTCTCATGTCCTTTCATCATATTTTCACACTAGTAGGTTCAATGCAACGTCGCATCTACGTAGTAATGTGTAATCCACGAAGATGAGTTCTTTCTCAGCTGTTTGTGGAGGAGTCAGTCTGCCGTTCGGCGATGCCCAGACGTCCAGTTCCGCTCATGGGAATGCATGTCCGTCTGTAGCACCTTCTGGCAGTATGCGGAGGTCTTGTGACGAAACGTCGTCGTCAACTTCGTCAAGCTCTACCTCCAGTTGTATATGCAGTTCCACCAAGGAAGGAAGTATGTTGTTAAGGTCGTGTACCAGAAGAAAGATAGACGCTACATGTTGTGGGAAGCGAAAACTGAGTTCAAGATCAACTCCGGAAAGCAATATCATCATGTCCACGTCTGGCAGTTCACTTTGCGAAAGCGACCGCGATTCGGAAGATTCAAGGAATAGAAAGAGACCACGGCGAGGGGAGGATGCCAGAAGGCAGAAGACTCGCACGACAAGGCCTTCGTGGAAAAGACATCCTTTTTCGTTACCGTCTTCTATGACTTCAACTGCAAGCACAAGTTCGCGTCAACATCCTTTCGGCTCATGGCCAAGTTCTTGCGTGCGACACTATTTTACTGTCCTTTGTGCTCTTTTACCCTCCCTGGCTCTCATGGCACACGCTTTCGGCTGTTTTTCGGATTATAGCATGTCGTGGTGCAACAATCACACCGAAGAGAGTTGCATACACGACTACACAATATCTGTGTCGCATTTCCAACGAAAACTGGACGCGTACTATCTGGAAAACAAGCGGCCGCCACTGATGGAAGCTTATTTCATGACCAAAACGCCACGAGTTTACCAGAAAGAAGTGGTACTGGAAGCAACTGGCCGTAACCACTGATTTGAAGGCATTATAAAATGATCAGCTGGGTGGTGATTTTGTCTTGTTCGCGTATGAAGATCCACTAGTACTTCACGTTTAATCCGCAAATTTTTGTTGCACGACTAGCATTCAACAACTCGGATTGGTGCAAGAACTTGAAGTCCAACAGCATGATCCATCAATCAAATAGAAATATATTGAGTGTTGTAACATCTATACCAGTTCCTGGAAAGCGACTGCGCGCCACCGCTGATCATGGCATTTCTGCTTGTGGCGGAAGCTCGGCTAGACTTCGATCCGAATGCGATGGCTTATTACGAGTACGGCCTTCAGCAAATGGACCTCGTCAGCGCAGATCAGCGATACTTGCTAGAACACACCACAACGTGGCCGTTGCAGAAGGCAATCGATCATTATGAAGAAAAATGTGCCTAAAAAGGTGGTGAGTGCACTTGCAACAAGTGCTTGTCGTGAGTACCTGGACAAGTATTGAAGAAAGATGCATAGCAGTGTGCTGTCTTTCTAGTACTGAAGTAGAAGGTATACCGTAGAAGAGATGTGCCCGTGGGTCGTGGGCATGACTTCCAGATTGCATGATCAACATTCTAGATCTTTCTATTTAGACGTCTATTTCCCCTTTTCTCTCCTTTCAGATCGAGATCCACAAGAAGGAGCAGCGCATATTAGCTTTGCAGCAGGCTCGTGAGAAGGACGTCATTGTGGTGGATTTCGTGATGAGCCATTGCAAGGAAAAGGATCTTTCTTGGATAAACAAGAAGTTGCGTGGAGCGATGAAGGATGTTGTATTATGGATACTTTTTGCGAACGTAATGCATCCTCAGTGTGCAATCATCCTTAACCCGTCCTTGACGTAGTGGGAGCAGCAATTCTTCAAGGAGCGATGATACTAGATTGTAAACAAGGGAGAAAGAGGGCCAGGGTCGACACCGACGAGAATGCAACTAGTGCAGTAGGACTCTAATTCAGGCGCGTCTCTTCATTTACGAAAAGTGCCATCAAAATACACCGACAGAGGAGTTCGCAGACCTCTTCTATGAAATCTACATCGTTGCAGTTCCGGATCCAAGCTTCGTCGCACGGGGAGACGAGTGCAGCGCCTACTTGAGCCACATAACATACAGGTAGTTTTCTGTAGATTTTTTCTATTCACTAACCCATCGTATGGGCTTAGCTCTTGGCTGAATCAATCTCCTTGTGATGGTGGGTACTAAAACATTCCCGTCCACGAGATATCTATGTTTTAGGTGCTGCCCTAAGTATTCTTCTCAGAAGGAATCATCATTACCATCAATAATCGCAACGTGGACGACTACCAGGTACCACGAGCTAGCGGACTACACGCTGTTCATCCACAGTGACCCTGGGGACCACATGCACCTTGAATTCCTGCAAGTAGTGCTTAAGAGCATCGCGATAAAGGCCTTCGATCAACACTTCATGCATTTGAACGGCCCACGACATGTCCGCACCATGACTCCATGCATTCAAGCCATTGCGGAGCGCATTTTCGGACACCAGCTAGAAGGGACTGTGGGTCCATACTTATGAGTAGAGGCCTCATAATTTTTCTTTGGCAAAGAGAAATAGAGAGATATGTACTAGAGATAGTCTCACGTCATTATTTTCAGAAACTTCAAATAGTTTGACTTGGTGTTGCTATTCCTGTATTGACTTTTCTTTCCCACCTTCATTCTTCTGCTGCGCGCAGTTTCTGGTGTCGAGGGATCGCATCTACACTCGGGATCGGGAATTTTACGCGAACATGCTCACAATGGTGAACGGCACACTTCCATATGACCTTTGCACAACCTCAAGAGTAGCGCGAAGTACGCATTGCTATGGCATGGAGTTTCTGTGGCATGTAGTTTGGGGGGAGCCGGGGGATCCGCCATTGAGGCAAGATGACGCGAACTTGCCAACAGCATTCAGGCTAAAATTTGGAGTGGAACACGAGAAAAGCGAGTGGAACGATGTCGTGCTGTCGCCTAACGTAAAAATAAACTATCTTGATTTGCCTTCTTGTATCAAGTTCGTTTTAATCAGTTTAATGGTTTTCTCCCTTGATTCGCGTTGTAGTGTTCCTACGACCACATGATATTGTGACACCGGTTTCTTGATTTCCCAATAACATGTACCCGCCACGCCTTCAAACGTCACCATCATGCAGGTTCCGAAGAAAATAGTAACGAAGCAAGAGTGGGATGGCGAGAAGTTCGTGTATCTGCACGGCGGTCCGGGTTCTGAAGAGCGTGGCGATCTCGATCCGAGACCAGAGTGGACTGAGACCTACCGAACAGGCGATCCTTTACCCCCTGAAGCAGGTACGCCGACGGAGTCAAAAGGGGAAGTTGAGTTGTAATCGCGCTGCGGAACAGTAGAGAAATCTAAATCTAGAGAGTGAGACGCTAAGGTGCGAGAGAGCATCCGATATTGAGTTCTTACTAGTGTCATTGTTGCGCTTTTCACTTGACATTTCAACAATATAAGACGGCTCGGTAATAAGCCGTTAGCACGCATTAGAATGTGTCATCTTGTTTATTTCGCCCCACACTTAATGATTACTTTTAAAGCACATCCGAGACGCCGTCAGTGAATGTAACATTGAAACATTGAACGAAACCCATACAAATGACATGAATTTATTATGAACGCATAAACCTTCCGGAACGAAAGGACAATGTGCTGAATATCCAAGCGATTTGAGGATGCATATGGCCATCCGCACATGCGCATGCTGGCTTGGCTTCCTGTCGGAGCATAGGGCTCAGGGAAAGCGAAGGCTCTTGCCTGGTTTTGCTGCGACTGCGATCATTCATTTTTGTAAGTGAGGGTTTCCTCGAAAATTCTGAAAGATAGAGATACTCTGTCCACTCCCATTTCGAAAAATTTGCTGTGCCGTTACTGCACCGAAATAAATGTAAATGAAACAAAACAAGATTAGAGGGGTGTCACTCGGAGGCGGAGTTTTGTAAAAATGGTTGCGCCCGTGCGGGCGCGCCGCTTCTTCCTGGCGGGAGCGCTTATGAGTACTGTCGGAGTTCGAACTACCGCTTTCTCCAAGACGCGTCCTGTTCGGAACTTTTTTTTGGCTGCCGATACCCAGCTTCTGCAGAGCGATCGTGTGGGACGCAAGATTACAGTTCGCAGACGACATCTTCGGACTACCAGCGATTTCAATAGCGCTCCCAGGAACGTCGCGGAACTTTCCGACAGTAAAAACAGCATTGTAGCTGCAGACCCGGAAGTCCCTGACCACGTTGACGATGCCGCTTATGCAGATATCATCCGCGAAGACATGGCGCATTGCTGGCGCGGCTACAGGGCGAAAGCGTGGGGACATGACAACGTCAAGCCAGTGAGCGGTCGCGGAGACGACTGGATCGGATGGGGGGTCCAGATCATCGAGTCCCTGGACACTCTCTACCTCATGGGTCTGCAAGGCGAATGGCGGGAAGGCGTCAATTTTCTGCTGAGCGACCTCGTCAAAGGCCAGTACGCAGAAGCGCTGCGCAAGGGGCCACAAACAATGTTTGAAATCGTAATCCGTGCACTCGGAGGTCTCGTCTCGGCAGTAGACCTAGCGCAGGACGATCTACGGATGCTAAAGCGAGTGATGGAGTCACGGAACTCGACTAAGACAGGTGGGGCACTAGTCTTAGAACAGAATGAAAGTGACGTGCATGTTCTCGAGAGAGGAGCACATCGATCCGGCAGCTCGTCTTCCAGAAGCCGGTTTCTTGCTACAACTGAAGACGCGTCGTTGGGCTCAAGGCTCTCGGTGTGTCGCGCAGATGTCGGCGATTTAGCCTCACGACTGCAGCATCTGGCGCTAGATCTCGGTCGAAAAGTGCAGCGTGCGTGGCACACACCAGCGCAAGTATTGCCGGACGAAGAAATCAGCCTAAATGGGCCCGATGCTGTCGGCGGACGTGCTTTTCTGGCGGAAGTAGGCAGTATTCAGATGGAATTTCGAGCGCTGAGGGCTGCTACAGCATTATGGTTTGCTTGTTGCACAAGTGTAAAGCTTTTTACCTCAGAAAATACATAGATGCGTATGCCTATCTAAATCCTCCTGATCGAGACTCTACAAGCACCATCAGCGCTCCAGAGCGGAACGTAGCCTTGACTCTTGCGTCTGAGGGCGATCGCGTACTCGACGACATTCTGGCTAGCGGACAGGGTGGTAACCCCGATGGTAGTAGACGGCGGGTCTACATGCTTGATACAACAAGTTTGGAGGGAGCGGCTGATCGATCCTCTTCCACTGCAGATGAATCCGAAGATGCAATCGCCGCAGCGACAGCCGCAGACCTAGCTGCTCTAGTGCCGGTTTCAAAAACTGCTTTTCACAAAACTGCTGAAGTTGTGGCTCCGCCAGCCGGTTCTCTGGTTGTGAAGAGAAGGAAGAGCAGTACTACACCCAGTAGTGGGACTTCGAAGAGGAACCAAAGCCTCTCGGGTGATCATCGAGCAACAACACAGAAAAGCGTAGTTGTTGAGAACCCTCTTGCATACCAGAAGCAGAGCCAACACAAATCATCTTCATCGTTACTGGTTACAGAGCCACCAGGTTTAGTCGGCGACGAATTGTTTTGGGATCCGGGCTCCAAACGCATGCTGTTTAGTGGTCGGGTCTCGGTATCGGCGCAAGCGGATAGTTATTTCGAGTACCTCCTGAAACTATGGATTCAAGGTGGCAAGCGCGACGACCGACTGTTGGAAGCGTTCCGGAACTCGATGCGGGACATGCGAGATCGCTTAGTGCGTTACAGTTCAACTACCAGTGTTGTTGATGAGGACCAAGAACATGGTGGATATTCATCCGCAGAAGTAGAGGCACCAACGGAAACTCTGGGGGAGACTCCTTCCGCCTCAGCTCCAGCTACCCAAGACGCCCTGAAAAGGGAGCTGCAACAAGGTGAAACGGCTTTTTTGGGTTTCGAGGATTATCCTGGAGGGCCTCTGGAGCGCAGAATGGACCACTTGACATTAAGGGATTCTGTTTGCACTTTCATTCAATGAAGGTTTTCAGAATGTTGATCGTGCTACTAAAGGGAACAATCGTCGTGTGGGAAGTCAGTACTTACAATTTGAATATTTATCTGGTCGTCTCAAGTTCTGTCTCGTTCTTCTTAAATGCAAGTGGGTACAAAAGCGGTCTTCTTCTAATCACCTGTTTTATCCCTGGTTTGCTAGCTCTAGCATCCCATGAGGTACCAGATCCTGATCCAGAATGGCCACGCTTGTCTCGAGGCCTGATGAAAGGGTGCGTGAGAATGTACGTCGAACAGGAGTCTTTTGGCTTGTCACCCGAATACATCTGGTGGGATGAGAGGGACAATCGAATAGCTTTCCCGACACGCAGTCAAAATCCGGAAGGAAGTCAAAACCTCCTTCGACCAGAAACACTGGTTATGGCTTTTTGATCATCATATTGATGGATATTGATGACCTCGGACGGTGAAAGCCCTTAGCATACGGTGATCATGGAAGATATTATCAGGAGCGCATTGCACGAAGGTAAGTGCTTCCTCACTCCTAAAATCGTAACGTCCCACCTAAAATCATCAACAGAGGCCAAATGAGCTTTCTTACACGCTCTAAGCTAAAGTCCCTTTACTATCTGAGCCGTTTTGCCGACAACCCGACCGATGCGAAGCGCTACAAGCATTATGGTCGTTTTATTCTCGATCGACTGAGGAAGAATAGTAAAACTCGCTACGGGTATTCAAGCGTAGACCTGCTGGATGGCACAAAAATGGACTCGCAGGAAAGCTTTTTCATGGCGGAGACCCTCAAGTATGGTTATCTGCTTTTACGGACTGGGTGTGTGCAAGTGAAGTGTTTTTCTTGTTATACTGTTTTCCATTTTTATTAGGCAACAACATGCGCCTAGAAATTTCAAGTCAGCGCTTCTTTCACCTCTTTGGATTCAGCCTCACTAAAGCGAAATAGGGTGAGCGAGAGGAGAGCAGAACATGATAGAGAACACGGCATGTACCTACTTCTAACCCTGTTCGCACCCCGGGATACCTTGGACCTTAGCCGATTCGTACTCTCGACTGAAGCGCATCCTTTTTTGCGCTCGCCGGACACTGCAGCCCTCCAAGCATTAAGGAACTACAATCACTAGATCATGCTCACCAGGGAGGGTTAGACATGAAGTACATCACCATGACCAAGCACTCCGGAAACACTATGGCAGGCTTCTCTCTCACTCCACGTGGTCGTTCTGTGAGTGTCTAGAATGAGTCATTTATTCGAATTGGTGCCTTATACCATCTCAACAGCAATATCAATAGGGATTACGTATCAAGGTCGTTGTTCTAAAACTAGCTACTCAGGATCCTGAGGCTGAGGAGGCGACCGCTGTAGCACATGTGTCGCGTGTCTGCTCTGTATCGCAATCCTCGGCGAAGTCACGATTAGGAAACGGGCACAAGGCGCAACGGGCGGTAGGAACGCCCGAAGACTGGGGTCAAGATTTTCTTAGTGCAATGTTTGCGCGATAGTTTTTTCCTATTAAGGCATTGAAAGAAAGAGAGACTCTCATTATTCTTTTTTCCCACTCAACGTATGTTCTCATGATATGACTGAGTTTCTCTGTCAAAAGCTGTACAGGAAAGTTTGAAAAGAATGTCAATGAATAGAAGTGCATTCAATCGCGCATTCCTCAGTTGCAGTACGCAGTTGCGGATGTGTCTCATTTGCCAGTTAACTTTGTGTTAACTACACTGAGGTGGAGCTTAAGGATGATTTCTGCAGCTTTGCGTTTGGCGGAGGGGTGTGACGAGGACAGCAGGGAAGTGCTTTTGTGTCTAGACGCTTTGCAGGATATGAGCTTGCATGTCCTCGGCTGCTGTAGATTTCTAGGATCCTTCTGATGAGGCTATTTTCGACGTCAATCGTTTTCTGTGACAAGCTAAATAGAAGTATAACAGGTCGTTGAGTATCACTCATCATCCCACATTTGTAAAGCTGATTATGTGACAGTTACGGCGAAGATGCGGTGTTTGCTTGTGATCTCGACATTGGTCCCGCCAGATGGCGTCACTGCTATGTCCATGCTCGGTCGTTTGCAAGGACAGTCTCGACATTCCAAGCAAGACCCACTCGCGCTCGGTTCAAGTGAAATCGTGCTCAGTGCTTTTGCTGGTGCAGACAATCCTGGACTAGGAGTAGAATATCCACCAAGTCTAAGTAGCAATTATCAGGGTGCCACCACACCTACAACAATTACTAGCCCTTCCGCGTCGCCCAAAACGTTGATGGGGGCAAGTACAAGTAGTGGGAAGCAACTGGATTTACTGGACTCGACGTCCGAGATAGGTCTATCTGGTGGACAAGATGCACAAAATGACGGACACGGACATCATCAAGTTTCGCTGATCGAGCGTCTGGAAAGCCTTCTTAGCGGCGCTCCCATCAACGTGACGCACTCGCCAGGATTGGGAAGTAATATGTTCATGAGTGTGCCTCTGCTTGTCGCTTCGGTCGTCCTGGTGCTTATGATCGTCGGAATCATGTTCTACAATTCAATGTATGTCTTCTGAACCTACTGTTGGTGTAATATAGTTGTATATCCACTATAAAGTAAGGTGTAGTCTGAAACTGCTCTCCTTTTTCCAAGAAGCGTTACCTAGACGCGCATTCCTTGTAAGTGTATGCAGCTGTCGAAGACTGTACTACTAGACCACTGTACTACTAGAGTATGTCGATTACTCAATAACGCAAGGCGTGTTTTTTTCAAAACGTGTGCGTCACAGTGTTGACAGAGTGAGCATTTTTGTTCGAAAGTGAACTACAGATTAGCTTGATAATTTTTTGCATGATGCGGCAGCACTAGCATGTCGCTTTCATCCATATCTTCTTGTATAGAGTTGTTGATTTGCTGAGCTAAAAAAAGAGATTGAGGAAAGCGTAATAAAAGTGGACGCTCTCGTCATGGTGTGTACTACTTTTCAGTGGGGGCGAACGCATCATTACAAAATAGCAGAACAAGATTTTTTATATGGATTGCGGCGCATCTGCACCTGCAGGTATGCTATCAGGAAAATCAAAATCTTTCCACCTTGGGTAGTAGATGATACTACCAGCATTGCTGTTTCTCAAATAATTCACTGCAGAGTGGCTTTCGATTTATTCAGATTGTTGTGTAGACCAAGTTACCTTCCTTTGACTCCTAAGACATACCTCTGCAGAAGTTTGAAAATTCTAAAAAAATTGTGGCCGGCGATGGTCGATACTTAAACGTGCACCTTACCCTGCGGGGGAATGTAATAGACGGGTTGTTTTTGATGTTACGTGTTACATCTAACCGAGGCATACGGGAAGGAGAGAAGGTTTTCCGAGTGCACACACAAAAATGGGCAAAAAAAGGCAGGCATTTTCAATGATACAACAGCACAATCATAACCCTCGACATAGTCGTAGATAAACAAGAGACTTGTCATAGTTGTTATAACTACACAAAAAAAAATTATATCGAATTCTATGTCTCTTGGGGTTTACTAGTACCTGCAGTCACTCAGTGAGTAGTTGACGCAAACAAGACGCAATCGCAAACATGTCGGCACGCAAGGTAGAAACACGTCCTGGTACGGGGACGTGGTCGAGAGGGTGGCCGCAAATGAAATTAGGGAATGGAGCGCAGAAGCCAGCTGAGATGAAGCGACTTGAAGAGATGAAATATTTGAACTTTTCCACTGGCGGTAGCGCTTCTTCGGGCGGTGCCTTTCTTTTATGGGTTGGAAGTTGACCTTGACCACTCATCTATGAGCATATCTAGTAGGAGTCTCTGTTGATATCTCTCATCTATGAGCATCAGTAAATCTATGAACAAGTAGTTTTCAAGTAGGATGAAAGGCATTGCGATCTAGATGCTTAGTCGACGTGCAGCCCCTAACTCTTGCCAGTGGCAAGCTCTTGCGAAAAGCGCAGCGTCCGGCGTTGCGTGACATTCGTGGGGTCATCACAGGAATAAAGCCTCTCACGATGAATACGTCTGTTTTAAGGCATCTAGAAGAGACTTATGCGTGAGTCATTCTATGTATTTCTTTGTACCTAATACTACAATCTAGCAACTTCTCATTTCTACTAAGGCTTCCAGAAACTAATGTACTATGTATCCTAAATGGTAGCGGACGAAGAAGACGATATCAATGGATAGGCGGAAGTCGCCAATCCAAGCCGACGAAAGAGTAACACAGCACCAAACAATGAAAATGAATAACAATCATGAATTCACTATTCAGATTCAAGGGTAACAGCTGCCTTCGGAAGATGCCAAAAATGAGTGCCGATTCTAACGATCGAAAAACTGGTCGTCGTTGATGCAGCACCGGAGATGAATACGACACAGCACCAGGTTGGAACCGAGCAGGATGATGCGGCGATAACGTCACCAACGGATGGCATGGCCGTCGACGTGCCGGAGGCAGCAACGGACAATCAGTGGGCGAGAGAATCAATGTCGCTCGGTGATCTGATTTTAGCTGCAAATGCGGGAAAGCAGAGTGCGCAAATGCAACTCGAGCAAAAGTTGGAAACGGTTCGATATTCAACAAATATGTGAATGAGGTAAGTATAGCAGAAGAAAATGTAGAAAGTCTCAGTATATTGATTCAGTTTAAGTGTAGCTTGTCCACCTTGTGCAATGATCTCCTTGTGCAATGATCGCTTAGATGAAGCAGAAATTGAAATTTAGAACGAGAACAGATTTTCCTACCCTTCCTTTATTGATTTCAATCTATGCACTAGGTTTCAAAGTCGGGAGGGGTCGATAGCTTGATCACGTGTTTGCAGGATTTAGCAGCCGCTGGATTGATGTCTTTTCAGCGAAGCGACGTTCCTACGCTGACACCCGGGACTACGAATGCGTTGTTGATGCGATTAGCCTCTGGTTCTACTCCGATCATATTTTATTTTTCTATTCCCGAGTAGAAATAGCGCTGTTCTCCGCTTCAAAGCTTATTTTTGTATTCCCGAAAGCGAAACTTTCCCAGTAGCAAGCCGGTGGCACAGCATTAGATACTCGACTTGTCCTGGCGACATATGAGCCCTTTTGCCACTACTTTCGTCGTGTATGGTAGGTATTTAGTACATTATTCTTGGATGATGACAAACAAGCGGTGTTTTCTTTACATTTACTTCTCAGTTTCCACGGAGTCAAGAGAGGACCTGGTGAAAGCCTATTCTGTAGTATCTTCCTTTAGCACATCCGGAAGAAATGCCCTGCGAACAAAAAAGTGGTTAAGGCGAGTCATTGTTTAGCGAGTTCGATCAAACAACTTATACTAGAAGGATTCTTCTCGATTATGGGCTCTTAGAGTGTCATCCTCGTCTAGACAGATTTGTTTGTGTCAAGAATTTTCCTCTATGAAGCTACATCTTTCTAATCTGCCTGAGGACGAAGCTAGTTTCCAATATCATGCGACGATATCCGACTCGCCTGCTGCACCTGCGAATAGAGCCACCATTCTTGTGTATTATATTTTTAATTTTTCTGGTAGGGCACTGCCTAGAAGAAAAACGCTTTTGGTTCAGAATGACTTCGGACCAGGTAATTCCTTTTGTTCTGAATGAGGCATTTTGACTGGGACATTTCCAAGAACTTGATACTTTTACATGCTAGTTTCCATGCAACCGTATCTGAATATCAGTATCTATCCTCTTACAGCCAAGGAAGTCTGTGCAGAAGAGGAGATCGGCTTAAATACGCCTTCGGTGCTGCAATTGGATCTGTATGGAGGATGTTTTTTCTCCGATTTAACAGACCATCGAGGCTGCCCCTTTTGCCCTGAGAAGTGCATAGACGTTTTAGAGAAGTGCATCAACTTCTGCCGATCCGGTGCTTGATGCGCAGGGTTGAGGCGGGAACCCATCCAAATCTCAATCTAAATCTCGATGGTCTGCCTAGATAGATGGAAAATACACCATTCATAATGTGGACCTCGTACTGACGAAGCTCGGAAAGGACCTCTCGTTACTCAGCGGAGTGGGGGACAAAGCGTCGTTGACCGAAGCTTGTCTCTTTTTATGCGGGCAAAAGTAATTTAGTACGAAAGGTCATCGAAATTGAGTCAGGCTGGAGCACATGAAATGAAAAATACGTTTAGTCTTCTAAAAAAGATATTAGGTTATTATTGATATATATTAGATAATTAGATATATGAGATAATTTTAAGATGATAGGGTTAGGTAGAGATGACCACTAGATAAGAGATCGTGACTGATCGTTCGATGTTATAGAAGGATTGTGCTTGTGTGCGAGAGCAAGGATCTAAGAACTGTCACTGGAACTAGATGAATATCTACTCGGTAGTCGATTTATTAAGCTTGAACATCTCGGTGTGCGATTGATGAAGGTTAGCTGTGTTCCATTGCGAGATTGAATTGTGAGAATTGTTCCGCGTGGTCACTGATACAAACCATATTAATACCAGTTACCACCTCGACCACCCCAACAGGCCCAGCAAAAAGCTGTTTATCATCCTTTAACACCAAGACTGCAGTCTTTGTATTTGAAGCTGTTGCTGTTGACAGCGGAACCGATTACGCCGGCGGCCCGTGAAGTTGTCATGGAGAAGTTGCATCATGACTGTAGAATATTCGAACGACATTTCCCGGAATTTCAGGCAGACGCGATATACGACATTCATGAATTTTTGAGGTATCGTTCCTCCTTTCAATCTGATTGTTGATTCTCCAGTTTATTCGATAACAGCTCTGAGTGCAACATGTACAACCGGACGACTAGAAGGATGCCTTCATCACAACCTGCGGACGATTAAGTACTACTACAAACTTTAACTTTTTCTCTCCTTGTTTGTACTCACTAAAAAGATTGATCATCATGAAGTCTTTTCTCTTTCACGTTTTACAGCTGTGAAGTGGTCATGCTACCGATGATTGCTGTCAGGCTGCTGGTGAGGTACTGGGATCTTAGCGAGACCGACGTTTATTCGATCCTCTTTTTATGTTGGGACAACTAGAAGGATGCTGATGGAATATAGGAACCACAAGAAAGGTCGTCCAACTGAGTTAAAACTACTTCTTAAGTAGAAAGATGCTGATGGAATGTAAGAACCCCAACTAGTTAACTATGTCTGTACGAGGGAGGAGACACATTCAGAATATGGCCTGGATACCCATATTTGAATAGTTCTCCCTCGCCCATAGCAGTTCTGGCACCTATCTCAGGCCTACTAGCACTGTATTGTTCCTCATCCTCTTTCTTCGTTCATGATTGGCGCACGAGGGTGTGCACACAGACCCAGAATTCGGCGAAGATATGCAAAACTTGGTCCGCCTTGTCACCGAACGCCGGTCCAAAGCTTCCCCCTCTGCATCCGAGTGGGGTCTATTTTTAAGGGTTTAGTTTTTTAGAAGGATGATCATGGAACTTCCTTGCAGTACTTCTAAAACCACGGACGATGCATAATTAACTTATATTGGAGTAGTCAATCTCAAATCCTACGCGCACTTATTACATGGCCTTTCTACAGCGTCATGAATGGCCGCACTGCGATTGCTACTAGTGCCAGTACTTCTGTTGACTAGGACATCACTTTTCCCACTACGTCTTGTACTCTCTCTTCGTGTAGTACTAACAATCTCTAGAAGGTTTGGCATTCTCTCTACTTCGTGTACTAGTTTGGAACCTCTAACAACCTCTGGTGGGGTTTCTGACGAGGATGCGATGATGGAGGGTTCTAGAAGTCAGGATTACAGTTACTTTGAACAAGAGGAGGATGGTAAACGCCTGAGGACATCAGAGGATTACGAGAAGTCAGCCGGAAACTTTGCAGACGGAGATTTCGACGGAAATGCGCAGTGCTTTCGCTGGGTGCACAAGCCTTTTTGGTGGCAAAAAGATCAAGATGTCCCTGCTTTTGAGCTCGATGCCTGAGTTGTATTTTCGGTACTTAAGAAGTTACCTCTATAAATTAATCTCGATGCAGTTGATGATGTCGTGAACGGCTAAGTAGCCGATGGCTAAAGTCAGTCTACTCGCGGCTTGTGCCTACACGCGAGGTCGATGTACCTACTAGATGTCGTACTCCACATAACAAAGTACACACCATTTCATGGCTGGCATTTCCCATGTGACAGTGAAATTGAGGACGTCCTCACTGGCTAGAAACGCATCACAGTGACACACGTTGTCGTTCCTTTAAATCAAATCATGTCACAGATCCCCATATTTTTGATTTTGGATAGATCCTTGGTGTATTCCGAGAGCAGGCTCCACTCTGACTCGTACATGTTTGTTCTTCCATTTTGGTTCTTACATGTAGTAAGTGTTGATCATTCTTACATCTACAGCTAGTCTTGGTTCTTCCACTTAATTATAATCTATTCTGTTGTGATGACGTGAAAATCATATAAACAAACAGTCCTACAACCATGTTGTTTGATTTGGTGAAAATCCTGTAACAAACAAGAGTAATCCAATTTTCTACGATGTGTTGGAAACTTCTTCCGCTCTACGGCCGTCGCCGTCTTGGAAAACTACGTGTATTCATATTCATTGTCCCAAAGGACAATATTTTGGCAGTAGAAATTTTTCGCTAAGAAAATTTGTTTCCTGCTCATATCAAAGTGCATAGGCTCCGATATTATTGTAGTTTTTGTCTCGCTTGTATTTGTGATGCAGGAGTTACTCTGGCAGACACGTTTTTAGCGGTCCTGTTCCGAAGGTTCATTACCCAGAAAATTTGGTCCCTGTAGAATTCCACTGGCATCCATCGTTTCATATCACAAATTACGGCTATTGTGTCATATCACAAACTACGGCTAAACTGGATACTTACATAGAAGTTTTTGATCGTATGTTGTTTTTTATTTATTCTTACTGCTTGTGCTGCGTCGTGGCTGGCGTGATATAATGCCATGATCAGCATCAGCTGTGCACAGGATTGCAACATTTTTTGCACAGAAAACTAAAATGAACCAAGAATATGTGCTGAGATTTCTGTCTGTTGTATGTATTTGAGCAATGCATTTAGGGGGAAAACCCAGATCCACTTCTTCCCGCGAGCTGCGGCAAGCCCGGGGGGAGCCTCTTGGTTCATTGACTGCATGTTTAGATGGGTCTTGATGCCGCTCTATCCTATTGCCTAGTCGAAATTTTGGAATCTGACGTGGAATGAGGTTCGATTTAGCAGTGAGGACCGACTGTCAAGCCAAATGAGGGAAGATTTTCCAAGAGCTGTCGATATTATCCTCATATTCTAACGATTTGGGAGTGAGTGAACCGGAAAAGAGAAGCTGGAATTCTAATGTCTTAAAGCCGGATAATTTGAGAGTGAGTGAAGAAAGCAGCTGGAGTGAACTTGTTATCAGGCAGAAGTAGTCACCCAATAGCAGTAGTACGAATAGGATTGAGTTGATGTAGTTGACAACAAACGTTGGTTTACAATTAGAAGTCAAAAGAAATTGGAAATTGATAGTAGAGTGCATGATATCAATCTTCGGTGTATCTAGATAGGATATTGTCGAACCACTACGGTAATAAATATGAATCAAAATGATAGTAGTTTGTTAGAAGAGGACTCTAGAAATACGGAAGCGGTGGTTTTCTCTCCTCGGCTTCGCGCCGCTTCTGGGTAGCAGGCAACGCTACCTTTCAAGGCTGTGGGTGTCCCGATTTGTACTGGCTTCACGATCATCAGGATGAGCGATGAACTAAAGAATTCATCTTCATGATTGTAGACGGACGACGCGGGGACACATTTCTAGTCGGACATCTACTGTAGGGGTCCTCTAGAACAAGCCAATGGCTTGCAGCCGATCCTCCCGGTTGCAACTCCAATAGAGGTCCATGGATGGCGTTGGGGACATGAATGAAAGACGCGAAGAAAGTGTCGACACAGTAAGAAAAAGAGAAGAACGGGAAATGAAACTTGTTAATGCTCGCTTCGCTCTGAGGCGTTGTTGACATGCCAGCTCCGTCAACATCCACCCCGTCAGGAAGACGTAGTTGTTTTAAGGCAACCACGGAACCATCCTCAGCATCATCCTTGGATATTTCCCCCAGGGACAAAGGGGCAAAGGATGCTACCAAGGCTGCGTCGTGTTCGGTAGCTCTAATAGTCATATCTATGACGATGCTGGAGGACAGCGTTCATTTATACCGCTGCTAGAGGGCGGCTTTTGTATTCGATGGTCGAGAACAGCCTGAACAAAAAGCGTGCAGCTGAGTCTGCAAGAATAGGCGCTGACGAGCACATGAGAATCACTTGGAACAGCGCGCAACAAAAAGGAGGCGTTACAACTCAAGCCTTAAATTCACACAGTTACTGCTGAGGACAATCCAGCAACAACAGCAGGAGAGCCACACTAGAGGACAAGTCACAGCCAGCAGTAACAGCAGGAGAAATTAGACTTATGTACTATTTGATAAGATGATGATCATGTGCTCCTGCTCGAAGTCGAAGGGAACGAAAATAGGTGGGATGTGTTCGTGAACGAGTGCTACGAATTACCATGGGACGCAGACATCTAGGACTGGTGCTCCTCCTCCAACTCCAGGTAGTGCTGCCACGAAGACTTCGCAAAAGGGCAAAGACTTCACGAAAAAACGAGGTCCAGAATGGTGGTGGTGGAAGGGATGGCCAGGGTAGAGGTAGCGAAAAAGCTGAAGGCTGGAATGTTACGGCTGATAGATTTGATAAGTCTTTTCCACAGGTCACTTTTCTTTGTTTCGCAGCTGGAATTTCCTCCTGAGAAAACAAACTTATATAAGAGGCTACTAAGATGACTGGAGGTACTGAACTTTTAAGATGAAGCTACTTTATTTTGAGCTCCTCTAAGACTAGAGGTGAGAGCAGTGAGGAAGACGCGGCACCCTGGTGGCCTGGAATTTTCAGGGCTACAAAAGATACGAAGCGGCGTCGGCGCAACACTACGAAATAGTTTTTTTCGACGCTTCATCAGAATTTTGTTGTTCGTGATCTCTCGGCAACGATTTCTTTTTATAGACTTTCTCCTTAAGGATCTGTAACACGGCTATTGATTTTGATTCCGGGATAAGAAGCACCATAAATATGAGCCTTGCTGTAGAGTGAATATGGATCATCAGGAGTAGCACAGTCTAGGCGCAGGTATGCTAGCCAGTGGTAGACTCTAAGAGACGAGAGGGCATCGAGCAAAGCTCTAAGAGACGAGAGGGCATCGAGCAAAGCGCCCAAAGTGAAGCCTCGGCTTTGGAAAAAAGCGCGTTTAGGGGAAGTCGGAGGCTTGCGAAACGCGCACGAAGGCTTGAAAAGAGGGAACGCAGAAAGGCGGCCAACGCCACTTCCGCTAGAAGGTTTGCCGACGGGAGCAAACCTAGTGGACAGGAGAAGAGCACATCCTTCAGCGACGAGAGCAAACCTAGGGAGCAGAGCAGCACATCTTTTATCGACGAGAGTGCAACCAGTGTTCAATACGACAAGACCTTCCTCGACGAGAGCAAAGCTAGGGAACAGAACAGTACCTCCTTCATCGACGTGAGCAGGCGTCGGAGTCAACCCATCGAAGACCACGTGGCCGAATTTTTTGGTCCTGGGTCCTTAGCATTAGACCGAGCGATAAGGCAGCTGCAAGAGTGGGGATTTTTGGGTTATCAAGGATCACTCCCCTTAAGGGTTGCAAGTTGGCCTCTCTCTGCGCATATGTTTGACCTTTTGAAGCAGGAAAGTCAAAGATGTGTGAGATAGAGCGGCCAACTTTCACTCCCTAATTTCCAGCCTTGACGAGACGGCGGCGACGAATTCACAAGACAACACCGGTCTAGAAGAAGACAGCGTTTGCCTTGAGTTTGTGCCGCATGAGGTTCGGCTTGGCCTGGGTGCGCTTGCCGAGTATCTAAAAATTGACCCGATATCAGAGGACTTTCAAGTCGGTGAGTACGATGCTCTTTCCGAGAACCTAAAGATTAGACCGGTACCAGAGAATTTTCAAGCCAATGAGTATACCAGTTATGGCTCTCCAGCGTAGATCTACTATGCAATTTGTTGTTCTATCCGAGAAATATTGTCTCCGTAAATGTAGTCAACTTGTGCTATCCAAGAAAAGATGTCTCTTAGACATGTTGATGCTGAGATCTAATAATGTCTCATAGATTGAGGTTATGCTGAACCATGACAGAGACACAGATAAAACAACTTCGATACTAGACTAAGTGCTACTAGAGACGCCATTATGATGTCTCTGTGGCTCTTTTCTCTTGTTCTACATCTCGGGCTCGTCGTTGCACCTTTGTTCTACATCTTTTTTCTTCTCAGGATCTAAGCGGAGTTGTCAGCCTTTTAACTGATAACGACGTGCTTATAACGCTCTTCCTCTTAGGATGTTCTTGGATGAAGGTGAAGAACTTAGTCTAATACATACGATAAAAAAAATGATATAGTTTGAGAGGACTATTGTCATTGGTCCATTGGACAGAGTCATAGCTTGATGACTCGGATTTTCAACGACTCTCCTAATTTAAGTGGCACGCTCCTCTGCTATCGCGCGGGCCTTTGGGGTTACTAAAAATTACTTTCTCAAAGCTGGAGAACGAGATTGTTGGTAATCGCCCTGAAGGTGAAGCGCCCGCGCCGGACGGTGATAAACTTAACGCGGACACGTTTTGCTATTATTAAGGCAGCTACTGCTACTTATTGTTTCATTCTTGATACTTCAAATTTTCATGCATCATACTTCTGTTATTCGGTGCTCCACCACAATCATACTTCTGACTGTTATTAAGATTATAGTTCTCTCTGGCACTTATCTCACGCTTAACACGTTATAAGGCAGCTACTTTTTAAGCTTCTTTGTCAGTCAGCTTTGTTGATTGTTTATCTTCTTCAGGTGTTTGACTGCTGCATGACGATCATTACGATCCCTGGGGGGTTCAGTATCTATAATAACTCATCATAGTTTAATATTAATGTATGTAGTTTTGTCCTTAACTGCTCGATTTTTTTTGGAGTTCTTTGTCGGTTTTTTTTTTGCTGGGCATTCCACTTTGTCTGAAAAATTCATCTCTGACTTCGGACATCTGACGGGGGAGACGATCAGGCGATAATAGGAACAGGCGACACATGACATGATGCGATAAGATGAAGCCATGGTGACCTCCAATATAGATCATTGGATGAAAGAAGCATGAGGAGCGACTTCGTCTAATGTTGCCGGTGGGCACTAAATGCTATGGAAATAATCCTTCGCGGGTGTGTGGCTGCTCGACTGGCGTATATGTCCCGGGTGGCCCACGATTTAGGGATCGGATTGCAGGGCGCGTTGGGATTCGGGTCGTTGAAGAAGCCGGCGGATGGAGATTCGGACGCTATGGTCAACATTTGGTATCCAAACTTCTTGTGTCCATCTGTTTTTGCCTCAACATTTAGTATCCAAAGCGCAGCACTAGAATCTCTTCGGTACCCCCCACTTAGTTCCCAAAAGCATCTAAAACTAAATCTAAAACCATTAGAATCTAAATCTAGATCCCTCAGTATAGTCTTTTCGGTACCCCTTTGCTCCCATAGAAGAATACAAGGGGAAAGGGAGAGCTGGAGGGATGGGGGGCGAGATGAATAGAGTCTGACTCTAAGAATGGACAGGCCACGCATGACAGAGATTTGGAGCTGTATATGAATATGGTCACCAGGGGTCCAGACGACGACGAAGAGTTAAGGTCTTTACAGTTTTCTCGACGTTTGACGCTGATGTACTTATCATGATGTGCAACATGTAGTTGATCTTCTTGTTCTCGAGTGCTCGGTACTTATAGTACTTTCCGTATAAAGAAGATTATAGTTGGTGGGAATACGACTTGGCCGCCAGCAGGTAGGTGGAGGCATGAGAAACATCTGCTCTACTATGACAATTTTTAGGCATACAATGGCACATGTCAGGACACTGGGAGGGCGAAAGGATGCAGCTGAGAACCTTTTTTTTCGCAGGCTGTATCCGATCTTGACGAGTAAACTTTTTCCCTAAACCCCTTTTTGGAGGTTCTAAGAGAGGCGAAAAAGGTGGCTGAATTCTGGTCGCGTTACTATCATTAAGGCCGCCCATTCTTCTAAAATTCTTGTTTAAAACTCAATGAATTGAATAATTTTAGATAGGGTTCTCGTTCAAGTTTTTTAGCTATAATTAATGGTTGCTTAATTCTTATGCTCAATGTTTTGACATGTCTCTGGTTTCGAATTGGCTCCAACAGGGGCACACGCATGAGCATGTTCAAGTCCAGAAATGGAAAAAACAGGGACACGCATATAAGCACGCTCTTGTGTCTGTGCGTTCTGTGTTTGTATGCGAGTCTCCACTTTTTTATACTTCATTGATTGCGAGCCTACTAGAAGCTTATTCTCTACCTACCTATGTTTATTAGATCGATGCATGAATAGTCATGCTAATCCTAAGGAACGGATGTTTCAGGAGAAAACCCAGGGTTGAGCAAGTGGGAGCCGAAGCAAGGAGGCGTTCTAGAACTGCATTCGGACGTTACTGCTCTCTCACCTTCAGGCCGTGTTGGTGTGACGGCTTTGAATTGCGAAGCGGATCAGGACGATTAAGGGTATCTCCATTATATTATAGTTTTAGTGTATCAACAAACCTATTTATCTATCTTTCTACTTGACATCTCTCGGAATCCTTTCAGGAACTGTTTCGTCTTGTCGATGGTACAGAGTGACCATTTGAGACGCTATGATGATGATTGTGAAGGAGCTCGATGCGAAGGGTCCATAATCCAATCTAGCCTTATCATTGGTGGCGAGCCTGGTGCCCGGGTGGGGGCTCATGGCGCAGGGTCCTTAACCTAACCTAGTTAACTATCAGTATTTGTAGAGTAGCCAGCTTTTTTTAACACTTCTGTTAGGAGCTAAATATTTCGAGGTGGTCTTCTCGGTAGATACTGCTAGCTAATAAGCTTACTTCCCCTCAGAGAGACGGCTTTTTTCACTTCATCTGCTAGCAGTCTAATACATGACCAAGCTGCCTGGCCGGACACGAACAATGCTCCGTACGCTCAGACAGACGCAAACGAGCGCAGGCATGGAAGCTAAAATTATGAATCCAACTAATGATGATGAGCATAAGGACCATTTTACGCGGATCGAGATATACAAAATGTTTTTAAGTTTTCACTACAACAGCACAACAGGAGCAACAAGATCATGATTACAAGGCAAAACTAAAATGAAGAGCAACATCATTATCATCATTATCCTCCCCCTCCTCCCTAATTTTAAGGCCTAAAAGTATGAACTTGATGATTTAAGGCGATGAAACTTGCAATCTAGTTACTAAGCTAAGAAAGATGAAGGGCGTTAAGCCTATGGGATCTAGAGACCCCGGTAGCGCCACACCTCTTCGTGATATTTCTTCTTTCCATCAAATCAAATCTATCGTACGCCTGTCCATTCTATTTTCACCTGTGCTGATGCAGATTGTTTAGCACTAGTCGCAGGACAGGGGCGACGGCATGCAGAGGATCGCGGGTGACATAGTTACATCACACCGCTGGCCGCGATGAGATGAGCAGTAATCTGTACGTCGTAGGCTTCCCTCCCATCTAATATTGAGAGTGACAGATTTAGCGTGGACAGGGACATAGAGACGGTGTTGTTACGTGCCGAGCGACTGGATCAGAGCCTGCCGGCAGCTGAGGCATAATACACTTCATTTCTACACGTCATTTCTCCCTATTCCGATCTTAGGACTGGGAGAAATGCGGCCAACAAATGAATTGCTTTGAGCTCTAATGCAGACTTCCTTCACTGCTTCTATTGCACTGAGCGATTCTCAGCAAACGAGCAAGGGGAAAATCATGCGAACACGGAGCCATCTCCTTCGTGGATGGAACAGTGGCGCGGTCACAAGAACCTTATCTGTGATGTCAAACCAAAAGCTGCGGCCGCGGAGGGTGAAGATCCCGAGCGTATCCTTATTAAGGCGTTGGAAAAAGTAACCTCTTACTCTGTTGAGCATCTATGAACAAGAACATCATGACTTGAGTCATGACTTGTAGCATGATATCTGGTATGATCGTGTGCTAGTCAAAATAATTTTTCGTAGCCATTTTGGCTCAAGTATACTACCTTGAAAAGAGAAGAAAGTAGGGGAAAGTCCTTGGGGAAGATGTTGCAAATTTGGCGATTTTGTGCGTCTTACCTGGAAACCAAACAGAAGGATAGGGAACGGCGAAGAGCTGTAGAAAGACGCGTCTTGACGAGGAAACAATCACCGCACCAGCGGGCCGCAGGTACAAGAAGCAATGGGATGGGCCGCCTCTGGCTGGAGAAGAACAACCATGGCCAGTCGCATGGGAAAAGCAAGTAGTTCTGCATCAGCACATCTCGAAGCGTCTCGGCAAGCGTCCTATGACGGGCGCGGCGCAGAACGCGACCCAGGTGTTAATCTCTCGATTCAGACGATGGCGCGGAGCTTATGGATACTGTGGCGCCAATTGAGCCACGACCCATGCAGACGCACGCGAGGTATGGATTCAGCCAAGGGAGCCTTCTCAGGTGCCAGGCGTCAGGGCGCAAAAGAAAGTGACCGAAAGGCTACGCGGCGCACCGCCGTGCGGGCATGGGCGTAGTTATGTTCTTCTCACAATTTATGGCCGGCAAAGGGATTTGGCTGCAGCAGCGCCGGCTCAGAGAGACGGATTTGTCGTGGGAGATTTGAAGGAGGCGGACAGCCTCTGTTATCAGAGCAAGCAACGGAGCTTTGGTCACCGATGGCCGTGCAGCATCTTCGAAAGAAGGTAGGGAGGCCGCCGCTCTCGCAAAGACAGCAGCAGTAACGCTAGGTTACGCTTTAACAGCATGACGAAAGAGGAGAAGCAGGAAGCAGTGAAACGGTTCAAATCTCAGTACCAGAGAGACACCGTGGGACTCGCGTTAGGCGTGGATGTCACGCCGTTCGCGAAGCATAAAGGGCGAAGAAAACAGGGAGTGGAGAGGATCGAAGGAGTTCCTTCCACGAGGAAGAGGACAGCAAAAGTAGACGTAGTGGCGAGATTGTTGAACTGAGAAAATTTTAGAGGTGGAGCCGAAGAAGGTGAAGAAAGACGAAAAGTTGTCCTGTTCACGTTTTAACTGCTTCTTGTTTGCTTTAGACGACGAGAGAGCGCCGTCGCCGAACTTCAGACTGATATCGTTGAAGAAAAGCCAATGACCCTACCTGGGTCGTCACCTTGGATCGTGTAGACGCACAGCTGTTCTTTGCCCTACTCCGGGCCTTCGCTTCGGCTCGTTTCACGCATCTTAGTTCCCCTTTCCACTGCACCTTGCCCCCCGCTGTTGCATAGGAGTGTTAGTAGGCATCGACGACAGCACCACAAAGCGAGACTATAAATATGTTCAGTTAAATAACGCGCCACTGTCTACTTTTGCTATTGATTCAAGCAAGTACCAAGAACCCAAGCCCGCAGGGAAGTACACCACCTAAGTAACCCCAGCCAGAAGTTATCGAAGCCCTGTTGTATAGGTAAAAGCGTCCTTAGAAGATATGGCAGCGTTAGTCCCATTTTATGTTCTTCTTTCTTTTAAGGAAACGACTCGTCCTCAGCGGCATTCACCCCGACCCCTGTGCGCCCTCCTTGGGGCGCTCAGCCCGCGCTTCCGGATACACCTTGCGTGAGAACGGGGCAAAGGCATCCTATCCTATCCTATCCTATAGGATGAGGGTTAGGGCTCTGGCTCTATTGCCATACTTTTTTGCTTGAGAGAATTGAATGATCTAGGTCTTCTTCGGTTTCAATCATGACGTCATGACTCCTTCATCAGAAATGCAACTCTACAAGGCTCATGCTACTGTGGACAAGAGCGGCTATCTTCTCAGGGGCACACACCTAACAAAAAGAAAGGCACTATGTATAGATATGGGTAGGGTAGGCCGGTCAAAAAGTGCATACCTCTAATTATCACGAATACAACAACAAACTTTGCGCTCCCCTCCACGGACAGGTGGAAGCGATTTTATTACCACTCGATGATGCATGCAAGAGCAAATCTTAAGGCTCCCAGAATAATAGTTCACTTTGTGAATCGGGCTACCTCTTCATCCAGGCATCCTCAGCCGCGTGATCCCTGACCTTCATCTCGACCTGCTGCTTGGTACTATAGATTATATAGATGGAGGCCCTCTACATGAAGCGAAGCAGAACTACTCACGGAGTTGAAAAAAAGTCTGATCCTTGACCACAGAGGTAGGCTTATGCCACGGGTTGGATGAAATGGGGTAGTCGCGCACAAAGATGCGCCTCTAGTGCACTTACTTTACTGTACTTAAGTTTTTATTTGTCGTTTCTGTCCTGTAATAAGGATTCTTTTCATCTCGTGCAACTGCAAAATAAGATTTTTGACTATCTAAGGATCAAAAGCTTATTTGTCGTTTCTTTTCTGCTTTTCAGCTCTAGGTACGAATAAAACTCGATTTTATAATAAAGGAGGGCGCAATGTCTACTTCTAAGAAGGCAACGAGCTCTGCAGAAAGAGGACGCAAGTATGGCTTGGAGGTCTTGATAAAGAAATAACAAACGGCGAAGTACACGATGTCATGTTGGCGCTGCTGTATGCGTCTCTGAGTCTCTCGCCGGTTTTTACGGTCGTGCAGCGGATGGAAGCGAATCTGAAGCGTTGTATGTTGACGCGGATGGGGGAGCGCCCGTCAGCTCTTGACGTTGAGACGGAGCTTGCAGAGGGAAAGAGCGATGAACAAGAGCCAAACGAACCACACAAAAAGCGAGCTCGTCTGGGAACAGCCCACATCCTGCCGCAACTGCTTAAACTAAGGCTCAATACAATTCATTTCCACGCGTTATTCTTTACCGTTTCCTCCTTAGGATATTGAAAGAATGAGACTAAGAAATGAATTGTTTTGAGCTCTAATTATAGAAGCGGAAGTAGACGAAAAGCGGATACGAGTGTTCAGTGCATTACTGCCCACTCTGATCAGTGCGGTAACAACGTTTGGAGGAAACGGCGATACTGAGAGCCAAGAAGTTGCAGACGGGCGAGAGCTTCTTGTAAATGGACATAGTCGGCCGCTGTTGGGCCGAGAGTACAAAGACTTGGGCATGGTACTCGTTAACCAGCGCGCAGAGAACAGCGCAGCAGCGGCAGCGGATCGCGTTGCACAGAGGAGGGCGCTTGTAAGACTACTATGGGCGTTTCGGGTTTTTGCTTTTGTCGCCAGTGTGCAGCAGCCGGGTAAGATTGACGCAGAGGCGGAGCGCGGAAACGAAGTATATGCAGGATGTTGTTTTTTTCATTTGTCAGACCACCTCCTAGGTGGTGGCCACTTTTCCCTTTGAAAGTATACGATAAGTTTCTTCAGGGGAGCCTCGGCGGTCTGCCTAGATGGAAAGAACTACATTCATAAGATAATAGACGAAGCCGCGAAGGGTGAAGTGGCGCAGCTCATAGCGGTAGGCGTTCACGGCGACAAGGGACGACTCGTGAACAAGTGCTCGGAGAAGATCCTGAGAGCGCCAGTTGCTTCAAACTGGGTCAAGCATTTTGAAGAGACACTTCAAAGGGTAGCAAAGTTGTGCTCCTGCGTCGAATCAACATCAACGGACGGTGAAGATGGGGCCGTTGCAACATGCACTGGGTGCACCGACTGGGCTACTACAACGAGGAAAACCTCAGAAACATCACGCGTATGGGCCGATCGGGTTAAAGCTGGCGCGATAGCAGCGAAGTTGGCTGCACTGGCAGTATTCGAGGCCCAGGCTTTGGAAGTAAAGGCACGGAGGCTGGATTCACTCTCGTTGCGGAGGAATGCTGCAAGAACGACAGATGCGACAAAGGCGGAGCCAGTGGACGAAAAACAAGAATGCGAAGGGGACACAATAGACAAGTCTGACCAACTACCGTCCGCACCCGCAAACCCATGTGTCGAGGTAGCTCTCCTCCTTGAGGTGCAGCGGCAAGAATACGCGGTGCTTTTGCAAGAAGGAGTCGAGGTAGGAGGGGCAGCGCACTCGTGGACGGCGACCTACAACGAATTATACCCCAAAGCGGAGAAGCAGTCGTGGGAGAGCGTTTTCAGTAGCGAGGCTACTCGTAATGTTAAGGCTCAGTTTTCACAAACCATTTTCACAACCAAACCATTTCTTCCCGTTTTCTTCCTCGTAGGATTTGGAGGAATTATACAGGCAAGGAGTGAAGTTGCTTGGCGCTCTAATACTGAACAGGAGACGGCTAAAGTCAGGGAATTCTGCGAGAATAAGAAGCGTCGCGTATTCCTCGACGCCTTGGGAACATCGGAGGCCAGTGACATTCCGACGCTAGCTACCCCTGTGCGGTCTTTGGCGAGGGACTATTACACTTAAGGGTATTACAAATCTATCTTCAAAGACATCTGGCAGGAGAAATCAAGAAGAAAAGAGGAGTCCTCAGGTGATTCCTGAGTGAGATGAATTTCCTACGCGGCTTCTAATACACTCTGCGGATCAAACACACGCAGTCGACATGCGTGATTCGTAGCGAACAGCTCCTTGAGCTTGAGCAGCTTGCCATCCCTGAGGCAAATGCAAAGACAAAGGAACAAGTGCAGACGAAGGAAGCAGCGTGTCAAGTCGGCGATCAGGCTGGTACTTCGATGAACGGGCAATCTTTAGCAAGGGTCCAGAGCGCCCTCGCAAGGCAGGAGGAGGCATGGGCCGCAACTGAATATGACCTCAGAGTGTTGCACCCGATGAAGAAGATGACAAAAGAGAAACGAGCGAAGGTGGGGGAAAAGCTGTTCGAGGAGGAAAAGCTGGCCCGCAAACTCGTCAACGTCATAGAACAGGAGAAAGAGTTTCGCGAGGGAGAGCTAGACGCCCTCACTGGGTCCGCCGCTCTCCCCGGGCCACAACTCGGATCAGATCGGAATCTTGCTTTATCGTTTGCGTTGGACCGAACCCCAGGAGGGGAAATGTTAGGGCTCGCTGATATTTGGATTCACTTGCCGTACTTTCCATCAAGACGAGCGCTCTTTGCAGAGCGATATAACGCCAACAACGTCCGGGTTGTCGTCGAGCGCCTAGCAGAGATTGGGGAAGCTGAGAAAGAGCACCAGGAAGCAGTGGCTGATCGCGTCAGAGAAGCTGCCCCTACACCGAACGGCATGGGGAAGGAAGTCACGGCGGCTTCATCTCAAGCGGGTGATGCCGCAGTCGCTGCTGCTGCGGGTGAGCAAGTAGGTGCTCCGGATACTACTGCAACCGGGACCGTTACGGCAGGCACGGCCGCTGCTGACGATGCCTACACGCCCGAAAATAAACCTGCTGCTGACGAAGGCTCCCCGGCCGGAGAAGCAGCCGCTGCTGACGAAGGCTCCCCGGCCGAACAAAGTGCCGCGGCTGGCAAAGGCTCCACAGCCGAAGAAATGGCCGCTTCCGACGGAGGCTCCACGGCTGCAGAAAGCGCCGAGGCTGGCGAAGCTTCCACGGCCGAAGAAAAAGCCGCTAATGAGGCACCCGCGCAACACGTTGGGAGGAACGCTGCTGCCGAAGCGGAAAGTGGGGGGGTCGCTACGGATCCAAAAATAGCCGCAGCAGAGGCCGCGGCGGAACAAGAAATGCAAGGCGCAACGGAGACCGATGCGGGACAACTGAAAGCCGCAGCCAAGGCCGCTACGGGACAAGCGGATGGCGAAGTGGAGGCCGGGGTGCCTCCCGCGATTGCCGCAGCTGAGGCCGCTGCGCCTGAAGCGAGCGCCGAAGCCATGGCCGCGGAAGCCGCAGCGGGACAAGTGGATCCTGGCGCAGGCGAGGCCGGGGCGCCTCCCGCGTTTGCCGAACAAGCTAAGGCCGCTGCGCCTGGAAACGCTGAAGCGGAGGTCCGCGCAAAGTTAAGGCTCACCATAATGAAGGTGTTGAGAAGTAGATGGGGGCTTCGGGCTCTACTAGAACTTCATCATGTGCGTTGACCTCTAATAGCATCTTTATCCAAAGAGCCTAGAACGCTGAGTTTAAAAAGCCCTTTATTCTGCAGCAAGGAAGGTAAAAAGCTGAGCTCCTATGAAGAGAGTGCGGAAAAGTGTAATTCTAAGTAGTGAGAATCCCGAAGTCGAGGATGTGGCTGATGACGTAGCTGCTGGGGCAGAGGGCGGTAGCGAAGATAAAGCTTCTGACGCTAGAACGGAGGCTGAAAGACCAAGAGGCGGTGATGCAATTGGGATTGCGGATTCCGCCGATGCCAGGAACGCAAAGGCACAAGCGGATGTTGCAGAAGAGAGTGCTAATGGACAAGCGGGTGGCGCAGCTGCTCAGCCCGAACAAGAAGCGGATGCCACAGCCGGGGCCGCTACGCCCGAGTCGGGTGTTGTCACATTCGCTGCTTCTACGGGTGCGCAAATAAGTGCTTCGGAAACTACGCATACTACCGCGGCCAAGGCCAAGGCCGCTAATGCGAAGGCACTCGCGCAAGACGAAGCGAGGATCGCTCCCGGCCAAGCAGAAAGTGGGGGCGCCGCAGCCAAGGTCGCTACGGATCGAGAAAAAGCAGCAGCCAAGGCTGGCACGGGTCAAGCGGATGGCGCAGCCATGGTCGCTACGGATCGAGCGAATGCCGCAGCCAAGGCTGGCACGGATCAAGCGGATGCCGCAGCCCAGGCCAATATGGAAAATGCAGAAGCCGCAGCCAATGCTGGCACGGAAAAAGCGGATCCCGCTACGTCTGAGTCGGATGTTGCCACAGTCGCTGCTGCTGCTAGGAGTGCGCAAGTAGATACTACTGCAACCGGGACCTCTACGGCAGGCACGGCCGCTGCTCCCGAAGCCCAAGCCTCCACGGCTGCAGAAAGTGCCGATATTGCGGAGGCACTCGTCGCGCAACACGATGGGAGGATTGCTGCTGCCGAAGCGGAAAGTGAGGGGGTCGCGACGGATCAAAAAAAGGCCGCGGCGGAACAAGGAGTGCAAGCCGCAATGGAGACCGATGCGGAGCAAGTGAAAGCCGCAGCCAAGGCCGGCAAGGAAAAAATGGATCCTCCCACAGCCGAGGCCGAGGCGCCTCCCGCGATTGCCGCACCTGAAGCGAGCGCCGCAGCCAAGGCCGCGCAAGCCGCAGCAGAGGCCGATGCGGGACAAGTGGATCCTGGCGCAGCCAAGGCCGGACAAGCGGATGCCGGAGCCAAGGCTGGCGCGGGTCCAGCGAATGCCGCAGCCAAGGCTGGCACGGATCAAGCGGATGCCGCAGTCCAGGCCGATATGGAAAATGCAGAAGCCGCAGCCAATGCTGGCACGGAAAAAGCGGATGCCGCTACGTCTGAGTCGGATGTTGCCAGAGTCGCTGCTGCTAGGAGTGCGCAAGTAGATACTACTGCAACCGGGACCTCTACGGCAGGCACGGCCGCTGCTTCCGAAGCCCAAGCCTCCATGGCTGCAGAAAGTGCCGATAATGCGGAGGCACTCGCGCAACAGGAAGAGGCAACCGCACCTGCTGAAGCTGTAAGGAGAGACGCTATAACCCCGGAAGCACCTGCCAAGACCGAGGCAAATGTTGGATCCGAGCAAGCTGAGGCCGCTGCGCCTGAAGCGAGTGCGGAAGCCAAGGCCGCTGCGCCTGGGAACGCTGAAGCGGAGCCGCGCGCAAGCTTAAGGCTCACAAAAATGAAGGTATTGAGAAGGAGATGGGGCTGGGGGCTTCGGGTTCTACTAGAATTTTAATATTTGAGCTGATCTCTAAAAGCATTTTTGTCCAAAGAGCCTAGTGCGCTGGGTTTAAAAAGTCCTTCATTCTGCAACAAGGAAGGCAAGCTGAGCTCTAATCAAGGCAGTGCCGGAAAGTGGAAGTCTAAGTGGTGAGAATCCCGAAGTCGAGGATGCCACAGCCAAGGCCGCTACGCCCGCGTCGAGCGCTGCCACAGTCACTGTTGCTACGGGTGCGCAAGTAGGTGCTCCCGAAACTCCGGATACTACCGCGGCCGAGACCTCTAGGGTAGCCGCGGCCGCTGCTGGCGAAGGCTCCACGGCTGCAGAAAACGCCGCTGCTGAAAAAGAAGAGGCCGAAGAAGCCGCTTCTGCCGAGGCCCAAGCCTCCACGGCTGCAGAAAATTCCGCTCCTGAAGAAGCCGCTTCTGACGAAGCCCAAACCTCCACGACTGCAGAAAACGCCGCTGCTGAAAAAGAAGAGGTTGAAAAAGCCGCTCCTGAAGAAGCCGCTTCTGTCGAAGCCCAAGACTCCACGGCTGAAGAAAATGCCGATAATGCGGAGGCACTCGCGCAACAGGAAGAGGCAGCCGCACCTGCTGAAGCTGGAAGTGGAGACGCTATACCCCCGGGAGCACTTGCCAACACCGAGGCAAATGTTGTGACTGAGCAGAGACCTACTGAAGACTCCACGGCCGAAGGAAATGCCGCTGCTGGCGAAGGCTCCACGGAAAGTGGGGGCGCCGCCACTGAGGAAGCACGAACTGAAAGCGAGGAGGGTGCGTCCTCGGGTGCTGGCGGGGGTGTCGGCGTCCTCTGTTGTCTCTGTGCCATTCTCTTTGGCTGCTGTTGTTGTATTTTTTGCCTGTGCTGTCGTGGCCGGTCTCCTGCTGAGCCGGACAGGAACGCGCAACAAAGTGAGGATTCCTTAAGAGTAATATCCACCAATGCATGATATAGAATTCGTCTTGAAAGAAACGGGAACGACCCTCGATTTAATACTATTAGACGTACTTAGTAAAAGTCATGGTGTAGTAACTAATGGCAGCTCTAATTACCAACGTGGTCAAAGCCGGTGCCGGCGCGCCTGCTCCACCGGTCAAGGCCAATGCCGGTGCCCCGAATATAGGAGAAGATACTCATATAGGGAGCAACGCTGCCGCCACTGGCGCAACCACGGCAAACATGTTAAGGAGCACGGCAGTCTCCCACTGTCCCTAGTCTTTTGACTTCGTTGACTGGATTCCCCCCTGTCTATACTGAGTAGTTATGTCGAAGTTACTACCACAATCCATGCAAAACCGAGACAAAAAGTCATATGATTTATTGATGAAGCGCGTATATTGATCTGTTAAACAATCATATATGTAGATCTCATTATATCAGTGGCCGAGAAACAAGGGACACGGAATCCACTCAGCAACAAGCAAGATTGACTCGCGACCACCTCTAACCACGCGATCATATTCCGTAGAGAGTGACGTGCCAAGTGTTGACGCAACACGATACAGCGCCTCGGCGGAGCCTCCTCCCATCACCTCGGCAGAACCTCCTCCCGACATCTCGGCAGAACCACCTCCTCGCGACATCTCGCCAGAGCCAAAGTTAAGTTCTGGCTTCGCATCAGGTAAGTTCTGGCTTCTTAGTCGTTCTTACGTCTGAGAAACGGCATCTTTTCCTATTGCAACATCGCTGGAGAATATAACGCTAGTACCAAGTACTGGAATCCTCCATACTAGAAACGAGATGTTGCAGGAAGTTATTTATAAAGATGAGAGATAGAGGACAGGTGCAGGTCTAACGAGGAAAAAGACAAGTACGAAAAAAAAGGCGGCCTCGCGCGCGACGAAAGCAGCCCCGAAAAGGGCGACGATTTCGAAAAACAACGACGGCGCCGAGGTCGGTATGGTTCCCTCTACTACGCCGGCGAAGGTGACTGGTTCGCCGGACGAGTTCGGTACTGTTCCCTCTATTACGCCGGAGAAGATGGAAGCAACGTCGGACGACTTCGGTACTGTTCCCTCTATTACGCCGGAGAAGATGGAAGCAACGCCGGGGAAGGCGGAGTTATGGCTTATCACTCCTCTAAATTGTGAATATATTCTAATTTTTATACAATAATTACCTTGCGAATGAATGAGCAATTGGATCTTGATCTAACTTTGATTTTTCTAAGTAATCATCAATCTCTCTAGTAAGTATTGAGTTTCTTTTTTTTCGATTTTTTTTCGTTGTAGAGTTCGTTGACGTTGCTGATCACTCTTACAAGGCTTCGTTCCACTTTCAGTACAACTGGCTACTTCAATCACTCAGCAGTGCATCAAATGAGATGTCCTCGGACTTTCAAATGAGACTAAAGAGATCAACAAGAGAGCTGCTGCGGCTGACTAGATCTAGAAAGATGTCGTTTCCCGAAGGACGACAGCCGTAATTTTTTTCAAGATGGATTTGGGTAAGTATAGTGTCTAATTCTCGCGGCGGAAGCACGTTCCACCTCTAGGAAGGGCCCACTGACTAAGAAACGTGCAAAAGCAAAAGCAAAAAGCAGTACGAAAAAGGGGAAAGAAGGGGAGCAAGCCGATTTCGAAGGTCAAGAGCCTCAAATCGATAGCGCTTTTGACGAGGAAGAAGAGGAAGACTAAGGCTTTTGTTATCTGGCCAATAAGAATAAGAGATACAACATACAAGAGATACATTCAAGAACTCTAAGAGGAAATACAAGAGATCTCATAGAGGAGATGGAAAACTATCTCTCCAGTAGGTCCAATCCGAACCGACTGCCATCATCATCAAGAAGAAGAGGAAATATTGAGTCGTTTGGCCTTTCTGAAGAAGAGGAAAAAATACTTCTTCGGTGGCTCTGGCTGTTGTCTGGCAATAATATCAAGTACACCATGTAAGAACTAGAGTCTTAGTGGTTTACGACCTAACAATTTGATGTGTAGTTATCTACCAACATTATAATTATTGTTATTACAGCAGATCCTATATAGATGGTTGTATATATGTTTACTTGGACAATACAAGTCCGAGGTTCGTTCTCTGCTTTTAGACCTTCACAGCAGTCACGAATGCTCACCAGGAGGTACTACGATATTGGATGGCTTCAGAAGTAGACGGAAGTGGCTACATAAGAGGTGCCATGACATGACATGTCCTCTACTTTTCTCTCGGGACTAGAACCTACCAATACGACACCAGTAGGTCATCAAAGATGCTTAGACGTTGAAAACGAGATCTTTTAGGTGCTGTATACTTAAGAAATTTTCAAATAGTAAGGGCTCTAAGAAGCGGACGAAGACGAAGAGGGCTTCTCTTCAGAGGACGGAGACGAAGATGGTAAGGAAAAGACTCAAGCAGATCTTGGACAAGAACAACACCACGCTAAAGAACAACACGACCACACTAGTTAAGGGTTATCAACACCTTGCATTCTTTCCTACCATCGAGTCTAATCAGCAAAATTGTTGCACGCGCGTCTCTTGACTGGGTACTATTAAATCGTCATCGTCGACCTGTTGGTCACGAGGAAAGAAGTCAGGGATGTGTTGAATAATGCAATGCTGCAATATGTCTAAAAAACTGGGGGACAGCAGAACAGCGGCGACAGCAGAACGGCGGCGCCTTCGCAGTCACGCAGTAGCAGAAAACCTGAAGATCAAAGCAGAACTGGATTCTTCTTGTACTATCCTGAGAGTAAGGACGAGGACGACGGTTTGGATGACGAGGAGGCGGACGCAGTGATGGTGCGACACCGTGCAAACCGCAGTGGTGTAGACAGCGAGAATAAGGACGAGCTACTTTCGTAGTTTGAGTTGTTTTCTGTGAGGAGATATTTTTGTGATTTGTGTTGTGACCCTTCATCTTACCTTTACGTCATCCTTTTCGAGTTCCTTTTTCTTAGTTAGGGCTCCACAACAATTGTACCAATGTATAATGATTATACGAATTCGTGGACCCAAACCCAATATCTTGACCTTACGAGCTATGGCCTAAACAAGAGCCTTAGCGCGGGCCATAGAGGAGCCCTCAAGTACTAACTCGACACGACTCATTGATTCGTGCGTCGTTTGATACCGATTAGTACTAAAAAACAAATGTATACTAACTTGTCACTGTCTTGCCGTCCTCCTTTTTGAAACAATGAATAATGTTCGAGATGACAGTTACTGATAGAAGTTGCCATACCAGATTCGCTGTAGCGGTAAGTCGCAGTCTTTATCGCTAGAGCTAGTTTCCTATCTCCAATTCGTCTTGTTCTGTGGCAGTACTATTATGTCTTTCATCTCTTTTGTTTTTTCATCTGGTGTTTCTGTGTCAAATTATGTGATTCCGCTGGACAGAATGGCGCTGAAGCTGAGACAAGGAAAAACAAAAAGCGGCAATGTACTGGCTCTTCCTATGGACACTGAGAGAGTACTATACAGCCCTCTCCTATGATCCTGAGATCCTGACTAAATTGAGAAAGGGAGCACTTCTTCTGTAGGGCGGACATGGAGTAATCCGCACCTATAATATTCATTTTATTTGAAGGTGGTTGGAAAAGCAACCAGATTTAAATTTTCTGGGAATGGAAGTGTTAGAGGTACACTGCAACGTGCATTATCCACCCTACACCTGTTCTTGATTGAACTGGGTAGCTTCTCAGGCTTCTCGCAGGGGTGGATGTACAATAGTATGCGAGAATTGTAGACCCAGGTGGCAGCATATAGTCCTAACTCAAAGAAATGAAAGAAAAAAGAAGATATTAAGTACATTAACACGCATGGATCTATTTAACTTAGTGGCTCCGATTTTCGCACCGTGAGTTCACCCGTGCACCACGCACGTGATCGCTAACCTTAGCAGAGGCCTGGCCACCGATCCCGGGGGACGTCAGATAGTGTCCAGCATGGTTGATTCTTCAACGCAGTAGGTCGATCATAGCGATTGCCGTCGTGCTTAATCGTTTGCATAGCTTTAGCGCCTGGCCGTCGTGCCTCAGGCTTCCCGCAGGGTAATTAAATGCTCGCAGTGCGGGAAATTGTAGACACAGGTAACGCAAAAAATAAGATATATGTGCGAGCACTAAAGGAATGAATCAATCCCAGTTGTTGAGAGATCTCTGCTGCTCCACTATCAGCTGTTTCATCCCAGTTGTTGGCAGATCTCTGCTGGACCACTACCTCTGGAGAAGTGATTGGCCCTCTACCTTGTACTCCATCCACACTGCAACTTGGACGTGTACCCCGCACGAATGTGTTTGCGGCTAAGCAACGGATCCAATTGCATGATGGTGGTGCGCATGCCTGAATCTAGATCTACATGCTACTGCGGGATCGATGACTACTCCCTCAGCTAGGTTAACTGCTACCAATAAATGCTGTGACTAGCAAAAATGGTAGTATTGTTTTCAGGTCACAACTTCTACGTACCGCGCGCCGGTTGTCAACGTCGAGCACGACAACAGCACGAGGTGTGATAGCACTGTGACGAGGGTGACGTTGTCTTCTCGGTGGCTGCTTTGTCGAGAAATCTTCTGCACCGAGGTGTGAAAGTCGTCTTTTTGTTTCTTCTACAAGAAGCCTGTTGTGTCTTGAAGGTTGCTGCGCCTCGAAGTGTGGTGAATCCCGGAGTTTGACTGCTGAATTTAGAAAAAGAGACGCGGAGTCATGGACGACCGACAGGTTGCAAGCGTGGACGCATCACTAGTAAAAAGGATATCAACAACTGGTAGAGAGGCGAAAAAGGTAACGGCCGCATGAAAATGCATCAAAATAGATCGACGTCTTCCAGCACAACTGAAAATGAGGGGAGGGTGCGACGACATGCAGGTCCGGTTTCCAGACTGCGCACCAAACGGAACAAGGGTCCCAAGTCACACCGCTCAAGCAAACACGCCGCACGAGAGGTTAAAGAGACGGACGTCCTTCTACCCGCAACGAGAAAATATGTCGAAGAGGAGGAGGAGCAAATGGCTCCATTTTTGAGACACGAAGAACGGCAGCCCTCGTCAGATTCTTGCGGGAAAGCGCTGGGGGACGGTGATGTTTACGGTGCTCCTTTTCCTTTATTAAGGGTTGCAAATTGACCGATGATCCAAGAGCGTGTCTCTGACCTTCCTAAGGGGTCAAAAGGATAGATACGCGAGCTAGATCGGTCAACTTGCAACCCCTAACTTTAGAACAAGATGAGAAGGAGCGCTGGCGGTTGTTGTGGTGCCGGTTCGCTCCGTACCTCGCATCTGCTTGCGGGGTTTCCCTGCTTGTCGTGGTCATTGGCACTACTTACTTCCGCATCGGCTTGGAGTTGGACTTATTTTCCAATTATTCTCTCGACGACTTCCTCAATGCTTTTATTAAGGCTTACCGTAATTCATCCTCAGAAGCATCTTTGACCCGTTTAGTTACTAAAAACAGCAAAAAGCGCGTCGGTCAAAGATGAGTATACTGAGGATGCTCGCAAGCGATGAACGCCTATACCTCATGTTTCAAGAGGAGCGGGGGCTTAGGGTTACTTACGAAGATCTAACTTGAACCTTTTCGACCCAGAGCGTTTTCGTGCTTGTTTCCATGTGATGGAGAACTTGGCTCATTTATTTTCTGGCGATGGAGGGGACGATTCTGCAGGTGGCTTTATTTCCTCTACTGTAGAAGATTCTTCCTCGTCTCCTGTAGTAGAAGAAGATTCTTCCTCGATCTCGTCATGGGCCGGCTACTATTTTCACTGGCCGCTCTTCGCGTACGTCGGCAACAAACTTAGCGAAATAAGCCTTGCTACGGCTCATTTTGGACGAAGGGCCACGGATAGTTAAGGGTTTACACATTGCGTCCTGCACTAACGGCCCTGACTCTTTTCCCACTACGAAAGAAGTCAGGGATGTCCTGAAGAATGCAATGGCGGAACCTCTAAGATAGAAGAGGCCAGCAAGAAGGCCTTGCTTCGGAAGCAGCAGGGGTAGGAGCTCATGTTGACTCGTCCACTAGTGAGGAAGGAGCTCATGACATGTCTTCCGGAGAATATGCGACTACCTCCAGCACGAGTAGTACTGCGACTACCAGCAGCGGGAAGAACTACATATGGGACGGGTCCGTGACGCCTGGGCGTCTTAAAGGAATGCCGTACGCTTCCGCGCAGGCACAAAGCCTGCTGGATGTACGACAGGAGTCTGATGGAAAATTAAATAGCGGCCCACTTCTTCGGATCGCAGCTCTTGCAAGTATGAACCCTGTTAGTACTCGTGTTTCGTCATACCAGAACAGGCACGAGACTAAGAATACGAATTCTGGTTTCAACAAGATAAATTTTTCTGTCATCTCTTGCTGTTGAATATTCTCCTTTGAGCAGCACACTCAGACAGCTGTTTTTTTCGTTGCTTCTTGCGTAAGTATGCTCTCGCTCCGAGGTAGCCACAAAGCGCACTATTAGGATGCAGGTTCAATAAATCTCCACCAATTTCTCGTAGACATCGATCGAACCAGAAAGAACGAAAAACTTTTTTTGGAGTGCTACTAGAACTAGAGTTCGTGGACGAGGGAACGGTTTCTAAAAGGGAAAGGAAAGTTGCTGGCAGAAAACTGGAGAAGAAAAAATTGAAAGCAGGAAATGCGCAACTCGAAGCAGACAACAAGGCACTTCGGGAGGAGATCGCACATTATGGTTATAGCTTTTCTTCATGTTTCTCAGGATCTTGTTAAGAAAAATACGAAAGCCCTGTATCCTCCTGAAATACAAGGGAAACAGGGTCGAGATGAGGGGACGGAGATGAATAGGGACACACAGTCTAAGCGCAGCTCAAAGCATCTTCAAAGCATCGCGAACTGGAACACGTGAAAACGGAGGTACAGGAACTGCAAAAAACTTTACTGGAAAAAGATATGGATGCGATTTTTTCTTCCGTTTGTAGCAGATCATATAGGCTTCTCCTTTGGGGTCCCTTGAAGGTGTATAAATATTATTAAGGGATTTATTACTGTTAATAAGGGGGAGGAGGAAAGTGCATCAACAGACTTGTCTCTACGGTCATGAGGAAAGTTATCAGCAGGGACGCGTGCATGCAGGTGAATTAGAAAGCTACAGGGAAGGGCGAGCCCTGATGGTCTGGCTACAGCGGGAGGGGAGGAAGAGCAACATTCATACAAGAGGCCGAGTACGAGCGGTTGGAAACGGGTACGGCAAGACACACTTTTGCTTTGTTAAAAAACGACAAAGTAGAACTACTAGAAGGACGATGGCCCTTTCACTTTCTTTGGTGAAAGATATATATAACTTGCAAATAATTACTCAGTGCACATCACACCATTAGCTAGCTTTACGATTTGCCCAGCTTATTGGTTTTTCATCGTTGATTGTGTGATGCTGATGTGGTTCAGCGGTTTAGGCATTAGCCTGTTCGCTTATCATTCCGAGTCGATTCGAGCTGCCCTCTTTTTCAAAATGGGAAAATATACTAATTTGCCTATCTTTCTTATTCGTAGACGTCAACTGTTATCTTGTCCTATCCCCATCTTAGGTATTCACTCTTATTTCCTAGACGAGTTAGGATAGACATCTACTTCTTGCCAGGCACGTCAATCAAACAGGCATCTCTAAGAACTAAGAGAAAGAGAAGGATGAGAGAGTGCGAACAGGAACATTAGAAGTCTCGGTTGCAAAGAAGCTAGCGAACTCTGAAGTTTTATGGAAGCTGAAGCTACTTTCTTCCTCTGTCTCCTATCCTAACCTTCCTATCACATTCATGGGGTGGGTCCTTAGCCTAACACTTGTATCTACTTCTCTCCTCTCCTTATCTCACTCTCATTCCCTAGCCTCCACTCTTCTTGCACTTATCTCACGCTTGACGCGTTATTTCACTTTCTATCATGGGGCCATCATTTCTATGAATTATAGGATTTTCGACCACTCGCCGATTAAGGTCGATCAACACTAGGTCATGAATAAGGAGGACTCATAATTACGAATGGTTCTCTGTTTAAGGGGTCGAGAGGAAAAGACCGCCAAATTTTCCTTTCGACCACCTAGCTAGCGCTAACGCAGGAAGAAGCGGAATTGGAGAAACAGCTGAAAGACGAGGACGACGACGAAGCGGGCGCAAGTTATGAATCGTCGTCGACCATTGTATTCATAGTTAGAATATTATGAAGGTTTCACGTCTATTGCCTCTGTGCTCAAGATTCTTTGATAGATTGTCTAAGGTTGACAAGGTTTCTCTTGTAAAGGTAGATGATGAATAGATTCACTCGAAACGAATGGGGCTTATATAAACCGAATCCAAAGGTTTGAAAGTGAACGTCTCCACTATGCAACATCTGCGGAACTGCTTAGGAGACCGTTCGAACAAAGAACTATAAACTAAACTATTTTATCAGATTCGGTTTTTCATGTTTCTTTCTTTCTTAGTTGGGGTTCTACCATAATTATCGCCTTAGCACGAATTTTCTCGCGTAGGTGGTAGGTGACTGCTGCCGCATAACCCCATAGGGCATCTTCACGCGCACAAGAAATAGTGCGTTTTCTGTATGACAAGAAACACTACTTTTTTGTAAAAAGCTATCTGCAGGTTTCGACGCTGCTTCAGTGTCTTCAATGGCACCATCTCGTAGCGCCGTTTTCTAAGGCACGGAGGAGCTGCGTAAGCTGGAGGCAGAAGTAGAAGATTAAGAAAATACTTGCCATTGTCTATAGCATAGTCATTTTTTATGATGCATCAAGAACCTCAGACGAGGTCACCAGTCACATCAGAATTACATGGAAGGTCATCTGTTGCTGTTCATTTTCTATGTTGCAGGTCCATCACTGATGGAAGGAAGCATAAATTGTGACGTCGTTCGTATTTAGGTATTAGAATCTGGACCACGGCCGCGTTAATATTTACATCATGGCTCTCGAGTTTTCTGTATCGAAGAAGAATATGTATGATCGTCTATCATTCTTAACTGAAGCTCTCACAAGAATTACTGTAATTGTGTTACGAGTTGTGATGTTTTCTCGTCTGTTCTCGAAAGTTTGAAGGTATAAAGTCTCCACTTACAAGGCAGAAGATGACCACCAGAGATGCACCACCTTTTTTGGATTGTAACCCATGAATGGGTTAACTATTACGACGACTGCTACTACCACTACTGCTACTACAATGTCCACTATTTATCTGGTACTAGAAATCCTGCACTTGTTGTTAAAACTCATAATTCGAGAAGATCTGAGGACTTGTGTCTAAGCTGAGGAGAAGACCACAAGGTTGCACAAGCTAGTGGGTGAGCGGGACGCGGTCGCTTCGGAAATTAAGCATGTTGAGTCGGAAATTGAGCAAGCGGAAAAACCAGTGCTGCCGCGACTGGATAGCAAGCCGCAAGTGGATTCCCTGCCGCCGATATTTGATCCCCTGCCGCCAATAATACCGGATCACTCGCCGCTAGTCATACCGGAATTGGGCCTCCTGGGGGAAGTTTGTTAAGGCTAGCGCTTTTTCGTCATAGACCGGTCGATTGAGTGAAGGTGTATTCTGAGTAGATGAGGTTTTACGGGGTTTTAGGGCTAGGATCACCTTAGGGTTCGTTCGTATTTTTTTCTGACAAGTGACACACTGTTCGTTACATACTGTCTTGTCTTGCCAGTGGTAGAGACTGACCACCAAAGGCGTACGAGTATGATGATGATGATGATGATGATGATGATGATGGTTGGTCGTTTTAAGTAACTGGCGCTTAGGGTTTTGGACTTTATTACCCACTTCTAAAATGCGCAGAATACGCTTAAAAACGACATCCTTCGTGGGATAACAGTTGGGCAAATGCCTGTCTGTGCTTAAGACTAAGGTTGAGGATATCCTATTCCTCTGCTCCAACGGGAACGTCGATAATGCAATTCGGTTAGTACTGTAGTCACACCTTTCATTTATTAGAAGGTACCCACGTCACGATTGTCGGTGCTGTAGCGGACACTTGATAGAAGTCCTCTACACAACTTTACTCTGTAAATAGAAATATTGCTGACTTTCAAGAGTCCTCAGTATACCCTATTACCGCGGAAAAAGAAGCGCGCGGACGCCGCCGCCGCTCCATCCACCGTGGGGGGGGCGTCCACCCCTGGAACGAAGCCCGACACTTGTCGGCATAAAGTTGGTGGCATCGTAAAACTTCTTTTGGGGCTGCATTTTGGAGTGTTCAATGACGAACTAAACGTATCCATATAAAATATGAATGAATATCTGGAACGCAAGGTGAAACTAGGGGTATAAAGCAAGGCTGCTAGTACCTGTGGTTTGGTTCACAGAAAGAAGGTGTCCCCTCCTCTATCCTCTATATTGGCTCGATTGATCACAATATTATCACCGCTCTCCGTTGCTCTGTGTAAGTAAGCTTTGTTTCAAGCTTGGCCAAGGAGGGTCAGACATGAAACGCTTGACCATGGCCATTGCTTAGTGGTCATATCGATATCTCAGTGCAACTTTTCTGTTGTGCCCACCCGTGAATGGCTTTTCTCCGACAACTACCACATTATATGTGAATGTCACGGTACTGTGATTTCTGATTATTTTATATACATTGGTAAAAATATTTTTTGGAATGTTCTTGCGCGCACAATATTGGACTCTGTCTCCGCCCTATTTCATCATCTTCCGACAACGGAAAACCCGAAGCCGCCAAATATCCAGGAGCTGCTGAAGGCGACGCGGCAAGCATATGCCTATTATATTAAGGTTTTCCGGATTATGCGTTCCTCATTACCATCCCTGGCTCTTTTCCTAGTAGAAAAGAAGCCCGGGATGTTCTGAGGAATGTAGGTGATTCCGTAGCCTCTAACTATATCATGAACTTTGGGGAAAGCTTTTACGGCGCTGAGGCGGAGGAGCTTGTTCAAGACCCCAAAGGCGGAAAGCATTTTATTATGTTGATGTATTTGCCTCACTGCTGGCGCGTCGAATAATTCGAAAAACTTGTAATCGGAAAAACGTGTGATGATAATGATGATGCAGAAGATGAAACTCTCTCGCGTTTTGCGCCCTCAGTGCGGTAGTGTTAGAACTTGCATAAATCCATCTTGGTGAGCACCTCGGTGGTCATTTTGCCTTCAAAATGGGAGCGAGATGCAGGGGGAGACGGATTCCCTCAGGCCTTAGTAATGCCTTTGGTTATAATCCATCATACATTTGTCGGGCCCCTTGAGCTTAATCGTGCCCTTGCTATTGGCATCAATTGGACTGTCTAAATGTAACATCCACCTTGTGACTACATTCTTTGTGTTGATAATTTGCCTAGTCTTACACGAGCTCGGACCTTGATCAGCGTCGACGTCGTCATCATCATTTGTTAGCAATTTACAGAGGAGATTATAGATCGGGGTAAAGGCTCTCCGTCGGAGGTGCTTTTAGCTCTATACTGAGTGGCCTCATACATAGAAAGATGCGAAACGCTATAAAAGAGGCGCCATGTTGAGATGACGTCTATCCTATCTATCCTATCTATCCTATCTATCCTATCTATCCTATCTATCCTATCTATCCTATCTATCCTATCTATCCTATCTATCCTATCTATCCTATCTATCCTATCTATCCTATCTATCCTATCTATCCTATCTATCCTATCTATCTATTCTAACATCGGTTTTTGGGAAACGGAGCGGACGTTGGTGAGACGGCTGAAGTGTTTCACTGAGATATTAAGGCCACACTTGTTTTTCAGAGGAATCTTGCGCGGGCAATTAGTAGCCTCACTGAAGATTCCATTCGTCAAAGATCAGGAGGCCTCCTCAAAGATCAGGAAGCCTCACTGAAGATCAGGAGGCCTCCTCAAAGATCAGAGAAATGCTGCTAACACCATAAGCACTAAGATCTCAAAAAGCGATCATATTAATGAAGTTCACCAGGAGCACCCTTATGCTATGTTAAAGGAAGAGGAGCCAGAAGAAAATTTAATGCACGAACTAGTAACTCTATCGGTGGTGCCACTGCTTGTTGGTGTCCCATAAAAGATGAGTATCTGAGACGGGACGACGATTATCTCTGAATGAAAGACTTTGTCATCTGCACGGGTTGACATCTTCGCCATTTTTATACGTAGCAGTACAAGAAAGTAGAAGGAGAAGTCCGCAATCTTTTTTATTCGTGTATGCTTTCCATCTACACGGCACTCACTGAGTCACACTATGTCTAATTCCTTCTGCGCGAGATCTTGAGCTACGCCTCTTTCCAAAAGGGATGATCACCGAGGGTGAGGAGGAAATCTACAGCAGCCATATTTCCGAAAATTTATGGACATGGTACTATTGAACTTCAGACCCTAGTGGAGTTCCTTCCTCGTTCCTCTGCCGAGTTCGAAAAACGATATGAGTCAGGGCAAGGAAAATGAACCAATATCAACTGCGTCTCCTAGGTGGTTATGTTGAACCGCGACAGGGACAAACACATGACGTATTCATTGCTGAATTCTTAAGAAATTGAGCTCCAGAGAAGGATCTACGGTGGCACTGAAGGTAGAGCTATGCAAGTAATCTGTGTCCCCGTTGAATCGATGTCTTACCTAGGTTAGCAGGAAAGGGGGAACGTACGCCGTCCCCTCTTGTTTGATATTCATCTTAATCAGTGGGGGCTGTTCGGTCTTTCGGACGTAGAGCCGGTGAGTCGAAAAAAACATAGGCATGCTTATGCGAGAGAGAAAGCGTGTCGCGCGTTCGAATCATGGAAATTTTGACGTCGATCATTACTTCCATGATTGAATAGCAATAGTTGTTCGTGCCTAAAATCGCCTGTAGCTTATATGTCAATATTCTTTCATACTGCCTGCAAGAGGAAACTCGACACGTGTGGATGAAAATCAGGCCGAGGCTCTTCTTCGAGAAGGGCGCAAGGGAGTTCCTCGACCAGCATGGAATGGACAGCTTTCTCCCGGGCTTTCTAGACATGAACAAGGCTTACACATATAGGGATGTAGTCACGTACATGCAAAAAGCCGAGCGGAATGTCGTCAAGTCTCTACTTAAGTTGCCTAGTATTTTTTCATTGTTATGGATGATCTTTATTCCATCCTTACGGCCATCGAGGCTCCCCCAAAGGCTAAACGTTTCTAAGGGGAAGAGGGAAGCCTCGACGGTCTGCGTAGATGGAAAAAGACGCCATCCATCATCGTCCTACGGTCGGCGCCCTCCTAGAGCAAGCACGCGCTTCCCGCTCATTGTCCTACGGTCACGACGTGTATTAGAAAAGGTTAAGGTAGTCTAGCACTCTGCTAGTCCCTTCGCTCTGGTCTCAAAGCTGATTTGGTAGATCAGATCGGAGGCACTCACATGAGTCTACTCGGCTAGTACCGCTTCATAGCACTTCTTTTAGGTAATTTAAATATGTTTTAGGGCTGACCGGTCCCCCCCTGTGGTGTGGTCTGTGGTGGCGCGCGCGCGCTCTTTTCCGCGCTGATTTTCGCGGATTCTAGTGGTGGAAGGCGTCAAAGCTGGGCGCGGGCGTCCCCTTGCGCCTCCCTGCGTGTTCCTCAGGGGCGTCCTGGCCTCTGCTGACCCTCGCAGGCTGGAGGTCTCCGGGGTAAAAGGCCGCCGAAGGCGGCCGCGGTCTCTAGAGCAAGCAAGCCGATGACCAAGGGCCCGGCGGGTACAGGCCGCACGGTTCAGGGGGTCCAGCCCCTCGCCTTTTGCCGCCTTCGGAGGCCTTCCACAACCGGCGCACTGCTGCGGCGGCGAAGCATATAGGAGGCAGATAGGGCACAGGCAGGCACCTGAAAGGGGGCGCAGGTGGTTCCTTGGGCCCCTTTTGAAGCCTTCCACCTACACCGGAGGCCTCGAGGGAACAGCCAGGCAGGCGGAAGGGGGCGCAGGAGGTCCCTTGGCCCCCTTTTGAGGCCTGCCACCCACGGCAGACGCCTGCAAAAGGGGCCCGGGCGTACTGGTGTCCACCCCTACGCTAGGGGGGGCGCCGTCGCCCTGGGCCCTGGATCATATATAAGATGAACATAGAACTCTGATTTACCTTTTCATGTATAAGAAGAGACTAAGAATACGTCTTTGATCAATAGTGGTATAACTGCTCTGAGAGGAACCCTGCAATCCTTCGGATCATGGACAATGAAGAATACTAGTTCTAAGCAAGCTGTTATGATCATGGACAATGAAGAAGACTAGTTCTAAGCAAGCTGTTGTGCTGACGTTTCCTGCCGCACGTTTGTATCGAAAGTACTACCTACATTTTTAACGGCTTCATCAACCGACACTGATTCTGTTTATCCGTACTTTTTGCGCGTTTTGTTTTTTTGCAGAAAATAAATGGACCTTTGAGGCCTCGAAAAGGATGAAAAGCCTCTTGTTGCACTTACCTCACGAATAGGTAGACAGAACGATGAAAAGCCTCTTGTTGAACTCACCCCATGAATGGGTAAACTATTAATACTGCTACTTCTGTTAGACCTCGACTTTACGCCCATGATCATGAACAATTGCAACAGGGGCTGGAGCATGCATGCATGCGTGCTATTTCTAAAGACAACGGCGACGATCCGACGTTTCCTCGCAGCTTCGTATGGCAGTGGTGGGAGCGTACTATGAACAAGGACACTACGATCGGGCGGTGGACTGCTGCTGTCGAGAAGAAAAAACTTCAGACATTACGGCGAGAAATCTTCCTCCTCGGGCAAGGCAATCTGTCATGATCATGTCTGACTTTGTCATGCATCATGATCATGTCTGACTTTGTCATGCATCATGTTCATGATCATATCTGACTTTATCATGCATCATGATCATATCTGCTGACTCTGTCCTCCCTATCTATTGATGGAGTGAATGGATAGAAGATAAAGAGAAGATAATTAGTACACTGAATGTCTCCACCACCGATGTTTCTCTGTATCATGCACAAAGAAGCTCAATATTTAGAAAGAGACATGAAAAACCTCAAAGCAACTGACTTTCAGCGTTGAGTTATTTTGGAGCACAACAACAATTACTAAACAGTTTAGCACCCATAGCCCACAATTGGGCACACTAATACAACAACTACGAGGAGGAAGAGGAGGATACTTTTTTCATACTGGTTACACTATTCTGACCTCGAGATGATAGAGCGGGTAAGGAAGATACTCCCAAGGCTGATTTTGCAGTATATTAAGGCTGACTTTGATTTAAAACGCGCTAGACCCGCTCGTCATGAGCTTGTTATCTCATCACCATGACTGACATGGGATAACATTTTACACTTTCTGAACATTTCGCCGTCCCTGGTGGGAAGGGAGGCAAATGCCTCTGAGAGGACAAAAGCCCCGCCCCTGGTGGGCTGAGATGCCGGAACCTCTGAGAGGAAAGGCGGGCACTACCCGCGTGGCCCCAGGGGGGACGCAGAGACGCGCCGCAACGCTTCGCGGGAGGTGCGCTGCGCTTGGTTAGCAGAATGGGCGAAGCTGACGCGCGTGGGACCTCTGCCATCGAAGGAGACGATGGGGCGGCGCCTACTGACGGCGCCGAGCTCCAGGCGAGCACACAAAACGCCAAGGCAGCGCTACTTTTCGAAGGCCGGATCGCTCGGCTCGGAGGTTGAGTCGAGGTTGAGGATGCCCAAGGCGGACCTGGTCACTTGAAGCCGTGCCTCTCTGCTGAACACCTGCCGCCAGCTGCCCTGGTGGAGTTTTTTTGCGCAAGTCTGGAACACGCGCGAGCGTCACTGCAAGGACCCCGGCCCGGCCTCAAGTTGAGTTCTCCCGGAGACTGAACACAGGCAGCGCTACAACTACTAAGCCGCACAAGCCGCCGCGTGTTGACGGGTCGCCTTCAGCACATACATACCTACACTTTCTGAGCATTTGTGTAAGCGGGAGCTGTATGAAAGAACTGGGCTCTCATCGTACATTCGCGATTACTCTTTAGACTTACTTAATAATTGAATTTTTATAGAGAAAGAATGTCGGGTGTGTCATAGATAGTTGGACAACAAAAGAAATGGGTGAGACACGAGGTAGCATGAAAGGTCGAATTAACGCACAGTCTAGATACCCTGCTAATCCTACACTGGTTGCTATCCTGTATGAGGCGGTGGCGGCGACGGACAAGGACGCACCGCTTAACCACAACGGCGCCCTTGCCTTCATTACGGGGGCTGTGATTATTCGACTCTTCTAGCTAAAAAATCTACCATAGCTAAAAAACTTGGTTTGTATGAACGCCTTCAGCGGTCTCGGGGCTAGAAGCATCAAAAATGGAGCATAGGAAAAAAGTGTTGGATGAATACATGAATGACTGAATGACTGACTTGAGAGTTTCTGCGCGATGAAGTTTGGTTCGTAATTGTGGTTCTTTGGGCCACTGTCCTTGTTTAGCAGAAAGGCTCCAACCTTGTTTAGCTTTAGGGGGACGTGTCCTTTGTTCGGCAGCCTTGTTGCAGCGTTACCTCTCGGCCACCTTGTCTAAATGCTACCCTTGTTTCCCTTCCTATGTTATAGATTTCCTTTAGTACTCCTAACTTGCGTTTTCTATCTCATCTTGAATGATATTGCACAACCGCCGCATTCCACGCATTATACTAAGCTAATACTTAAGCTCCTTTTCTGCGCATGAGGTAAGGTTTTCCTGGCGATCTTCATTATACAGGGCTATAAGAACTAGAAAAAGAAAGGACGAATTCACGATGACAATATTATGTTACTTTTTCTCATTTCATTTCTTCATGCATGAACCAGAACTGTGAGGGTACCGGTAGCAGAAGGGGCAGGAATATACGGAACCCGACAAAAAAGGTAGAGAATCCGACAAAAAAAGGTAGGAAGAGGGGGGAGGCCAAAAGTTATCAGCCTACGAAAATAAGAGGTAAAAAAGCCGAAGAATTGCGAGAAAAAGTAGAACCTGAGGCCGCGCAAGAGCGGACGGGAAAGGCCAGAGGACAGCCGCAGAAGCAGGCACACCAACGAACAGCCAGCAGCCAACGAAAGAAAGAGAGAAGCGCAAACAACCAAGCCAAGCGACCCGAGGGCGCCCTCGGTGACTGAGCAATGACAACCCCACCCAACACATCTGAAAGCAATCCCAGTACCCCCAAGCGGGACCAGACGAGAACCTACGGGGGCGAACAACGTTGGCGACAGTGCGCATAGCTGCTGGGTGCCACACTCGCGACACACAAAGCCGCCGCGCGCCATCCTCAAGGAACAAGGTTCAACTACGCCGACACCCGAGGGCTTTCGAAGCCCGCTGCAAAAGGCTGACGCGCTTCAAGGTCAAAACGGAAGCGGCCCGCGAAGCGAGAGAGGCCCGCAGCACTGCGGGGGGGGGGCGGGGGGATCGCAAAAGAAGGAAGCGCGCCGCGCCCCTGGCGGGTGTGAGGTACTGCGGCAAGAGCGGGAGAACATAGAGAAACGAATAGCGCAGCAGGATGCGCCTGGCTTGAGGGACCGGCCGCAGCTTGGTGGCAATCTTACCAGGCAGGACACTGCGCGGCAAAGCGCGCGCGGCTTCCCACCGGGTCCGCGCGTGCATGACACAGGCCACCGGGGCGCTGCGCTGGCAGTGGAGTGGAGGGAGCAGTCTACAAGAAGGGCCAAGAAAGGTCAGGCCCCCTATTTTCTGGGCTTCTTCTGATACCGCGGCCCCCGTTTTCCTTGGGACCATGTTGGCGCCAGTATCTCCAGGGACTGAGCCAGAACAACAAGGGACCCCGCTGGAAAATAAGGGCTGGGAGTTTTTGCGGTCCCCGTCCGCTTATAGGAGGAAGAACATCGGGAGCCTTTTTATAATATATACAGGGGGCCTAGTTTTTCCGGTCCATGCATGTAGCTAAAGCTTATAGTTCTAGCGATCACTTACAAGACCTGGGGATGAACAGCAACCTTACTCGTGAAAATATAACGTCAAGAGCAAAAAATAATCACCACAAAGCGACTCAACTTCAAGATCAAGAACAGAAACGATCTTCTGACCAAAATATGCGCTAAGATCCAGAATGAGGTGAAGAGAGCTCGTCAGCCGGACAGCGATGGTAGTAGCAGTTCGGACGGCAGTAGCAGTTCGGTTTCGGACGGCAGTAGCAGTTCGGATGGCAGTAGCAGTTCGGATGGCAGTAGTAGTTCGGAGGAGAGTTCTTCATGAAGACCCTCTCCTATAATTCAATATGGCTGGTGCCTAGGGAGTAGTATGGCTGAAGAACTACTGCTCAACATGGAGCCTCTTCTACCGTTCAATAGGGAGTCGAGTAAGGACTTCAAGTGCAACAAGTGCAACACGAAGCAGTCGCATGGCATGTCCGTTTTCGGCAAAGGTGGGCCCCAACCTAACCAGCTAGCCGTAGCCTAGCTTTTTCCACATCTGCGTAATCGTATTTCGTTCAGTCTGGTCTGTTGTGGCAAGGGTCAACAATTCTCTGCTCAGAGGAAACACTCACACACTTTCGCTGGCGCTCCTGCGCTACGTTGTTTTTCTTGCATTTCTTAATATTCATCAATTCCGTCAAATTTACCAGGATATGGCGCAAAATAATCGATCTCAATGGGAACGAAAGTTCAATTTTTGGCGAAGTAGTCTAGGATTGTAGACACTGCAAAACGAAGCCCTTCCTTCGAGGCTATGGTCCTCACTATGATGTCGATCAACTTCATGGGTATGCCAATGAATTTGATATATTAGTTATGTAGAAGATCTAGAGGGATCAACGAGCTCAGTCAAAGCTTAGCGAGTGGATGCCGGCAGAGGTTCTGCTGATGAAGATCAACGCGAGACCGATCTAGTGTCAACCTCAAGCTCCCCGAATTCTACTCCATCAACTTGACGCGCCGGCTCACGCTCAAGATCACCATTTCGCACTTGTTCTTGCCCCAGTCTCACGATCCCGGCATCGCAGTCATCGGAGCCATTTTGGCTCACAGTCATCCTACCGATTACAGGAGTCTTCAGGCCATTGTGAGTTTATTTTCCCTCCCTCCCGCTCTTCTACTACCTTGCTGAGCTCGGTGCTAGCGACGCTTCCCTGCGTTGTGTCGCCTGCGCTGACACCCTCCATCCCTCCAGCACTCTCATAGCGGGCTGGCGTCAGATCTTCATAGTACTTACAGATGCAGCAGGAAAAGGGGCTCGACGCTCTTACGTACCCGCTCCTCCTGTCGTTGCGCAGTATATAGGATATCCAGGATTCCTGAGGACTAATGTGTGTGTTCCTCTAGAGGGGTGATACCGTCAGTTACATGTGTGCCTGAATGATTATGATGATGAGGGATGACTTACGGCTGGTGCTAGGAGCAGCAACAGAACAGAGTATTATTATTGTTCAACTTTCGTTGATTAAGGACAGTTTTTTTTATGACCATATCCATAGGAAATCGCTACCTTTTTGGCACAAGAAATTGCGTATGACAGTTTTCCCAATCTCATGTCGAGCGAGCTTAACAAAAACAAGATAGGACCCAGGTGTAGAGTAGCAAAATCATAAAGGGCTAGGGCAATAGTAGCTTGCAAAAAAGTTAACTTCATAGTTATTTGGAAAGATCTTGCGTGCGAAATTTGTACGGTTTATCTGCTTTGTACTTTTAAATATCAGTTTGATGTTGGTACATGAGAAGATATAAGAACCTAACTACGTTTTCCAGGACGAGACAGAAACATTAAGGACAACATGCCGATCTTTGTAAAAGAGGTTTGCGCATTGCCAACAACAGCATGGTCGCTGTGGCCGTCTGTGTCTTTCCTTGTCAGCATATTTGCCACCATTTGCCTTGGAAATACAGGTTTGACCGAGGCTGCCATCACGCCGGCAACGAGGAGCACCACTGCTGCTGTCACAATTAAGACTCCTGTCTATTTTTTCAATTTGTAGTAATTTCTAATGCTCTTTACTTGGTGTTTACTTATTATAGTACAAGAACCTATAAGAAGCCCCTACACCTCGACCAGGACAGGTTGATATGAAGATGAAGCACTCGTTTTGAAAGAACACGTTGAGGTGAAGGCTTTCATGGTTATCTGCGGCTGCGGGAACCTTGTTAGCTGTGGTGGCGTCTCCTCACTCCTGATTTAAATTCATCTCGTCTCCTTCGTGCAGACGATTGTTCATTCTACTTACTTCGAAGACACCAAAGATACGCGCCAGATAATGAATTACCAGTCTGGCTAACCCTAATTTGAGTGGTTCGCTTGCTGAGCCTTCTTCTTCTGCCGGTCACCGTGGTTCTCCTGCCAGTCCTCATGCAGCTTTCGGCGTCACCGAGGCCGTTCTTGTGCAAGATGGAAGGGACTCACACGACGAACAACCCCGACCCCAGCGCACTGCTGAAGTAGATGAAAGGTTATGGACCGACCCAGAAAGAATTCAATTATAAATCTGTCGGCTGCTGCGGCCTCCTCAGCACCATCCTTCTTGGCCTCTTTTTCAAAAGAAAAAAGAAGTGTCCGAGGATATGGCTCTCAAGAAGGACGTGACACGGTCGCTCTAATTCAAGCGCGCCCGCCACAGCAAGGACTTTACGAGCGTCTCCGAGAAGAAGAAGTGCGGCAGAGGGGCAGCGTGCCTCGAGTGCTCCGCGCGCATTCCTCCCGGGTCCATCTAATACTAAGGCTTACCCTAATCCATCCGGTATCTATCATCATGCATCGACATCCATGTCCATGGAGTATGAAATGCCTGTTCCTGTAATAACCGGGACTCCACATTGCCTTCTTTTGCAATAGAACATCACTCAGAGATAACCTGAAGATGACCATCTGAGAGACGAAAAGAAGTCGAAGAAGAGATTGATTCTTAGCGAGTTGATCTGTATCTATGATGCATTTCCATTTTTTACGCATCTTCTAATTGTACCCCTTCCACATAGCCCTCTTGCTTCCTCGGACTCGTCATCTACCCCGGATCCTGGGGCCTCGTCCACTACCAAGTTTTTATCGGTACTACAGTGCATCATGTAGTGCATCAGGTTCAAAAGATTAAAATTCTCTCTATATTACATGGTTTCTAGTAACTCATCTAGAAGCGACGTCCAAATAGAAATCAGGAAATTCAAACTCTCTTTATGGGTGGTAGTGTATCTTTCTGACTGGATCGTTTCCTTTCGTTTCTACCTCGGAAGTCTCACTGGGCCTTCAGCTAAGAGATCAGGACTCAACCACGACTGATGTTGTTGGGTTACGGATGATGGGACAACAAATGATACTACCTTTAAATATTAAGGGCGGGCGTGGTACCGCGGTCGCTGTCGACGCTTCATCGTTTTCAGAGGAAGTCTCATCGGAATTAAGGGGAAAGCTAGTGATGCGACGCCAACGATCGGCGGGGTACGACAGCGACACGGCGGTGACTCTTATGATGACCACAAACTGCATATGGACCTCCTATCCGTCGACTGATACTGCTAGCCAGAAAGCCATTGAATGTCGATCACGAAAGTAAGTAGTCTCAACGTGGCTCATGTGGTGATTAATGAAAAGTCTTATATATAAGACTTCATATTAGGTACTATCATGTAGGACGAAAGTCTGAGGACTATTTTCCATTAGCACTCAGGAAGAGCACCAGTATACCTCGTGAGTCAATGAGTAGTACGCCACAACCACTACCACCAGCAGCAGCACCACCACCGCCAATGCTACTACTAGATTAGGAGGAAGTTATACATGATAGATATGTGACGCGGATTCATCGTGTGCATCCACGAGGTTGGGCAGAATGCTGAAAAGAAGCGATGGGAGTTAGGGAAAGAAGCATCTGCAGAACTGCGACAAAAGCTGGCAATGCGCAGAACGGTGATCAAAGAGCAAACGCCTGCAGAGATAGGTCGTGGCCAACTTCCTCATTTATGTTAAGAGAATGACCGCAAGAACGGGTACACACACGTGACACACTGTTTTTCTCTACTCTGAAGGGAGCGACTCGAAGTAGGTAGTGACTCGTGAGTGCTTCCTCACTGGAAGTAGTACGGCCTTACTTTTACTCTGGAATGTTCGCTCTGCATGTACTTTGCTAATTATGAATTCTACGCAATGTTGGGAAGGATACACCTTTGGACCCGACGCGCGTCAGGCTTCTAGTACTACTGCCTCTGTGCGTGGGCATAGCCAGCCGCACCCTCGCACGGGGAAGGAAAAATACTCCAAAACTAAGGGATCACACGAGCACGATGGCTCATTAAGGCTGTCGCACTGATGATTGTGTGTAGTTTTTTTATGTAAAACTACAGCCATTTTCATGATCGACATTCATACTATTCGTTTTGATTCTAATGGCGTTTCTGCCTATTATATTATGATCAGAGGTACAACTACCGATTCCAATGGCAAAGAATATTATTTAGCGTGCGAAACTTTGTCTAAGGATTTCTAGGGCGTGACTTGTTTTTGGTAAAGATGAATACCAACTTAGATCATGATCACAATCACGGTCGTGCGATGGACGCGGTAAGCGGGACGTACTACTAATTTCTTTCATCGATCTGTATTTGTAGTTGCCGTCTCGTCAATTGGTTTGGGTCTCTTGTAACTTACATGTCTCCAGCTGTCTTTTCTAAGAAATATCCAGAGTCTGGAGGCTGAGATTCGTGCCTTGTCATTGGCAGACGACGTCGTCGTTCAGCAAGTGCGGGAGAAAACGAAGCCACCGACTGAACTTTAAGGGTAGTTTATCACTATCCCATGTGGACTATGCTGAGGGGAGTCCTCCTCGATTTAAATGGGGAACTGAGGGGCAAAGAGGGGAAACCACTCGACTCGGGATAGTGAAAGTCTACCGTTAAGAACTAGAAGAGCGTCTTCAAAAGCAGAGGCTGCGCGCGGTTCTGCTCGGCCAAAGGAAAGTGGATTACAAGACTTCTGGAGGACCACAGGAAGGGGGATATTCAGAAGATGAAGGAGACCATGAGGTTGATGTTCATGAAGGAACTAGAGCAGATGTCCGTGTCAGCAATGATAAAATAACAATAGCCGCTAGCTGCACAGAAAATGTTGACGGAGTTCCTGCTGTTGCTGCTGCTGTGCTGACGGATAGAAATGCTTCTGGAGCGGAAAGTCCTCGTGCTAGCAGTCCGGCTCCTGGTGTCACTCCAGCAAATTATGATCTTCGTGACACGCCTTCGTTTGCTACAATCAAAGGTCTCACTGCGCCGGATAGTAGTACGCTTCCTGCGACAACTGGTGGAGTCGACAAGGATCATCGTAGGACCACGTCTTTTTCTGGCTCAAGGGAAAAAACAAGTGATGGAGATTCCTCGGACCGGCTAAAACCTTGGTTGGCACCGGATACGATAAGTTTATGAAATTTTCATAGTAGGCTGATGCTGTTCTTTATCTTAAAAATTTGGCAGCCGAGCATACATATTGTGCACGTGATCGATGAACAAGACTCTTATACAGTTTTTGCTGTGGATCATCCTCAGAGTAAAACCCACATCATGATCATCATTCATACATTGCTCCTCCTCTAAGAACTGGCGTGAATAATGGTGTGGATGAAGTGGACGCGAGTTTCATCGATTTTGTGCAGACCAGACTTCTTGCCAAAGTTAAACAGCTGGATCGAGATCGGAAAAGCGGCATTATCAATCGTACGGCTAAAACAGAATTGAGAACTTCTACCAGATAAGTAAAGAAAGATAAGCCATATCAACTTCGAGAAGTAGATGAGCAAAGAATGAGGAATAAGGCATAAAGACTGATATCTACTTACTGAATATATTTTTTTAGAAGTGTTACTAACTTTCAATTGTAACACGTAGGCTAAAGACTGACATCCACTTACTGAGAAACGTCACTTTCAATCGTACCTCTGGTGAACGGCGACGTTTGTATCCGCAACTCGTCACAGCAAGACGCTAGGTTGTTCTCCCTCACGATTAATAATTTTTCACCTCTTTCCCGCGCCCCTCACCTTGTGAACAGGAACATCAATTTTCAATGGGTCAATTCCTCATTCAGTCAATCAATCCATTAGCCTCACGGGACTTTCTAAACTTCGCTCAACGTCTGGTGAGATGAAAGATGCTCTGCTACCGCTGCTGGAAGAGATGCTGGCAAATGAGGAACTCCGCGGAAAAGAAGACCTACGGGCTCATGAACATTACGGTGCAGGACTGATTTTCTTGAGATGGTTGTATTACTGGAACACTTCTCAGTGGAGTAGGCAAAAAAGAATCAACTGCGTACTCATGGTACATTTTACCTTAGGGTCAGCTTTGATCTTATACAAAAGACTGGTTTGTCTTTGATGTCCTAAATACCTTCTTATTATTCACCACTTTCTGAGCGTCATTTTTGCAACAACATCTTCTAACGCTTGTTGTTTGATTTGCTGGAAGAAGCGGAACTGCAGCAGGTGATGGCTGCACGGGCTCGCTTTGGAGAACTGCGACGCGGATACTTGCAGCAGCGGATTCTGAAGGAAAAACAGAAGCGTTTATAGTTCTAGGAGCAGGACGAATATAGTCCTAGGCTTTGTAGCTTCTATGAGTAGCTAGTGGGTTTTGCTTCTTTGAAGGACAAACTGAAATATGTAGAACCAACTACCATATTAAGGGTGTGGGAAATATTAAGATGGGAGGCTGTACTAGTGTAACTTGTGATTCAAGAGATGAAGGTCAAAAGTAAAAAATACTTTCCGCTTGCGTAGTACGTCGCTCTGTGGGCCACGGAAAAGCATGTCATACAAAATAATACATAGAATGTAGCAGCAGGTCTATTGTGGAAAAGATAAAGATGTAGTTGCGAATCAGAAAAATTTGATGAAGCGGCACAAACAGTAGCTAAACTATTGATTCATCAACATTCTCAAAAAGAACTGAGTAAACTAAAACCCCATGCGAAACCAAGACTTCCACTTTTTTTTGAATTGTTTAAATACAACATAGATTATATCTTTCTTTCCGTGAGATTGTGTCCATACGAAACTACGTTGTTGCCCTTTTCTGTGATAGAAGGTATGCTGACACTCTACTTTTCAGTATATCTTCACAAGAGAGGGATCTCTTGTTTCTGTATTGGAGACATAGGTAGAGACTTCGATAGCCTAGCTGCAAAAAGTGCGTACAGCATTCGCCATTATTGCACTAGGGCGCTGAAAGAAGTATTCTCTTTTATGCAGGTGCCTCTTTCTCATATTGAAATCTTTCTCCGATTAGCAATGTTTACCGTGAAAGACATTTAGCGGGATTCTTACTATAGATGGAGAACAATACTACCTCTTTCTCAAGAACAAGTAAACTGAGGCTGCCATGCTGATGCGTGGAAAATATTTTGTGCTATTCTGCTGTACATTTACGAGTAGCTCTAAATGATATCTATGAATTGAGCTCCAAGTGACTTCGGCAGCAGTGACGAATTTCATAACACCGCACATGCTTCATCTTCAACATTGCCCACTAGCTGGAGTCAGCGCAGATCTTCTGCGAGCATCTGACCAATTGACAAAGTATAAGCGGCCGGCTAACGAGCGGCGGCGCTGGATAACGGAGGAACTAAAACAGACCCGGGGCCAGCTCTGAACTGTTCGCGCACGCCTGTGCTCCTGCTTACTTAGCCCACTAAAGGCCGCTTGGAGTAATAGGCCAGAGGCTAGGCGCCTAGCGTAGCCACTACGAGGAACCTCAAGCGCCAACTGGCTGCGGCTGTCTATGGACTCTGCTCGCTTTGCCTACGCTGTGCCGGGCTAATGGATGAGGGCCCCTCACAACTCAGCTGAGGAAGAGAACCGCGCGCCGAGCTGATCGCATGACAATGCCACGCGGGCACATGGCCAGACTGTCCCCCCTCTTTCGCAGTCTAGCATTCTGAGGCCCACGCCAGGGACCTCGGTGCATGCTGAACAGGCACCCGTCGCACTTCTCCACCGCTGGAGAAGCCCGACATCCGCCACCCGCACCCATCGCGCCTCGCGACATTGGAAGACGCGAGGGCGCTGGCCGTACCGTGCTGCAGTTGGCGTGGGGGGGGCCGCGTTGGGCTAGGCGTGCAGGCGAGGCGCGTGCGGTTTCCTAAGATTTTCGGGGCCATCAGGGTGGACTTGGTTGCAGCTACGCTGTCTGGCCAGGTTGTGGCGCCAGTGCTCTACTTTCTTTGGCTCTTTTCTGTTTCTTCAAACTTTCTTGTTTTCTTTTACTTCTTGTAGACTTTCTTCTTCGTCTTCAGACCCCGCCTCATTCTGCTCTCGCTCTCTTCTACCCTTGGCTGCTTTCCTCTTCTTCGTCGAGGAGGCCGAGCGGCCAGAGCAGGAAGCCTGACGGCTCGCCCACGTTCGTGCCCCAAGCGCCTCCCGTCGCTTGTCTGGTGCTGACTGCTTTGGCAGCGCTGGGTTTCCACTCTGGGCGCTTGTTCTTTTCCGCCTCTTCTTTGCTTGGCTCGCTCCGGCTCTTTCATTTTCTTAGGCCACGCTGGTGGCGTGCTGGTAAGCCCAACGCGGCCAAAAGGCGGTCGGTGTGCTTCTAGGGGTCTCTCGCCACCAGCTCAACAGGGTCAGCCATGGCGTGTGCCACGCAGTCTGGGACCAGTGGGCACCCCGCGACGAGGTGGGCTCCGATAAGCGTCAGCGAACGCCGCCTGCGGCCTTACTTGAGGCCTTTCGCCTCCTCTCCTGGGATACTACTGAAGAGTTGGCCTCTTCTTGGCTCGAGCGTCATGCCTGAATGTCCCCTACAGGTACAGGCTCAGCAGGTTCCGGCTTGCTGCTGTAGTCTATCTATATCCATCCTAGGCATATCAAGGCAATGCGCTTGCCGTGCTAGTGTGGGATGTGGGCTCCATCGGTTGGGCGCGGGTGGCAGCACTTGCACTGGTTACGGCCCCTCTTTGGGTCCTCTTTCTGCCGGTCCGGATGGCGCGTGGCTCGTGCTGGTCTTAAGCAGGGACCAAGCCTACGGGAAAGTCTTTCGAAAGACTCTGCAGGGGACTTCTAAAAGCCCCTGGAGAGTCTTCTGAAAGTCTCCAGAGGAGGGCTTTTGAGTGTCTTTTGAAAGTCTGTTTTCTGTTCCGCTCTGCGCTGACCGCTCTGCACCGACCGCTCTGTCCGAGGTTCTGCGATATGGTGAGACTTTCAAGACCAAGAGCCCTCCTGGCGAGACACAGGGCTCTGAGACTTTCAAGAGACTCTCAAGCGACTTTCTCTGGAGGCTCTTCTGAAGTTCAGAAGAGCATCTTCTGGAGATCTTTCGAGAACTCGGCGTCGAGTCATCAGAAGATCTTCCAGAGACTTTCCAAGGCCCTCCCAGAGCAAGACTCGGCGGTGCGAGCGCTCGCCACGAGAGCCCAGTCATGCGGACAGCAGAGTGAGCTCTACTGGCGAGCAAGCGGCGGCTCGTGCGAGGCGGCCAGTCTTTGCAGGGGACGACTTCGAGAGCTGCCACCACGTGACGCGGCAGAGGCTCAAGGCCCCCACTGATGCGGCCTGCGTCACGCTTGTGCGCATTGTAATTAATAAAGCACCAGCCCTCCTAATGTTCTCTGGGTCACGCTAGGGCGTAACGCGTGACGGACCGCGGGCGGCGTTCGCTTCGTTTTACGGTGGTCTAGCAGCTGGCAGCACAAGTCCTCACCGAAGTAGGCCCCCATAAACTCAAGACGCCGCCGCCAGTGGCTCTGCGTATCGGCACACTTGCTGAGCACCTTGTGCACCTCGAGGGCAGACCTCTAGCCTTGGCTACCGGGCAAAGCGCCTCTTCGGGGAGGGAATGCTCGCTAGACCAGTTGGAGAAGGCGGCGCGCTCTTGTGCCGGGGTCAGGCTTGCGAGAGGAGGTTCCCCTAGTCTGCCTGCCTTGTAGGTCTTACGGAGCGAGGGTGGTGTGGGTGTCGTCAGCTGCTGACTGGCACTGGCTGTCTTGCCCCGGGGCTTCTTTCCGTCTGTCACGGTCAGCGCGGCTGAGGAATGCGATGCGGCGCTTCGTGACGCGCGGCATTTCGGTGGGCGACATCCTCTCTGGGGTGACGGCACCCAAGATGTCTGCTAAGGCGTTGACCTTAATGCCTCGGTGGCTCGGCACCCAGTGGCGTAGCACTATCCCCAAGGCATGCCTAGCAGCTAGGATGTTACTCACAGCGTGCTCGGCCCTCCCGGTCGTCTTGCTTGTGTTGGTGATGTTCGTGAGTGCTATCAGCACGCGGCCGCAGTCTGATACCACAGGGAGCGCCCTCGTGCCCAGAGGCAGCGCTTCATCTGCATGGGGGAATTGCTCGAGGAGGGCGATCGCCTCTGCGGCCAACGGAGGCACAGTCGATGGCACGTAGAAGACGCCCTCCCACAGGCTCACCATCGGACCACTCGAAAATGGACCATCGCCCTGTTTGCGATTGCGACCTCTGCGCCGTTGGCAGAGAGTGTCTGCTGGCCTGCCCCGTCGGAGGGGGCTCGGGCTGCACCTTCGAGCGGCTCGCCGTTGACGTCCTTGGCGGTGTGTGCGGCCAGGCTCACCTCGCCTGGGCACCGGGCGGTGGCGTGCATCTCTTTGGATGTGCAGCAGCAGACGCCCACTCTTCTGGCGTCTGCCCACTCTGGGCCACTGACTTCCCCTCCTCCACTTCGTAGGCCCAGTAGGCTCCCGCAGTTGCTGCCTGCGCGACGGCGCTCATGTCTTCGAGGTGCTTCTCAGGGTCTTGCTGGCCAAATATCGCGAGCGCTCGCCCAGCTTCTGGAAAGCCGCAGCAGAGCTTGGCCGCGTCTGCAACCGCCTCGCTGCGGTCCGCTTTCTCGCTCTCTGTGGCCGCCAAACCTAGTGCTGCAGCGCAGTAGGGGAGGAGGGGCCTGCGCTGCTCGTGGAAGAATTTGACGTCCTCGGAAGGAGTGCGATCTGGTATGTTGGCCCTCACCCGGGCTCTCGTCATGATGCGCTCGGTCCTCTTGCTCACCTCAATCGTGACGCGGCCCGCGCTCTGGATTGTGATTGAAGCCTAGGCCCTCCGCGCTTGTTGAAAGAAGTAGCTCCATGGGTGCGGGCTGTTGTTCGTCTCGTTTTCGACAGAGTCGCTGGCGCCTCTGGCACTCTCTTGCCGCCTGCCTGTATCAGCAAGCCATTGCTCTTTGGCGAACTTGAGGCCGGACCCCACCTAGCCTCCCAGGCAGGTTGCTATCTCCTTATGAAGACGCCGCGGACTTTGTCACTCGATTGCCCCCTAAATTCGAAAGCTGTGGAAGTTGTGGCCCTCACTGTGACCAGTCGCGAAAATGCTTTGACTAGTCGCAAAATTACTGTGACTGGCCGCAGAATTGCTGTGACTGGTCGCAGAATGATTGCGATGAGCCTCAGACCAGTCGCACTGTGGCGCGCTTCAGTCTTACTGTGACCAGTTTCACACTTGCTGCGATGGGTTTCGCGCTTGCTGTGACTAGTCTGAGACTTATTGTGACTAGCCTCAGGCCCACGCTCACTAGTTTCAAACCCACTGACTGCGACTAGTCTCAAACTCACGGTGACTGGACTCAGACTTATCGTGACTGGCGCTGGCCTCGCGCTCATTGTGACCGGCCTCGGGCTTGCTATGGCTAGCTTCTGACTGAGTTCGTCGGGCTGTTCGAATCTTAACACCGTCAGAAGCTGGCGCCTCTGTGTTCTGATGGTGTTAAGATTCGAACAGCCAGACAAACGCGCAGAAAGTTGGAGACTAGTCACAGGGGGCGCGAGACTAGTCGCAGGGAGTTCTGTTCGAGACTGGTCACAGCAAACCTGAGGCTTGTCACAGTGAGCGCGAGGCTGGTCACAGTAAGTCTGAGGCCGGTCACAGTGGGCCCCAGGCTCGTCGCAGTAAGTTTGAGACTAGTCGCAACAAGCTAGAGGCTAGCACTAGCCGGACTAGTCGCAACAAGCTAGAGGCTAGCACTAGCCGCAGTAAGTTGCGTTTGAGAAAAGTCGCAGCAATTCTGCGACCGGTCGCAGCAGTTCTGCGACTAGTCACATTACTTAGTAGCAATTTTGCGACTGGTCACTTCAATTCTGCGACTCGTCACGGTAAGACTGAGACTATTCGCAGTAAGTCTGAGACCAGTCACAGCAGCGGGCACAGCTCCGACAACTCGGACGCAACGCGGCACAGCTTCCACGGCTTCGAAATAATAAGGCCCAAGGTGTTGGCAACTTTTTCGGAGGTTTTAGCTTCGTTCTAACCTCCTCCCCCTCGTCAGTCTGCGCCTTCTTCTTCATCGCCTCGCCAGACGCTTCCAGGTTCCATCTCTGTGAAGAGGAGGGCGCCATCTGCGAAGACCTCGAGCGCTGACCCGAGGCGGCCTTCTGGGAACGAGGTGAGAGCGCCCCGGAGGTAGACGACCCACCCAGAGCAGCGGCGGCAGCCTCGGGCTTTGGCCTTGAGGCCCCAGCCCCTAACTATCGCGGCGCCCACTACTATGTGACTAGCCAAAGCACTTCTGCTGTGGTCATGCTTGCTGTTGTCATGCTCCGCAGTGAGTCGAAGACGTGTCGCTTTTTCTACGCAGGCATGGGCCAGAACTGGGGGGGTGCCGGTACCAGAAGGGATGGGAATATATGGAACCCGGCAAAAAGGTTGGGGACTCCAACAAAAGAGGTAGAAACAGGGGGGGCCCAAAGGTATAAGCCTACAAAAATAAGAGCCAAAAATAAAGGCCGAAGAATTGCGAGAAAAGGTAGAAACTAAAGCCGCGCAGGAGAGGACAGGAAAGCCCAGAAGCCAGCCGCAGATAGAAGTGAACGCACTCACCAACGCATGAACAGCCAGCAACCAACAAGAGAAAGAGAGAAGTGCAAAGAACCACGCCAAGCGACCCGAGGGCGCCATCGGTGGCTGAGCAATGACAATCCCACACGATACACCCAAAACCAATCCCAGCACCCCCAAGCGGGACCAGACGAGAGCTGACGGGGGTGAAAGATGCTGGCGACAGCGCGCGCGCAAAGCTTCGGGGGGCCACACACGCGACACACAAAGTCGCCGCACACCAAAAAAAATAGACGAAAACGGCCCGCGGGGTGAAAAATAGACGCAACACTGGGGGGGGGCGGGGGGATCGCGAAAGGAGGAAGCGCGCTGCGAGCCTCCTGTTGCCTGGCAGCTGCCCGCGCAGTTGCCTCTGGCGGGTGCGAGATACTCCGGCGAGAGCGGGAGACGAACACAGAGCGAGAAACGAAAGGTGCAGCAGGATGCGCCAAGCTTGAGGGACCGGCCGCAGCTTGGTGGCAATCCTGCCAGGACACTGCACGGCCAAGCGCGCGCGGCTCCCAACCGGGTCCGGGCGCGCATGGCACAGGCTACCGGGGCGCTGCGTTGGCAGGGGAGTGGGGGAAGCACCCTACAAGAACGACCAAGGCCAAGCTCCCGACTTTTCGGGCCGCTTCTGATAGATACTGCAGCCCCGGTCTTTGTTTCTGGGGGCTCGCTGTGTTGGCCTCAGTATTTCCAGGGGCCCAGCCAGAATATTAAGGGACTTCGCCGGAAAATAAGGGCCCGGGATTTTTGCGGCCCCGGTCCGCTTAGAGGGGGAAAAGCGCCGTGGCCTTTATGATACAGCGGGCCGGGCCCGGTTTTTCTGGTCCATGGGGGGGGATCGCAAAAGGAGGAAGCGCGCCGCGAAGCTCTTGCTGCTTGGCAGTCGCCTGCGCGCCTACCTCTGCCGGGTGTGAGGTACTGCAGCAAGAGTGGGGGAACATAGAGAAACGGAAGACGCAGCAGGATGCGCCAAGCTTGAGGGACCGGCCGCAGCTTGGTGGCAATCTTGCCAGGACACTGCACGGCTAAGCCAGCTCGCGCGGCCCTCCACCGGGTCCGGGCGCGCATAACACGGGCCACCGGGGCGCTGCGCTGGCAGTGGAGTGGAGGGAGCAGCCGACGAGGAGGGCCAAGGTCAAGCCCCCCACTTTCTGGGCCCCCCCCTTCTGATACTGCAGCCCCTGTTTTTCTTAGGACCATATTGGCTTCTGTATTTCCAGGGACCCAGCCATCAGAATAATAAGGGACCGCGCCGGAAAATAAGGGCTTGGGATTTTTGCGGCTTCCTTTGTTCCGCTTAAAGGGGGAAAACGGCCGGGCCTTGTAATACAGCTGGCCCAGTTTTTCCGGTCCAGGCATGCAGTAAAAGACATGTTTGTCATGGGCCAATACGCTAGTCAGCATTCGGCCATGGAAGAGTGATGCGTTGGCCGTGAAGTGTCGGCCCGTCATTCGTAGAAGAGTGAGTGGGGAGCGCCGCTCGTCTGCTGAAACCCAAATTTTCATCTACAGCAAGTAAGGGGGAGAAAAATGCTGGCGCCAATGCCTCGCTTCTCGTTTGTTGGGCGAGCGTCTCCAGCTCGCTTGCCGGGCTTGGTGCTGTCGTTGCTTATCGTCTCGCAGCGGCTCCTTTCAGCAGCATTGGAGCAGGACGCGACTAGCTTCGTCGATGTGAAGAAACGCATCAATGTTGACGTGCAGCAACAACGTCAAGAGGAGACAAGAATACTTCTTGAGGAGAAAGAACAAGAAAAGCAGAAGGAAAAACAAGAGCTGAAACCGACCCGATATGAAGCACTGGAGAACCTCATGCGCTTTCTTCAACCCGACGACAGTGCCTCAACCTCATGCTTTGGCCCTCGGAGTCGGAAGGATCCACGGAAACCACCGCAACTGGGCTGGACATCAGGAATGATATCGAATGACGAACGCCTGGGTCAATACGTCGAGAAGGTGATAAGGTTGCTGCCTCCTGACGACTTATCGAATTTTCACCCGAAAATTGATCGGCTGAAGGACGTAGTCGACAAACTGCTAAAGCCCACTGTCGAAAGGTGCGAGGAGTTTTTTGACGATCTGTTACGGCTCTGCTGTTTGCTAAGCTTTCCTCATCTCGTTCTCGGTCTCTCTTTAATCTCTCCCGTGGTATTCGCTTTTGCCTAGCGCTTCCACAACGAGAGCGTGTGACAAGGATGCTCTAAGATAGGAGATCAAGATCTAATAAAAATTGGAATTATAGACAACAGGTAGGATCACGATCGAGATGAATGATCAGTCTTCTAATGTAAACACGTTACAGCAATGAAGACGACCGCTGCAAACTCCAAGCGGAAAAGATGAGGAAAGGCATAGGACATGTAGCCCCCAGCCAAGACGTGAGGGCGACATCAACTCGTATAACGAGCAGCGAAGATCTCGGCAAGAATATGCTAGGCACGCCTGGCACGTATGGCGCTGTATTTACCTTCCATGGCGACGTAGAAGTAGATGCATCAGAAGCAGCTGCCAGTTCTACAAGACCAGCGCCTGAGTATGCCGTGAAGCACATGAGTTTCACAGAAGAAACTCTTGGCGAGGTCTTGAAACAGCACACAAACGAATTTTGCATGAATCTAGTAGTCACTGCTCTCCAGGCGAAACTCGCGAATAAACAGAGCGGGGAGGGGAATGCAGATAGCGGACCATACCAATACATCCCCTCAGTGCATGAGATTCATATTTTTGGACTTGACGAAGACGGCGAGTTTGCTGTTTTTCTTATTATGGATCGGATGGCTGATGGGACTCTGGAGGAGTACTTCAACCGAGTCCAAAAGCCGCGCGGACCCTGCTGTGCATTTGAAGACAAGGACAGTCTCAAGTTCCTTCAGGCCTTGCTGAGATCCTATGACCAGCTTCTACAGGGTTACTTCTTCATCCACGAGATTGCGCGCATATCCCACAATGATATCAAACCGGGGAACCTCGCGGCGCCTCTAAAAGAACTCAGCTTACGAAGCAACAGCAAGTCGCTTGATTTATCGAAGTGAAAGTACATAGTATTAGAGAGTTTTCCTGTCTTGTTTCTAATGATTAGATTATGGTATAAGGCCCAAGATTTTTGCTAAGCCTCCAGGGTGGTTAACTCCGCGGTGAGAGTACACTATCGTACTTGATTAGCGTGTTTAAGTTCTTCGAGTGCGGTAGTCGTTAGAATGATGGATAGCATCCCTTACTTAGATCATCGGGCTTTATGCGTTCTTTTTCGTTTTTCTTTGCGGGCCGAGGACTTCGAGTGTTCCTATTGCTCGGCATCGAGACTACTTATATACCCTTCTGAAGCCGTTCGCATGCGAATAGCTCTGAGTGATATGTATCCCTCGACGGCGTTGCTCGCTCAGATAGTTTTAGTTTTTCTTGGTCGGCTCGGCTTCAGTATATATCAATGATGGCAGACAACACGTTTCGTTTTAGATAGGAGATCAAAAGAAAGCGGAAGATAGTTTATGGGCAGTTTTCTTCATTGTGTTTGTAGCTCATAGTCGGACGCTGGCGACTTTGTAGTTAGTTCCCGCACTCTTGTCTTCATACTTTTCTGGCGGCGCAACGGCTCGGTCGCTGTTCTTCGACTTCGGTCTATCGTACTGGAGCTGGGACGACCAGACGCCGGCGATGGGGTCTCTTGGGTACTTCGACCCGAGTGGCCTTTTTCTTTCTTGGATTTTAAGGCCCTCGATATTGGTGTACGATCGTCTTCCCAGTTTTATCAGGGCAACGGCTTCGGCTTCCCTCTCGATTTGAAATTCCGAGAAGACGATGGTAGGAAATACACTATCGCCCTTGCTAATTCATGACCCACACGGAAGTCTGCGCCACTTGGAGGGCCTCGACCGCTACAAGTATCGCTCTGATGAGTGGTCAATGGGCACGGCATTCCTCGGGCCAATGGCGTGGTCTGTCACGTCCGGGATCATAGACAAGGCCGTAGAGGCAAGGGAGCAAGCACACGAACAGGCAAAAGAAACCAAACCAGAAGGGGGATGGCTACGTCCTCCGGTGGACTCTAAGTTGCAATGCGAAGCTCATGCGAAAATTGCCTCCGACGTGGAAACCCCTACAGCGATTCTGGAGAATAGTTTGCAGCTAAATGTCGGGAGGTGGCTCCAGACATCGGGTGGCCCACAGATCAACTGGCTGCTGGAGGCACTGTTTTCCCTTACGAGAAAATGGGGAATCCAATGCAGCCGTGAGAAGCGTGGCAGAACAGTGGAATGGAGACTGGGTCTGCGCCGTTTGCGCCTTTGGTTGGAAGTCTACTCGAGGACCCTCGCTGGGCAGAGCGCTCCTAGCCCGATTCCCCAGCGTCGTGTTCTGAGGTGGTTCGCGGCTATGTGGGAACGAGTTTCGAAGTTGGCGGCGCAGTTGGTTTATGCTGGTTTGAGCGGGATAAACTAGACGAGGGGGAACGTCGTCGGTCAATCGGTATTCGATTTTCTTGGGGGCCGCGCATCCTACACGAAGCGCTCTCGAGATCCGATAGCGCTTCGCACCTCTTCGCCTTCTCTTTCTTTTTCTTTGTCTCTCTTTCTCTTTCTTTGTTTCTCTTTCTCTTTCTTTGTTTCTCTTCCTCTTTCTTTGTCTCTCTTTCTCTTTCTTTCTTTGTTTCTCTTTCTCTTTCTTTGTTCCTCTTTCTCTCTCTTTGTTTCTCTTTCTCTTTCTTTGTTTCTCTTTCTCCTCTCTGATTCTCAGTCCACTTTCTCTGGTTCTCGTTTCACAGTGCTCCCTCTCTCTTTTCGAACACACGGCGCCTCCCCTTACTCAAACTGAGCGCAAGTGGGGGAGTTAAAACCTCCGCGCCTTGAAAACTACAGGGCGTACGGTATAACTTTCGCAATTCTATGGCAAAGTAGCGGCTTTCAGACTGAGCGAGACCGGGTTGCCTACAAGAGAAAGCAAGACGTGAGACACCTCCGCGCCAGAGCTTGGCGGGATCCTCGTCCAACACGAGGGGGGGTAGGGCTCCGTCTCTGATACTCACGGGCAACCCCATCGGACAAACGGCCAAAGCAGAGAGGGGCACCTCTGGCGGCTTCTGCATGGGAGGCAATGGCGACCTGAATCACATCGCCGCCGTGCAGCGTCTAACATTAGGCACTTCAATGGCAGCAATTCCGTGGCATTCTGCAACGGAGTCGCAGGCAACTGCTGCAAGCCGTCAGCTTGGTAGTCATGCCTATGCGTGAGGGCGTGGGCTCGCGTGAATTCTGACCCGTTAAACTTAAGGCAAGGGGGCTGATTAGGGGACAGTCTCCCGCCATAGCCGCCAAGCGTGGCCAAGAACTACAGGCAGAAGCTGAGGAGAAAAGCTGGGAATTTGCTAAAAGTAAAACGATGCCTGCCCACGCCTTCAATGGCATCGGGGTCGCATCTGCCACCGCTTCTCTTTCTTGTGATGATCCGCCGCCGGCAACGCGGGTGGGATTGTTTTCGCCTGAACTTCAGCCGCCTGCAAAAGTGTACAGGCTTCGAACGTCTCGGCGAAGTAATAGCCAACGCTTTGGAGCGTGCAAGCCTTACGCCGCGACAGAGAACCTCTGGCGTACAGACGTGCAGTAAATGTAAAGCCCATCGGCGTCCCATCTCAAAAACACGCCGCAGGGCGCGCGGCATTTATTCGGCAGGGCTTTGCCTGACCAGTTCGCAGGAGATCCCATCGAGAACACCAACCACGACCACCCGACCAGGCAGGGGCGACCGAGTTGGGACCAGTCTGAGACAGTCTCTCAGCACGGCACTAGGTCCGCGAATTCGTTGCGCTTCTTGTCTCAAGCTTACAGGTGGAAAATGGCACCTGATAGCCCCACGATGGCAGGGGCACGGCGTGCCATCTTCTGCGTGACCCCGTTGGAGGTGTTGGGCTGGGCTTGGGGGCGCCGAGATCTCTTGCGCGGGGAAGATGCGCCAAAGTTCTGCTGCGAGGGCTCACTCGTTGGGCCACTACTTAGGATTCGTTACTGGCCTCAGATGGTTTCTGCGGTGAGTGTGATGCCCTTCGCGCTCTTTTTGATTATGCCCAGTCGCCAAGGCCAAAGGATGAAACAACCAAGAAAGCAGAGCGCGCGCCATCTTTACTTTTGCGCCGTCTTCTTTAGGCTGCCTGCGTAAGGTAAGGGAGGCTGGCTGCGGCCGAGGCCTTCCGCCTTGCTGTCTATCCAGCTGCTGGCGAGGATGGTGAGGCTTTTCGCGTGCCGGAAATCGACGTTGTGGCGCAGTTTTCGCCAGTCATAGGCGCCGGCGTCTCCTCTCGCGATGATGTGGAGAGAGTTCAGGCTAATGGTGCTCGAAGTTGCCGAGAATTCTTCTGCGGCAAATGCGTCGCCACGGTCTTGCCTGGTTCGAATGCCTGCATTCGTCGCGGTCACTCTGAGGGTGCTCGCAACAGGCTCGCGCTGATGGTTTTCAGCCGCCAAGAAATAGAGGCGCCAAACTCTCAGACCTACTGGGAGGGGTAGAGAATTCTAGTGACCTAAATAGCCCAAGGGCTTGCGTCTCTAGCTTTCCGCCTCAGCTTTACGCGCGCCCACGGGTCTCCCCATGGCGTCCAAACAATGAAGCAAAAAAAAAACTTTCCACAGCTGATCGCAAGCACGGCCCAGGCCAAGAAGTGGAAGGGGCGTGGTGACTCTATCGGAGGCGTTCGCTGCAGCGCCAGCGACTAAGCTTGTCGATGCGTTGCTGTTGATGCTGTCGAATATTTTTGATCGCTTCGCCAACAATGGCGCCGGACTTCTTCCTTGTGAGTGTCTGCGCTTTTCTCACCTATGCTTCACCGCGTTGCGCTTCGCTGCGATCTAGTCTGAAGCTGGGCGGCTTGGCTGTCTCGGCAGTCTTCTTGCTCGCGGACATGTCATCGGAGACTTCAGCAGAAGCAACACTCTGCGCGTTTTTGCGGCTATGTATGATGGCTGTCGCGGGTGGCTGCGTGCTGCTTACGTGCGACCCATCTGGGGAAGGTGTTCGCATTAATTTGATACAGAAAGTAAGCAGAAAGAAACAGGGCCAAGGGAGTAGGATAGTATCTGGCGGAGCGAATCCACCAAGGACGCCGCTTCACTTTTCGAAGGGCTTCGCGCAAGAATGGCAACAATTCACGCAGTGTGAGGCGAGTTGTGGCCATAAGGTAAAAGGCCTCCCTCCGCGGTCTGTGTTCTTTGTTTTGTTGTTAACAGAGCGCCCGCGGGCGTTCCACCTGCAGAAGCAGAAGAGAACGGCGGCGGCCGCTTACTCTGGAGCGGCTAAACGTTCGCAGAGCGACAAGCGCACCAGGCTCAGCCCTATCGTGGTCGGTGTGCTTATTTTCTACAATCGGAGGCGGTCGCCCACGTGGCGAGAGGAGATTTGGGGCTGCGGCGGCCGATTCATCCGCGCGGTCGGCTCGAGGTCGGTTCTCGTCATTCATGGCGACGCGGCTGGAGGTGTTTCGGGTGGTTTTGGTGGTTCAGTAAGTGGCGCCCTCTTCTGGGGCCGCTTCGGTGCACCGTGGGGCTGATTCTCGATTGACGTGAAGGACGGGGGGGGCCGTGGCTCTTTTTCTCATTCTCGAAGAGGACGGGCGACGCCTTTGGCCGCAGGGAGTTCACAGGCGGGCTGTGCGTTATTATGTCGATAGCCCTCGCCCACGTCCGCTACAGCAGAGTGAGAGGACCCGCGCGCAACACAGGGCTGCGCTCTTGCTTCGGGTCGGTGAGATCATGCGTGAAGCGTGTGACCTGATTCATTTCGATTGCCTTCGCTTGGCTTTATAATTTCATGGAGATGATGGCCAGCTGGGTGCTTGGAGATGGGCCCGCTATTGATGGCGCTGCTTGCCCGGCCGAAGCCACGAAATTTGGAGAGAAGTAGAACAGCGAGCGCAGTGCTGAGCTTGTTAGAGGGGTCCCTTGGCTGTGATACTGTCGGGGCCCACCAGTAGAAGGGCAAAGGCCACTAGCTGCGTGCTAGAACTGCGCTCGAGATCGCAGGCAGCTTTGCGGGATGAGCTCACGAGAGGGCCGGGGATAGCCCGCGAGCCCACGCCCGTGCGCACTTCTCTACAAACCGCGAATGCTGGCCTTACTGTACCACCACACGGCCACGACTACACCGCACTCGCGACACCTACCCCCTCTATTTCACTGCCTCGAGTCGCCACAGCATCCCCGCCCCTGCCTTATCAGGTTTGGCGTCAAAGATGCGCGGCGGATAGGGGGGCTGGCATGCTTTGGCACTGAGTAAACCGCCACAGGGTGTGAGAATGAGCAAAACGCAAAGGACAAGGCAAAGGAGGAGCCGAGCTGCACACTACGCCCAAAGAATGAGAGAGAATGAACAAATCACAAGAGAAGCCACGCGGCCAGCAGCTCTCCCCTGATCTACCACCCACCGACGGGAGAACGAGTAGCGGGCCTTAGGTCTGCTGAACTCAAAACTGACCAGGCCGCTGGTCGCGGTGCTTTTTGCTCAGGAGTGACGAGGCAGGAGCGCTAAAGCTGCCACATAGACAACGCGGAAACCTGTCGCGGCACCACTTGGACTTGCAGCGGCACAAGCTTGGCCGGGGAAGATGGCTCATGAAAACTCAGCGAAGTTCACCCATGACAGGGCTGAGAAGCTTTGCCGCTTGGGAGCCTTTGAAGAATGAACCTGATGAACCTCGTGCAGAAGGTTATGACCGATTTCAAGACCCTCACCCCGTCAACACTATGAACACACAGAAGGGCCGTCGCTGTGTGTGCTCGATAGGCCCAGCCTCACAGCTAGAGGGATGAAATATTGGAGCCCTGAGCCTCGGGGAGTTATTATTTAAAAACATTCCCAAAAAATTTGCAATCGCTTGGCGTTGTGGGTTGCTTGTGTGGGTATCTCTTCGGCAGGGGTGGGCGGGTATTTCTGCAGGAGCTCAGGCGCCTGCTTGGTGGCGTAGTTGTCTGCTGGGATGATCGGAGGCCGCAGGGGGTTGGGGTGGGCCTTTGGATCGGAGCGGGGTGCTGGTGGTCGAGCTCGGTGGCAGAGAGGTGCGCTGGGGGTTCGGTGCGTTAAGGGCAGCCGGGGCGACAGGTTTAGGGCTTGGCGGTGTCGCTGCTTAGCTTTCTGGCCTCCTGGGGGCTCGGGTGCCCGATTCTTACCCAAGGGGCCACGCAGGGGCCTGCGGGGTGCCTTCGTGGGCACCTCGGTGGGCCCTTTTTTAGCAAAATAAATTATTTTGGAATAATATAGCCGCATAAGATGGCAAAAAATAAATTATTCTAGAATTTTCTAGGAATTTTCTAGAAATTTTCTAGAAATAATTTATTTTGGGTATGAAAGTAATTTCTTCGGAAATTATTTTCATTCCTGGACCCACAGGGGTGGACGGGAGTGAGGGGGGGCGCGGTGGTCTCGAGGTGTGGGCCCTTTTGTCTTTCTCCCCGTGGGGCTCTGGAAGATGGCTGGGGGGCAAGGGCTAGCTGATTGATTGCAGTCTCTGAGGCAGGCGCTCGGCTTGTGTTCGGGTCGTGGATTCCTCAGGGGTTCGTCGTTTCGGCATGGTCTCTGTCTCTGGGTGCCTCTAGGTGTGTGAGTCTTCTGGGGTGGTTGGTTGTGCATTCGGCTGGGCTTGGGTCTTGGGTTTTCAAATTTTTGCGGAATTTTTCGAAAGTGGTAACTACCAGCGGCCCCGGGCTCCAAGAAATACAGGACGGCCGTCATAGGATAGTGCGACTCGGATGCGTGGGCTTGTCTTTGATCAACGCAAAAAGTAAGAAAAAACGCGACCCAACTCCTAGGGCTTTAGCTCACGGCGGACAGCACGGCTGAGCCGTAACTTCTGGGCAAGAGTTTCTTGCCGTGAAGCAAGGCGAAAGGCTCGCACACTGTCGCACACCACACAGGGCCAAGTCTGGCGCTCGCTCTTTAGAATTAGATGGGTCGCCGGATAGCTCGGGACTCAAGGACCCGCGTGAGATCGGACACACCACCGCCGACAGCCTCCAGCCACGTCGTAACCCCCACCAACCCCCATGAGGAGCCAGCGGGCTTGTCTCTGGGCGTTATAAAGTTCGCTGGTGCTTGCTCTCGTTGTGTGTCGCTCTTGGGCCGTTTTCTGCCTGCCAACGGAGCCGCCTCTGGATTGGTGAACTTCAAGCACGGGCGGGCAATCTGACTGGGTGAGGATGGGGCAGCTGTATAACACTGCTGACGGCCCCTGGTCGGGACTAGTAAGCCAGCGCGCTGCTAGCCCAGTGGGCCCAAATGGCTCGCCTTTTGCTATGGCCTTCCTCTGGGGGGAGGAGTAACTAAGAAACAAAAAAGAAAAATCAACGGGCACGCATGAGAAAAGAAAGGCCTTACACCTGCAAGCTGCTAACTTTGAAAGGAATGCGCCCACGTTAAACCACTGCAACAGGGGCGGAAAAGATGGCCTTGAGCCCTCCCCCGCGGCAGTGGATGGCGCCGCCATTGCTTTCGCCTTTGCTTGGCTGATGACCACGGCCGGGCTAGTAGCCTCCTACCGAAGCACTCTGCTGCTTGCTTGACAACGCAGACCCAAGGGCGCATCTTGTCAGCAATGAACTGCGTGCCCAGGCTGCCAAGCTGGCCTACAGGGGTTTCGCCGTGTTGTGCCATCGGTGCGCTTGTCCTCGGAGTGCACGCTCTTGCACTGCATTGCTGCGAAATCTGAAAGGCAGCGCATTCCAGCAAAAGCCACAGCGCTGCAGCTTGGCTGATCTTGCAAGGAATCGACCCCGGGCGCGTCTCCTTAACGAAGACCCCCGCCGCCAAGGAGTTCGAGACAGTGACAACGCCGAAGACGTTCACTCTGTGCAAGGACGTCGCTGGGTCGCTTGCTATGCCAAGACCTATGCGGCACAGCGCGCGCTCTGTTGTCGTTAGGCATAGGCAACGCGAAGGCACTAGCTGAAGCCGCTAACTTCTGCAGGAGTCACCCAACCAGCCCGCGGCGCACTTCTTTCCGCGCCAAAAAAGCCACTGCACTACGCTACGCACCTGCCCAACGCTCACAGGCCCGCACGATAATCCCTCGCGCCCACTGGACTGGCTTGGACTTGAGCGCACTACACACGCGGGGCAAGCGCATTGGGGAAGACTGCCGGGGCGCCCAGCAGGTGCGCCGGGAGCTGGCAGAGAAATCGGCCTCGGGCCAACAATTCTCCAAGGGGGCGGCTCTGTCATTGGCGCAAAAACTTGCCGCGTACACCGGTGACGCCACGTGCATCGGTGACGCGATCAAGATGGTGCCGCCCTTCCGCTCCTCGCTCACGGGTTGGCATCGCAAGGAGCGCGCCTGCCCGTCACTCTCACTGCATCACGGCGACGCTTTGCGCACATGTGCGGGGCCACCTACAAAAACAGAGCGCGACCCCTCTTGCGTTCAGAACTAAGGAAGAGCGCGCAGGAATTCCAACAAGAACAAAGTGGGCGCCAAGATGCGCTCGGTGTTGTGGGGAAAAGTGCGCGCTTCTTCTTCCACTATCGGCAGGCCCTCTTCTCAAAAACGAGACGCGGATGCAGAAGAAGGCCAACACACTACCGCGACCACCCCCCGCCAGAAGATAGAGGCACGAGAATGCTGGCGGGAATGCTACGGCCCAGGGAAAGTGCTACGACTACCAGCTCACAGCGTCGAAATTACGGGAGAGGCACCGGCGGACAACATCAACAACACCGCCAGCGCTCGCCCTCCAAAAAGCAGGAACACTCACTGGGGCCGCGGCTTTGCTTCGTCTTCCGGCCTCACTCTCTTCGCGGCGCAAAGGGAATGGAACAAAACCCGCCTTCGCAGCGCAACACCCACGCGGACGGCCTGCCATTGGGTTTGGGCTCTTGAGAAAGGCAACTGCGTGACAAAACTGGGGACGACAAGAGCGATAAGTGGCTCTTCGGTGTTTCTTGGAAACTAACAGGCCGCCGCACTCAGAATCTCGAGCGTAAGGCGTGCGCTTACCTCCTTAACATCTAGCGCGTCGCGCTCTACTGTGGGCCACTCTAGTCTCACTCTACCTCGAAGAAGTGGGCCGCATCGCGTTCCCAAATCGTCGGAAGACAGGGCAGCGCGATCATTGGCAACAAGATCAGCCACAACCAGACACCACCACCATAAGGGCACTCGCAAGGGCAACGACATTGCCAGCGCCAACGCAGAAGCCTCGGCGGCTGAGAAGTACAAAGTAAGCGCAGAGTCGCGGCGTGAAACGATGGGGAAGGCGGGGCTGCTGTGCTTGAAGCCCCCGACCTGGACGCGGGAGGAAGTGGTGGCGGGTGGGTGGCCTCTGGTCGTGACTGATGGGGCCGGCCTATCTCCATTGGTTCGGGCTGTCACTGGAGCAAGAAATGGATGCGGACTGCTTATCTCGAAGGATTGCACACCTGCGCCACGTGTGGCCAAGTCAGCTACCAAAACTGACAAGCACTGGCCGGCTTCTAGTGCTTGCGCCTGTTCTTCGGTTGTGCCTACACTAGCAGCGGGCGGCTTAGGGTGTCGTGAAGTTCACAAGTGGCCCAAAGTTGACGCCGATCGGTGTGCTTGACGGCGCTGGGGTGCGGCAGTCTATGCACAATCTAACAAAGGAGAAGGAGGTGGACTGACCAAGGCAGAGCAGCAGCAAGTAGGCGAGGCGCTGGCGCTTATTGTTTGGCCACACTTGGGGAGCTTGGTCTAAGGTGAGAAACTTCCAGACGCCCTGGGCATGCGCTGCATGTGAGTGAAACGAGGTAGGTAACTGCATCACCTAAGTGCTACACTTCGGGCCGCACGCTACTGGCTTGGCAATTTGCTCTGCTTGCAAAAATGCACCAGCATAGAGACCAGAAATGCCTGACAAAGATCAGCGCCGCCTGGCTATCGGTTCAGGCTCTTGCGTTCGATGGAGCCCGCCAAGACTTTCGAGCAAATCGCGCAAGCAAGGGCGCGAATACCAGACGGCCCCTGGCTCCCTTGCTATCTGTCACGCGCGTACAGATCTACAACACACGCCGCGCACTGGCATGCTGCAAAGCCATGAACCAACTGGCGCCACAAACCACACACGCCGCCGGGAATTATAGTAGCCCACTACTGGCTGGACATTGTCGCACTAAAATCACAACGCAAAAAGATGGGTGGCCACCAAGAAGAACGGAGAGGGCCACCTGTGGCCCGCTCCCGCTCCGCAGGGGAGAAACGGCTCGGAGCATGCGGCAAGAAGCGCAGCAGCGAAAGGCCAAAAGGCTACCAAGCCAAAAGGAGTCGCCAAAGGAAGCGGCGGGGCACGACTGCAATCCAAGAACACGGGAAAAGGGGCAAACGCATACGCACCCGCTCCAGCCTCCCCTCCTTCTTCTTCGTCTACTGCCACTATCGTGAAAAATTTCTGCGGGTTCGAATAGTGGGCTACACGGTAAAGGCGGCAGGGATCTTATGTCGGCGCCGCTTGTCGTCAGGTCTCGCATCTCTTACACCGTCAAGGAATCTGCCTCCGCCTTCAAACTGCACCGGCAGGGCCCGGCCACTAGCTTGAAGCCCATCGACTGACGCTGACGCGAGCCTTTTTGTGGCAAACTGCTCCGCGATAGTATCCATGGATTGCGGAGAGAAACGCAGACCATAAATTGCCCGCATCGGATACATTGCGGAGGGGACACGCCGTGGCCCCTACGCCACTCGCCGGAACTTGGCAAACGCGCCGAGATTGAAGGATGGGGACCGACGAGGCTGGGAGTGGACTGACATGGGGGGCTTGCAAGAATGTACGCGCCGCGCTATCACTAAGAACAACCATTGCCAAGGCCGGCACCTTACGGAGTATGTCTTCGCTGCCTCCGGCTCTGAGCAGACGAACAAGCATGGCGGGCACTGCTTCGGGGTTGGATTCTTCGACGCTAGCCCTTACGCCCGCGCCTTGGTAGGTCACTCCATTGCTCGCACAAAGACAAACGACGCCGGGCGCCTCTCCACTTACTGCGAGGCACGTTCGTACGCCTATGCGGATAACAATGGGCAGGGGCACTCCTGCGCTTGCATCTTACTGCCCAAAATCGGGCGCTAACTATCTAAAGTGCCACAGCCAAACTAGCTGCAGAATATTTCTCCAGCTGTCTCCTACTAGCGAAGTGCTTACATATTTGTTTCCAACACTTAGGCCACTCATGAAACCGCAGCAACGTCTGGCGCCAGGCTTACGCCTCCACGGCCATGGAAATGGATGGCCGCTGTGGGATGTTTATGGCGACTGTGTCCGGTTGGAATGCTCGGCGGGTGGCTTGGCTTCAAACGGTGCCGGACGCGGATGGGATGTAGTGAATACTAGGCGCCAACCGGGCACGGATGAAGCCTCCCTTTACTTTTGCATAATTTACGCACTTGGCCAGCCTCTGAAGCCTGAACCCGGGGCAAGTTTTAGCTTTTAAACTTGTGCTGCAGAATTGCTGAAGGCCCAGGCAATACACTCCCGCGCCAGGACGTGCTCTGCTGGCGTATAAGATGAGGTGACGACAGTGAAACAAAGCGCGACGAGCTGCGACATGGGAGGCGGCTAAGTCTGACGCGTTCAGAAGTCACTGGTGAAGCCCACTGGTTACACATAAACACCCAAACGGCTGCGCTTGGTCTTTTCGAATGTGTCAGAATGTCGCGCACGCACTTGAGCAGGAAACTTGGGAAAAACAACGAGAGCCCCACAGCGGGCGCCCATTCGCTAAGGCTGAGAGACTCAAAGCAAAGTGCTCGGCTGCTTCGCTGTCTTTCTCCAGGGAGCTTGGCTGAATCTGCAGGCACCCACAACGACAGAGCGGACACGACTGACACAGCCGACGTGCCTAGCGTTGAGAGTGGGCGGCCCATCGTGGAAAGGTATACCGCAGGAGCGTCTCCAAATGACCGCAGCCACTGCGGCGCCATCGTCGAAGCTTGATGGGGTCACTATCCAAGAGCGGCAATACCGCCGCGCACTCTCGCGCTTCGGCACAAGTGAAAGCATCGCCGTACAGCCACAACTGCACGCAGAGGGCACTCGCATCAACCGCAGGCATGTGCTCTGTGTCTTCTGCACTATTGGCCGGGCCAACTCGCTCCCACCAGTGCACGCGCCTGACCACATCGAGCGCGGCCCGCAGACTCGTAGTCTTCTGGCGGGGCGCTTCCTTCATAAGCCAAGGGCGTTGCGTAAGCTTCCCCCTGGTCTCAGCGCCACGGCCTGCGCCGCTCTTGGTGGCAAAAGTGCCGGGAGAAGCGGGGCCGACTTTACTCCACGCTCAACACGTTCGGCCAGGTGTGGCTGGCTTTGCACTGTGGCGGTAGCTGACTTCTTGCCTGCGCCGCTTCGTCTGGTGGTTCTCGCCTTTCGAGTGGCTCCGCGCAACGTTCAAGCCCCTCAGCAAGTTGGCCACGGGCGTGCCTCACGCGAAGGGGCTGGCTGAGGCTTGCGGGCAGTGTTTGCCCCTCATTTGGGCGGGAAGCTCTCTGGCTTCGTCCGTAGCAAGTTCGGGCGTATCATAAAACCCAAGGTGGGGCCTTGCGTCTTCAGGGCCCACCACTCCTGGGGTGTTCTCGCTGCTTAGTGTGGCTTGCTTTTTTGTCTTCGCTTCGGTTCCGCGAGGGAATTGGCCCTTTTCTTTTCGGCATGCCGCTCGCTGTCGTTGTTGCTGCAGATGGCGAAACGACTCAAAACGCCATGAGCCAAGGTGGCTGCTAGCTTCACTGTCAGCAAAGGCCAAAACTGGCGACGCCGTGCCTGTGTCTGAAGATGCAGCCGCCCGCCTCTGCTGCACCAAGGCGGCCGCGCCGCAAGGCGTTGCAGCTTGGGGCCCAATCTTTCGCGTTCGCTTTTATCTTTAGGCGTCGGGGTACGCGCTAGCACGGTCGCAAAGGCCTTACGCTCGGCAAGTCTGAGCATTTGGAGAAAATCGCCTGCATCAATCTACTCGACGGCGCAGCTTGGCCCCCCTGTCTCTCAAGCCGGGGCGGTTCTGCGGTGAATGACTCTGCTGGGCCCCGCCTCGCCATCTTCGAGAAGTGTCAGATGGAGCGGCTGGGCGGGTCTTGATTCATCTGCGCCGTGCTGCCGTCTCGTCTCTTGTGTGTGAGTGGTCTTCGTGTGCTTAAAAGTGGACTATCTTCGAGTGGCTTCCTTCAGTCACGTCGAGTCGTGAAACATTTGAGCCGCCAAAAAATTGAAGAGCAGGCGCGAGGGCTGTGGGTTATTTAATCCCTCACATATCAAGACACTCAGCGCAGGTTTTTCGCGTGGTTTTTTTTTGAGAAAAGTCAGGGGAAGAAAGTAGAGGAAGGTGAGGGAGGTGAGTAAACAACGCGTGAGCTTCGTAGGGTTTTCCTTTAAGTCGTAGCTAGAAGATGACGAAACAAGGCGAGAGGCTTCAAAGCTGGGGCGATGGTGCATCGTCAAAGGCTGACGCCCGAACCATCTAGAGACAGTCCTTGATCCATGGCAAACTGATGAAGCCGGCCAGGTTTTGCCCATATTATTAAAATGCTACCGCTTCGCTTCGGAAGCGATTCGCTTTGGCTTGATCTCTTGACGGGATTACGGAGGCCGTTCACCTTTGACATCGCCGCGGGCTTTGTCACTCGGTTGCCCTCCTAAGTTGGAAGGCTTTGGAAGTTGTGCTCCTTGCTGTGACTAGTCTCGAGCCCCCTGCGGCTCGTCGCAGTCGTGCTGTGACTAGTCGGAAAGCCACTGCGACTAGCTGCAGAATTTCTGTGGTAGATTAGTCTCAGTTTTACTGTGACTAGTGTCGGGCCCATTGTGGTTGGCCTCGGTCTTACTGTGACGGGCTTCGGGTTTACTGCGATGGGCTTCAGGCTTACTGTGACTAGTCTCAGACCTTCTGTGACTAGTCTCAGACCTACCGTGACTACTCTCGAACCCATTGCGACGGGGCTCAGGCTAATTGTGACCAGTCTCGCGCCTTTTATTGCGACCGGTCTTGCGCTCATTGTGAGCAGCTTGGGGCTTGCTGTGGCTAGTCGCTGACTGAGTTCGTCGGGCTGTTCGAATCTTAACACCGTCAGAAGCTGGCGCTTGTGTATTCTGATGGTGTGAAGATTCGAACAGCCTGGCAAACTCAGTCAGAGACCAGGCGCAGCAATTTTGAGCCTCGTCGCAGTGAGCGTGAAGCCAGTCAATTCAGAGTAGGCCTGAGACTAGTCACGCTGAGACTGAGGCTAGTCCAAGTATAGTAAGCTTGAGACTAGTCGCAGCAGGCTTGAGACTAGTCACAGGTGAAGGCTTGAGACTAGTCACAGCACTTTTGAGACTAGTCCGCCGCAGAAATTTTGAGACTAGTCGCAGTAAGTTCGAAGCTAGTCACAGTAGGGCTGAGGGTACGTAGTCGCAGTAACTGGCATGCCATAGGTAGCTGCCACAACTCGGCCGCAGCTCGCCATGGCTTCCACTGATCAGAAGTAACAGGGTCAGGCTTTTGCGTAGGTGTTTGGCCTTTCTAAGGAGATTCCTTCGCGTTTGCTCACCTACTTTGTTGACGGCCACTGGACGCTCTCTAGGTCTCCTCTGTCGCTCTTCTTGTCGGCGTTGGTGCTGGCAGGTGCGAGCGGCGACTGTTCTGTCGGCTATGCGCTTGTGCTTGGTGACGTCTGTCGCAGCTGCGATAAGCTGAGCACTTTCGTGCAGTTTTATCAACCATTTGACTCACGTACCGCGTCAGCGTTGGGGCGTGCTTTGCTTGCCTATAGTCTATGGCTTTCTCGTGCTGCAGTTTTTGGCAGCATCCACCGCGCGCGCGGGGCTTGTGGGCTAGTCTGAAGTGCTGGCTTGCAGGCAAAGCCGGCCTCGCTCAGGTTGTTCTTCTCGTGGTCTATCTTTCTCGGCCAAAGTCCAGACTTGCGAGGACGGCGGGCGCCGCCGTTCACTTATGCTGGCCTGAGCGGGAAGAACTAGACTAGAAAGTAGAGGGAACGCCTATGGTCAACCGGTCTGCGTTTCTCTTTGGGGCTGCGCATCTTACACGCAGCGCTTCCGTGATCCGATAGTGTCTTCGCCTTCTCTTCTCTTCTGTGTCGCCTTCTCTTCTCTTTTTCGCCCTCCCGTCCCTCCTTGGCTCGGGCACCTCTCTCTTCGCAGGCATTCGTGGTGCCCTTGCCACGGAACTGGGCCGTTGCCCAAATCCGCTGGAGCCAGCGGTTGCCTTTCTCTATTTCTCGCACTCACCATTTACCTGTGGCGTTGCCTTCGAAAGTCCTCACTTCACACTACTGCTTACTCGCCCCTGCGGATGTTCTCGTGCTGCAATTGGTAACATCCATTTCGCGCTCGGTTTAGGGCCTTGTGGGCTAGTCTGAAGCGCTGGCCTGCAGGCAAAATGGGTTTCGCTCAAGTTGTTCGTCTCATGATCTACCTCGGTCAGATGGTGCTCTTGCTTTTATGTACACGCAACTCAACGAGATTGAGGCTGAGCGGCCCAGGATTCTACTGTATGGACCGGATGAGCACTTTTTTCCAGAGGACGCAAATCAGTGGGAAAATGCATTCAAGACCAAGGAGAAGGCAGAGCAGCGCGCGAGCAGCTTTCTGGAGCCCGCCGATCTTTCAGGATTCCCCTCGGCCAAGTGGCTCGAGGAAGTAACGGTGGACCACCTGATTGCAAGCAGCGAGCGAACGAACAGCACGCAGCCGTCGCTCACTCCTCGCGCCTACTTTGCAGCAAAGAGGGCAGACATCTACAGCGCGGGATCAGAGCTCCTCGCCGTATGGTACTTTGATAAAGCGCTGGCGGATTTTGAGCACGTCAGCAGTCGCGGAGACCGGGGCGCAAGCCACCGCTCCGGCAAGGGGGGCGTGACTATTGACACACCCTCGAGCACAGGCGGCCCTGATGCGTATAGTGCTTCTGTCCGTGGCCTGCAAGGTCTCGACCCACTCGGCGACGAGGTGACACTGGTCAACCTCGAACAAATAGAGGAAGCGGGTGAGAAAACCTCACTCAGAGATGCTCTTGCCGTCCGCCTCGGGAGATTCATCACCGAGGCGCTGTCCGACGGCGTCGCGCTTGTCCACTTCCGTTTGGGTTTGGACTCCCTGGAGCAAATCATTAAGGCCACACAACTCGAGCCCACAACAATGCAAGAACTAAAATCTCGCGCACTTAGGTCGTTAGTACCTACGGAGTTATAGCTGGTCTGTCATTTTTGTTGTCGAAGTACTAATGTAGAAGGAGCGGTAATTTTTAGATGAAGAGCCGACTTCTTAGAGAGATACTTGGCCGAGGGTTGCTTGGGGGTGACTGAGTAGAATATATCCAGGCATTAGGGCGTGTAGAGCTCGCTTAGGGAAGTCGCATGAATTTGGTCGCTAACTTCAGCCCGACTAATTTGCAGGCGTGGACGTCACCTACGAGTGGCGGGGCGACCGCATTCCACCTGCTTGGGAGGGATTTCGATTATGCGGGCTACAATAAGACTACAATCTCTGGCGCCATGCGGTCAGGAGACGCTCTGGACGCCTACAGGCCCCACGCTCGTGCTGACAGTTTCAGCCTTTCCCGCGGGATTTTAAGGATAGATAGTATTTTGTAACTGCTTTTACGTTTTGTTTTTCTTGAGCGAAGTGTAGATCGATGGTGCCCACTAATTTGCAGAAGTGAAGTTCCAGCTTGAGCCTTGAGGTAGAGTCGATTCATGGGTGGATAGAACAGTGTTACCAAAACCCATCGATTGACGAAAGGCATCATCTATTACACGAACGACTTCGGGAACAGGCTGCCCGCATCCTGAAGTCGGAATAGTGAAAGACCAGCGCTAAGACCCCACAAATCGCTTGCGCGGCGTGGCTTCCAGATTCTGCAGAGGTTTGACACCAACCAGTCCCGCAGCTGTCTCTACTCTGCGCTGATCGCCTCTGCTTCCGACTGGTATGCTGCGACTTCCTATTACCGTGAGTATGAGTCTCTCTTCAACCGTGGAGGGCGATTAGACGACACCAGACAGCTGCTGCATAGTCTAGCAGGTTGGCAATACGCTAGCGGCATTGCCGCCTCGGATGTGCTAGAAGGTGGATGGCTGCAGCGATTGTCCGCTGTGTTGCTAGTGGAGGCGCCTGACTGGGCGCTAGCTCTTCACTTCTACCATCAGTTTCACACTCGTGCCCGCGACCTTTTAGTGGAGCCGCTAATGGGTGCGACTTCTACCGCAGGCAGCGCGTGGGGGCTCGCCCCTAACAGCACCGTCCTCGTCACCGCTGTCGCCCGTATGTCTAAGTCTGCGGCAAAGTTGCGCGACTTTCTCCAGGTTCGTCTGGACTTACCGCAGCGCCGTTCGTCTAGTCCTCCCATGAGTGCATCTCTGAAGGCCAGGATCGGAATTTTTTCCGCGCTCATTGGGTCCGCGCCGACTGATGTCATAGCCATCTTTTATTACATGGAGGGCAGGCTCGAACTTGCAGCCACCGCAAACAGTACTGCCGAGTCCGGATTGTTAAGGCTGGTTGTAATTCATAATTTTTTAGAGAATGAGATCATCTATGATCACTGAAAGACAGGCTACTTGAAGAATATTACTTAGGGAGTGCTCCTTAATCTATATACACTCAGGGATAGAAAAGCTGTTATCGCTCAAAGATGAGCTTGGCATATCTAAGAATGCAGACGATTCCGGGATCCATGTTGCTGTCTGCGCGTACTCTTCTACTCGATTCTCTCGCTGAGGCACTTTCCGCACGAGCGTGGTCGAACGCGCATGACAAGGGAGACGTACAAAAAGCTGAATGCTTCGCTGCGACTGTGCTTCGTGTGGCACCCGATGAACACTCCGCTGCCGCTTATCGCCGCAAGTATGTGAAGCGGGTCTCAACAGAGTTGAGTCATCGCGCGGACGAGATACTGCGCTCAGCCGTGGACAATCAGAAGGCCGAACGTGTGCGAAATCAAATGGCATATCCGAATGTAACAGCGGATGAGCTTCCGGTGTTGCTGCTTTCGAGCTATCTGCTCTCCGAAAAGGGGAGAGCCGAGAAGGCGAGTGCTGATCATGATGAAGATGATCTCTCGGAGTAGTCAGCGCAGATCTTTTGCGATTTGTGACCATGTGGATTTGGTTGTGGACAGAGGCCTTATACGAGCCATAGATGAAGGTAATTGTTTGAATCTTGAATGAACGTAGTTTATGAAGATGAGTATCTTTTTACTGCAGGACAACCTTGATGATATTGAACTCGAATACGCTATTCAATAGTACTAGTCTACTCCGAAACCGAGTATGGTCATCCTTCCATCACTCGAAGTATTACAACTACCATTCTCTTCTTCATTTTTCTGCAAGACAACGACTCTGAATGCCCACTCTTCAACTTAGCACCGGTAAAAGCGCTGGAAGATGTGAGGGATCAATATACAGCGGAAAGAAGGCGGTGATGATATGAATATTTATAATTCATGCCTAGCTCTTGGACGAATTGGGCCGATCGAGTTTGTTCCTCTTCACTCTTCTGCTTTTTTGCCGCGTGCGTCACTGTGGCCATTTACATCAGGGTTTTCGTCACCCAATTATTTTCACAGCTGACATTCGTACTGATCTAGTCACCAGTTTATATCTATGAAATACATGGTTCTTCTCGTTGCCTCCCAGGCGTTCATTCTTGACATTATCCATTTTGTATGAAGAATATGCTAGTCCTGTATGGAAAAGATAATATGTGAGTCCTATGTTGATTGAATTTGAGAGGAAAAGTCCATGCAGATTCTTGTTCGAGTATTGAATCGACCCACCCCCACGTGCAACCTCAGATACATTTTGGCGCCGTTCCTTTTGATGTTGTAGCGGCGGACGCACTCTCGATCCTGATGTAGCGGCGGACTGTGTGTTAGAGATTTTTGAGGTGCATGGATTTGATGTTAACCTCGGTGTTCGCGAACAGCATGCCATTCTTATCTGTAGTATTTTCTAACCAAGGTAAAAGGGATGCAGAGAGAGGATGAGGAGAGGGAGATGCGTACGGACGGGGAATATCCAAAAAGAAAGGTCGTTTTTGGAGACTAGCATTTGTTATTCACGAGTATGTAAAGCCTAGTTGGAGCTTGCGCCGCGCCTTGCACCTTGTGTTGCGGTTCAGCTTCAGTGTTGTGTCCATCGTAAAATTTTCCTACTCACTGCAACTACAAGTTCATGATGAGCGGAAAAATGGTTCATCTTGTTCCTTTTTGTCGCTTGCTGGCACCACGGTGCTGCACGCTGCATTTACTGTGGGCATTCAGTATCGCGACACTTGCGGGAGCAGACCCACGAACTTCTGCTGAGATCCCCGATGTTGATACGAATAAGGGGTCCCCGTCAAACCGTCCGGACATCGCTCATTTTTTAGACCAGCAGGGGGGTGATAATCAGGCTTCACCTCAAACTCAATTAAGGCTGCAACTCATTCCCTTTATGTCTAAGTACTTCGTCGGACATAGTTCAGTATTTCCCCTCTTAGTTAACGTACACTTTCGAATCGATGTCTGATGAATGTCGTAGCACCGGTTCTTCTTATTTATTGGGTTTATTCACCTTTCTATCTGAATGAAACCGGGAGGTCTGACCATGTGGAACGAACCCTCGTCTAAGAGCTCAACGTCAAGCAGAGTTTGTGGTGGAGGAGACCAGGCGTCCAGAACCGACCCCGAGACGTCCTTTGAGTCCAAGTTTCATCGACAAGTCAGCAGATGACAGTTCTTTCAGCACGTCTAATCCAGGAAAGAGTTCGAACATTGCAAACAAAAATGTATGTTACGACTGGTTCATAAAAAAGCTACGCTTTCTTAGCGAAGCATTACGAAATCATGAAACTTTCTTAGTTGCGATCGATAAGAGCGTAAGAGCCAAGTTCTCGGTCTTGCTTTATTGAAGGAAGGTCTTAGTTCCTAATTCTGCCGACTCACTCTAAAGGAAGTTATCGAGGATGATCCTTCTAATGCCAGCTGCCTCTCGATGCTACTCCATCGTGCAATAGCCGCTATACAGCAACGGCTCCGCATCAGTCATGGCACGACTGTCATAAGTGTTGCACAGAGTGGATGCGCGATGGCTCTCCTGGGATCGATAAGGGTGAAAGCTTCGAGGAAATCAGGAGCATCTCGAATTCTTTGTTACGAAGGATTCCTGCACTTAGTTAGATGTTGTTCACCCATGTATGCATTCAAATGATGGAATGTCCAATTCTTTACTGAGGCTTCCAAGTATTCTCTTTTTTGAAAAAATTATACATAGCAAGTCACGTAATTTCAGCCCGAACGCAAGGGCAGCAACTGGTGAGAGAACGACGAGTCTCCTATGAGTAGTCTTTCGCCGTCTAAGTTTTTTTTGAAATAGTCTGTCTATGATCTCATAATATCAATCTTTCTAACTTTTCCGCCAAACGGAACGTACACAGGCCTCATAGATCGAGCATACTTGAAGTGTGGGAAGGACCCGGATCCGGCAAACCAGGCAGATACTAATAACTGTATGAGCATCCCTTTAGATAAGCTGAAATAAGGGTACAAGTAGCAAAAGCATGTCTAGATGACAGTGAGGACACACCTTTCGTCCTTCCTCTGATCTGTTTGTAGAGACCATCGTAGATAGTAGTCAGAGTGTAAGGACTAACCGAGTGTCGTCTGGACAGTATAATTAATGTGTGTCTGTGGTTGTATTTGCGATGCAAACCCAGGAGCCTATTGCCTAACTTTTTATTCACACATATTTCTCGGCTCTTATCTCTTGCTTACCAGTCATTCACACATAAAAAAGCCATTCTCAACATGTCGGTGAATGTTGGCTTGATGGCCATTTTCACTCTAAGAGCGATTGCCAAGTAGCTGCACAACTACGTTGTTGCCCGGTTGCGGCGGAGGAGAATGTGGTGGATACGCGTTACGAAGACGGCCTTTATCCAGGCTATCGATGGCATCGTTGCAAATGCAATTCTGAAAATCGCACCGATATTTTCGAAAACCGAACCGATGTGTTATGGCCTCTGTTGGTAGAGAATAACCCACTTTTTTGTTCAGTGTTTATAAGAGAGTTAGCTTGGTAGTAGAACCGATTGTGTTCTTAGTAGAGAAGTGTTATTCCCCAGTCTTTAGTTGGTATCCAATGAATGGGTGTGGGGTTTGTTGATGTAACAAGTCAACGATTCTTCGTTTTATTCAATAAGCAAGTCTTGCTTACTAGGATTACGAGTCAACTGTTCTTGGTTTTGGTTGTATGTCTTATGCCACGCAAGATAAAGCAAATTAAAATTACGAATCTAGTATCATTTAGAGATTTTTACTAATTATATTTAGTATGATCATGATCGACAAGAACGGGGGGTAACGTGACCACAATGCACTAGATGTGCAATCGGTCCCATAGCCATACCCATACACCGATACTCGTGGACACGAAGAATCCCTGCTTCACCATCATATCCTTAAATGAGATGAAATTCTGAATCCCCTGCTTGCTTCACGTTTTTGCGAGTTCAACTCGACGGATGCGCCTCCTGCGATCAATTCGAATACGAATCCCCAGGATTTTTGGATGGTGACTAACTGGCCTGAGGACAAGGAGTTCTTCGACCGCCATCATATCGACGATTTGGGACGCGCTTTTCACTATTAAGGCATCGCATTTTTCTACATGAGTGATTCATTGAGAATGTCCCATGATATCTGAGCGTAACAGCACTAACACTATTTGGATCACTCTTCCTCTTTTCTGTTGTAACAACTGTGTAAATATGTAAGTACATGTTTTCTCAAATGACTGCGTAAATACATTTTTTTATCAAAAGATTGATGACATGAAAATCTAATAAACCTACGACAAGGAACGAGGGCCGCGGTTGAGGCGGCAGCTATCCCTACAGGATCCTCGCCCTGACAGCTACTGTCCGGCACCAACCAAGGGGGCGCCCTGATGAGATTCAGAAACGCACCAACAATTGCTATTGCATGGAAGTCCACTCCGAGATTTGAAAGAGTCTGAAAGAGTCGTACAACTTGATATAAAACGGCCATTTGGGCTGTCCGACCACACATTTCCAAGAATGCTACAACTTGATGTTCAAACGGTCATTTGGGCGAGGTTGAGCGGTATCAAGATGGGAGATTGTCGTCATGGAAAGGCATTGACAGCATGAACATGACGCCTGTTTTTTGCATGCATGCAACACATTATTGATTATACACTAATAATTGCTACATAGATATTATTTGGACGGCGCCAGACATGTGGAGCTTATATTATAATGAGTACGTCGCAGGCACCAGGTGGATCGGACTCTGAACGAAGACCTGCAATCCGCAGGTGTGCAACTTCATGTCGAGGAGAGGAGGACTTTCGGTGCGCGTAACAAGTGCACATATTGCTGCTGCAAAGATTTTCTATTTTCGACGTTTTCCACGGTGCGATTCACGGCAGAAAGAAAAAAATTTATTCTTACTCAACGAATGATTGAATATTAGGTACTAACTTATGAAGATGGAATGACGAGTTCTCTACTAGTATGTAAGTACGTTTTTAGTATAGATTCATAGATTGATGATTTTTAGAGGTCAAGATGAGTGGCGTTTTTCCAGAAGATGCCATCGATGACGACCTTGAAGAGAAGCCGCGGCGAACCAAGGCCGACATACAAGCAGATGCCGCTTTGCTGAGACAAGTCGAACTTAGGGTCACCTCTTGTTCAGAGTTCTTAGATAGAGTTCTTCTTTTCCGTCAGAGGAACGTGCCGCAGGGTTGTTCTTCTTCTTCGGAGTTCTTAGTCCAATTTTATGAAGAAGATGGAGACGGACTCAATAGAAAACGAACTATTCAGTAGAACCAAGTGAACCATTTATTTAGTGAACTACTCAGTAGAATATTGCGAACCTCCATGCATGGAGTGAGCTCTAACAAACCGTTGCCAGGGTCTATCCCTCAGAATGTACCTGAGGATGCCAAAGAGCTCGCACGCCTGCGTGGACAGTCGCAATTTTTTCAGAGCCCTACCGGACGACGCATCGAGTACCAAATCCTCGGTCGGTGTGCGCCGGAAGACCCTTGGCTGTTCTACATCGCGGGAATGACTATGCATGGCATGCCTTCGCAGATATCCACGATATTCATGACGCGAGAGAGTGGTATCGACAAGCGTTCTCATGGCGAAGCGGACCTACCCTTTCGGGTTGTGGCGCTATCGAGACCCGGGTACGGTCGATCGACGCTGAATCTACGGTATGTTTGACGTCGTGGAATACTATTTTACTCCAATTACCTTGTAGTAACCCCTACATTCTTTGTTCTCATTCGCATTGATTATGACATCGCTACTCCTAGCCTCGGAGTAGATGAACCCAACAATGATCGACGTCTGAAGACTATGAACAAAGATATTCTCATCTTCATCAAATGGTACTTCAACTTGAGCTTGTCGAAACAGCACTTCCTATTTAATAAATATGGTTACTTTGAAATTGAATGGGTATTCAAAGAAATCAAACTCGGAATTGGTGAAGAGAATAACCTGGATTTCGCCACACAGCTAACCCTATGTAAGTAAGCGTAATAAAGTGGTGCTAGTTTTGATCATGTTCATGTGGAATTCCAGCAGGAAAGTGGTCGTACGCTGATTTTGTTGCAGATTTGGACGCCTTAGCGGAACATCTCGGAGCCAACGATATCGGTGTCTGGGGAACTAGCAGTGGAGGTCCAAATTTAAGATGACTCGTCTCACTCTCAGTGTAAGAATTGATTCCATTTAAGTAAGGGAGCTGCTAGTGCTAACATTTAAGGTTACTCTCTTTGTAAGAATTCATTCCATTTTACTGTAAAGGGGCTGTTGTTTTCGGGAATCCCTGCTCACTGGAAATTTCTTTGGGGGTTATAATCGTTCATATTTCTACTTTAAGAAGCTCTATCTAATGAACTGTCTCGCTGCGGCCGCCTTGTGTCGGAAAGTGCGTATCGCTGGTGTACTGCTGCTCTCGTGTGATGCCAACTATGGACCATCTTTTCCACGTGGAACAAAAATGTTTACCAGCACCGCTGCAGGAGCAGCTGCGAGAAGCTACAACGGTCAAAAGGCACTAGCGAAAGTGAGCATTAAGACTAGAATGTGCCCCACATCTATGTACTGTAGCTACTCAGTTGAACTTCATACTTCGTCTTCTGCAAGCTGTAGTAAGTACAACAAGGCCACAGAGGTGCTATGTGTTAAGGTTCGAAAAAATTCATTTTTGCAGGCTATCTTCTCTCGGTACTGCTATGGTAAAATGGATGTCTCAAGCATTAGAAGAAATTGAAAGGTGCTTAAGTTGTAGAGGTTGTAGCATCTTCCCACCTCCAGCTCTTCATCTAAAAACAGTAAGTACAATTACCAGGACGAAGAAAAAGAAGCAATCGTGTCCTACGTGGACGGTATGTCTTTCGTCAGGATGGATGGAATCTGTGGAGCGTGCTGTTGTGCTGGATGGTGTTGTCAGATACTTTGCCGCTGTCCACGAGGCATACGAGTGGATACGGTTGTGGAAAATTATGAGAACAAATTTTTGTAGTCCTAGTTCTTTGGAAGAGTTTCGCGGTGTGGCATCTCTACTAGAACACGAGACACTGATGGCGATTTTCAATCTTGATCGGCAGTCTGTAGTCACGTTGGTTATGATAAATCTGACAAATAGAATTGTTGGATTCATTCGAACGGTACTTCTAAGAACAGAAGGATCTCGATTTTGGCCTGGCTGAAGTACAGGCGCCAGTGATGCTAGTTCACGGAGACAAAGACGATACTTGCGATGCAAATTGCATGTTTTTTCATGCAAGAGGACTACCAAATGTAGTGCGGACTCAACTTATGGGAGCAGAACTTCAAGAATTTTAATTCGGTTTATTCTCAGGCTTGATTTATTTAGGTATACCTACCAAGCGTCTTCATGGAGGAAAAAAACTCGTGTATGAAGTTGTTGCCTTTTATGTTCACGAAAATAAGGTGTAAGTTGTTGCTTTCGATTGTCCTTGAGCTCGAGAAACCCAAATGATGGAGACCGATGTCGACATTAGGCTTCGTCGCGTGTGATACATAGGAGTTCAAGTTCTTTTGATAAGCATGGATGAGAATGTCCATTATTTTTTTCGCTCCATAGTTAGTTTTCATTGACATCAAGGGGCAAGGTTTCTATGCCCAACCACCGTTAGTTTTTATCAACCCTCCGCTTACCTTCATCCCTGTCGTTCCAGGCATGGGGCATTGCGTTATGCCGCAAAAACTCTTTGACGAGCTGATGCTGGACTTCGCGCAGCTACTAATCTTGGAAAAACGAAAGGGTGCCACTAATCCGATACGAGCTGTTCTGGATGCACCACAGCAAGAATTCTTTTCTGCGTCCGCTAAATGAGTGGAGGAACGACGACCCGAATGAGTAACATGTTCTTGGCTCCTCAAGTACTTGCAGGCAGATAGATACTTCTTCTACCCGACGGCGACAGAAATATCATGTTCGAGCCGGAACGTTGTACAGACAAATGGAACAACCTAGAAAATAACACTGTGGCTCACATGACGAGAGTCTCACAGGATGGAAGGCCTGATCCCTACTTATCTTTAGGTGACTGTGAATGAAGTACAAATTAATACAGCCCTCACGGTTACTAGCGCAAGGTGATCCGAGCGAATACTGCGCCTGGTTTGAAAGATAACTTCAGAGAAAATTTCATCGTCGTCTACAATTGCAGCTGTGTTCATGACATTTGAGTTTTTGACAAGACAGCACGAGAGAGAAAAAGGAATTCTAGCCACAGCGTGCTTCTCCGATTTTAGGCACGCTGACACTTTCTGATCCTTACATCATGACGAGATAGAAGAGAAAAGACATCTCATATCTAGACCTACGTTGATGCGGGTTAATGAGAAAGAACCCTTTATCAAAGGTTGCACTATTTATAAATTTTACATCCTCCTTCATTGTGTAACTTGATGTTTTTTGTCTACTTTCTTTTTGGGCCGTGACTTGATTCTTGTGCTGCTTTGATCTTTTTCCATAGATGCTTTCTTGTGTACTATGGTACTAGGGTTGTTTTCGGTTTTGCTCCGTTTTTCTTCGCTCTGGTAAGCAGGTTACCTATCTACCGAGGAGACTGATGAACGACAACACCGTTATCAAACTACGCCTTTCTATTCTGGAGAGAGCGTCGTTGATGCGCAAGAACAAGGAAGCGATCTCATACACAACTAAGTGCTATCTTGAAAACTCGCAATCTACAAGCCTTGTCGAAAAACCAGAAAAAAATGTTTCGTGAAGGAACAGCGTCGCCAGAGGGGCGTTCAGGTATTCCTTCTTCGACTGCCGTTTTCGTCTGACATTCCCGTTGTTCTTGCAGCTATCGCAATTGTTGCTTTGTGGAAATACTAGGATGACAGAAAAAAGAAAGTTTGAATTTAGAATTAAGTAGGCTGATAACTCATCTCTGCGTCCGCTCGCCTTATTATTTCATCTGCTTACCCCTTTCACAGGTGGAGGTGGTCGTGCCCTTTTTCCAGAGAAGTATAAGAATTCACTTTCTGGCACCGGCGTCATAAATTGTTTTGTTGACCGGCCGTGCGGCAGGGCCGCTGCTCCAGCCCAGATCAAAGGTTTCGGAAGCAAATCACCAGGCGTACAGGCAAAGGATGCGAAACGGTACAGCTACATGCGTATCAACATTAGATATTACAGGGTATGCGTATACTTAATCATACGTATATGCGTACTCTGTGGCTAGAGGACAACTTCTCTCTGCGTTCACTATAATTGTCGAGTATACTACTTTCTTCGGACTTCCTCTCGTCCAATGTTGAGACATTTTCGAACCACTGTTAGTTGAGATTTTTTTGAATTTTATCAGGTTCGAAGCGGGACTTTCAACCGTGGGAAGAAAATCCTTCCACACCCGAAGTAACCGGAACATCGCCGAAAAAGCACCATATCGATGGGCTGAACAACAAGAGGTTCTTTTTACTGGAGAAATGAATATGTGCAGCACTTGTAGGAGAGCATTTCAGCCCATCATGATCCGATATCGAGATATGTACAGACCATGAAATGTTATGTCGGAATACATCAATTGTCAAAGTTAGAGCAAGTCTAGGATGCAGCCTGGTTTACGATTTGCCCTTCCCATCTTCAGGCCTTATCGGTACGACGAGAGCGCCCTCTGTCGTCGCGATTGCACGTGCAGGAGCCAAAGCATCAATTCAATCGGCTCGCAGAGGACCATGCAAGGTATTTTCCCTCTAATCTAAATGCGAAAAATACGCTGCACATCAACGATTTCGAGTAAATATATCAGTGTAGATGAAGACAAAGAAAGAGTAAGTTCTTTTTTATCTCAACGAAATTCTGCTCAGTACTTCAATCAATTTATCATTTAGTTTCTCATTATCTGGTTCTCTCTCAGGTTTCATCGTCCGGCTTCTCCGCGGCCTCTAGAACCTTCGAATCTGACGCCAGCACCGCAAACATTAGACGTCAATATGAGATACTCCTCGAAGCGGGGTGCTGTGCAACCAACTGGATCAGATGTGACGCAATGGGCAAATGCAGAGCCGCCACGTGTAGGACAGAGGAAAACGAGCTATGTAGTGGCAAGAGATGGTACGTAAGTGTATTTCATATTCAGGTCGGTAGAAAATATTTTTTCAAGTACCTACCTACATCGATGTTCAGAATATGAAGAAAGGTCAGTTGCACTTTAGGAACGATGGTTCTAATATTCATGCCGTTCTCAACAACAGGAACAAGCTCGTTTTGTTCTTAATCTTAGTTTATTCGAAGACTTGAAATAAGCAAGTTACTGACTGAAGTAAGAGAGTCTTGACTACACTCGTCTTCTTTTCAGTAGTTATATGAAACGAAAAAGAGTACTCATCCTCAAGAAAGTAAGTGGTTTGTTTAGGAAATGAGCGTTGTTTTCTCGTCAGATTCCCTCCAGGAACCTCGCGTTCCTCAATCTGCGCGTGGTGTAGCGTCCAAAATCACTCATTTGGAGCCACCGGTGAGCCCAATTCAGACTAATGCGAATGCCGACTGGATAATTCGAGACCCGATTACTGGTAGTCACACCCGACATGCACGCAGCAGTTCCAGTAAGCATCGCAGTGCTTCTGCACAGCCTTCTTCGATGCCAGGTCCTTCACCTGTTGGGACCCTGGAAGGAAAAGCAGAGGCTGACACTCGTTAAGGAAGTAGCTATAACGCAAAGTAAATGAATTAAAATTTAAATGTAAATGATTCATTACTTGAAGAGTGGAGACTACTATGCTTCTGTACCGAATGTTGAGGATTCAAGTGAAAAACTAGAAGCGAGAAATTGGTCTACCCACTCCACAGGGAGGTTGAACGAAGGTTATTACAGGCAGCTCTAAACTCGGAATGAAATTTTCCATACTAGCTCCTCTAGCGGGCGAGGGAAAGTAGGCACTTCAAGCTGGCAGCAGGGAGGCCAGAATGTGGCGCGGGCGGTCGGTCGTGTAGATGACGACGGGGTGGTGCTCAGTGTACGGCGATCACGAAGTGCAAGCAGAGTCGGTCTTGGTGGCGCAGTTCCTTCATCGTCGATGAACTGCGTTGCATCTTCCACTGCGGTACCTCGTACAACACAGGGTGGACCAAGGACAGGAGTGGCTGTCGATGCACGGCAGGACGAAGTGGGAGCGCACCTTCACGAACAGCTATCAAAGGAGTCGTCAGTGAGTGTAGCAACGCAGCCGCCAGCTGCTGGCGCAGTTCATCAGGGTCCATTTGCTAGTAAACGGAGCGTCGCACCAGCCGGGTCCAAAACGAGCATCGGAGCAGCGTCCACTAGGGTCAGTTCAGCGGTTGACTTCGACGACCATCTGAGTTCCGTGGGTGGCCGAGCTGCAACCACGCGCTCGAAGCGGGCTGGCGAAGAGGCGTCTTCGTTTTCGTCAACTAATACGACACCACGAGGAGGAGCGGCCGGTGCGCGAAACGAGGTGACACCGCCGCTTAGGCGGCCGCAGCAGCCATCTACAGTGGTGCCTCGTCTTGCTCACGAGGGACACCTTGTTGTTCAGACGGGTGCAACAGCAGTGATGCCGTCAACCGGAGCGACGTCGACAAGAACCAGTGCTGGCGTAGATGGGCGATCCGCACTTCTGAATCTGGCAGCCGTGCCACGATTTCAGACGCCTGCACCTAGAATAGGACTGCCGATGCAGATCCCAACGAGCAACGTCAGCACTGTAGTGGCTGCAGCCACGTCGTCCTCCAACATCAGTGGAACATCCGGTCATGACCAGCAGCAGCTCTTCGCGACACCGATGAGTCGGCCGCTCCCTTTTGGGAAACCTGTAGGGGTACTCATGGGAAGCAAGATATTGGACCAAAGCAGAAGTGCAGCACAAGCACTTGCTACGAGCTCCATCTCAGAGGACCGCAATGCGGTAAGCACATTAGACGCGGGCCAGTCGATGTTGAACACCTCAACGGCGACGGTGGTAGGTCAGGCGAATGTGCCTCAGCCTCTAGGCTCCTTAGGAGTGATGCGCCAGTCACTTGGTGGTGTGGGTCCTCGGAGTGGCGTCAATTACGTGATATCGTATCCGACTCCGAGCAATGGAAACAATTACACAACTGGGTCCTCAACGAGTGCCCAGCATCATATGGTCGTGACGCCCAGTGCAAGTGGACGTCGGGATATCACCCCTGTTGTACTCGACAAAACGAAACAACACCAGTGGGGTACGAAAAATACGCCGACTGGGTCGACGACGACTGCGAGCGGCCGACGCGAACGTGTGAACTTCCAGTCGGCACGAAGTCCGCGCGGACACCTGCAGACGTCGCCAGGAGCAGGGTTGAACACGTCGCCGCGTGGGCAGTACTCGACGCCACTCAGAACAGGTGCGATCACAAGGACGACGGTGTCTCAAGAACCGAGTCAGACCAGCCTCGGGCCTGCGTCGGCAAGAAAACACCGTGCTGACAGTCGGGATTTTTCTACTGTGGCCTCGACAAACAGCACGACTCCAGGAAGTAAAACAATGGTGGAGCATAATGGCAGAGCGCGGGTTTCATCGGCCGCACCCCCAACAAACAATGGAGGTGTCAGGAAGCTCTACTACAGCAGTGGAACCACCGCGAATGGTGGCGCTGTCAACGCCGCAGGTCCTCGTACATCAAGTACAGCTAATCCGGCGCCACGAAGCGCCAGAACTAGTCGCGGTGTTGCTGGGAGTCAGGTACTGGGAGCAACACCAGGTAGTCGGTTCGCGAGGGCAGGAGACGTTCCAAGTTCTGCTCGCGGAGGACCTTCAGAGCGATTGGAAAATCTGAGTCGACCGAGACAAAGAGCAACGAGAGCTCGTACCAGCACGACCGGAGCAAACAATTATCCAAGATTTGCGCCGCCAAGCAGACCTGTACGAGAAGTCAGATAAGAAGTTCTTCTAGTTACTAGTAAATTAGAGTCACTCGTTGTAATATCAAGATGATTTAATATTTATAGTTATAGATACAAACACGGGAAGGTGAAGGTGACATAAAAAAGCTCTGTAAAGCAGGTAAAAGCTGTGTGGAAGCAAGTGTCCAGTTGCGCAGCATTTCTGATTTTGCAAGATATACAATAAAGCGCTGGCTTTTCTCAAACCAGCGCGATGTACTCATCATAAATTGGACTAGGAGCACGGACTCGCGTAGTAGATCGAAGGCTATAACGCGATGCCCCGCACTAACACTATAGAGGAACAACACGACGATTCTGAATTTGAATTTATCTTGTCATACACACGATCGTATTTCATCACCTTCACATTATCTTGTCATAGGATGCTTTCCTATTTTTGTAGCTAATGCTTGTGCTTGAATATTATGCTTCCACCGCGTCCACTTCCATTGATGTTTTGACTCATGAACAAGATTCAGACCCTCAGAGTTGTTCGTGGTTTTGTTTTTGATTTTGACTTATTGTGCATTGCAATCTTTGAAACCGAGCCTTAGGGTTTTCTGGGCAGAACCATTCTCCGGATGCCGTGGTAGCCAGAACACGTCTTTGTTATAAAATTTCAAAAAAATGAACAAGAAGTATAGAAAGATGAAAGGCTCGCTGGCTGTTATGTACTGTTAGACGATGAGACCAATATTGTACTTGTAGTTGTATCGGAATTCGCGAAATTCCAGGGTATCGATTTTTGCTGTCCCTATTTCCGAGTCGTGGTTATCGCATATGATTTCGGAGCTTCGAGGAATGCTCGCGGGGCAAGTACCCACGCTTGCATGAGTTGTCGAGCCATAGCCAACAAGATTGAGCAAACTGATGGTCGTGGAAGTTCTTCTCGGGCTCATGGCAACATATGATTTTCGCACGTTTTAGTTAGAGAAGCAAGTTCCGGTCCACAAAACATGAGCGTGTGAGGCAACTAAAACGAGAATCGACAGAAGCATAGATCTAAGCACTGAGGGAACGAGAACGCGGAGGAGCGAACCGAAATTTTGGAGTGATCGTGCCACTATTGACGTTGAGTGATCTGTCGATGGATCGATGATCATATCTTTCGTTTATGCAGAATGAATGTAGTTGCTGTTGCGAATGCTCCACCATATATACACTTGCTTTATGTCTTACGTAGAATTTCTCAATGAACCAACTCAATCTTGATTATGATTTTTCAAAGAAGTAGACTCTACCCACGAGGACTAAGCTTTACCCTCTAGACGAACCCCAGAGCAGTTCCTAACCAACCCCTTGTACAAACAGCCCTTGTGCAAGCAATCAGCCCCAAAGGAGAAAAAGTCTCCTTAAATAAGGAGAAAAAGCCCCTTTGTGAAAGACCCCTGAGTTGCGATTCCTGAAAAGATGGTGGATCAACAGAACAGAGGTGCGCACCCGTCAACCTCCTCCACTGGTGCTAGTAGCCCAAGCAGTGGAACAAATGCAATTCAAGGAGGAGCAGCTGGCTTGTCTTCTGCTGCCTTGAATACGCGCGACTGCCCAGAACTTCTCTTATGTGGACGCTCTCCGTGTGTAGTTGCTAACGCTCTCCATGCATATGTTAGTTTTACTTGTGTAGGAGTACATGACTTGGTTCACTACTAGCTTGCCTGTTTGTGTTTTTGTAGTACAAAAATGTCATGCTTCTAGATAGAAGGATTGACTAAAAGCTGAAGCATCCTTTGTCCGTCGAAACAAGTATTTTAGTAGTTGCATACATTATGTACCACCCGATCATGCCATCTTCTCTAATATTTGGAAAAACGAAGAGCATAAATGCTCAATCAGCTGCAGAAGCTCTTGAAGGCGAAGAAGACGATGGCGCTTTTGAGTGCGGATACACGATGAACGAGCTCCTGGAAATGTTTCCATTTTGCACCAGAGACTACACTATGATAGACGTAATATTTTTGAAGAGAATTGGAATCAATCGTATAATTTCAAATGGCTTCTCAAAAACATACGAGGAATAAATCACTATATATATAACTTGTTTCCTTGGTGGTCTCGTAACTCACTAAATAGGGATGGTGTCTGTCTAATATGTTCGAGAATGTGATGGCCCAGTATCCAGGTGAGGACGCCATGTTGCAATTGGCTGACCATCACAAAGCCCTTCAAAACGCAGCGCAACAGGGTGAAGAAGTTATGTCCTGGATTCTGTCTCAGTCTGTGTTTGCTTCGAGTTGACTACAAACGGGATAGATGTGATTCGAGAATTGAAAAGTTAATAAAGACTCCCCCTCGATGTTATTCTCAGTTTTTCATCCTCGTCTTTGCTTTGTAGCAGAATGATGGATATAATCTGATAAAACTACAAAAGTTCCTTGCGTTCATATTCCCGCAGAAGACGCGAAGCCAAGCCCAAAGAAAACCATTCTCTCTCGAAAAAGAGGAACGTAAGTTTCCCAAACTTAGCCTAGAAAAGGAATGGGAAATGGTCGATGAACTAGAAGAATGGGAGAAAGTGGATGCGGAGGAAAAGAAAAAAACCTGGGCTGAGAAAATTACGCTCTCGTTTGATACTGATTGACTTTTCAGCCTCCTACAATGAGCTCGTGTTCAATGGAAGATAGTTATACAAATAGAGCTCAGAAGAGATGACTTTGGAGCAATCAATTTTTTTACTGTCTGGAAATAAGAAGATGTTTGATGGTTCTGAATGATTTACCTGCTCTAATGCACTGAAGGAGTCAGCGGATAAGAAGCCGTAGCGCACAATCGAGTGGAGACACCCTGCTCGTGCAAAAGTTGTAACTATTTTTTTCGAACCAGGGCTGAAGACGGAAAAAGAGTAAGAGTTTTGAAAATCTAACCTATCTAATCTACCATCTTCATAGCTATATTATAAGTGTGTACTCAATATCTAAACTCGCGTCAACGTCTCATCATCTAAACTCGCATCAATTTCCTATCTAAACTCGCACAACGATAATTCATCAAATTGAAATTCAGATGAAAACACGACTTGTAAGAAAGTGACTTTTCTGGGTTGTTCCCTGTGTCTGGTCGCTGCTGTACTACTGTGATTGTAGTTGTCACTGTACTAGTGTAGAAATTTTTCATTGATTTTAACTGTCTTTAGCACATCGCGTTTTTCGCATCCAAATCCATATCGCATACATCAAAACTGTACAACACAAGAAGTCCCTGCTCACTGCACTGAAACACCATGATCTGTTGTAACTCCTGTAAAAATTCTACAAATTAACTACAACATGATCTATGCTTGCTGCATCTATGCGTATGCTGGTTCCAAGCATCAACCAGGAAGAAGTGTAGCATGGCCACTTCCAACCTTTAACAACGCAAAAAATCTTGTTTTCCGGGAACCATGCATAAATTGTAAAAAGGCTGGAAAATAAGGTCTAGATAGCGGAAAACTGAGCAGAAGAGGAAGACACAAAATCAATCTAGAGCGAAGCATAGTTGGACTCGTCCCCTGTCTTCATATTGACCTATCCCCTGAGTAACAACACGACTATGAAGATTATACCTTTTTTACTACATCATCATCATGCTGCTGCAGCAGCAGCTGCAGTTCGTTGAAGATCTTCCTCGTCCATGCATTCATTGTTTGCCTGATGCCAGAAGGAAGGACTGAGGATGAAATAAGGGAAAAGACAGGAATACATCGACATTTTCTAACACAGAAGCATAAATCTTGAATTTATGTATTTGTAGAATTTTGATTTACTTTTGAATTCATATTTCTTTGGCAATATTTCTATCTGGCCCGACCTCGGGGCGACGGAAGTGCCACCCGTATTCCTCGACGACGAAGCGTGCTGGCTGTCTAAGCGTTGTGTCAACTTTAAACTATCTACTCAAGATGACATACGTCTAGCGCAAATGACTTTCGCCCGTCACCGAACCTATTCTGTACAGCTACTTACAACATTTTGATCGGTTGGATGCATGATCTCATGCGCAATCGAATTTTCTCATGCTGGAACTATAATCATGTGGTTAAAAAATGTGTTGCTACTCATCGGTTACTATCATGTATTCAGCCAGGATGATCGGTGGTCGGTGGTTGTCATGATCTTCTTAGGTGTATGATCGATCCATGAGGAGAATCAAAAGTAGGCGTATTCCTATTCGGTCGTGATCAGTGTCACTCCCATGTTGTTTAGGTGTCGGTCGCGCTCTAACGTACAACTGTAAGAAACACTCCAAATAGTGAGGATATGTACAATGAGGTGTCCTCGATCCCAATCCCCCATCATTTTTGGTAACGTAAGAGTATATGCCCGTCGTTGAAATATTGAAGTGACCGAGTGATTTAGTGATTGTGTGCCTGAACGAGTGGACAAATTAGGTGGATAAAAACCAGCCGCAGAAGTTGCTGAGATTTATGACATGACTTGAAAGATGAAGTGCCATGATGAAGCGTTCTCGCTTTTATTTCCTGTTACAACAAGTTTCTGGACCGACGAAACCGCTTGGCCAACGCAGAACATGGCACATTCGACAGCAAGCGCGTGGCTGACAAAAACCGGCAAAACAAGCTTTTTTTTGCATAGAGAAGATGATGCAAATCCGGGACTCCTGCAGAAAATTTCATCATGGTTTGAGCCTTCCTCGACCTCCTCGAATGCCTTTTTCCATTCCCCCCAAGACGATACGAACGAAAGTTCCAAAATGCGCCAACATCACTGGAACGGACAACATTCCACTACTCGCGGTAGCCGAACAAGTGCTCATAGCGGTCACGGAAGAAACGCAAAAACGTTTTTCATCGCACCATCGGAAAATTGGGAGGCTTGGTTCTACAATATGATGCCGCGAGATTTCCACAGCAGCTTCAAATTTCCACAATCGAGGCTAAGGCAGTGGCCGGAAGGGCCAGTGGGCGCGAGAGCAACATTCGACGAAAGCTGGGCACACGAACAGTACATCAACTATAGATCGATTTGATGATTAGGGGCTCAACATTCTAAGCAGTTGTACATGAACAAGTGTAGAGAAATAATTCGATCGATCCAATTGGTGGAGACTTCAATTATAGATGAAGTGTCACTGATGTTATTCTACGATTAAATATCAGAACAAATGAGACCCCTCTGCTCGCTGTAACTCATTCCTGAGCTTTCTTTTAGACTTATTTCATTTCTTATTCGGTTTTTCGTAGGATTCGGATTAGGAATAGGTACCTACTACATCATGGTTATTTTTGCGCTAAAATAAGTACATGTATCGTCGACTTCTTTCACCTCCACCACAATTGAAATCCAGAGAGCGCTTGAACCCGAGAGGCATGCATTATTGGCTGGACGAATTGAATATGCTTAAGAAGCGGCGGATGTTCGGCGCAGATCCGGAGATGGCTCCGCCTCCTTGCAACGCTCGTCATATCATCTACCCTAATATTCTCTGTCGTCCTCTCGAGCTCTACTTCGCGCCTACGCATAAGCTGAAGCAACGTCGCATGGATATGTTCCACAAGATGCACGCAAGTCGGTGGGATGACTACTAGTTGTAGAAGCAGTTCTGGTGCTCCTTCTTGACAAGAAGGGACCAAAAGCGTCTTTTGGAAAAGGAAGGGGCCAAACATCAGAAGATGATGAACTAGACGATCGATGCGTTTTACTGTGAGGGATCCTCAGAGAATGAGGTACCTACACCTACACCGGTGTCGGCAAGGGCAGAGGCAACAAGAATGGGTTGGAGCAAGGTGCGTAGAACCAACAAGCGATGGGGCATCTCGGAATTGTTGCTTGGTAATCATGTCCGGTCTTCTTCTTGTCGCAGTCCCTGAGTGTGCAAGTCGTCAGTACAAGATTTTCCAGTTTGATCTTCTGCGGTCACCCAGTGCTGGACTTGTCCCAACGGTTGTTCATCCGAGGACAACGAGGAGACCGGCCACGCGTATCCTAACTTCTCACGCGACCTATGAGTCTCGAAATATGGGCAACTACTGACGAATCCACTATCTCATACTACACACAGTGCTACACAATGTATGATTCTGTCATGTGATGTAGACTACATAGATGATATCTATCCTGGGATATGTACGTAATTTCTCACCTCTAACTGTCAATACATTCGGATCTTTCCATAATTCAAAGATGATGACACACATTTCTCATTGGATTGGAGATTGGGAGTGGGCGGTTGGAGAGCCGTCTGATGAGCGGTGGACTGTCTTCGAAAGTCTTTTAGTCATACTGAAAAGAGAAAGAGAGTGGTACCTGTTTTTAGTCGTCATACGAACTATTTTGTACTATGCATCTACAGGTCTGTTGTTTTAGATTTTGCTCAAACAAGATCGGTGAGTCGAAGTCGAGGACCTGAAGTCAGTGTATTACTTAGCATCCTTTCTGTGGCCATTGACATTGAGGGTAAAAATAGATAACTCTCTGTACGAGCGGTTTGAGATTGAGATTAGAAACGACCTCTCTTGGAAATACTCTGTATGTTATTCTTTCAATCCTTGGGGCTGGTAGAAAAAGTATCACACAACACTTGTTTTAGAAACCTAGACCTGCACCTGATTCTATCAGGTTGCACAAGATATTGAAGATGAATATCGTCGGTGTCACCTTTTTGGTATCTGTGTCTAAGAAATCTTTTTGCTTTTTTGTACAAGGAATACCAATGCAGCCTTAGCTATTGAGGTGTCTTTAAGTGTCTGATTGTTTTCGTTTTGCATGTGAAGAATCCAAGATGAAGGTGAAAGAATTTGGTGGAGCTGTTAGCATATCAAGAATCTTCCTGGTCTCGAAAACAAGTGGCCATCCTGCTTATGATGTTGCATTTCGAATTTGCAACTGCTCTCCAAGGCTGACGTTCTAATGCGCATGCGTCTTCGCGTGCTGAGAAGCTACGGAAAGCGTCAGTAGACTGAAAAGCTACCAGAAATACATAAGTAGATGGGATGGAACAATGAAGGGCAATAATCCTCACAGGGACTTTATGCCGCACACGAAGTGTGCCAGCACCAGTTCGAGTTCAGTAGGCGGTAAGCTGGGCAGACATAGAGACTCAAGTGCCCCCTTGCTGTTGCCAGAATGTAAAGATGTGCGAAACGACGAAGTCGGAGGTCTCAGGAAGGAAAGAGAAAGGTGCACATTGAATAGGAGGAGGGACAATGGGTACTATGCGTATTCAGTTAGGAGCGGATGGACGTGCAGGCACAGGCAAAGCAGATGGACGTCAGTAGGCTGGACTTCTGAGGTTGGTGACACAAAAACGAGAAGAATGCTGATGAAGCAGCAGGTTCAGCATACGGTAACAAAAGTAGGGGAAACGGTAGACTCTACCTCCAGCAGTCACGACAGCCGCGTATTGGAGCGAAGGCAGTCGACATGGCGAGCGCGGGACTTAGTTTCAAACAGGGTGTGCTGGAATAGGCCTAGAAGACGACAACTTTCAACAGTAGCGAAAACGTTTCGAAAAAATCGTGCACAAATCTATTTACCAAGCTACGCAAAGAATGAAGAAGATCAAGAGGCTCTCCTCGAACGCGCAGGTCTTAGTAGTTCTACGACCACCAGAGAGCCAAAGCTGTGCTCTCATCACGCAAGTTGCGGATTCGCCGATTTTTGGAACAAACAGGAACAAGACATGTCCAAAGAAGCCTCGCCGCAGCTGGCCGGAAACTGTGCTGCTTCATCACCGCCAGCACCACCGACCAGGACTAATAAGGCAATCAAAAGTCCTCGCTCCACTTGGCACGCGCGGACGCCAAGAAAATGCTTTTTCGTACAAGATACACATGATTGCTTGAAGTTGAACATGATTATCGCCTTTCTAGTAGCAATTTTTGCCCAGCTGTCTCTCGTACAGGCGCAGTGGCTGCAGTCAGTGGACTTGAAAACTGGCGCTGTACCGCATCCTAGGCCGTTCCTGCAGCTGGACAGCCGAAGACAACAGCTGTTGTACACCTACTCTGAGACACACTTAGCCCTGGCCCCCTTCGAGACGGATCGGACGGGAGCGAGCTGGAACCCGACGCCGACCATTTTTTCGCGGGCTGCGTTGAATTTGACTCGAAGCCAGACCGATGCACTTGACGCTTTGGCTTTGTATGAAGACGAATTAGTGGTAGCCAGTGGAGACGTGATACAAGTACTAGAAATGAAACCGGGGCTGTTGAACGCGACCTATCAGTTATTCAATCCGTGCGCGAACTTGACTAGGAACGGACGCGCGAATACGATCAATTTTGACCAGAGGCTACTGTCGGTCGCTGCTGCAGTGAACGGGAGTCTGTGCATCTACGAACGCCCGAGCATGGGTGCGCAATTCAAATTGCAACAGAATTACACTTACGGGTGGGGGAAATCCATCTCCAAAGTCATCTGGATTGAGAAGACAAGAAGAAAAACAAAAAGAAACCCAGACGATTCTTCGAATGAATTTCCCACGCCTCTAATACACAGCGGAGAGCGGTGTGTCCGAGCTGCTGGCGTTCGACACAGGCACCGGAGAAACGGTGTTGGTCATGAACCAGGACAGAAAATCGCCGACGGCCGACGAAGAGCTGGTTGTTTTCACTCAGACGCCTTGGCGTGTAAAAAACTCGATTGCAGTGGACTACCTTACACGCGTGCGAGTATTCAATCTGATCCGCGTAACCCCGATCCAGCTGCTAAGGCGAGAAGTTTTTCACTATCCCATGATGTGGATTATGCTCACTCGATTCTCCCTTATTTTAAAGAGACTTTAGGGGGGAGAAAGGGAAGCCGCTCAAGCATGGATAGTGAAAAACAAGCGTTAAAACCGATTGGAGGGATTGTGCAGGGCCGTGTCGAATTCTGGCAGAAAGTAGCAGGTACCGTTAGCACCTGGAACCACTACGTGCTGACTACCGTGCAAAACGTTACCAGCCTGTATCTCTTATGCTGGAAATGCTTTTTTATTGTTACTTTTGTTGATGATGATGAATCAAATGGAAGTTGATCTTTGCATATCTCTCTTAACTTGGGACTCAGAAGTACTTGTTTGAAGATTGATTCTAATTTTTGCTTCTGCCCCTGATGGAACGAGTATTACGCTTGCTGCGATCGTCGGTGGCACGGACATTGCCGTCTTTAATTATCCGACTTTCCCTGGTGCTGCTGTAGCAAGTGTTGCACCGACGAGCTATTTTTATGGCCAGTTTATTATAATAAGAGGCCTGTTGTTGAAACTGCGAAGAGATCTCAGTGGTTTCAAAGTGAAGAACGTCTATAGAAGGACTGTTGAAACTTTCAAGCGACACACGCTGTTTTCCGCTGCTTTCAAAGGGAAATAATTGCGAAGAGATCAAGGTCTCAGTTGTTAAGTACTTACGTTCGTGTAGAAGGACGAGCCACTCCTCTAAGATTCGTCTTCTTCCGACCTTGTGAACGCGACTCAGCGTATTATGGCGGTCATGGTTGGGAGGACTGTCGGTGGATGGGATCATTACTCCATCGCCGCCTTGGTCTTGGACGAGGTTTCCGGAAGTCAGGCATTGAAAACGCTAGTACGCGGCAACTGTCCTAGCACAACGTTCGAATTGGTGCCGGGACAAACGATGCAATCCTGTGCATCGATGTGCGACTACAAAGCAAGATGCGTGCTTGCTGGTTGGACAGCGGGAAATTGTAGTCTGTCGGACTCGATTGAAACATCGTCCCAAGTCAATTGTAGCTATCCGATTGCGTACAGTTTCACCTACAAGCAAGAGGTGACGCCGGTGACGACAGTGAGATTTCTCGACGGAGATTTAGACAGGTACGAGCGTGGTGGCGAAATTTCTATCGATTTTCACGGCGCGTTTGCCTCCCACGTACAACTAACCTTTCGCAATAAGACACAGGAATGGTCCTGTGTACCCATTTTGGGGAGTAACCAGTCCAACTGCACGCTGGTGGACGTAGAGCAGGTATATCCGCTTTGCGAGAGTAGCAATTTTACTTTAGCGGACGTTATTCAAGTCGAAAATCAGCAGGATGTACCGGTGGATCCAAGGACGACGATCTATTTGTCTCCCGATACCGTACTCGATGCGGCTCTTGGCGGTTGTTTTCTCGACGTGAACTATGTGCAGGACAAGAATTTTCGATTCCTCCTTGAGCCTGATTTCAAGGAGAATGTGACGCAGCTTGATTTTTCGGCGGTTCTCCTCAAGGCTAATTTCGGGAGCATAGTGACGACCGTGGTCGCACCAAGCGACGTGATGTACCGGTCGGACACCTTCGTGCTGAGTGGGGAGATTATGGATAATCACCTCGAATGGACCGGACTTACGTATGCAGACACGAATCCGAACTGCATGTTCGTGGGAGGCAATCTCTTGTGGGGATTTAATGCGAATTTCGACCTTGACGACGTGAGTAGGAACCCCCTCAGCTTTTTCGGTGTGCACATGATGGATGGTGATTCGGTGGTAAACTCGACTAGTTTTAAGCTAGTTAGTCCGACGCAAAAACCGGTATACGTCTTCGAAAACGAAGGAACAAATGAGGATGCCTATTCGCATTGGGCTATTTTCGCACAGACGCCAGTGGGAATGCACACGCATAACGTAAGACTTTCTTATCGAGAAAAATTTCTTTCCTTGCTCTTCTTCAGATTTTCTTTCTTTACTTTTCTTCAAGTAAGGTTATTTTTTGTTAATGCAGTATTTTGTAGGTACCGATGAAAGCGTGCATCTGCCGACGACGGTATGCGGTTTCCGTTAGACTAAGTATGAAGCTACTACTTGTAGTACACTTACTCATTTAAGATTGTCGCACGCTAGGGCGGTTTGAGTATAAAGTAAGTGATATTTTTTGACTACGAGGCCGAGGCGCCGTTTCCTATCCTAGTATCCTTTCCTTTCCTACTTGTTCTAACTTTCTAGTATTTTATATAAGTATATATATAATACTACGTACTGTAGGTGCTCGCAAAAGTTTTCTACGATCTTGGGTATCAGCCCAAAATATCAAATATTCGATTTCCCGATGCTGACGGCGCTGGAGGATTCGTAGGAGGCTGTGTCGTCTGGGATATTGCCTTCACCAACACAACGTGTCTTACATACGGCCTGCTCTACAAGATGGTAGAATAAGAATACTTCGTAAAAAGCTCAGCATACATGAAGAGCATACTACCCGCAGTTTGATTGTAATTTGCATTTTCTAGTGAATTTACTTTCTTTGAGGAGCATGCGAGCAAATCCATTCTCGTGTGATAGGCAGCCTCACTCTAAGAAACGCATCACGAGATTTGGTTCCGAGCTCCAAACAACTACATGGGTGGAGCATTTCTTGGAATGCTGGGGAAGGTCAACGTGAGTACACGGACATTCGACATACCAAAAAATTTATGCGGTCTGAAGATGTGGAGGAGTAAAGATGAATGAGGAGGCCTAAGTCTTACTTCAAAAACGATCGATAAATATAGAGAAGCCTTTGTTTTCTTTGAAGTGACCATGACCTTGGAAATAGGAAAATTGCTTGGCTGCCGTGGATGTTATGTCGTTATTATCCCGTCCACTATGGACACTAGCACCATGGACACTAGTTGTCGTGCTCATGATCTACTACCTTCTGACAACTTCCTTGCATCAAGATTAACCCATTTTTTTCATATTTCACGCCGATGCCTGTGCCGGAGAATATAGGAGTGTGGTACGTCGTCCTAAAGAGCGGCTTCGTGAGCAAGGACTTGGAGTTAAGGGCAGCACTGCGGTAAATCCATAACTCGCGTCATCCATTATAAAGATAGCCAAAACTAGATGCACCAATACAGGATGGATGGATTCGTCGGATGGTACGGGTTTCCCCCGGGGACGGCGAGTAGTTGCCTATCCTATTCTATCGTCTTCTCTTGTCCTTGTGTTGATACCTTTCTCAATGTCGTGTGTTCCGTATCTATGGAGTCTAGCTCTGAAGGCAAAGCCTGTGGTAGAGTCTAACCGAAAGTGGCAAAGTGAATCCACGGGAGCACTTGGAAGCTAAGCTGATCTACACGCCAGACCAATACACAGGCGAACTGGACTGGCCAAAAAGCTTTGCCATCGATCTAACCATCATTATGAACAGGACAAGGCTCACTCTGGTAAGCAATTATTTGAGTGTATCGTCTTTAAAGATTTATTTTATGCGATTGTTTCATCTCATGTGGAATTTTTTTGACTATCTAAGGTTTGCTCGCTTATTAAGTAGCATTGCATCTAATCTCTCTGGGAGGAACAAGAACCTGTACAACGACGACTTGTTTACGTATCCTTTTCCGAACGCGTTACAGCGAGTGGAATATAACCAAATTGTGAACTCTCCACTGAGCCTAGAGCAGTGGTTTTCTTTGCTGAGTGCGGGTTCCGTCCATATCCTCATGACCGAGGCCATGATAGAGTATGGCAAACTAAGTAGGCTCTTCTTGCCCCTCTCGCAGTAAAATCAGTAAAGGCCACGGCCAACTAAGGGAGTACTAAAACAATCAATATGGATAAAGAAAGATGATGATAGACTTTGAGTTGTTCTAGGTACACCTCATCATTCATAGAGTGAACGACGGAATTTGACACCTACATCACCCTACTCAATAAAGTTAATGACGATGCTGTCAGCGATTTCTTTTACAAAAGTGATAAGTGTACAGGTCAACGCCTAAACCACTAAGCTAACTGCGCAATTAGCCTAGTGGTTTAGGCCGTGACCTGTACGCTTAGCAAAAAGTAAGATCAAGATGAATGACTGAGTCAGTAGAGGTAGACTATGAATGAATGTGTAGGTGAACTACTGGTGGCACCATCAGCATATGTTCTTCGTATACCGACGCAATCTCCTCTCGTAGTTCAATCCTTCTGCTCCGTACCCGTTGAAGAGTAGAGTTTTTTCTTGCTCCTTCATATTCGACACCAGTATCTCCGGAATGTAAGTGCACCCCCGCTGGCGCCAGAAGAGGTGATCAACTTTTTTCCGGTCGAGCTGAATCCCGACACCAACCAGTGCATTGTGGTATGGATGGAAGAGGACTATTGATTCCTGTCCCACCACGCTACTTGTATTTTATCCCATTCGTCCTATCCTGAAAATATATTTTTATTTATATATTCAATACTCTTTCTTTTCCTAGTTAGCTTGGCTCTACCCGTATATATTCAATACTCTTTCTTTAGTAATCAGTGGCCTCATCTTCTAGCCGCGTCATCCGAAGTGGGCTGTGAAGCCGAACAGGCCTACACATTACTTCTCGCGAAGCCGTTGCACCTAGCAATCTGGCGTGAGTGAGGCCATTGAACTTAAGCTTAATAGAGAAACTTCAATTTCAAATGAGGCTATTGATGTCTTGCAAGGGGTTTCAAGTTTACGCTGTAGTTGTCACTAATTTATCGTTGCCCCTTGATTCTTCTATCTTCTTGGGTCGATAAGTAGACGTTCCTTCTAACAATCGGTGCGATGCTTAACGCACCACTATGTTGGACACAAGCGCATGACCCCAATCTCCAGTATTGGACTACACCGGTTAAGGCATCTAGAAGGAGAATTTCATACTTGTTCATTGGATGATGTTCTGGAGAAAGAATTTGATACTTGTTCACTGGATGACGTTGGTTCTGGGAAAAGAATTTCATAGGGGTTTCTGGCACAACTTTATACACATGCATTCATATTGTTCATTGCGTGCTGGTCGGGAAGGCTAAGTTCACACTTGTCCATTATACAACAAACATGATGTAAGAGAATATACTCAAGATACTTGTTCATTACAGCTAGCAGACCCTCCGCTACAGACAGACTCTTTGCCCCTTTAGGGCATGACGAAATGACACGCAAAATACAAATTGTGTACATGTACTTTGTTAAAAACCAGGAATTTTTACGTACCAGATTTCATCTCCACCACAGTTTAAAACTACGGAATAACTACAAGAGACTAGAAGCAAGGCTTGATGATGAGGATGGGGCACGCGCGCTCTAAGGTATTACCAGAGAGGAAGATCGAGTGTGCGGTCGGGATGGACGGTTTACGAACGACGTTGCAGCCTCTCCAGTATCTCTGCAGGTACTTACGTACTACACGAAGTATAATTGATAGAATAAATAAAAATAGTTGTTGTTTTTGTAGCCATTCATACTTTCGTCAATTTTTTTCAGGTACTGTACGATGGAGATACACACAGTCGCGGACCCTATGACGGGACTTCCCAAGGCCTCAACGCGCGCAGCGTGTGCGCTATCAGAGCGCGAAAAGTGTGGCACGCGAACAATAGATTTTTCGCAAATAGACGTCGTGCCCGATACCTCAACTGTCGACGTATCTTTGTAAGCTTTGTAGAGTTTTCCGTGGTTTTCTGACCGTGGTAGATTGAAAATTCAGTACATCCATCGTATTAGCAATATGCGCGGAGGTTCGCGTGAGATTCCTATTCCACCAAGTAGTCTGTCATTCTGGTTTGGTTCCGGCTTCTCTGCATACACCTAGATCAAAAAATGTATCTGAGACAGAAGATATCTTCATAGTATGTGTCGTGACATGACAAGTAGGTCTAGATACTGAATACGTTTTGGAAAAAATGACTCCTGCTTACTCCAACTCCTTGGCTTTCTAGAACAGACTCCCGACTCTATGACTTCTTAGACTCTCAAGCTCATACGAAACGCTGGCTAGTACGCTTACGACAGAAGTACTACTTCTCAAGCTTAGTCTACCAAACGTTGCTTAATATGTACATGCTGGCTGCTTAAGTTGTACATACAATTCCAGAAATTTCACAACCCCATCTCAAGCTTCTTATACCAATCGTTGTTTACAGAGGTCCTTCGCCTTCTCAAGCTCATATGAAACGTCGCTTCTCAAGCTTAAATGAAACGTTGTCTGATTTTGATAATAGATGCAGAACCAACTACTTGATCGCTATCATGCTTTCATCCGTGTATCCGTAATACTGGGGCTGCTCTTTCAGCTGCGTGCTGACGCTGACGTGACGATGCCTGTAGAAGGTGTACAATTTCAACATCGGAGCCAGCTGCTTCGACCTACGGGAAGAAGATTGAAAGACGTCGTAATGCCACTTTTCTACTTCTTGATGTAAGTAGGTTTCTGATTCTGTTCCTGTGTTCGAGAATCCTTTCGTGATGTTGTAGGTTCTTTTTACGGAACAACAAGTGCTGCAAGGAAGAGCCGTCCTGCTTCTATTTGAGGGATCATGACCCGACTCTCGTAAGATCTTCAGGTGATTCTAGACGATCTGGCTCCTCAAATGTATTCCTGGACAACTTATGTTCCGCCTTTGGATTACTAGACACGCTGGCCGCATACTCCAAGAACTATCCAAAGCCCTGAGTATATCGAATACAGAGTAAGCTTCAGTTTTTCCAAAGCGATGAACATGATGATAATAGTGATATCACACAGGTTATACTTTTGCACTGGCACATGATGTTGATATCAAGATTGGTTACGGATACCAGTTCTTCCTATTTGTTTCTGTTGCTGCCTGGATCTTGAGGACTGTGGCCTACCTGTTTGCCTAGGTCTTGATTCACATGTACTTCTTGTATGCTTGTTTGGTCTCATGTGCTGATGTTGAGTACAAATACAAATTAAGAATATTCAAAGAATATGGGGTTCCTGTTTCTTGATTTGTTCTTCATGCCGTGAACCTGGGACAAGATTAAGAACCCAAAAACACGGAAATTGGCGGCAGGACGATGCCCTTTCGCGTTCAAAATATAGACGAACTGGAGCTGCGGTCCTCGGATATGGCTTTTTCTTGCTACAGTATCCATCGTGCTGATTCGTTTTTCCTGAATAGTGAATATACCCGGTAACAAGTCAAATACACGCCTGAAGCGGAACACTCAGCCAAGCCTAAATTAGGCAAGGAATGAGCCGCTGCTCAGAGGACACCAGGATTACGAGAAACAAAAATGCATATTTATAATTTATGCAACATTGTTCCGATGAGCGATGCAACACCTGTACCAGCGCTAATATCAGCACATCGGCGCCCGATAGCCAGTTGACGACGACGGTGCCAAGGACGTCCAGAGACGGAGATACTGGTGCCCGACGATTGCTCTTGGCAGAAAGCATGCTTGTAGAAAGCGAGTCAAGCGGGGAGAACTCCTCCTCTCCTATTTACGTGCACCACCACTTCTACCACTGACCTCCCTGATTCTTACTTTAATTGACTTCTACCACTACCACTACAACTTACTTTAATTGAAATTGACATTCGTACAAACAACTGCTATGGTGCATCAATCGAGGACCTCTCTATTCTCTCTAATTCAAAGCAATCGACGATCAGAGTGTTATCTCCATACCCTCGTCTGAGGATGAGGCCGAGGACCACACTGCGGTGCCAGCTATCAAAGGTACTGGACGATTTAGACTATTGAAAAAATTTAAATTTTTTTAACCATTTTTCTCGTTTTATGCGACTTCACGTTATTTGCGGGCTTCCGGTGTTCTTATTTACAATTCGTCCATCAAAGACGGCTTCCTGTCGTAGACGTAGTGACCAGTTTACACCATAGAATCTTTTGGTAGTTGTACAGCATGCATTCCTTAGTGGGCTGTATCGGACTCATGATACTCCAAGCGACTTTCTTTGAGCAGCATTTTGAAATTCCATTTACCTTTCCAGGTGCATTGACGGAAAAGGATCGACGGACATCTGATCTGTTAAGTTTGGACAAATTGGGCGAACTTACTTATGGCAAGACAGTGATGACTATCCCATGCGGTGGCTGGACTGTGCTTAGTGGATAATTCCCGTTAGAAGTCTGTTCAGGGCGTCCTCTCGCTTAAGATCATAATAGTGAGCGCCACCGGCACAGTTTCTTAATATATGATAGATATTGAGGGAATCCACTCGACCAGGGATAATGATCGGCTGGCGTTAAGGTACCGCGCAGATGATGGAGTACACCTTTACGCAGAGTACTGACACTCTCGGCAGTTCAACCCGCAGAATCCTGATTGCACAAGAAAACGCGGCTAATCCTGGGCGGACCCTCATCATCGGAGCAACCTCGAACCTGTACAGCCGCGGCGTAGGTTACAAGGCGGGCATCAGTGCAAAGATGGGACCACTAGAATTATGGCCGTTTTATTTACCTTCCTACCTAGGGGACCTTTGTGTGGTGCACGTGCAAGGGGGTTCAGTACGTAGTTAGCAGTTGTTTCACCTAGTTTCGCCTTTAAAGATCTTTGACTACTGCACTTTCATCAAAGATGAGTATTCCTACTACCTATTGTATAGCTTGGCAGAAGACTTACCTTTAATTTTTTTGGACGAAATATGTAGGCACGACTAGGATGCACCATACTATTGTCTCACTCGTCGTGCGAGTTTTACAACACAGTAAAAAGGATTGGCTTGGGCCATGCTCTAGCTCTAATACGAGTGGAGCTTGAATCAAACGTGACCAAAAGCCATAAGGCGTGTCGGAGGCTGTGTGGGCTTGCTGGGCACCTTTTCCTTCGGCTTGTGGACCTCGAGAACACGCCAACAAGCAGAGAACTCCTTAAGCTATTGTTGATAAGGTTACCTGTACCTCATCACTAATAAAGATTGGGATTTGCCTTTACTTTCTTCGAGCAAAAAATCAATGCAATTTATTAACTTATAGGACGAAATAGTATATAAATATATAAGGATAGCCTCATCTTTAAACTCAAGAAATAGAAGGTAGTGACCCAGCGGTCTCACAAGCCTTAGCTTTCATGCTACCCGATGTCAACCCGACACCACCGGAGCGCTTGGCGTGGGATTTATTAAGGCTGTAGCTAGTCCATCTTTGGAGGCATTCTTGAAACGTATGGGGGAGTATCGTAAGGGAATGCTCCCCCATGCTTTTCAAGGATGCACTTGAAAGATGAATCAATGACAGTTCTAAACTTACGGGGAACATTCACCAGCATCGCAGCAAATATGAGCGCGCGTTTCCTCTTTCATCGTGACCGCGGAAATCTGTCGGGAAGCTACAGTCTCATCTTCGCGTATGTTAGGACCAAAGGTCATCATCCGTATCCATATCGATATCCAACTTTAGTAGGCACAAGATCATCTTATATATATCTGTAAATAGTAGTCTACGCATCATATTGTCAAGCTTCAGCTGTACAGTTTCCTACGCACGACTAAATCTAGAAGATGTACATCATTGTACTGCGCATACCGCAGTCCTACTCCTGCGTGCAACTTACTAGGTACTGCGCCCACGACTAGACATGCTGCGCATAATTGATCCAACAAATATATATATAGAGTACTTGCAGGAAGTAGCTCAGATTAGAGATTTGCTCATGGGAATCAATGAGGTTTTGTATTTTTTTTGTAAGTACTCTAATTCTTGCAATTATTCGGGTGGTCGCCTGATGGTAAGGGTGCATACGCAGGCACGGAAACTTAAGCATGGGCTTTAGATATCTTGCGTGAGCTTTCTTCATCTCATCCTCTATTTTTAGACCTCATGAATAGGTACATCAATCAATCAATCATCTCCTACCCAAATCATACTGATACTATTTATAATTCTCCTACCTTCCAGATTCGTATTGAGTTATATCCATCTTGCTACTCGAGGTCAACAGTATACAAAGTAGAAACATTGAGTTACAATGACCCTAGCGAAGCCTCTTTGATTTTCGTACGGAGTCGACTAAATAATTTTCATTTATTTTCTGATTTAGATTTACTTCATTCATCACCCACTTGTTCCTCACCTTCAGTTTTTTACTCTTGCTCAGGTATTACCTTCTAACAAGCGCAAGGGTTGCAGACTGCAAGAGATGATACCACGACCGCGACGGCCAGACGGCACAATCGCAGAGCCTGACTGCCCGCGCCGCGTGATAACCGCAAAGGAGAGAAACGAACCGGGTGGGGAAGACTGGACGGTCGACCTATACGACATCAGGTTTCCGAGAGCGCTCTTCGTCTGCGCAGGATCGTCCGAACACGCTACGGAGCCTTTCGAGGGAGATCGAAAATCAATGGTTTTCTACAATTTTAAGGAGACTGACAGTGACGAGTTTGTTTGGTTTTTTGAAACTTGTAATATACACACCTACTAGTACTATCGGGAGACGCTATGATGATGAGAGTCCAAAGTAAAAAGGTGTTGAATCTAAGGGCGCCATCTCCATCTCCTGGCTCACGCCGATGCAGTTTGAAATATAATTTTTTTGAGTCATAATTTTGGAACTAGGGGAGTACCAATCTCAATCTCCTTGGTTTAATCTTCAACGACCTTCAGTTTATAGATGATCTAAGCGGTGAGTACTCTTCTGGGGGATTTGTGGCGATTTTTTACTTCATAGTGCGGAGTAAGTCGAGTCATCTAGGGTAGTACGATTCTTTATGCTTGTGAACATCTTCATGATTTTCGGCAGTGTGTACAATGTTCCGATCGATCTGGAGGATGGGGAAAACGCGCGACCAAAATTACGCGTTGAAGATCAACTTAGACGTTCGCAGTGCCTTGATTTACTGCGCGGTTTGGGCGCCTATCCTTTGACGGATCAGAGAGTGGCAGAGCGGGACCGCGAGAGTTAAGAGAGTCGCTATAGGTCTTCATCATGCTTGATTTGATCGCCATCAGATGATGGCGCAAGATGGAGAGTGCTTCATCAAGAGATGTCGGATTCACTCAACCGCGGATGATGAGAAAACTGGCACGACCTCTAAAACAAAGTCGAAAAAAAGGAGCGGGAGCGCTTTCACATTATGGGTAACTCTTATGTACTCCTGTGCTTGTAAGGAAGACGAGCTTGAAGTAGCTCAAGAAAGTGAGAAGACATGCCGTATTTTACAGACATGTGCATGAGATGACTCTTAGAGACGTCGAAAAGTTAAAGATCGGAAGTTTTTCCCTCGTGACTATGTAGGTCCATTCATAGATTGATACAAATACTTACTTGCCTTGTATTACAGCCACGAACTGCGTGTCCTCTCTAAGCGCTATCCTCGCAAGCGACGTAACAAGCGACGTAGCAGAGGAAGCAACAGCGATTCGGTGATTGATTTATGCAGTTCAGACGACGAGTCGCTGAGGTCTTGTCCCAGCGATGGCGAGCAGAGTGGCCCCATCGTATTGGATTGATACAAGAACTTTCTGGACTTACTAAAGACTGTATTTTTAATTGGAATCAAAAATGACGAAATACGAAGATCGAAATTGATTCTAACGGTAGCTTTGACTGCCGTGAATAAAGTGGTCGCCCCGCTTGATCGACCTGAAATTCCACGGTCCCCATTGATGATGTGAATCCTCTGCGCAACCAAAAAATCCCCTTGTGTCTATTTTCCCCCCAAAATTCGAAGAACTCCTGCCTTTACTGTAACTAAACGCGATATACGTGTCAGAATATAATTAGATCTCATCATCTGATCATCATCTGAAGTTTTAACCGACCCCGAGTGCGGGGTATATCGTCTTCAACATGGAGGACAGGTGAATCGTGTAGCGTCCAAGCCACTTCGCAAAACAAGTCTTTCGGATAGCTAGAATCTGGACTTTTGTTGCTTTGCGCGCACGGCCCCTGAGAGAGCATGACGTTACATCTAGCGAGAGGTGGGAGTATTTCAATTTTTTTCGGTCTTTGTCGTCGTCGGTGGAGGTCTGTTTTCACAACAAACAACATGAGAATACTTCTTGTAGACGATATACCTTTACCTGCCCTTGGGTCGATATCCATTTCGGTAAAAATTCTAATTTCGTTAGAATGAGAGGACTCATCTATTCAGAAAAAAACCCATCGGATTCATGAGGGAGCATGAAAATTTCTTCATCTGCCAGCAAACTGTAACAAAATTCGAATTCCTAGAACTGTTTTCAAGAACATTTGAGAGCAGGTCGTCGATCGGAGAGAACCTAAAATCGATCGGAAAAATTCGGACGTAACAACTGTAAGTACACCCGACATCAAGGAATAGGAAAATAGTATAAAAGATAAGTAGACCCCTCATTTTTGTCCCTCCAACTGAAGTTGTACTAACCTCCAGCAAGTCATGTTGTAGCTGTAATGTTAGCTAAGACCATGATGTGGTACTGCATGTGTTTGAAAAAGATATGATTTGTCAACCGCCCAAAATGACATAGAAAAGTACGTGAAAGTGTCCTGGTGTAAGAGTAAGTGTAAACAAGCCGCGGAACAGTTAGAAAGTTTTGATATGCGTGAGTGGGTAAGTAGGTAAAAATCGCAAGTAGGATGTTAGGTTCATGTAAGAATTAGAATTGCAATTAGCTTTTTCAAGTGATGAAGGTAATTTCCAAGTTTAATCTTCAGCATCCATATCCACGGTAGTCTTCCGGTTCTGTGCGTTTCGCCTTGATCGAGTTTTCTTTAGGCGGACTGTAGGAGAGGCAGTGATCATCTTCTACGACTAGCGTAAGCTGTACAAAACGTGGAGTGAACGAAGAAACAATCGAACATACCCAGGATCGGAGAGTAGATTGCCTGGGCGGAGAATAGAAAGGCGCTGAACGGAGAGTAGATTGCCTGGTAGCATGCGGCGATGCACAGGCAAGGATAACGACCATCACGTAGTTTATTGAGTCAGATTGACGGAATTTTTGATTTGCACCACCCACCGGAGATTATAGTGGAACGAATGCAGAGCCGACAAATTTTTATCTGACCACGATCGATCTCGTCCAACAAGATGAAGATGCATTTGTCTCTCCTGTGCTGAAGACAGGTTCTTAAGCTATCGATATCGGTTTGACGATCGATAGGAGAAGTCTTATACAATGCAAGGCGGTTTGCACTTTCAGGGCCCGTCGGCGTATGGCGGTGCCAGCAACTATGCAGTCGGAAAAACCTTTTACGGGACTGCGCCGGGGGGCGTTCGTACTTTATGTTTATACATTATGAGAAGTTAGGAATAGGATGTTTCTTTTTTCTAGTTAGGTCGGCTCCATTACAACTTATACATTATGAGAAGTACTATCGTTTTTTGTGATACGTTACACACACCTACGATATTTTCACCTGGACCACTTTCACCATCACCGTGGTCTCGAGTACATGTACCAGGACAACGAGTATAGCTTGTCTCTACACCTTAATTTTTTTTCGTGATTTTTCCCAGGTCGCATGCAGCTTCCGGAAGAAGCACAGCCACGACCCGTCGTTCCCGATGCACGGTCCGGCTCCGCCCCTGACCCACACTTTGGTACAAATCTACACAGAATGATGTAGCTCTGACAATACTACAGAAATGTAGTACTAGACTACCTAGACCTATAAAAGTAGGCATTGCTCTTGTACTTGTTCTTGTATTTAGGCATTGCTCTTTAATACACTATACGCAAATGCTTCTAGAGATCTAACCTAGAAAAAAATCCAACAGCATCGATATCTTCCTGAGTGACCTTTTAATGATACTACAGGGTTAGGCGGTCCCAAGGAGCATGCGGAGACGGCATATCGCACTTTTCGAGAGTTGGTGAACGACGCGCAACCGAACTTGCGTTTGCTAAAGACGAAAAAACAGCATTCGACACGAAGCGTCGGAAATGGAGGAGTTAACCCGGCATTCACGACGATGAATCAACCCCCAATGTTGAACGGCGGAGGAGGCTCGCAGACTATGCTGCAATTACCAGCTCCGACAAACTTTGAAATAGGCATTAAGGACTTCAGACAGAAGCATCAAAGGAAAGAAGTACAAGTATTTGGATTCATTGACTTCTCTCTAATACATAGTACATCAAGTATAAGTACTACAATTACGAAGAGCAGATCAAAGATGTCCTATCTGTGAATTACTTGAACATAGACGAAGATTGTTGTCATGAAAATAGATGTTCTACTACTTCAGTACTGTTGTAAATGAAAGCCTTGTAAGATGCACTTAAGAGGGGAGATAGGCATTTAGGTCTTCTAACAACGCGACAGCAGCGGAAGGTTTGCCGGCTACGAGTAGCTATCCAGGAGCACCGAGTTTTTATGAAGTCGAAGGCCGCAGAAGACATTCAGCCGCAGCAGGGGATCAGCTTGCGGGTGCGGAAAAGCGTGAGGTATAATTTCATTTCTCCTGTCGCTTTGTAGCTTTATGAGATTGTTTTGCGGGAAGTGTTAGATGTGTTTAGAAAACTAATTCGATGCGGAAAAATATATCTGTCATAAAGCAGTTGATGGAGATTGGAATTGAAACTGCTTCACTGTGGAATCCACCAGGGTTCGGTAACGTCGAACGCGGATAATATTAGACGGATCTTGGCTAATCGCAGGCAGCACAGTCAGCCGCCTTTGGGTTATGGTGGTCCACCTCCGGATGACTACGGATATGGTAATCTTGACGTTGCGGGTGCCTCCTCAGCGAGCCAGAGTGCAGGCCGAATACCGCGCAGGCCGTTGGAACGGTCGACGGCCGCGATCACGGGAGGTGGGTCTGGCACACCTCTTTCCATGCCAACTCCTTCCTCCTCTTCTTCGTTCCTCCCAGCAGGGGCTGAACATCATTTCAACAATGGGCTATCGCAAAATGGCGAAGCAGGGCCACCGACGCACGGTGCTGCAACGGTGGGCGGCACGCCGATGGCCTACACGAGCAGTGAGGGAGCACCAAGCTACCCGAATCCCCGTAATTCGGGCCTAGCGGTGGGAGCGCAAGGGAGTCGTAATTCCTCAGCGGGACGTGGGAGCAGACGCGGTTCCGGATTGCGGCGCAGGGTGGATTCGTCTACTGTACCTGTCATCGGTGCCTCTACCGTGGTTGGCTCCTCGGGCACCGCTGATCCCGGCCATCAGAACAATCAGCAAGGACCGTCGTCGAATCATTATAGTACTCGAAGTGGTAACATAGGTACTGCAGGTGCATCAGCTATCCCTTCGTCATCTTCTTCCTCGGGGATACCTTCTTTAGCGCCAACATCAGCGCAGCATGCTCACCAGAGTGGAGTGAGTAGTACATCAACTGCTAGTACCTCCGCGAGCAGTAATCGTAATATCCCACATCGGCCACCTGTCCGACCGGTGAAGCACACGAAAGGCTGGAATGACGATACGAGTGTCGTCCACCTCGACCCTGTACCATTGGTGAAGATGGAGCCGAAGCCGAATAGTCGGCAAGGGCGCAAACCTGGAGGTGGTAACACTCCACTCCAGAATCCTAAACCTGGTGCGGTTCAACACCTTGCACCAGATCGGATCGAAAATACTCCTGGACCGCACGCGTCACCCGGAACCACGAATCTTCCAACAGGAATAGGACATATGCGACAAGATGGAGTCCGCGTCGGCAATGGCAAAGCCTCAAGTAGTACCTCGAAAAGCTCAATGCTAGGCGGTGCAGCAGGAGGTGGAGGAGGTCTACACCCTCAAGGTCTGGGAGGAAAAGGAGGTGTAGTTCAACACCCTCATCTGAGTCAACAGGCAACAAACGGCGGTGCCCATCAACCCGAAGGTGTTGGTGGAGGAGTGTCTCAGCATCAGGGACCAACCTCCTCGAACACTCAAGCCCTTGGTAGATTAGATTCAACGTCCACGACCGCAGTCGAGCCTCTGCCTTCTACTTTTAAGGCTACATCATCTTCCATTTAGAAGATGTACTTTCTCGCAACATTCATCACCCACTCTTGGTTAAAGATATTTTCTACCGGGAACAAAATGCCAACTCCTGCTATTAGTCAAGTAAGTAAGTGTTTCCCACATTGACTTTCTTCCACTATTCTTGAGTACGAGGATTCAAACCCTAGGTAATCTCTCTAATGCATTGCCAGTGAGGAGAAAAATGCCGCCGGATCCTGAGAAAGCAAATGCGGCAACTAATCTCCGAAGGGTTCTAGCAAAAGCGAAGGGTCTCCAGAGAACGATGCCTGCAGCAAATACACTCGGAAACGGGGAAATATTTGGTACTACAAATTTCTCTAGGTCGGCGAAGATAACTGAATCGTTCGCGTTGTAGGCTATTTAGATTGTTTTAGATGGAATGGCAGGTTGACGTTCTGGTTTTACTGTAGTTTTTGTTTCTCAACTTCTCAGGTGATCACTTTCCGGGACCGGCACAAGAGTCAACCTCGTTTCAGGACATTCACGGCATATCACCACAGGATGCAGGTAATATTTTGAGAAGTTGAAATATTGTGACCACGTAGTTCTTTTCTTTTTCTTAGTATAAATCAAAAACATCTCTTTATTGTACATGTACATCGACTTTATTTACTATATTTCACTTTCTAAACTCCTGAACCTCCTCTATCTTCACTCAACACTATATTTATATGATAACTACTCGAACTCAACACTGTTCCAGGAATTCACCGGGATGTGCTGAACGTTCCGGGTGCCTCGAACCTTTCGCGAACAGGACCCGTGCGTGGACCAGCTATGAAGCAGACTAGGCAAGCCCAGAGCATGAAGCGCAATGACCATTAAGGCTTACCCTAGTCCATCTTCGGAAGCATCCTGTAGCGGCTCGTCTTTCAAGGAGAAAGTGGGGACAGGATGCGTCTCAAGATGGAGGACCAGGCAGCTGCGTCTAAGATCATCAGGCAGCCGCGGCAACAACTGCAGACGACGGTCGGCATCGAAGCAAGGTACAGCGTAGTGCGGCTCAACACATGTCCGACCACGATCCACGTCATCCCAGAATGGGCGGACAAAATTTTGAAAATTCGGCTCAACACATGTCCGACCACAACGCGGGGATGTTGAATGGCGGCACATTGCGAGAGCCGCCGCCTGGTGCATTCGGAGGAGGAGCTTCAGGTGCGTCGTCTTCGTGGAACAGCAATGGTGGCGCGTCCTCTTCAGCAGAGAGAGCCAACATAAACGGACCAACCCCCAGCTCATTTGGCGGTGGAGCACCGACGACGCAGTTTGGCACCAGAGGACCTCCTGAAGCTGCTTACGATGATGCCGATACTAGCAATAGTATGATATTCGCAAAGGAAGCATACGATGAAGATGAGGGTGCGCAAGAAGAGGGCGGTGATAGAATGGCTTGTCCGCACTGCTCGCGCTGGTTTGCCGCGAAGCCTTTTGAAAAGCACGTAAAAGTGTGCAAAAATGTCTTCGTAAAGATTATGGCAATCTCTGATTTTAAGATCTATTCAAATTCCTATTTTCGCATGCAAGAGTTTTCCGTTTTTTCAAAGAAATCGGATTCCTCACGACCACTTCAGTCAAGACAATTGGATTGTTCACCTGATTAAAAATTGAAGATATCCACCTCCAGGTCGATGACAAGTGAGCTCGGCAATTTAGATTTACGATAACTAAGTAAAAATAACAAACCACACACTTCTTTTGAGTTGAAGTTCTTGTTCTAATGCGCAGCGAAAAGCGTTTAATGTGGCCGCACAGCGCATGGAGGACGAACAGAAGCAAGCGCTGAGAAAGGAGACGCTGAGACAGGATCCAGCAGCGCCGCTTGTAAAAGAACAGAAATGGAAAGCGAAGTCAGAAGAATTCCGCAGTGCTATTCGAAACGCACGATTAGTGGGTAAGCATTTCTATTTGTCAACTCTCTCGGTGCATGGTGTTCCACATTTGGAGATGCTTACTCCGCCGCCTTGTTGTAACTTGGAATCGAATCCGACTTTTCATTGACGAATACCTCGGGTAGTTGTTATATTCGAAGTAAAAGAATTACTCAGCCCACTCTCTATCTTCAACGTCACATTTTTTTTCATTTTCATCTTTCAGCATTCGCAGAGAAAACGGGGGGTCCAATGCCCGAGTTGAAACCCACGCCAGCAGCGGCAGACGATCGCGTGCCGTGCCCCCACTGTGGGCGGCGATTCGCGAAGGAAACCGCAGAACGTCACATCCCGAAGTGCAAGGACACAAAAGCCAAGCCAAGCCGCCTGGTTGCGGGTGCACGGATGGCATCTTCTCTAAACAAAACGTCATCCCTGAACAAGACCACACCTTTGCCACGTCGCGAGAACCGAAAAAAGCTCTGACACGATCAGGGAAGGAAGGGAGGAGCTGTATAAGGGAAGTAAGGAAGAAGTGCGACAATTTATTATCATGTTGAAGTTGCGACATGAAGGAAGAGGACAAGAAATACTTGATGACGAGTGATCAACATGTCGAGCGACAACCCTCCCTGCTTGCCATCTTCTCATTTAGCATCCTGCTGTGGCTTCTACGAGACAAAAAGAAGTACCATCAGGCTCGTTGTTAATTATGGTTGGTTCTGCCTTATAAGTATATAAAGTAGCAACTCATTTTGCTAATGAAAGGTACGCCTGAGAAGTCCAACTAGACCCAGGCTATGAATACTAGATGAAGCCTGCCAAATGCTATGAATACTCACAAGAATATGAAGAAGATACCTAGGCTTGGTATTAGACTATCCGCATAAAGTTAAAAACTTGCATTACGTCAACCATTCAGAACTTGATCATCTGTTTTGCCTTCTGCAAAGCATGAGTTTTTTAATTTGTAGATAATCATGTTCATGTTTGTCGATAGAACAGATAAATACGAAAGAAGCTCGCCAGCAATGGCACGCTACGTAAATCTCTTTAGTATGGTTTCAGACTTAGTAAATTTAAATATGGATGATTGATCTTGTTGACACTACGCACTAGGTATCTAGTCTGGAAATTTTTGTCGCCCACAAAAATTCTCTCACGTTTAGTTTTGAATCACAATCAGCATTAGTCTTTTAAGATTCTCTGTTGTTTTCCTGCTAGACACGCAGGAATACGGTAACCGACGTAACTCACGCAGACGCACATGAACTTTTTTGTCTTTCCCCAATGAATGCTAATTATTTAGGAGTAGAATATCAATCTAACCAGCTGCAACAAAGTAGATTTTTTTTTCGCCGCATAATGTTTTTTGTAGCCCTCCTCGAGCGGGGCCAGCTTGATAGTTGATGATACATAACCATGAGTGCCGTTGGGAGCCTTTGGAACTAAGAAAGAGGAGTCGGACATTGTCCATTGGCTGTTCGTTTTCCGAATCCATTTGTTTCGCACTGTATTTTCTAATCCTTTTTGTGAAGGAGACGCAGCTTAATAGAGAGAGAGAAAGAGGGTTGGCAAATGGACTGTGTATGTATGGGCCCTCCCTGCGTCAGAGAGTGTGAATCATGAAAAAGCAGTGCAAGCTGATCCGATGACCTTATTTGGCATAGAGAGATTACTTTATCGATAGTGCTAATAGAACAGCAAGAAAATGCTAGCGCAATAAATCGGCTGGAGTGATGAGGCTCCTCAGCGACAGACACGATATTATAAGAGAGACTAACTTGCTTTTCTTGCGAAAGAAACGGTCGACCCAAGTGGACCAATTTAGCAGCTTTTGTCCTCGTTCGTGACAAAGATCAGATGAGAGAAATCTCAGTAGCAAATCGTGGATTTGATTTCAAAAGTGAAAATATCATATCGCCAAAACTCCTTACAGGATAATTTTTAGACGATGTGGTCTGGTCTAACTAACACTCTAAGTAAGGCGTGATGTGTTAGACGACGCATTGATCGGCTGTGGAACAGACCGAACACCAGTCTGTGCCTGCTGCTTCTCACAGAAGTGACGGCGCACCAGAAGGGGCCTAGTAGACGACTGACAGCCCTAGCAGGTGGAGCAGTCGTTCTTCGCTTCGTTCTTGTGGTGCATCAAGATGCCGCGTGCTACTTCTAAAGCTCTGGCCTGGGCAGCTGTTTCCTCGACAGCATCCGCTCTGAAGCTCGGGCAGAAGGCCACCGCGGCTGTCCGGTCGTACGGCCCGCAACACTGTGTGAGCGTGAGCAGAAATGCAAAGTCCGGCACATGCGTTCTATTAAGGCTCGAAGAGGGAGTAATGGCAATTGTACGTAGTATTCATAACACGCAGTTAAAACTCTTTGGCAGGAGGAGGGTCTCAATATATTAAGCTAACGACCTTAGCAAAGCAAGCAGAAACCGGTATCAATGTGTCTGCATTTAGTTGAAGAACTAGGGGTCGGAAAAAATGTTGATGTAAGTATCCTTGAGTTGTAGGCCCATCCGAGCCGACTAACATCATCGTCATTGCTGTAGCCTTATATTCTATTTCTAAATCGTTCTACGCGCTGCGACGGCGTTAACCTCGATGCTGTCGAGTTCGCTTTCACGTGCAGAAAACCTGGCGTACTGCAGAAACATAGCTTCGGCAAAGGTGGCTTTGCAGCGGAAGAGGAATTTGATACCGCAGTTCATTATGGGCACTTTATATCGCTGTTTTCAGTTCCACCAAATAGACCAACATTTTGAACATAAGAAACGTGGTCGTGATACATCATCATTATAATAAATATAGTTTTTCCTACCTGTTTCATAACTTTTTTTCTGAGGAAGATAGATTTTCTAAGCAATAACTTTTTCTTAGAAAATAAAAACTTCTAAGCAAAGTGCGATGTTTGCGACCTTCCTCCAGAGGTAAATCAATCCCTTGATGCGGTCGCAAAAGCGAGTCGTGCGCTGGCCCCCGAAGCAGAAAAAGCCAAAGCAATCTCGGTACAGGCACAGGATGTGTATGTGATGCTTTCTCCCTGACAACCATGAAGATCAAGTAGATTTTCTTTTCCAGCCTTTTTACATTGGCAACTTTCACCTCCTCTACTACCTAAAAATAGATAGCCGAGACGGCTCCGCGTGTGATGTTTAGCGTGGCAAACGCCTCTTCGCAAGTGTTGCCTACAAGCGAAAAGAAGACTGCAGCCAGTGCTGCGACGAAGGTAAAGGAGACACCCTCACAGATAAGGCCACACTTAATCCATTTTTTAGTTCATCTGTGAGCCGTTTTCAAGTACTTAGAAAAGTGGACATAGATGAGGCAAAAGATGGCTTGGGCCCTAATCAAGGAAGCTCCTCCCGCACCGGTGTACCAAAAGGTCGACAATCCGATAGTCTTATGGCCCAAAAGCATTTTCTCACCTGTAGTTGCATGATTGATCTTTGTAGTTCATCTTTAAGGCTTTTTTCTCCGTCCCTTATAAATACATGTCCGATTAACAAACAGGAACAATTCAAGCATAATTAACACCGATTGAAATTATAGAACAACGAAACTAGCACAAGGGAAACAAAGAACTCACAAATTATACTGAAAAAAACAAGGCAACAAAGATATATGAACGATTTTGATTTTCCTGAAATGAACGAGGCAACAACGATGTCGATGAGATGAAGGTTGAAAGAGTACAAGCTAATAGTTGAAGGAAAAAGCCCACCGCATTTGGGCGGACAAGCCCAGGTCCCAGCGCCATTGGGCACACGCGCCAACGTCGCGGAATTAGAGGCTAACCTGCCTGTCTTGCAGGAACGTGGCGTAGAACTGGCAAGTTTCGGAGATACTGCGCACGTAATATAGTGCCTTTATCATCACTTACATCTGGTGGGAACAACATTCTACTCTATTGGTCTTCATTACAACATTTGTATTTCATCTAACAATGATCAGATTCACTTCTAGTTCACCTAGGATCACACATAGTCTTAGACCAGGATTTTCTCGTCGCACTACGGTAGTTTTTTTTTAAATTTTACTAGGTTTCCTACGGTCCCGGCAACTGCATTCAGACGTGGCTTCAAAAAGACAACACGGGATCTTCCGGTTCGGCAGGCGAGGAGGTAACAACGACTGACGGCGCCAAAGGCGTTGTTGTGCCAGACGGTGAGAAGGGTGTGTGCATCATCAATTAAGGCTACAAGTTTTTAGTCGGGGTTAGGGTTTAGAATCTATGTATTTAGCTCCTTGTTTGGGTAGGTTCGAGTTCTTTAAGGATGGCATCCTAAGTGGACAGAGCACTCGTATGATGGTGCCACTCAGTCATGAGCCTGAGGAGAAACGAGCTCTAAATCAAGACCGACTGCGGTGTGGTAGACCAGCTCGCTTTTCAGGCTTATCCGATTGGGTTGATCGCGACGGATAAGAATGGCGTGCCCGTGAGGCACTTGTTTGGTATTTCTTTTGCATGGAAAGATCGATGGGAATCAATTATAGACACATGTGCCTCGACCCCTATTCAGGTACAGCATCTTCGTATCAGCATCATCCTCATCCGCACCTTCACCCTCACCGATTCCACCTTCATATGTTATTTTTCTCTTTTTTTCAATCGCAAATCCAATGTTCATCTTCATCTCCTATTTCTTCAGGTCCCAACTCTTTTGATCGCGTCGAGGAGTTTAATACTCTGATTCGCGCAAGCTCTTGCTTCGGCTTGGACGAGACCAGTGAAGCAGTGACGCTCGAGGGGGAGATCAAGTTAAGGCTTCTGGGAATCCATCTTCAGAAGCATTTTGGTGCACCTGACTCTGTAAGGGTGGAAAGACAGAGGATTCAGGATGACTTGTAGGATGGATTCCGTGAAGATCTAAGCAAGGCACTATCCAAGACGATCACTACCATGCAACGCAAGGTCGACGAGTTGACCAGCGAGCAGTCGGAAACTAGTGCCAAACTCTTAGAGGAGGACCGACAAATCATTATGGCAGAGACAATTTATTTTTTCGCAACGGTGGATAAACTTACTTGGTTGCACTAGAAGGAAGATGAGTATCTTTCTAAGATTAAGTTGGTAGAAGCGTCGCGCAAGAAGGAGCAGGAGGATGTGGAGCAGTCCCGAAGGGAGCGAAGGACCGCGCAGGATCGTCGCATCGAGCGAGTAGAGGAAGCCGACCGACGCCGCGTAGACGAGAAGGTAGAACGACGTGATTTATGAACTTCAAAAGGTATTTACGCTGCCCTTGAACCAACTTGATATTGTAGGTATCCGTGTAGTTCTAGTAAACATGATTTCGTTGAGTCTCCAACTCCATAGTAGTACATGTATGACTACCCTATGCTTAGATGCCATGCCACACTGCTCTTGATATTGTACAACCCCTGTAATAAATTATAGTAAGCATGATCTTCCGGACGGAATATCACACTAAGTAATGTAGAGAGGAAGAACTTAAGCAGATAATATTTGTTCTTTGTCGTGCTTGTCTTCATGTTCTTTAAAAAGTATCAGAGAAGAAGCGCAGCTTGTGCATTTCCCTCACTCTTCATTGAAGCGCGCTGATGATGTGCAGGAAGAGGAAGAGGAGGATGATGAGGAGTACGAGAGGCGCGCGGAGGAAGAGCGCCTGCGCGATGAGGATGAGGAGGCTGCCTACAGGAAGTCGTCGCGGGGAGACGACCGCGAAGACTGAGCAGCCTCGTCGAAAGGGCTTAGGGCTTAGGTAGGGATCCTTAGTTCTTTGAAAGGTTTTAGGGATTTCTTACTGAAACTGTTTCATCTTTTCGTATCTTTGTACTTCTGAAAACCTAATAACTTACTACGTACAGGGTCGTGTGCGTATAATTTTTAGGGTTTTAGCAAGTCAAATAAGATATTGAAAAGTTTTTGAATAGGAATGTGGAATTTTGGATAGTTGAGTAGGTTCCTTGTAGATGTAGAGAACATACTTTCTTACCTGCTTTTTTTGATTCACCATCTTTAGAAATGTACAGAGCTGTGTGGTGATGTCTTAATGCCAGGACAATTAGTCTCAATGCTTTTTCTCAATATTAAAATGCAGATTCGTTACTGTGTGCGGATGATTGAAAAAATGTCGAAGCAGGTTTTTGGGGTCAGATGTTGCGGCTCGTTTGACTAGACACATGCTACTTTGACTAGCTCAGTAAGGAAATGTAGCATCATGCAGTCATTTTGTTTTGTGAGATTTCAAGAATGAAGCTTGAACCGCGAGCAAGCGACATCTCTCAGTATTTCGATTGGCGAATTATCGATATCCATGTATACGAACCTCGTTGTGCATCTTATAGAGGCACAGTACCTCCTTTGTACGTGTCTGTGCCTCTGCTGCCTGCATGTTGGATGCCTGCTCTGGGGTCGTTTGAGTACATGGCGCTGCGTGGCTAAAGGATTTTGGACAGCCACTCTGTGAACGGTGTTAATAAGATTTCGTGGATCATTGGCGGTCTGTGCAACTGCAAGATTTCAAGTCCGTGGAGTATTACTACTGCAGCATACCAATATTCCTTTTCATTATCGCGTATTTGATGTGAGTGTTTCTCTATTTTGAGCTGCATCATTGTATCTAGGTAGGACATCAAAATCGAGTAGAACCTAAAAAACTCGAGCTTTTACGTTTTCTTTGATCAAAAGTATGTGGTCTCGTTCTTTGAGTGCTTTGCTACCTCTCCCACACCGGTCATCTCCTGTTCTCAATGACGAGGGCGTGGAGAGCAACTTGGTGCGGGTGTCGCCATTAGACGGTCGATACGCAAGACAGACGAAAAAGGTTGGGGAGTACTTCTCGGAATCCGCATTCATCAAGTATCTTAAGGCTGTTGTAAGTAACGAGATTTTACCACGCGCTAATTACTCAACGATTTTGGCATTACTCAATGATTTTGGCATCTCCATCAAGATGAATCCATTTTCTTTCGAAAAATGGCGGAGATGTACGTCCCAGAAGAAGTAAAATCTTTTTGTTGACTCTTGCTGTAGTCAAAACTCGACGAAATTGAAAACATCGGAATGATAAAATGTCTAACTTCTTCTAATTGCCGCGTGCGTGTGGAGGTGGAGTATTTCATCGGGCTAGCGAAGATGCTGCCACAGCTGAAATCTCTGACGAACAAGCAGCTTTCCGACTGTCGCGGTATCTATGAGAACTTTAGCATATCCGACGCAGCCAAAGTCAAGGCAACCGAACGCGTGACGAACCACGACGTGAAAGCCATTGAGTACTAAGGCTGAAACACATATAGATATAACATAGTGGTGTGTTTTGAAGAAACGAGCCTTCGCAGCCGTTCCATTTGTACTTGCTTTAGAGTTCTTGTATTTAAGAATCAAATGTGAGCCACTCATGTTTTCTCATAATCTGTCAGAGAAACTCAAACTTTGTGCCTGTGGCCTGCCTTTAGAGTCATCGGGATGGGAATCTTGGTTGGCACTAAAATCAAGTCTAAGACTCTTTCGTGAAGGAAAAGCTTGGCGAACTGGGTCTGGAACAATGGAAGGAGTTTGTGCATTTTGGGCTCACGAGTGAAGACGTGAACTGTACTGCAAATCCGCTTGCGCTCAAGGAGTTTGTCGAGAGCGTCTACGTTCCACAGCTACGAACCGATGTAATACAACCGCTAAGGCAGCTCGCCGAAAGCACTTGGGAGGTCTACTCTATTTTTTTCTCAATCTCATTGATTTGACGTGGAAGTGTTTGGTTCTTGTAATTCTGAGGTTAGCGAGATGTTTGTCTTGATAGCTTACATACTATGAATAAATTTCGTAGTGATTTAGATCTTCCTCTTGCCAGCAATTTTAGATGCATGTTGCGTAAAAATATCCTTCCAACTGCTACGCACTTTGCGCGCTTATATACAGATTCCGATGCTGGCACGAACACATGGGCAACCAGCGACGCCAACCAAGCTGGGAAAGGAGATCATGGTTTTCGTCGAACGGCTAGAACACCAGCTAGCGCAACTTGAGGCGGTGCGATATAGCGGAAAATTCGGCGGCGCAACTGGTGGGCTGAATGCACACGCAGTGGCTTTCAGAGACATCGACTGGGTCAACTTCGCGAACCGGTGGTACCGGTATGCATACAGGGTTTCAATTTGAACTCAAACTCTACTTGGACCTAAGTCCATTTTTTCTCGGCGTGCTGAGAATGAGAAATATGTAACAGCAACAGTTGCTTCCAATACAGAGCACGGTCAATCAACATGAGTATTAGCGAAGAATATTTATGATTATAAGTCATATTTAATAGGCTCATTTACTAGTAGTCTCTTGTTTTGCTTCATAAACTCGACGCATTTTCGCTGGAGCGGCAGCAGTGGACGACGCAGATAGAGCACTACGATGACACCGCTGCTGTCTTTGATGCGTGCAGGAGAATAAATACAGTCCTTCTCGACTTCTCAAAGGACATGTGGCAGTACATAGCGATGGAATACTTCAAGCAGCGCGTGGTCGCAGGCGAGATCGGCTCCTCAGCCATTTATGTGTGAGTTCTTATAGATTTTAGATACATAGTACTTTGTCGTGTGTCTACGATACGACAAACATGTAAGAGATATGTTGTATAATCTTGTCTTCCTATGATTTTTTACTAAGTAAGTAAGTACGTCTACTTGAACTGAGTACTTCTACTTTCGGTTGATTGATGCTCAGAAGTGATTTATTTGAAGAGGAGGTTGAGGGATGGTGATGTACCCATCTAAGAAGTGCCGCACAAAGTCAACCCGATAGACTTCGAAAACGCAGAGGGGAATTTTGGCGTCGCAAATGCGTTGTTCGAACACATGGCGAGTACTATCTTTTGCATGTTGATTGAAGATCATTGATTGAATTTTGCATTTTGATTTCTTTGGAAGCGGAGTGTTCACAAGCACTACTTGTAATATGCTGGTTCTATATCCTCCTGCTGTGCAAATTATAGTACTGCTTTTAATGATCTCTTATCATATAGAACATCTGATTTTATTGAATTTCTTGTACCGGTTCCGCGACTGCCAGATAAATTACCGGTTTCGCGACTCCAGCGAGACCTAACCGATAGCACAGTCCGTCGTAACTATGGCGTTCCATTCGGGCACACACTTGTGGGATTTGCTAGTCTCAAGAGGGGCCTCGGCAAGCTCACCCTGAACGCTGCGAAAATAGATCGAGACTTGGAAGATAATTGGGCAGTTGTGGCTGAGGCCATTCAGACCATCCTCCGACGGGAGCAATACGAGCAACCCTATGAAGTTATGAAAGGTTTAATTAGTCCTATCAGATGCAGATAGAGATAGATTGATCTTGACGTTGTGACGCATAAAGTAGAATGCTCATAGATTAATATGCTTATTCTTCTAGTCTACGTTCACGTTGTTTTCATGTGAACTACTACGCCTCTGCTCTAGTTCTGAGGCATTTCTCTCTGCAGCCTATGTGTCATCTTCTCTCCTTTCTTACCTTGGCTCTACCCTGCACCATTCTTGTGCATGATCTAGATCTTCTGCGTCTTTCCACCTTCATTGCACCCTTGAAGAATTTTACGCGAGGACGCGAAATCGACAAGGAACTGATGCATGGTTTCATCCAGAGTCTGAAGGTTTCACCCGCCGTAAGAAAGGAACTCATGTCCATAACACCGCAAAGTTTCGCAAATGGAAAACTACCACAGAGAACTTAGTTATGCCAAATGGATATGAATAATTGAATATTATATGAAGTTTCATTACTATTGTGTTGTGACTTCGTAGCTGATTTGGTAGGTCAAAATTTGTTTATGTAGCTGATTGTGGGATCGATAGAATCGATTACTTAATTATGATGATATGCTTGGGATTTGCATCGAAGAAAAACTGTACAATAGGGCGAAACTCGTCGGGAGAAAGCTATTTGTTTACAGTGTTTTTCATTACTTCTGTTCTCTGCTTATGAAGGGCTCAAGTGTGTTGAGAATGACGAGCACGTAGTCCTCAGAGATCTGTCGAGTGCGTTTTGCCCTATGAAAGTAGGCAGTCCGAGAACTGTGTAGCAAATCGAGACTCAGAAGAAGCTAAGACCTTCCAAGAAGTCTCATAATGAATGCTCTGTCTGAAGTAAAAAACAAAAAGAATGAATCATGAGCTTCATCATCTATTGTGCTGGTGTTTGTAGAAAAACTGTGTGAAGATCGGGAAGATGGAAGTTGCAAAGGGGAATGGAAAACTTTGTCGTGACAAGCACTGAGATATGAATTTTGCCTTTCATTTTAGAATGACTTTTCCCTACGCAGCGGCATCAGTCACATCTTCCTCGTTCAAAGATAGTATGTTACTTTGAGAATGAATGGCAGCTTCGTCGTGTACTTGACAGACGACACTGCGTATTGCCGCTGAGCAAGACGGCCTGTATTGGAAGCTGAGACGCAGTTCCCATCAAGTACTAAAGCTAGAAGCCAGAAGAGGAGTGTACCCCTCCACTAACTCTGATTCAGATCACCGGTCGTGGAACACAGTTACACGTGTTCGCCTCTCTTGAGAATCGGCTGTCGGAAAACCCTCACACCAGCGAACCTGAAGAGTAGCGTCTTATCGTCGACGCGCGTATCCTATCCAAGCTTCTTCCTATCCGGGGCTCGTGCGGGCTAACGATTCTGGTGTCGGAAAGACGAAAGGGTGTGATGTCGCAGTACTAGTACAATAGAAGAGGCCCTTATCTTCCAACGACCACGACCCAAGAGCTGAAATAGCGAACAGGGGATCACTCACCCTCGAGCGTGGGAGCAAACACTACTCGACAGCACAGACTACCTTCCAGCTCAGAACATTTAACTTCATCTTCATCTATCCAACTTCTTCCTCGCGGTCCGTCACTGTCATGTGCGGCGCGGAGGTGAACTAACACCAGGCATCTGTACGTCTTCAACGGTGAAAGTCGTCAGAACCACTGCTCATGATACCTCCACCAATACCACTTCTCACGTCAATTCCTATCGTAACCTCCACGAATTATAAGGAGTATATCGATCACTCCTAGTGTAACCGCCAGGTGTATCGAAGATTACTCTTAATATTGTAAGACTTCGAACAGACCGTTCTCGAAAATGAATTTCGTTCAGCCCTATGTCGATCGGGCGTCGTCGGACCTGCAGTCCATTGTGGACTCTTTGCAGGTGTCAGACGCTCACTTTTTTGACGAGAACCGATACAATGAAAGCGACATACGGAAAGTGCTCGATATGGGCGACTCCGACGCCGAGAAGAAGATCGTGGCGATGAAACATGTACTTATATTCAATAGTATAACTTTTAATTCTCTTGTACTTGTTTCACAAGACATACACCCCTACAATCTAGTAACTTTCATCTACTTTCTCTTTCTTAGGAAGCCTCATAGAAGCTGTTGCAGAAAAAGATACGATATTGTCTGAGACAAAAATGTTGTATAAAGTCCACTATCACTGCATCCTTACGAACCAACAGGTTCTAGCTGCGGTTTCGTATGGCAGGGATTGCGGTGACCTGTTCCCACACGTGGTAAAGAATGTACCGACGACCTCATTGGAGCTTAAAAAACTGACCTACATCTACCTCGTAACTTACGCAGACTGCAAACCTGAGCTGGCACTTCTGTCGATCAATATTATGGAACAGTTGGCTTACTGCGTGTAGTAGGAAGATTGTTCTTGTCCTTCTCATCTTTAATATCGCTGGAGGACCACTACTTGTACTTATTTGCATGTCTTAGTTGTGTGACCTTATCGAAACCAACTGAAGCCTAAGCGGCCAGCCCGTTTTTCAATCAATTCAGGCTCTTCCCAATTCCAAACTAAGCTAGCTGTTCTTTCCAAACTGAGCTTTCATGCAACGTTTCCAGAAGGACCTGACCGACCGCAGCCAAATCATACGAGCTAGTGCGTTAAGGGCCTTATCATCGGTTCGGACCATGGAAATCATTCAAATCGTGCTCAAGAGCATTCGGACGGCGGTTGGCGATACTAGCGCTTATGTACGGAAGACGGCGGTGCATTGCATCGTCAAAGTGTTCGACGTGGATCGAGATCAATACGCTCCGTACTCAAATTTTGCTTCTGGATGTGTGAATCTATTGTCGTAAGTACTTTTCAGTTTGTTATTGTTTTCTAGGCATCATTGTCATTCTCATTCATGCATCTTTCTCTTTCTCCATTGTTGATCATTCCTCAACTGGGGTCTGCTTCAGAAGTATTTCATATTCGACTGTTGCTTGAGAAGTATTTCATATTCGACGAAAATAAATCTGTCGATGCGTTGATTTCAGGCTCCGGGATATGACGTTGAAGCTGCTGGGTGATCGAAACACGTCAGTGGTTGCCTCTGCCCTTGCGACTTTTCATCATATCTGCGTTGCGAAGAGGCCACAGGTGCTAACTGCTGTGAAGTTTTGTCACGAGTGACACCATGCATAAGAAAGATGAGAAACTGCGCAGTCGCACAATGAATTTGATTATCTAGTTGTTTGGAGCAATACTGATTATTTAGTTTTGAATTCGAGTAAAACTAAAATATAAAAATTCAGGGCGAGGGAGAGCAAGCGACATTTGCGCTATTGCATCCTTATTTTCGGAGGCTTGTCTCCTTAGCGCAAACGATGCCGAACTTTTCGCAGGCGTGTTTCGCAGATCTCATGCTCCGCTACGCGAGACTTTTCTACTTTTCGCCGAACTCTGATGGTATGATTAAGAGGCGAAAAATTAGTACTAGGTAGTTTCTTTGTACTACCGAACAAGACTGCAACAGAGGGAGTTGCTTGTTGCCCAACTGTGCGCCAGGTTTTCATAGAGTTGACCGTGAGGGAGCCCGCGACCGGTGTCAGACTCTTGGGGCATCCGAGGCACGCACGCAGCAAGGCAGCAAGCTGCGCGGGGCGCGCAGCGCCCCGCAGACGGGTGCGGGCGTGCTGGTGTCGGGGATGGCGAGAGGCCTCGGGCGACCTTGCTCGGTCGAAGCTGAGCAACATAGGGCGCAGCTTTTTACTGTGCGCGGTGCCAGGTGGGACGCGTTTTCATTGGCGTGCGGGCGTCTGTTTGCTGTTGAGGCATCTGCAGGAAGCCGCTCCCTCGGACTCATCCTGCCAGCTGTGAGAGATGACGCGCGCGCAGCCATTCAAGTACTGTTTCGGGCTCAGTGGTGTCGAGGTTGCTTGGCTCGTCTTGGTGCCTAGGGAAAAGATCTGGCTTGCGGGAGGCCCATGCATCGCGGCCCAAGTGTCGGGAGGCGAGTGCCCAGACTTCGGCGCCCAAAGTGTCTGCCGCCCTCCTCGAAGTGGGGCAGCCTTGCGCCCACCGTGGGTGTGCTGTGCGACTGGCTTGGCTGCCTGCTCTTGTAGCGTTGGGCTTGGAGGTATCTCGTGACTTTGAGAATTCGCGCCGCCTGGTAATGCAGGCGCGGCCGGGTCGTGTCTAGCTCTACCCAGCTCAAGAAGCAAGGGCCCAGGCAGTCCAGCGGGCTGCCCGTCATTTTCACTGAGCAGAAACGCGCGCCTCCGCCGCCCAGTGCCAGGCATGCGCCCGCGGGGCTTGGAAATGGGGCTTCTGCGAGTGGGTGATCGATGAAGGCAGGCACGCACGGAGGGCGCGACTGCACTTTGAGCCTCTGGCCTTGCAGCGAGCCGTGTGCTGAGCTTGTCGGGTGAGTCGGTGGAAGTAGTGCTGGCTCTGGCTTCGTATTCGTTACCTCTTTCATACTTAAATTCATAATATGCAAGCATGCTAGTGCTCGGTTCGTTGTGCTCTATGTATTGTAAGAGGAGGACTCACTTCTAGGGCTTGCTAGGCCCGCTGCGGTGGCAGTCTCCTGCTGTATCTAATTTTGACACTAGCTTTAGTGTACGTGCTCCGACGTCCTCTCTATGTAAACGTGAAGGTAATCCTCCGCAGCCTTCGAACGATTTTGCGAGCTTAGTGAAATGTTTCCAGGGCTTGCTCCGGACGCAGTCTGGAGCCGTTGTTTTGTCTGCTGCGTCAGCCCTTTGTTATCTCAGCCGGTCCGAAGACGATGTGAAGTGTGTCATTCCGCCACTGCTGAGGTGCTTGAGGGTACTCTTGGTCCGATTTTTTTTGAAGAAGTACGTAGAGTAGACTTGGGGAACGATATTTTACCATAATTCGTAATTTTGAATATTGAAAGACTAAGGCGTGGCCGAGGGGAAGTTTCGCTTTGTGCGTGCGTTGTGGAGTGAACAATCACTCGTTTTGAAATCAGGCGGCGCCGTGGGACAACATGGCGGTCCTCTTTACAGGGTTTATTCCGATTCTGCGGCGTCACCCCTTGCTGTTTAAGCCATATTTGGCGGATTTTTTTGTCATGCAGATGGATCCAAACAGTATCAAGCTGCTGAAGGTAGAGGTTCTAGAGCAACTTGCAGACGAGGTGAACGTGGCGAAGATTTTAGCGGAGTTGAAATTAAGGCCACTGTCAGTATAAGATGATAGCAACCTTCGGCTTTAAGTCTTCTTTTCAGTTTTCTTTTTTTCTTAGAAAGGGCTCTACCACAATTAGAAGATGATAGCAAGTCCTCTGGGTTGGTGCAACGGCGTGCATCTCTGCCTATCCCCGTTCCAGCATGATCCGCAGACTATCTTCCCTATGAGGATGGGAAGCACCGTCCTGAAAAAACTTCTCGTTAACTGAATCTCGAATACCAAAAGTCCAGGAACGAACTACTACGTACTACAGATATCCACTACTCTAAGCAGGCAGTATGTTCGGTGGCATTCGTATCCGCCTCTGGTCGCTCGCAGTATTCGTGCGATCAGCAACGTGGCCCTCAGCGTCGAGTCACGGCCGATGGTCGATGACTGTCTTCGCGATCTCGTAAAGATGTTGGACAGCAAATCCGATACTGTCTCAGCCGAAGCCGTCGTCGCGATCCGAACTTTGCTCCAGCAACAGACCCATGAAGGTGGCGGACCGAGCAATAGCACCGTGATTCAGTCACCGATGGTGGAATCGCAACATGAATTAAGGTTCGATCTGGAAAACCTTTCTTGATACATAGGTGTGCTAAAAGCTAATATGTAGTTGATCATTGGGGGCGGTAACACCTTCCTCTTCTAAAGTTTTACTTGTCATGATTCAGGAGTATCAGAGGGAACTTCATCTTGCTTCATCAAGAACTCGCATCGTTTCTCAGGATCATAATTCAAGGTCATTCTGCATCTAGGTTGACATGACCTTCTTGAGGGAGACCTCTCTTGAGGGTTTCTCAAAGAGCATCTTCTAAGTACAGCCTCATTGCCGTCACCCACGCGAGATTCGAGTCCTTCGCTCGCACCAGGGAGCCAGAAAACCCGCGCGCAGTTCTGGCTTCAGGTCATTTCGCAGCTCACTCGCAGTCTAGAAGACCTTACTTCTTCAGTGGCACGTGCTTCCGTGATCTGGATATTGGGCGAGTACCAGAGCGAAGTACCGTTGTTGGCGCCCGATGCAGTACGAAAGCTTGCGCGCTCGTTCTCGCAAGAATTACGACTTCCGGAAATCAATCCTCAGAGGCATCTTGGTCCTTTGTCTAAGGGAAAAATGGGCCCAGGATGACTTTCAAGATGGATTCCGGGTAGTACTAAAAGAAGCACTAGAAGTGAAACATCAAATCTTGACGCTGGCATTCAAAGTGTGGGCATTTCAGCTGTTTGGAAATCACGAAGAAGACACGCCTGTAGTTCAAAACGATAGTACTGCGGCTCTCGCAGGAGACGCTCTTTTTCCTCCAAGTAGCACACCAGCTGAACAACAACAAAATAGCGGAAATAGCACTTCTCCGGGTTTTCTTGCAGACAAGTCCCGAGAGGATGGGCTTCAGCTGAGTACCTTCGTAGGAGAGTCAGGTGAGGGTGGAAGCTCCTCGTCAACACGGCCAGCGCCAAATTCGAAGAACATGGTTGCACGGCTGGAGAAAATTCTCGACTACATTGTCCAACTGGCCATGAAGGACGACGAGTCATGGGATCTGCGGGACATGGCGCGGTTGGTGTACCATCTGAAGAATCAAGCGAAAGAGCGAGGACGAGCGACTGTATGGAGAGAAAACATAAGTATCCACATCAAAAATAACTACCTACATAAGTATCCACATCAAAAATAACTCCTTACCTCTCTCAAGTAATCAGAAGACAGCAAGTTAGTCACATGGATTGAAGAATGTCCTTTTTGCTGCTTGTAGTTTGTTCTTTTCAACCCCTCTCTACAAGACTTTCTCGTGAGATGCAAAAATATGTCTTTTAGAACGAGGACATGAACGTGACGAAGACGAACAAATATCTTTCATCGCCTTTTGCGTCGACGCTTGTCGGAGTCTTTTCGCAACAGCCTGAAGCGGAGGCGCTGCGTTCGTCACTGGCATGCGTGAAAAAAGGTCGAAAGGCTGGTATTGAGAGTGCCAAAGACGACGAGCTTTCTGGCGACACCGTCAAAGCTGCTCTACAATTAAGGGTCACTCATATTCATCTTATTCTTAAGAAGCGTCGTGGAAAGGTTTTGTAAAAAGGGAAAATGACTATCGTCCAAGATGCTCTTTAGGATGAATATCGGTAGGGTCTAATGCTATCTGTACAGTATCGCAGTTCACAAGATCACGCTGGTTTGCCCTACACGGACCGGCAAACATGGCTCCTCTACTCTCTTGCTCGCATTCTTGATGGAGGGTTTGCGTCGTATCATCCCCTGCCCGAGTTCTCTCATTTAAGGGTTCCCACATTTCATCCTTCACCAACATCCCTGACTCTTTTCCCGGTAGGAAATGAGTCAGGGATGTTCTGAGGAATGTAATTCCGTAACCTCTAACTCATTTTGTACCAGACAGCGAGAGGGATCCGCCACAAGAGCAGATTCGACAGTTGGAAAAAAGCCACGAACCCAAAAGCTTGAGCTCAAGTACCTCAGCACAACAAGGCTTCGAATTCGCGGCGGCGCAAAGGGTATTTTCTAAACGACTTTTCACAAGTGAAAACTTTCAAAAGAATAATATAGAGAACAAACTGCATATGTAATGTAGTCTGATTTCTGATTCATAAATCTGATTCTGGTCTACAACTTGTTTTTTATGTTTTTATGTTTTCGCTCAACTCCTATATTCATCCTCTTCGTGTCTACTACTTCCTTGAAAAAGAAGCTAACGGAGTGTAACCACAACATTTTTTGGTAAGTCCACACTAAAACTAGGTATTGCAGCCGTCGATGATCGACAAGCAGGCAGTGGCAAAACTGAACTCAATGGCTGATTTAGACAGCTTCTATGCTGCAGACGAGAAGGTGAGCGTAAAGTCCGTCCAGATAGTTCAACAGCAAGCCTCTGCGCGCGAGGCTGTTCGCGCAGCGCGCAAAAACCCACAGTTCAACCACACTCTTGGCAACACCTGTCCGGCAGAGGATCTGAGCACATTCAGCTTGATGCCGGATACGCTTAAGGCTTCCCCGAATCCATCTTTCGAGATATCCTGACAAGGAAAAGAGGCTCCCTCAGGAGGATGTGTCTTAAGTAGGTGGAATCGGGTGAGCTCTAATGCACAAACACCAGTAGCAGGATTCCCCGTTGGAGCTGCAGGCGCAGGTGGCGTTCCTGTAATGCCTCATGGTGCACAGATTCCAGCTGTTCCTGTCAGCATGCCTGGCGTCCCTGCCATGCCGATGCCTGTCGTGGTGCCGCAAATACCTCAAATGCTGCCGGCAGGAAACATTGTCGAGGGAGAAGATGAGGAAAGCGACGACGACTGGGACTTGATCAAGAAAAATGCCGACGCTGAAGGTGGAGCATGAAGATCCATCTAAAGAACAGATTTTGGAAAAAACAACACCTCGAAATTTTGAAGACTTTTTCATAATAAAGCATGAGTATCTATAAGTGGACTCAACACATATTAGACATTTACATTTTATGATGAATTTCTTGGGTTAGAAACTTCAAAAAGGAGTTCTTGTGTGTTAGAATTTGACCAAGAAAGAACCATTTACTAGATGTACTAGAGTAGCATGATACAAAGTGAGGTAGAAACATATCGACATCAAACTTCTTTGATACTATCCGACCAAACCACTACACTATTCCGAGAATGAGAACAACTTCAAATACGCATATGTAGCATTTCCATTTGAATTGGCTCTACTTTCGTGGGTCCTTTAGCCCTGGGCCACAAGGAGGTAGTCGATCGTGAAGCAGGTAATCTGACCCGAATATTTCCGCCTCAACAACTTCTACGTTGGCGACGTCCACCCATGATCAGGTAGCGGGAATAATATTGAGGTGTTTGTATTTCTGGTGGCCTAAGCGAACGTGCAGAAAAAGCCTTATGTTCTTGGAAACTGCTTAGGACCTGGGCACGGATGATATTGATGACCCTCTTCCTTCCACGACGAAGCTCGATAATGTTGTGCAGTGAATGAATGAATGAATCGGGGGGATGCACTCTATGTTACAGATTACTTAGTATCCATTGAGATACTAGTTCCATAAGTTCTACCACGATTTTCCTCATGGTTCCGCAAGAGACCACTGCATTAAATCATCGAATACGAACATAATCAAAAACAATAAGAAGCAAGCCCTCTACATTTGCTTCTAGCAGAAGCAGTGCTTGTGTTGAGTGAGTCTGTATTTTTTGGTTTTTCACTTTTGTGAGCAAGAAAAGCAGAAGAAAAGATGTTGCCAGCACAACCAGGAGCTAAGGCCACAACGGTCTTCACTCCAGGTAAGAAGAAGCGAATCAACCTCGTGGCAGTATGCATGAACATATTCTTGCCATGGTACTATTTACACTACTTCGACAATGATCTTGATCCTTCTTCATCTCTTTGTTTTCTTCTTGCTCTGATTTTGACGCTCGAACGTACAACAAAGTCGTTCTTATGAAATTCTTACGAGGACTTTTAGTTTTATTCACAACAGAATCTCCTATTCTCATCGAAGTTCCTTAATCGATCTCAGGTTTCTCTTTTCGGCACTCTACGCGATATTATCGTTTTCGTTTCATTACCAGCAGCCAGCGGCCGCATGGTTATGTGTAGTTAAGGCCTCACTTAATCCACCTTTTGGCCCATCTGTGAACTGTTTTCAAGAAGAAAAACGGAAGCAGATGAGGGAAAAGATGGATTGTAGTGAGTTCTAATGTAGGCCTTGGATTGCTTTTATCACTTGCAGCAATAGGTGTCGCCTTCGCGTCAAGAGGGAAGGACAGAGATCCAAGTTGGTACAACTAGGAAGATTACTGGAAAATATGCTTAGTACTAGGAATACCCGGTGGATTAATATTTATGCATCAAATGGTCATAGCTTCTGCTTCGTTGATGTTCCCGATCTTAGACCTTGCGTTGAAGCTTACTACAGTTGCCAAAAATCATGCCCTAAAAGACGACTATCTAATCGATTCTGAGTAACGATCTTGTTAACCGTTGAATGGTACATCCAAAAAGGTACCTTTTTTCCGGCTTAACGCTGTTTTTTGCGGTGATATTAGCGGCAATTTTCGGTGATATGAACTTCTGGTACAACATGCAGCCGTTTTACGACATAGAAAACCTCAACACATACCCGTCAGTGGACCCAGCGACGCAGACAGGTACTCACTACAATAATTTCTCAAGTGAAGTCGCAGAAGGCAATTTGAACAGCCGTCGTGTCCTCAATATGAAGAACCTCAGTCTATTTATCTTTTCCTTTCATCCAGAAGGTCGACGTTGAACTTGAACGTCACAATCAAAAGCGATACAACGAAGAGCATTGTCAAAGATTACGATCCCGGTTTTTCTTTCCTTTGAGGTTTACAACGCACAGTAACTACAGATCTATTCGAATTCCTCTCAACACTCTTCTCAACTACACAGGTCAGCGATTGATGGACGCAGGACGTGTGTATTTTGCTGACAACACACGATTGGATACCAGCAAAGCTATGGCTTTCAAGAACTTGGATCTCTATTGCGTAGCGCCAATTGTCAACGGGAATCAGGCACTCGAAACCTACGACTTTTGGGCGGTCGGCCTCAACTGCTGCAGTGGAGTACTTAAGAATGTTGAGATATGCGTTTCCTTGAAGAGTTGTTTTGGTTGTTTGGTTCCGCATTTTCTTCGGAAATGAGAAACGTTTCTAAAGGGTAAGATTGTAGTGCAACTTATACTGGTCAGGACTACAACAACCCACTACTGTGATATTTATCTGTAGGTCTCAGCCGACTTCCGATGTGGCGAATTCAACAATCCGCATGCACGATCTGGTCTCCGACTGATGCGCGATGATCAGCGACCCTTCTTTCGTTTGGCAGTACAACAGGCAGCCGCAGCGCACCATCTCAAGAGCACGCATCCATTGTTCTTCTATTGTTATGGGTCTATTGCTTGAACTTGATAGTAATTCAGATCTCTTTACACATGATCATGATCGTGAATATTTCACTCTTGAGTAGGTCAAAGGACTTTTCACATGTTTCGGCATTGTTTTCTCCGCTTCAAGGCTCACGTACACACAACATAATCACGATCATGATCATGATCATCATCATCATCATCGTCATTTCCCTTCTATGATTTATGCTTCCCTAGTTAGGCCTCTAATGTCAGCTCCAGGACCCAGTTGGAGAGATGAACAGCTACCGCGATCAAGGCTTCAAGTACTATTTATTGGGTATCTTCACCCACTTCGCCTTCAACCTGTTCTGCGTTACGGTAGCGGTCATCGGCTTCTCCAGACTGGGCAAGTCATAAAACACTTCTTGCTCTACTGTGAAGATTCATACTTGATAGAAATAGTATCTATAGATGGATAGGGATATTACTGTGACTGATAGTGTAGGTAGAGGTCGTGATGTCTTCATAGCTTTGACGAAGTGGAATGTTGAAGATTTGGAGATGTGAATATAGTCAGAACAAAAGAGGACGTTAGGAATGCTTTGTAACCTCAACCTTTTTACAATTACCAAGAAGAACAACGAACCATGAAAATATTATACAGTCAGCAGAAGTTCCAACCAGAACCAGGAGAAGTTGTGTAAAGAGAGACACGCTGTCCGTATCAATATTCGCAGAAAAGTGAAGCAAGAAAGATCAACAGGCGCGGAACCCTCGTTCTACTACCTAGAACGAGGTGGAACAACTACCCAGAACTATATATAATATCAACAAAAATACCTTGCGCAGAACAGTTCAGTACAGAGATGCAAAGCAGAGGCTCGCCAAGCGACCTGGTTTTCACGCTCCCTTGACAAGGAAGACGAGGATAGACATTCACGTATTGATATTTTTGTGCATGAAAAAATGTATCTATGTACCTAAATTCTAGAAAGTTTGAGTAAGATAAACATTTTTTTTTGCCGAAATTAAAAGCTTATTGATTTAGAAGTACTTTCAGTCTTTTAACATCTTTTTCATCTAAACAGTTGTGCATTCACGTTTTTCTCATAAGTCTTTTTTTTTCTGTAGCGCACACCTCACAGGGACGATAGAAAACCAATCATGTTTGTCCTCATCTTTCCGAGTCATGGAGCAAGAAAGCCGAGAAAGTCCAAGAATCCGCAATCAGTTATTTTTATTTTGAGAAAGGCAACGACACAAACAGCAGCTGCCTCCTCACTCTTACAGTAAAAAGCATATCGCTTCCCTGAGAATGCTGGTTTCACGCGGAGGACGCAGATACTCGGAACTATTGTGTCTGCGGAGGTGCTCGAGTGGGAGTTGAGCTGTTCCTGCTGCCAAGATGATGCGATGACCACGATGGACATTACCCGAAGCCGATCCATATTAACTCAGTGTCTTTCAAGATCAGATCAAAGAAATGGAGCTCTTATCTTCACAAACGAGTAACTTTTCTTACGAGAATGATCAATTCCAGCGAGACGATGAGTAACTCAAATTATCGTGCACTATGGGTCTTCGATTGGTTGCATAGGCATGAAAACAAATGTGAATGTCTCTTGATGTAGTTAGAGATATTATTGATCAATCTGTCTACTTGCAGGGATGCAGTGCTGAATAGGTTCAGGTTCAAGAAGTTCTTGAAAAATGCTAGTGCGAGCTTCATCGTTCCTGTTGTTCGACAAAGCACGTTGAAAATAGATCGCATTAGCTTTCGTCCAAAAAAGAGGTAGTAGCATAATCCACGTATGTAATATTTTTGAAAAAACAACAACTCACTCCTGCAGGTGGGAAAAAATGATGCTAATCCGATTGTCTCAGTGAGTTTTGGCCTTCAGAACAGTCATGATGTGTGTCTATCCGTAATAGAAATCATCGAATATTATGTATCTTAGTTGTTGTAGTATAAAATGAAGAGGAACACTCCTGGTGCAGCAAGCTCTTCGTCTGGCAGCGCGAAAGCGCAGCCCAAGAAGGCGACTCGCGGAGGCTACGACTTGAAGGCGGTCCTTGCCGCAAAGAAGGCTGATATGAACAAGGGTCGGCCCGACAAATCCCTGTTGAAAGGCAAGTTAGCAGCCGCGCCTCCGGTTTTCACCAAGCAGGAAAAGCCCGCGGAGGAAGCCGAGAAGGAGGAGCAGCGCTTATTGGACAGGAGGGTCGAGAAGGAGCAGGAAAAGTCGTCGAAAGAGCGCGCTTCACTGCAGGACAAATATGAAAACTACTTTTCAACGCGCGTTGGCGAGGTTACTGGGGAAATGATGCGCGAGGTTGAGGAGCGCGAACGTCGAATGGAGGAGGAACAAAAGCAAGATGAACAGAAAGAATTAGAGGACAATAATGCGACTGGCAGTGCAACTACAGTTGTAACGAGCACCATCTTGACGGACGGTCCAGCAACTTCTAGCACAAAGACCGCTGGGAACGCAGCGAATAATAGCCTTCCTTCAACTTCAGGCACAACTGCTGTTGCCGCTGTTGCAGAAGAAGGAGGTTCTTCAAGTAGTTCAGCAGCTGATGCATCTGGTGGCACCAGTACAGTTCTTGTTCCTTTTAATAGCGTCTTAGCCGCAGCAGATGACCAAAATGTGCTAGCTCTCTTTTCCGCTTCTAGGCGAACGGAGCTTGCGAAGAAGACGGCTGCTGTAGTGCACTCGTACAGAGCCGCAGACGTTCATGACTCCCGACCGGAGTTCACCGGTACTTTTTCCAAACTCTTTGGTTTGGGCGGTGCGCATTATGACCGCTTCACCAAGGAGGAGGTGTTTGCGGCGCTGCGGCGCTTGGGAGAGCCCGTGACGCTCTTCGGGGAGTCTCCAGCAGAAAGACTGCAGCGCTTGAAGCTCGTGGACCGACACAGGGCCGCCGAAGGCGAGGAGCGCGGCTCAGGACAGGCCAACAAGTTCCAGCGAATCCTTCGTTCGGTGATGAAGGAGGGCGGCGACGACAGCATGTTCTACGAGAACAAGGAGGACACGCGTCACACAGCCTCGAAGTTCATGCGCTTGGAGTATTTCGGCGGTAAGCTCAAGAATAAGGAGCGAAAGGCGCAGGGGCGCAGCAAGGACGACTCCTCTGGTGGCGAGGACACGGACGATGAGGAGGGCCAAGGCGGTAGTGCGAAACGCCGAAAGGTGAGTGCTGGAACAGGTAGTTCGAAGCGCAAAATCCTGCGTCAGCTCGATGTCGTCTCCGACAGCAGCAGTGCTTCTGAATCCGGATCTGAGGACTCGCCTACCAGCAGAAAACCGGTCTCAGCACAGGACCTGGAACTGGATCCACTGAAGGGGCTGCAGAGCGCAGTAAAAGCCAACGCGTCGGAAGAGGAGGAAAAGAAGCGGCTGATCTGGAAGAGCAACAAGGAATTGGAAGTCAATCTCGGTGCCTGGTACACGGGGGCTTCCATCCTCTCCGGAGGAAGCAACATCGGCGCTCGCGTCTTCCTGGAACAAAAGGAGGGGGAAATCATCAAGAAGGATCTCAAGAATCTGAAAAAATCAGCGATTTCGGACTTGACGAAGAGCGCTGGAGCACTGGAGCGACCAGAAAGCCACAAAAAGATGAAATCAGCCTCGACGCCTGGTCCGGTGAATAGCGCTGGTACAACGACGGCTGCTTCATCTTCCTCCGCTCTGGCCGTGTCGGGACCCTCAGGTGCGAAGGACGGCGCCACCGATGGAGATAATCTTCAGGTGAAAACAGCGAGTGCTAGTGGCGACCCACAAGGGGACGTTGCTGAAGGAGAGACTACACAGCAGGAAGCAGCTGGTCCGAAGTTACCATCTAGCAGTACAGCCTGGATCATGACAACGGGACAGCTGCTCAAGCATGTGGAGACGAAGGACGAATCCGCGAAAGTTGGTGGCACCAGCTGGAAAGCGTCTAAAGAGTACCGGTTGCGCCGCTGGATCAAGCAGTACTGGCGAGTGTGGGCAGAGAATTTGCTTGCGCGCTCATTCGAGGAGAAGAACAGCAAGGAAGGCAAGCTGCAGACGGCGATTTTCGAGCAAAGTCGACAAGATATTCAACCTCTGCTGCGAAAGCTGAAGGAGGTCGGAAACTACAAGGCGCACGTGGCGGAGCGTCAACGCGAGGCTGAAATGAACGCGATCGCTGCACGCGACGGACAGGCTGCGACACCTGGTGTGCTAGAACAACCACCTCTCGTCGCACCACCAACGCCACCAAAAGATGACGATGAAGAAGATGCCGAAAATCAGGACCACGAGGATGCGGAAGAAGGTTCAGAGGAAGATGGCGAAATTGTTTTTCTTGGCGGTTCTAGTGCACCAGAACAGGGTCCCCAAACCGAGGCCGAAAGCGCACAGACCACGAATTCGACATCTACAACTGGGGAGATACAGCCAGCGGGAGCAGGAGCGTCTTCGGGCACCTCTGCGACGAGTACTGGTGCTGTCACAACTGGCACTAAAGATCAGTACCTTTCGACCTCGACGAAATACGCGAAGATGGCTAAGGAGTCAGACGCGGTTTCTAAAGTCAATAAGAATGATCAGGAGACGGTGGACATGCTCTTCAGCATGACGACGCTGTGTGACAAGAAGCTCTACCGAGAGGCCACCGCAAAGTATTGCGATTTGATCATTGGGCAGAACGCGTGGGGCATTCAGGGTCGAACGAGGATTTACAAGCGGCCGCGTGGAGCCACCTGGCAACGAGTGGAGATGTGGAGTGCCCATAAGGTGGATAATGATGTGCGTATGCACTTAAACGACGAAACGACTCGACGCTATCTCCAGGTGTTCAAAAGGCTCATGCGGGTTTGCGAGACCGTCCACCCACCCGAACACGCAAGTATGTCCTTAGCGTAGAGGGGTATCGATTGAAGTACTGACTATGTGGTATCTATACTTATTCCTCGCCCATTTTGTGTCGACAGAAACGACCCTTGTTCACCCATCAGAGCATTCGGGGGTTGCGTTTGCGATACATACTTATACACTCTGATCAAACGTTCCCTACTCCCCCGCAATTTACCTCGAGAGCATGTTTGCTATTCATCACAAAACCACAAAATCTAGATCTTGAAACATACAAGTAGCAGCGACACGTTGTACCTTTTAGCACCCCGCCTCCTTTGAATGCTTGTTGTTTCTGTATTTTCTAAGACCTCACGCTCACCGAGAGATATGTCTGTAAGCAATAGAGTGTTCGACGAAATCGGTAGAAAGCCACCGAGCGCTAAGACTTACGGGTGGTGCTGATATCATTGCATGTAAAAAGAAGACAGAAGAACAAGACGGTTTTGGTTGTAGACTCTTTGTAGGATACATAGATTTCTTTCATCGGTGTAAGAAATGTGGCATGCGTCGTGACCGTGAGAGATATGGCGTGTTGATTTGAAAGGTGCGGCTTGCGAGCAAAGTAAGTACGATTATGATGCACATGCAGCGTCACAGAGATAGATAATTGTTGCACTATGCGTTTGCTAAATAGACAAGATGATTTTACTTTTAGTTGAAGAGAACTGGTATTAGATAGATGTTGATCCTGATCGAGAAAGAGCCAGAAGTGTACGAAATGTGCAAGAATTCACAAGCAAAAGCATAAGGCTGGGGATTGAACGCAGTAGATGATCGATCCACTTTGTCTTTCAAGGAGGGGCTTTTATCATATGTTCTCGGAACGGTTGATACCACGTCGTTTTTGTAATTTCACGACAACAATAACAAAGTACTTTACCACAGCGACCGCAAGATGGTGATACTTGCTTTCTCGTTTCTGAGTGTGTTTTCACTGGCGACGGTGCGAGCCATGCAACCTGATCAACACCTGTGGGCGAGATCGTCTGCATGTATTACTGCCCAAACGCAGAACGCGGAGAATAGCAGACGGAACTACAGTAATCTTTCATCCGGGCACGGGTCTTCTCATCCGACTCCTGTTCTACTCCATTCACCGACTGCTGTTCAGCCGCCCGAGTCCGATGAGCATGCTCGGGCTGCCGTGAGCTCTCGTCATAGGCATTCTGGGTCTGTGCCAGCATCCGGAACACTTCGTCTTGTCGCTCAGCGGCGTTCTGAGGTGCTCCCGGTACCTCAGACCATCGCTGATGAAACGCAACACCGCCTCGTGCGGTCCGCGTCTTGCCATACGCCTTCGACGCCGCCGCAACCTATTGCTGGTCAGCGACAACAGCCCGTTGAGGTGACCCGGACCACATCTGCCTCACCAGGTTCTATCTTCGATAATACTCCGCCCCAGTATAATAGGCAGACGCGGCGCGCCTCTTGTCATCGGCCGTGTCAGCCGATGGCGCAGGGTGGCAAAGGTCCGAAGCCGAATCAGAATCAGCCCTCCTCTTGTCCGAAAAGCAGCGAGTGCGAGAGGCTAAGGACATCAAGCGCTCGAGACCTTGGGGTTGCTGAAGATCCAAAAGAGAACAAAAGTATTATGGACTACCGTTTTGACGCGCTTCCAGATGCGTTTCCAGATGCGTTTCCTGATGAAGATTCGGGCAAGGCTGACCGTGGTTGCTTAGGCGGAACGCCCCTCTCGCAACTCATGTTTGGACTTGGCGAAAGCTCGTCTTCCAGTACGTCTCAACACGATCACCCCCTTCTCTCGTCTGAACGCACAAAAACTGCCGAATCTAAAAAAAATGGAAACGCAAGCAGCGGAATTCTTGCTCCTCCAAACCCAGGACGTGAAGTTGGAGGAGGCCTCGCCTCTTCAGATGAATCACGCCATACGAATCTAGTTTATGGCAACCATTTTGACACACGCATCCTGGTCAGCTAGTACTTTCGAAAGATATAAATATTAGTACTATAATTAGAGTAGTTTATAGACGCTGGGCTACGCTGGGTGGCTGGGCGGCCTCGCTGGGCACGCTGGGCGGCAACGCGAGGCACGCTGGGTGGCAACGCTGGGCACGCTGGGCGAGCGCTTGGATAGCGCGTGGCGGACTTGAGGGCCACACATTGAGCATGCTGAGCCCGCGCGGCCGATGGATTTACTTGCGCCGCGGGGAAGCGGTGCAGGTGCAGCGCGTCCCGTGAGCACAAGCAAAGGCGGCGTGCCGCCCTCAAGGTACAGGGCAGCGCTGGCGCAGTGCTGCGCCAGTTTGCGCAGTAGCGGGCTGCGCCTGGTCTGTTCAGGCTTGCACTGCATTGCGCTGCACTGCGCTCCTCGATGCGTGCAATGCTGCGCCGCTCCTGTGCACAACGGTAAACTCGCCAGCGGCGTTGGCCTTTGCCTACGCTAGACTAGCACTGCTGGCGGGGTTCTCCAGTTGGGCGCCCCGCGATTGGAGGCGCCCAGCGTCACGCTGGGCTCAGAATTCGGCAGATCTGGCACATTTGGGTCGCCCAGCGACCCAGTGTGCCCAGCGTGCCCAGCGTGCCCAGCCCAGCCCAGCCATGTTGGGAAACCTTCTAAACTGTTCTAATATTTATATGTAATTCAACGCTGACTTTATGTAATACTCGGATCATAATTCTTCATCGTGTTTTTGAAAGAGATCAATTCCCGTTCCTTGTTTGAAAAAGAAGTATCTCTTTCCCTAAGAGGCGCAAAGAAGAGCTCGAGACTCAGATTGCCGCGAACTGAGACTTGCAACTGTAGCCGCAACGAGCAGGTTTCGGGAAGAAGACGAAGAATCAGATCGAGCAGAGACGGCGGAGCGTAATGCTTGGGCATCGTTTTGGCCAAGTTCTTGGACGAGTGCTTGGTGGTCTGACAATGAGGGAAACTCCACCTCCGGAGCGATACCTCAGACGGGCACGACCGCACAGGAGGAGCAAACGCCATCTGCTGCAGGAGAATCTTCAGCCACCTGTGCTGAAAGCGCACTTGATGCAGATGAAAAACAAGATGCCGGAGGTGATATTACTTCTGGGGAGAAAGAGAACGAACAACACTCCCGTCCGGCTGAAACACTTGGAGATCATGGTGGAGAAGAGCTGCGTGCCTTGTCTACGGTTATCTTCACGAACGATAATAAGCGAGGAGGGGAGCACCACAACATGCAACATCCTGTCTCGCGTAGATGTGTGTCCTTCTGTTCGCAACCGGTTGTCAAAGTGGAGCCGGAAGATGCTGAAGGCGCAAGATCCGAAAGCTCAACACACTCAAGCAGTACACAGTGTTTCTTCGATGTTTCTCAGTTTTCGTTTCCTTCTGGAGGAGCCATGGACGATTGTGACATTCATCTGGAGCAGCAGCTTTCTGGCGCTGTTGATGTTGATGATGGTCAACATGCTGTTGATGGTGATGTTGAAGATCTTAATATTGATCATTATGGGATGCCGCGAAGTGAAGAAGCTTGTGAAGAAGTTAATTGCAACTATGAGGATGGCGGAGATATGCCAGCGTCGCTTCCGCATTGTCGTCGAAGTTTTTCAGAAGGACTGTGTACTAGTGTTATGGTCCTCCGCACAGGTTCCTTCATTTGTTCACGGAGCACCTACCTCTACTCGGTTTTTGTACCTCCTTTGATTCCTACGTACTCATACAACTGAACTGAGTACTTAAGACTCAAGATGAAAAATGGGAACAAACCGAGACGATGGGTCCGAGATGAATGAAAATACCTGAGTGACACGCTAAACCTAGTCCACCATGTTCCACTATTTCCAGTAGTTGTTCTTGTGAAGAGACTCACACCGACTGGATTGGCTTAGGAGCTTTATGTTTGGGTGAGGATGAAGTACCAGTAGCAGTGGATCAATTTCAACCACTGACGGTTCGGCGTCCATCTTTCTTGGGGTGTCCAGATGAAGGAGATGACCTGCAGCGTGTAGCTCGCCCAGCATTTTTGGGCAAGCTTCAAGAAGACGACGAGGGCGAGGGTTCCGAAAGCGTGCCGGGCGTTGTGCTCGCTGATTCTGATGTGCTAGCTGATTCTGATACACCTTCTTCTAGCACTATGTCAACGTTGGTTGCGCTTGCCCGAATCAAAACGGTTGCGTGCAACAAAAACGCCAACGTTTTCAAGAGTCTCTTTTTTTCAAGTGAAATGAGTGCAGCATTAAGTCCTTCCACGAGATGCGCAGAAGCAAAAGTAGACAAAATTGTACTGCAAGCAACGCAGGTGCTGAAAAGCGTGTGCGGGAACTTTCCTGACGCGTGTGATTCACTCTTGCAAAGGACACCTGCATCTGTTGTTGAAATTGGATCTCGACGTGGGGCACATGCCATAGCGGCTCTCGCTGTCACAACGTTCGTTCTCCTCTTGGCAACACGCATACAAAACCCGACTTCGTCGTGCCTTGCTGCTACACCAGCCGACAATGAGAGCAACTTCTCCGTTATTTACAAACTTAATTATGATAGTTGTCGGCGGCATCAAGAAGATGAAGATCAGAGTCAATGGTGGGATGAACCAGCAAAACGTGGAGATGAACAGTGTGGGCGCGCTGAACATCTTCAAAGGCAGGCTAGAAATGCTACTGCAAAAAGGGTTGACGAGTGCAGTGAGACGACCTGTGGCAGTGTTGACGTGTTGAGCAACGAGGGCCGTCGCGGAACATGGGGCATCGAAAATACAACAGCAGCACCAAATAGTTCAGAGCTAGGGAATTTTTCAAGTGCCACCTCATCAATCTCTTCGCCTGCAGCACCTCATATACAAGTGGCAAGAAGAAAAATGCAAGCTGCACAAGATATTGCTCAAGTACCAGCAGGACAAGATATCCTTCCACCTCATGATATTTGTTCTGCTGCTCCACATGGTCGTGGTGGTACAACTTCAATACCGCGACCGCCGCATTGGAGTACTATTGTCAACAGAACTGCCCTTTCCGAGTACCTGGCTTATCTTCGCGCCATGACCTACGCGCAAGGCGCTTTGATTTTGCATGAGGTTGTGAAAATGGTACAAGACGTAGCACTAGGCTTTGGCTTCTCGGTCTCCGACGTGCAGCACGCTGCAAAGCAATTACTAGTAGAAATCTGGCGAAGCCGGAAGACAATCTCAGTCAGCTCCGTCACTCTCTTCATAGTTGCAATGGCGGTGCGTGCAGACCCGATGCACCAGGGCTGAGAAATCTGCTAGAAGATAAATTTTTAGACCCAGCATGCATGTTGGCGATATGCATGTATGAGTAGCACTAGCATTAGCGCCATATCCATGCATATAATGTGTATGATTAGTTTGAATTGGAGGAGATGAATACGATCAGCATCACGTTTGCCATGTATCACACTTAATATCAAAACTAGAACCAAGCATGTTTTTGCAAACACAACATTCAGTTTCAACGCATATTTGTAGAACAGGGGTCGATATGATTACCTCCAGTACTATTATGTAATAATTCTTGCTTCCCCGTCTAGTGGTGCTGCTTCTGCTCATCATATTCATACTACCATGTAGTTCTTGAAGTTTTCTTGTCGTTTGTGTGCACGCACATGCATGCGTAAGATGAGAACATAAGGGGAGCTCGAACTCCTTGATATGATAGTACACTCCTCAGTATTGATAACCCACAAAGATGTTGATGTTCTTTTTTGTGACATCAGTAACTACTAAGCCACGTCGGGGCCGCTTCTAAACACAGCTAAAGAAGAAATAACCGTAAGTCTTGATCACGATTCACCAACATATCGAATCAAGCAAGTGTAATATTAATACCAGCACAACCTTTCAACTTCGCTATATATAATAAGATTGGAGATTCAGCCAAGCGAAGTCTTTATACGATGGCACAAGTTATGTGCACTCCATAGAAAAACCTAAACCATAGATTAGAGTATCCAGAGATGGCACCTCGTTTTCGTTGTTATCATCTTTATGTCAGAGAGCTCTGCAAGAACCAAGAAGTATTGTAACGATCATTCTGTTGTTGCACAGAAGAAATCAAAACAGTATAGCAGAAGAAACATCAGATGCATAGCGTGATTTTTTTTCTAGTAGCATGAAAATAGCCTTTCATCATGTCATAGTGTGTTCATCCCATCTTCAACATGAAATGTCTGATCATGTCCATTATGTTGTGGTCACAGTTGCATGTTGGCTACGGCCTTCCGCCGACTCCTCTGACGAACACGCCTCATGACGGATTGTGCGTGTTCGCACTGGAAACTGCGTGCCTTCAATGCCGCGACGATCATTGCATACTAATTTTGGCACAGTAGATCTTCCCTTATTCTTTTATACAGCTGCAGCGACGCAAAAGCATGAAAAGCGGTTGTTTTTGATCTTTATACGGATCGATGGTTCAATATTGCTGCAAGATTCATTTTCTTTACACAAACCCGATCATAGTAGGAGTTCCAGCAAGCAGCTCTTCAAAGCTGTTTTAGTTCCAACCAACGTTTAGTATCAGGCTAAGCAAGAAATGCCAATAGATGGCATACAGAATATCTCATCTTTCAATACCTCTCGTCGGTAGGTAGGCTTGTTGGCATTTTTCATATCTCGGTTGCAAGCTTTTTCGGGTCTTGTTTGTTCTCATGCTCATACATCCGATACTACATTTACATAAATACATACGCTTCATGTTTAGACCAATCTAGATTCATATCGTAAAGTTGATAAGAAACTAAGTATCCATTCTTCCGTTGAAGGTGACGACACCTTACGCTGAAAGGATCAGCTCCTAAAAAATTCCTACGTGTCACGTCTGCTAATACGTACATCTTCCTGTCGCCTACGTTTTCGTTCAGGAAAACGGCAAAGACAATGACAAACTACATTCTTCTAGCAGATCCAGTTATACATAGTGTCAACATCACAATGTTGTTACTCCACGCCGCGACTTCCGTCGCTTTGTTTTCGGGCACGACATTGCCAAACTGTGGCATTGTAGGCGTTTCTGCAGCAGCACTTAAGGTTGGTGGTGTTTCATAATGCTAGATAATGCGAACTACAACTACTTATCCTGCTTCCACTGACTGATGAGTGGAAATATTCCCTCAATAGGGGTGAGCTGCTGCTCAAGACATCAGTTGAAAATTACTTAGCGTAATCAAGCGAATTATGATGTAGGACTAGGTGTACGTGTAGGACTTCTGCACAACCTCTATCTAAGAAAGGGGGCAGCAGCAACGGCAGGGCTCTACTTGGGACCCCATACAAGTCCGATCCGCGAAGTGAAACTGCAACTGGAGCTGTTGTTGGAAATGCTGGTAACAGAGGAAATCACTCACGAAGGAGCAGAGGAAGTACTAGTTCGGGTCGTAACGCGAAGTCCTCCTCCAATGCTGGACATCATGGGTCGCATACTCACCAAAACGGTAGTCATCACGGGTCGCATACTCGTAGAAAGATGAGCCCCTCACGCTCCTCTGGTCCTGTGCCGCGTGCGGTAGCCCGTGACCCTGAAACGGCGCATTGGCAGGCCGTTGCAAATGCTGCCCACGAAAAGAAGCAGGGCTCGCATGATGCCGTGGACCCAATGCTCAATGCTCCAGTCCGTGGTGAGCGTGACGGTATTGCTGGAATCGGTGTTAAGGTCTTGCTAAGAATATTTGAATCATGCATGAAGATGAAAATCAAGATCTGAGTAACACGTATGTAGATGCTGAGTTTTTTCCAGCAAGAGTCATCACACTAGGGTAGAAGTACTACTAAGATGAAAATGGATTGCGAGGATCAACACGGTCTTCTAAAGACAGTAGCGGGGGGCATTACATGACGTCGACAGAGAAGTCTAACCGTCGCTGGAAGAACTTCGACAAGAAACCGGAAGAGGTGCCTCAACCGGCTACAGCGAAGAGCGATGGTGGACTCACCGAGGACTTTCACAGTCTTTGTAACGGCAGTACAAATGCGGGAGCACAGCGGGCCACGGAGTGCAATTATAATTACGGCTACTTTTTCATTAGACGACTCAAAAAGTTGATGATGTGTTCTGCAGAGTGTCTTCTCCATTCAGAAGATTTTTAATGAACGAGCCAACGGATAAAAGGCAGAGCATTCACACAGGCTGCTAGGATGACGAAAAGTGACCATGTTTTTTCAGAAGGGCATCTTTAGGCAGTTTGTGATCACCTTCATGCGCTAAATATCCGGGTAGGCCTAACGATACTATGATAACTTTTACTTCTAAGGAGGTGATGGAGAATTCAATGTTCTTGCAAAACGCGAAACTCGCCACCCGTGTGAGCATACGGCCGCCAAGGCCCGTGCGGGTGAAGGAGGGCAGTGCTTGGAAACAGTCGATGCCTCGTCAACCGAGAGTGGCAAAAATGACGTTGCTGAGGATGAAGTGGCAGAGGATGAAGTGGCTAAAACTACTCCTAGCGAGGGAAGCTCGGGCCAGAAGACTGTGTTGTCCCTGAAGGATTTGGCAGGCCAGAATGCTGGCGCGCGCCTCCAAGCACTAGACGGAGAAGGGGACAATGGTCGGGGTCTTCTAGATCGCGCTGTCGCGGATCAGCGCAAAAAAAATGTTGCGGATCACGAAAAATATTCCCATTACGGGCGCGAATTCGATCACGCGGTGGACTCTTGGTGCGCCCCAGCCGGGCAGTGCCTGGTTCCGCTGAATAAACAGATTCACTCCTTCAGAGGGCCCGATCCACACCTTTCCCACACGTTTATTACCTCTCCGTTCGTGCAAGATGCTCCGCAATGGGAGAAATCAGTGTGGTTTGACAGATTCAGTCAAGGCTTTCGTATTCCAGCGCTAACATTATGAGATGGACAGAAGTCTCAGTCTCTTCAGGTCGAGACGTTTCATGTACTAGGGAGGAGATTTGAGATTGCAGTAGATAAGGTCGCCACCATCTTGTACCATGATTAAGCGAGGAGTTTTTTTATCTTCGTAAAAGAAACGACTGTGGCGCCTCTTCATAAAAAGGGCGTTTGATGTCTGCACATACTACAAACTAATAGCATGTTGGATCTGCACCAGCTCCAGCCTCCAAAAATCCTAAGGATGTCATTCCATTCCATGAATTAGGACACATGTATCTACCTAGAAGCAGTAGTTCTAACAAGAGCTGTTCAGGTTGACGAGGAGATAAGAGCGGGAAGGGAGGCTGCCTCTGTCAAGTCCGAGTCGCGGACTTCGCGTGGCCGAAGCAGCTCCACTCCCCGGCCAGACCGCAATATTAGGACAAAGCAGATTGATCTTTTTTTTGATTTTGATAACGGATACTATAGTAGATAGTTCAGTCGCTTTTTGGTTCTTCATCTACGATAGTTTTTCAAGGTGTCGGACCGAGGCGAGCTTTAGAAAGTTGTCAAGAAAGAGCTCCTTATAATCAGATGAGTGTTGTGGCTGTCACTCGGGCAAGAAACTAGGTATCTATTTAGAGGAGCTTTCATCGAGAAGTGAGATGATCAATATTGATTTCATAAAATTAAAATGTTGACTGTTGAGCTCGTCGTCTAAGAAAGAGTACGCCCCGATGCGGGACAGTAGCAGCACCTTCGACGACGCGGACGCCGTCGTGGCACATCCGTCTGGAAACAAAAAAGTCGATTATGGCCCGCAGTTTCGATTGTGTATGCATTATTGCGAGATCACCGAGGGGTGTCGCTTCGCCACTTTTTACACTGGCCATGCTCACGGTTTGTGCCAGCTCACAGAAACGTGTATCGTACAAGCGCATGATAATCATCACACTACCAGTGTCATCCACCGTTTCAACCCGCCATTTCCGCCACCTCCGGAGGACAAGAAGGGTCATCCCAACGCAGAGCTAGCAGCAGCAAGTACGCCAGCGACGAAAACTACTGAGGAGCACGACGCTGGAATGGCTGTTGTAGTAGACGGAACAGGCGAGGATAAACAGGAAGCAAGTGAGGATGGGCAGAAAACGATCCAAGCACCGGTGAAAGACAGTGACAGAGATTCATCAATCGCGGTGGACGATCCTTCATCAAAAATGGAGGTTGAGACGGACGAGGGTCAAAAAGAAACCTCCAATGGCCTTATTTCCTCAGGAGTTGGAGACGCGATGGAAGTCGATGAGGACAACTCCAGGACGTCGATGGCAGGAGCTCAAGGAGGAGAAGGAGAGCAGGCAAAGCCAAATCCAGCTCAAGACTTGTCGTCTGGTCTCCTTGTCACGACGGGGAGCGCGCTGCAAGACACACAACAAGGTAGTTTTGCCTCAGCAAGAACGGATGCAGGATCAGATGTTCAGCTCGAGAATAACAGCCCATACACGCAAACTGTCGACGGAGCACTACTGCTTGACTCGCCTGGAGTCGTGGCAAGACCAGCGGCGCTAGGAACTGCTGGCCCGACTTTGGCTGGTCCGACTCTGAACCGTGCTGGTGGTGGTCTTTCCCATGGACGACGAGAAACCTATTGTCAGCGTTGCTACCAGGAACAAGCCCTTGCAGCCGCTGCCGCGAGAAGTGTTTCGAATAAACCAAGAAGACTTGGGTTTCGGCGGAAAGCATGCCAGATTCTCCCCAAAAGTTTGGCAAGGGGTCTGTTCAGCGAGACCATGAAGAAAATCGAGGCCAAAAGCGAGGCTAGCAGCAGGCAAACAAGCCGTGGACACAGCTTTAACGAGGAGGGTGCCAATTATCCAATTGCTGGCGCTGGGACACAAATGGGCATGTCTTCTGGTGACTCGTCATCAAGTCAGGATCCCTTTTCTGGTGCTGGGTTTTGCGCGAAGTGTGGCATTTCAACTACACTGCCAGCATACGCGAGAACAACTCCTGTGGTTGGAGGGACTAGCTCTGGAGCCCTTGGCGCTGCAGGATCTTCACCGCTTCACGGAGCACCAGATGAAGGGGATGGCGCCGCGAGTATTCTGGTTGACCAGCTGGCTGTTATGAAGCTAGACTCTGATGAAGCCGAGGGAGTTCTAGGAGGTTCTCGGTTTCCAAGCTTTCACAGTCTGGACAGCGCCGTCTCGTCTATGATGTCGACGTTATTGTTCCAAAATTCTCCGCAGGGAAAAAACGAATATGTTGACAACAATCAGTGTAGTTATATCAAGAAAGCACAGGAGGATTCACCTTCGTCTTCCGCACCGGTTTCAGCATCAGCACCAGCACAGCCGCAACGACGACAGGCTAAGCCACAAAGTACCCGGGGGCCAGGGCAAGGTGGTAGAGCTTCCTCCGTATGCACAGACCGAAGGAGCACTTCCCTCAGACCGGTAGAGCGGCCGAAGGACCTTGATCTTGATTTCCTGAGGAGTGTGGGCGAAAATCGAAAAAATCAGGGTTCGCGACGTGCGCAATCTGCGCAGCCGCAAAGAAGAGAGCAGCCGCTGTTTAGTGGAGCTTCTACCTCATCAGGAACAGGATCGGCAAAAATTAGGGCGCCATCCCTAAGAGGAGATTCCCAAGACTCCTCAAGGAGGGCCTCCCCCCACAGGCCGCGAGCGTCATCATCAGCTCGCGATCCAAAAAGGGCTATCTCCATGATTCCTCCAGGCTCTAAGGGAGTGAGTCCTCAGTTGTCCCGAACAGCGGCGGTTGCATCAATACGAGGAGAGGCGGGTGCGTTTGAAGCGTCGATTTCGTCGGGTAGCAGACGTGATGAATCATCGCAAGGCGGTCGTGCATCCCACCCCAAGCGCATCAGTCACAGTGTGCCAGCACCATCGCGACAGCGTGGTAAGCCTGGAGAGGATTTGACGAAAAATATGAAAGAACCTGCAGTTGCAGGTGGTTGTAGACCAAATTGTAAGCAAGGACTAGCACCCTCAGTGGCTGGCAGGTCCGGGTCGTCTTCTCAGGGGCCAAACAGAGTTAAGACAAAAACACCAAGAGCATCCTATTCGGCAGCATCCTTTTTGATAACGCTTTCTCCCTCAGTAAGTGTAAGGAAAAAATAAGAGGCCAAGAAGGATACTGTTTGAGAGGCGAGTGCAGTAGCTCTAAGTCTAATCAAACCTTTTCCGGGTCCGCCACTGGTACATCAATTCATACTACTGCTAAAATAAATCATCATCATGATGATACTGATAGAGCAGATAGAACAAGTCAGGCACTCGCAATTGCTTCCGGGCCTCCGCGACGCGGGAACCTCAATCGGATAGCAGAGCATGAGGAACGGGAACAACTGCTGGTGGAGACTATTTTGCCAGTTCTTAATGCACTCTTTACTTAAGGCTAGAACACCTCTTGTTCAACATCTACCAACCTAGTGTTGTCGTGGGCTCGTCAATATTCTCAGAGACTGGAGGATGAGGGATCCATCTTCCCCAGCGGAGCATCATCTCTGAATAGGCTCAGGGGTTCCTCTATTTTGTTCCCCAGGATTGGATAGGCTATAAGTTCACTCATTTTATTTCACAGGACGCAAATACCACGGATGATGACGAACAATCTACCACTAATCCAACGTCGATCAGATGGCCTTTTTGTCACGAGTTTTCGAGCGCTTTGCATCTATGCTCTGCCGTAGCGGTGTTACGAGGTGCATGCCAAGTAGTCGTGCCGGCACAGCACTGCAGCAAAGAGACGACGTGCACTTTTCTAGTGCGATGCGGAGGCACCAGAATCGTGGCCTCCTGTTCCTCTTCGTTTCCTTTGTGGTTTTAGTAGCGTTCAAACAAGCGGGGTTGGCTGAGTTTACCACGGTCATCAACGCCACGCCCCCTTCTTCGAACTACGGGACAGCTTCTGATCAAGATGATGCAGGTGGTCACACACTTTTCCAAGCAGATGAAGTAGAAGAAGACGTTGGCGGTGCTGCTGCTGCTGTTGCCATGGCAATGGGTGACGGCAATCACGGAACTGTCAGTTTTCACGAGCATGGTCTTGGCAGTGCCTTTAGTGCTCTCGGTGAAGATGCAACTGGAAGAAGCGAGAATGGCAAGAGCAGTCGTGCTGCACATTCATCTTATTCGTCGAAAGGTTTCAGCGATGAAGTTGAAGATGGTAGGGCTGCTTCAAGTCGAACTATGAATTCATATAGTTGCAACGTTGCAGGAGACCAACTACACACGACCGCGCCATGGGTTTACCAGGACAGCCGCATGAATAACAACAGTGCAGGCTCTTTCAGCGCATACAACTGCATTTCAGATTCAGAGCAAACCGAACGTGGTCATACTGCCACGCAAGCTGGTATGGTTGACAACTTGTCGCTTTTATCTTCACGAGCGCGTGGACACCGTGAACCACCTCAAGGTGGGCTATATGATGAAGATCCCGCTACCGGCTACGCACGGCTCCTTCGAGCCACCTGCGAAAGAGAGAGAGGGACAGTCCGTCCTGTGTTTTTCTCAGACATGACTGATGCCGATCATCACGGTGATGATTATAGCAATGATAACAATTATGAATCGGCTTCGCAGTTTGAAGACATACTAGAGGAGTGGCAAAAATTCAACGTAGGAGATGCGGAGTGGTGTCCAGCAGCACCACGTTCTGGAAAGAAAATGGAGGACTCTTCATCTTCTGGCACTCCTAATGCAGGAGTAGGAGGTACAGCTACTGCTCGAAGATCAAATTTGAATGATCATGTCGAGAAACCAGGAGGAGTAAGGCTTTGTTCACCCTAATTCATTCATTTCCTCTTAAGCATCTTGAAGCTGGCTCGTTCTTCCGAGTAAGAGGAAAAGAACAGCTCCGAGATGAAGCCGAAGGTGGATTGGATTGTAGTGAGCTCCTCTAATGAACTCCTCGTGCGGCGTGGAATGTAGTGAGGTGATGCGACTAGCGATGGAACTGTTCGGAGTAGAGAAAGATGAGTTGGATGAGACCCTTCTAGGAGTACTGTGGAGCCAATCGAACGGCACCCTAAGCCGATTACAGAGGTGGATCGCTGGCAATGTTAGGGGTTGTAATTGTAAAACATTTTGGTTTTCAGATGTAGACACTTAGGTCGTTTATTTGATATTGTTGATGTTACCGTCATTTTGGAATACAGTTGTTTCCCTTTGTTCTTCTTCTTTCACTACATCAAAGCGGACAACGAACTACGAGATCTTTAAAAATTTGATCCTACTCCTCATCTTATCTTTCCGTTTCCGAAGAAAGGGAAAACATCAGCCTCTAAGAGTTTTACCAGTAAGGACGTGCTGCTCAATGAGGACGAACTCCTTGGGTCGCTGATGCTGCTTGCCGATTACATGGTTAATGGACTGCTGTTTTTATGCTGAAGACTTTCGCAACAACATCGGTAGTAATGCTATTCATTGGGCGCTACGCCTACGCATTGGCATTTCTTGGGGGGTTTGTAGTAGAATATGTACCTGGTCGTGTATATTCTTTTCCAGCAGCTGATGTTGTATATTATTGATGGATCATGTTCATGATTTTCCTCTTCGTCTTCATGAACATGACCATCTACATCAAGAATTATCTTAGGGTTATTAGTCATCTACAACTTCCTTCATTGTAATCTCTTTTGTTTTCTCTTTCGTTCTAATTCTGCTTCCGGGTGTAGTTTACGACGGCGGTGAGTTTGTACTGAATTTGGGAGTCAGTACAGTCTCTGCGGTGGTTAGCGGGATGCAAAACACTGTAAATGCACTCTTGCCGATTGCGCAGAAAGGAGGCGCTCTTTTGTTAGGGACGATATTAACCATATTGAAATTACAGAAGGTGATATTTCTAGGGATAATAGAGTTGTAACGCTTTCCAAATCCAAAAACGCCGCTTATTTTCCAAAGGCATCCTTGAGGAGGACCTGCAAAAGTCTGTCAAGGATGTTCCTTTCTCAACAGTAGGACACAGAGTTTATCTAGGTGTAGAGTCGAGGGAACAAGTGTAGCGTGTGACTGAGGTGAGGGCGAAACTGTACTTTTTACTTTCACAGGGTGCATTAGCTCTACAGTAGTTGTCAGCAACGTCAGCAACATGGAAATATGCATGCATGTAGTTCTAGCAGGTCTAATTCTGTCCGCAAGTGCACAAGCCGGATGGAACCAGGTGGGTGAGTTCAAGGAGTCGGCACGTCTAGCGTGGCAGCGATCGGATCCGCGAACGAAGGGGAAAGTCACAATCGCCTCCGTCGGAATTCCGATTGTCATTTTTATAATATTACGGGTGTACTTATAAAATTTCGTGATTAAAGCAGGGTCGTTACTATGACCACGACGACCTCTGATTTTGATTTCATCAAGGAAAACCTAAATCATTTGAGAGAATGACTATCCTTTACTAGTGATTGCTTCCTGATTGGGTGTACCTAGCTATTATATGTATCAGTATCTATCCTAAAAAAGAGTACCGGAACGCTCCTCATTCCCTCACGCTTTTTCTACAGGAGAAAGAAAAACTACTTTCTTGCTCTAACGGTCAAAACAATGTACGAACACCATGCGATGATTCATGGCCTGCACGACGAGGCCTATTTCCAGGATTACATGCAGATGTATCAGTAGGGGCCAAGACCATGGGAGAAAGATGCTTACTAATCGCCGCAGGTGGTCGTGCGGATGCGGTTTCGGAAACGGAGTTTGTTTTCGAACTGCAGAGTATTTTTATTTTCACTCATCTTGTGATTTGTTTCATTTTCATAGATACAGGATTCATAGTTATTGTCGTTGTGACGATGTAGTAACGAGACAGAGCAGGGCATTCAGAGCCGTTGTACTGCAATTTCCTCCCCCACGCGTAACACATGTAAGTAGTTTCTCAAGGTGGTTTACTTAAGAAACTAAAACTATTTGTGGTTTGTATTTGGTGGAGTTGTTCTCTTGTCGGCTATCCGTACTGCACATATTCCGCAGATGAATCAGTTGAGTTATTCATTTCAGTAATGGCTATGACATAAATTTCACGGTAAGAGTGCTGTCACTCTGATTCATATATTGTTTGGTCCGCCTCGTTGTCTCCACCTTATTTGTCTACTTATTACGAGTTTATATCTATAATTAGACCGTTGACATGAGAATCAAGCTTTACTTCTAACAAAAACTATTCCTACGAACAAGATTGCCATTGCGGAAGATTATGTAATGGGTCTTGAAGTGAAGACGCGTTGATGGTATTATTCTCTTGTTTCGATAGCAGCAGCTCGCAGTAGATTCAGTGTAAATGACGTGTGTTTATTCGATAACTTGTACAGACTATGATTACCTTCTAGTTCTACTGATTTGGAAGCATCATGAATGATCGAAAATATGGATTATTTTTCTTACAACACCACTTTTTGTCTCTGTGGCCCGGTTTTTTTCCTATGGCAGTTTGTTATTGTTTATTTTGTTCGCGTCGAATGGCAGATAAAACTTTGTCGGCGCGTTGCTCGCGACATCAATTCCACATAAATATCACGATGGTCGTATTAAAAGGGCAGATTGACATACAGTCCATTGTTCACACGCATCGCTACTCACAAGAATGAGAACACTGATGAAGATGCCTGAAAATCCTGCTCTTTTCATAGAAACTCGATTGGTAGCTGAATTCTTGCGATGCTTTCGCACCTGTCGAGCTGGCTTAAGCAAGACCCAGCGATGATTACTGAATACTCTTGACAGTGTTTTGTAGTGGCGGATTTGCGGTGTAATTATTGCAACCTTTCTGCAGCTCGCACAAAAAAAGCATGCGCAATGCGCCAGGTACGAGATTCAGAGCATCGGGAAAGCAGCAGCTCGCGTCGTCCATTTGATGTCAAGGTAGTGGTTTTCGAGGATGTTTCTATGCGTCGGGCGATATGATGTCTTTTGGTAGCGGAGCATGGTCTTGGTCAGTACAGCTGCGTATGAAACTGGTGGTTACGAGATCTGCTTGCGTGTTTTTCGGTTGACTTTGGCAAGGGTTTTCCCCGGTGTCTCTCCGCTGACGTTGTGGAGACCTCGAGCGCCGTATGCTTTTATCCCGCGTGAGAAGGTTTTAGATCTTCTCCACCCAGGCTCCATGTCGCTTGTCCAAACGAAGTTGTCCGATTGGGAATTCGCTGATGACACTGTAGTATCCGGCCTTTTGCTGCATGCGTTGCTGAGCTTTTTTGTCTGGGATTTTAGTGTTGGCCGCTCTCTCGGTGTGAGGGCCAACCGTGACAAGACGGAGGTGATTCATCTCCTAGCGCCTATGCTCTCATCTTGGGTAAGGTACTTGGGCAACTGGTTGGATTTAGCTGAGGATGGGCGCCGGCGTGTCTCCAGGATGACTGGCGCTTTGCGAGAGCTGAATCGCATTGGTGGCGCTGCGTTATCAGCAACCGACCTTCGTGTCAACCTTATGTCACGCATTAGGCAGCCTGGGGCTTTTGCTGCGGGCGTGAGAACTTGGACGAAAAAGCAGATCAAGGAGATCGAGGTCGTTTGGAACGATGGCCTATTGTCACTGGTTGGCCAGCCTAGGTATGTGTGCCATCTCTTTCACATACCGTTAGCGCGTTTGCATCGAATATTTCGAATTGAGTCGATTGAGGCGCATTTTCGTTACCTTCAGTGCTCTGAAGTTGGACATCTGATCAGGGCACCACCTGACCGCATTGCCCGCGCGGCGCTCTTTGGTTTTATCACGGCGGGGCTGCCTTTGCCTGAGGACTTGTTGTTGTACACACCGCGTCAGGGTATGCGCACGTTGTGGTCAGATGTTCGCCGATGTTTAGCCATCTTCGCTGCTGATGTTCCAGATGGACATATCACGGATAGCGCTATCTGTGCTCTAGCGCTTTCGCGGGAGCATTGGAATACTGTTCTCTACGAGATGCGCATTCGGATGACGTTGAAGCTCTATGATAGAGATCGAGAGATGACACCATTCGCGAGGCGCAATGCAAAGACGCACTGGATCGCCCAGTTTTACAAACGTGGCGACTGTTTCGAGATTGACCCAGCGCTCAACTCTTTGAGTCGTTGGTATGACTTCTCTGTCTGCAAGTTCACCTCTTACGAGCTCAGGATCATCTACGAGGATGTTGTGATGCCTGGGGCTATTCAACAGGCGCGCTGCCGTTTTTGTGACAAGTCGGTCCTTGGATGGCACATGCGACCATTCACGTCTAACGGGCTGTTCTGCCGGGATCACACTCTTGGGCCACTTGTCTGCGCTGCGCCCCCTGCAGACGCTGCTGCACCAGGCCGGATTGATGAGTTGTTGGCGCATGAGGTCTCGTGCCCGATGCGTGCCGCCTTTGAGCAGACTGATGAGAGCTCCCTGCAGGCGCCGACGTGTTTCCGTGAGGGTGATGCTCTTGCTGAGGTTTTGCGGATGCACTCTAGCACAACGAAAGAAGACGGCGACTTGCATCATTTGGCGACTTTTTTTGACACTGACGAATTGGCAGCCCTTGCGGCGAAGCCTGTGGTGCCGGCCTCTTTTAGTGATGAGATCCAGGCTGCAAACGCGCGTGTCTATGAGGCTCTGACTTCGTGCCCGTTCCTGAGGTGCCGCACTTGTAGAGATGGCTCTATCAGCTTAGTTGAGTGTTTTTGTCAGGAGTGTACTGCCTGGGCAGAGGGAGCTAGCGCCAGGTCCGACGGTTCGTCCTCTTTTGACTTGAGCATATCTGGCGCCTCTGACGACGCAGCCCACGGTGCTGCGCCTTTTGCTGGCTCTTCTGGGCGGGTCGGCCGTACCTTTGAGTCTGTTAGTGTTGCGTACCGGCACTCGCGACGGGTGCTCCAGAGACACACAATTGAGCGGGTTGACGCACCACTGAAGAAGCCGACTAAGTCATCTGCTGAGATTGCCAGCCGTAGGAGGAAACGACACAAGGTTGACCTTGGCGACTCAGTTCGTGCACCGAAGGCGACCATCCCTGATGTGTACGGAGCCGCGGGTGACGGTGGCTTGGCTGGACTGCCCAGTGTGTTACCTGTTCATATTTCGTGGTCGCAGGCCCGGTGTTGCCTTTGTGTTTCGGTGCCTGTTGTTGTCGATGGTGCCAAGCGGCGCATCTCGAAGGATGTCCGGCCTTCTGACTACGGTGATAACGCACTATCGGCCTTTCGTGCTGCTGTCGCTTTGAAGCAAGAAATTCTTGAGGACCCTGCGTCATTTGTTCGGTTCAAGATCCGACGCAAGAAAAGCAGGCTGATTGGCGCTCCATGTGTTGAAGAAGGGCCGGCCAAGGTCGACGAAGAAGATGATCTTTTAGCTGATTAGGCGCGTGTAAGTAGAACCAGTCAAGTGCGTTGCAAGCGAAAAAAGAAAAGTGTTAGTTTATCGGAGATCTCTACTTACGAGGACTTTGAATCAGGCTAAGGACCCGCGACTCGTTTACATGACTACATACTTTCGTGCTGGCTTTAATGTAAACTGATACTTAACGTTGAAAGACAGGCAACAACCAACCATGAGTAGGCTTTTCGTAGTCCTTCTCGTCGTCTCTAAAAATTGATTTCGCATCTCGTTCTCGCAACTTAAAAGTAACTTTCTACAACTATGTAGCTAACTGATTCCGCATCTTGTTTTCGCAACTTCGTTCTTTTTTTTTCTTTCTGTAGGTTGTTTGCGTTTTACCTGCTGTTCGTTTTAATTATATGTCACGGCTTGCTTGAGTAGTTGTTAGCTTTAGCATCCTAGAGTTCACTTGAGTTTTCTCCTCCTATCTCATTCTTGAGCTGTCTCTGTGTGTCTGTGAAATGTTTGCTTTCTCTGCGCCCACCACTGCTGGTGCGTCGAACTCTTCGAAAAACTTGTAATTGTAATAGTTGCACAGTAAGGAATACCGTACACACGCGTGGTGAGCCTGCAACTACCCCCTTATTCTCCTGCTCAAAGTGATGAACTCCGCGTAAACGTGGTAGGCTCATGACTTTTTCTTGGTTTCCCACCATACAGATTACAAAGAACAGCAAGAAAGAACATGCTTAGTTCGCACGAGAATAGAATCGTTCGTTCATCCGAAAATGGTGTGATGTTATTGAAAAACTTAGTTTTCTTGTGTTGATCGAGTACATGTAGAACAAAGACACTTTGGTCATATCGTTTGTTTTATCATCTTTCAGAAACTAATTTTCATTTGATTTTCATTTAGATCTACAAGATTGGTTACCATCTTCGACTTCTTGTTCACCCTCATTTTCAATCTTATCGCAGTTTCACTAAAGGTGTAAGACCACATACACATACACATAAAATGCTGGTGATTGAAGGTCCTGAAAGGAAACGATTTACTTGGAGGAAGCGAACAAGCGGGGGCAATCGTGGTCGTCCTCGCACGCAGCTAGGATTAGGAGCGTTCATTTTGAGCTCCCCTGCTGTTTTTTCTGGCGTAGAGGTTTGTTCAGCTTCACGACCACCTTGTGGCTCGTCAGTGCCCAATGTCACGTCAGCATCTACTGGTAAAGCCCGTGTGCCAGGAGCTGGAACTGCGAGTTTATCGAAAACACGTAAGCCTGCTACCCCTGCTGTAGAGCAGAACGCATTGCTTCCTCTGCCCGATCGCAAGGCGCGGACCACCGACAATAGAGAAGTTTTTAGACAACTCCATGGATCAGGACCCCCACTGGCCGAGCAGGTTCGCAGTTTTTGGAACGGTCTGTGGTCCTCTTCGGGACAGAGGCACGCTGGGCAACTTGAAGCCGGTCGACAACCCTGGGACAGGAGCCAGGATGATGTTGCTCATATCGCGCAACACGAAAGAGGTGCTGGTGGAAGTGGGCGTTTTTACGGGGATAACCACGGTGGTGGACGTGGAGACGTTATCTATTCGGCATCGGGAAGTGCAAGTGGTGCCTCGTCGAGGGGTTCTAGTCACGGTTCTTCTGCACTTTCTTCACAAGGTCCACGAAGGAGTACCGCCATTTGCAGTGCACACGGTGGCGACACTGATGGCGACTTAAGCTTAAGGTTGATGGACCTCGTTGAATTTATCATTATTCCAAAAGATTATATTATCAACCGTTGATATGATCAAAATTTTCCTCATTCCATGTTTTTCACGTCAGCAGATGAACACAAACTATTTTTCTTCGGGCTTGTTTTTGACATCTTAGGATATCTATATTCCTGGATGAAATGAATTCTTTTGAGCTCGAATAATCCCAGGAGATCCAGAGAGCGAAAGCTGTCTGCAAAAGACTTCGAAGAGCATTGGTGATACCGGGACCACCGCAAAGCCAGAGCCAACCCCGACAGCGAATACCGCGGAAAAGGCAGCGCCTCCTCCAGCTTTTTTGGCAGCCACTCAGGACTCGTGCTCAACAAGAAATAATACCGCTGGAAGCGAAGAAGATGATCATCATGGTTGTGAAACATCGCATAGGGAGCCAGAGAAGAAAAATATGAGTTCCCGACAAACTCAAAACAGTAACATAACTCCCTGTGCAAGACAAGAAGAACAAAGACCACAGTGGCCAGAGCATCATTTGCTGGGCTCACAGAAGTCACTGGGCAGCGAGAAGGCCCAGCAAGATTCAGGCAAGCGGCCAGGCGCTTTACGACGAGCAGCAGCCGAAACCGATGAAGAAGATGTCGCGATGCACGATCTAGGAAGAGCTGAAGGGGCGGCTTCACCTGGTCGCGAGCATGGTTACGAAGCTGAACAAGGCGCAACTTCACAGGATGCGCTAACGTCGACACAAACATCGCTTGACACTGGTGGAGCAAGTAGTTGTAAAAAGACGGCCGCGCCGGAGCAGACGAAGAGCGAAGGCAGTGTAATGATGCGGGCACTCCCACGGTTGGATGGTTATCACTGCGGAAGAGAGGAGCAGTGTTTGGTACCGTTTCATAAGATAATTGCGAGCTCTTCCGATTCCGTCAGCGCCCACATTTTCGCTCCGTTTGACTTTGATACCCCAGACGGAAAAGCTGGTGAGAACGGTAGCACTTGTACCATCGGAAACCCTCAAGATTCAGCCACTCGTCCTGAGGTTTGGAGCACCCCCGGCCCTGCAATTTATTTATCGAACCAAGACTGGAGTAGAGCAGCTGCATCATATTCATTAGGGAAGAACTTTGCGTGGTCAGAGGAGCACAGCCGGGAGGCTCAGAAAAAACGTTACGGGTCTGCTTTGGTTGTAGCAAGTGCGGATCGAAGCGTGTGGCTCAAGTTTTTTGCATACCTTGGAGGCTTTCGACATGTGAAGGGGGAGACAAAAATGACGCGCAAGGAATGTGAGCAGTATTGCTTTAGTCTTGCCACATGTAATTACTCAGTTTTTTTTCCGGAGAGCGGTGTGTGCCGACTGACTCGCAAATGCACCCCTCAGCCAAACGACGATAACTGGCTTTCACACATGAGCGAGAAAGGTGAAAGGGGCGCACCCTCTTCGTCTATGTTTATACAAAGCACAGCCGAGGGCGCAGAGGACCTTGGAGCTGCTATGTCTGGACCTGGAGCTACCAGCGTACCCTCTTGGCTTTATGGCGCTCTTTCATTCAGTCATCTTGTTTTCAGCGAGTTCCTTTGTTTAATGAAATATCAAGTCTGTGGTCTTCCTCGGTTCATCAACATATTTAGTACCTAGCGGAGGTTTCGTTTTGCTGTACTTAGTTGCTTTGAAAATAAGTATCTATAAGATTTAGAAGTCTTGCGAAAAAGATTGTGAGATTAGCAATTATGCTTTGTCTCTGTAATAATTAGACATAATGAAAAGGTGCGGGGAGTAGATCTAGATGAATGTGGAAGCAGCTCTAAAGTTTGGCGCAAGCGCAAGATTCCGCTTCTCGAAGCGTCCCTTGTGGTCAGCTAGCGTCCCAGAATACTGACGCAGACTCGCGTTATGAGGATCTTCCGCAGGGACTGTCTCTGGCAGAGTACGATGAGCAAGAATCTGAATCAGAGAAGCTACACGAAAAATGGGAGTCGCGCATACACCAAGGAGCCGCAACTTACCAAACTGCATGTGGTGAGGATGAAAGTGACAGCGACGAACACATCAATACTCACGATTTCTTAAGGCTTGTAAAAGAATTCCATTTCAGATGACGATGTGGACGAAGTGATGCATCCTTGATCCCATATCAAGACAAAACCGACGGACTGATGACCCAAGGGATGGGAGCATTTTGCGACGTGCTCTAATGTATGCTGCGGATCTTGATGGTGATGCCTCTGACAGCGATACGGGGTGCAGGCAATGGGAAGAGCAGCCTCCTGATGAAGAGTCCTCACATCCTGCAGTTGGTGAAGAAGAAGATGATGAGATAATTAAGGCTACTAGTTTTTTACTACCCCATGTTAACTATGGTGCAGGGCGGGTTTCCTCTTGATTCTAAGGGGGTTTTAAGTGGCAAAAAGGCGAAGTGAAGTCAGAGTCACTCAACCAGGCACAGTGAAATGAAACAAGCGCTAATATAGATGACAGCGGAAGCGATAGCGGAACGTATTTAGAAAAGATATGCGATTTGCAAAAACGGATTAGAATAGTCTCGCAAACTAAAGACTATGTGGATGACATGGAGCAAATTCGCCTTGACATTGAACGGCAAGAGAATGAAGATTAAGGCGCGACACAACAATTCATTTCCGTAGGACGTAGTATTTTCTCTTACATATAGATACATTTGCACTGTTCTCTCTGCTTAAAAGCTTATTTGCAACGGTTGCTTGTTACCTCTGAGTTGGTTACAATGTTGAACTACAACAGAGACACACGCATGACATTCCTGTCCGAGGATCATTTTCTTCCGTTTCTTTCTTGAGATCATGAAGCTATGGAGGGAAGAAGTGAACTGTTTGGGGCTCTAAGGAGGGAGGCGAAAGAAGCTGGAGCGGAGGAGAGAAACGAGAAGGCTTCTTTCTGAAGTCAAGCTCTCTGATGGCGAACAAATGGGAGACTACACCAGCGGAAGTGAGAATGAGGATGACGCAATGGACATCGAGGCCGAGTCCGGACCACCAGATGGGGATGAAATGGAAGAAAAACGCGCTCTATGAACTAGATTATCTCAACTAACGTCAAAATTTTCTAAATCTAATGCTAGTTAGTTTAGATTCACTTTCACACTTGATCTCGATGTGCGACGTGCACGCCGATGTAATTTCTAAAATTATTTTTGGCCTGCTTCCCAGGTATCCTACCTCTAGGTGTCTAATAGATCATTTCAAGCACTGTTCTCTCCGCTACTTCAAAGCTTATTTTTGGAGAGAGAATTGAGTTACTTGAGTTGCGAAGAGATACCGAAAAGAATAAAGGAAAAGTCAGCGCCATTAGGTTTAAATAACTAAGTCTGAAGCTATTTTTGTGAAAGCTACTGATACCGAGAGAGAAGTTCTTGTTGTCTAAGTTGCTGTGGTGATTCCGACGAAGTTGTGACTCACCCAAGCGCCAGATCTCGTGCCGACACAGGGGAAACGGTCGGTTATTGGGGAGCTCCTCTTAAGCCTGGTTTCATTATTCATTGATTTCGCTAGTAATGCTGACAGATATTCCTTGCCCTCCAATAAGAATAATTGCAAATTACCGCTTGGTGGCCACAACTTCGACATATCTTTAGTAGGCTCGTCTGATAGTACTTGGATTTGTTCCCAACTGGATTCTGATAGATGACCATGACAAGAATAGGACTGGGTGAATGAAATGGATCTTCGAGCTTACCTTTAATGTCAAACAGCAAGATCCGAAAGAGGAAGATTTTCATAGTGGTGAAAAAAAGGCGGAAAATGAAGGAAAGCAATGTTTCGATTTCAACAGTGTATCGACGTCAGCACGATCGGCTAATGGCCTAGTGTGCTACTGGGTCAATGATCCTGAGGAAGGTGGGCAAGAATTAGCGGCAGAGCTAAAGGAGGCCCTGGAAAACCTCACTGAGGATGACGGCGGTGAGATGAAGTCTTCTCAGGCGCCAGGCGATCTAATGGTAGGTCGCTCGCCGCAGTTTGGTGCAGGAGGTGGGACACGATTTCAAGCTACAGACAGTGCGGAAGTTGTAGACGGTCGCGGTGAAGGTTCAACAACACCTCTTGACGCCCCGGAGATACTTCGTCCCCAAGGACACCGCAGAGGACATGGTCTCAACAAAGTGCATCAAAACAGAAGAACAACTGACAACATCCAACTTCAGCCTTCTTCAGTTCTTAGCGGCGCTCGCCTGGTGCTGGTAAGGCGGTTGGCGTATCTTCTTGGCGTCCTACTAGTAGCATTGATGACAAAAATGTATGGTCCTCGAATCCTCATGGATGAACATCGAGGACACGCAATCGCAAAACAAGTAGACTTCATCTGGAATTGTTGGACAACGTCAACGGAGGAGCTTCTCCGAAGGACCCAGATCGGACATCAACTGGAAAATGATACGATTAAGAAATCATCTCTCCCAACTTTTGGTTTTGACTCTCCATTCTATCACTTTCACTGCTAGTATCACCTCCACCCTTTGTTACTGGTGTTTACCCCTCGAGTAAGTACACTAATAGGGAGGTGACAAGGATAATCATGCTACGAATACTAGCAGTGTGCTAAAACCAATGGCATAATTGATTGAATTCAATTTCGTATGCTGGTGCATAATCTTGTTCGTTCTAAGAACTACAGTTACGGCTCTTCACAACCAAGAACGTCTTGTGGTTGGCTGCTTCCATCGACAGCTGATGATCTACAGCTGCTAGGACAAAATGTTTCCGACGCTTCTGGCGCGTGTCGAATGCCAATTGCTGATGACCACCATGGATTTCGACACTTTACAAGGAACTGCTGCCCAAATCTATATCTCCCTTCGACTAGTGCTGCGTACACCTACACCCCTGGCACGACTGGAAGTGCTCCGTACTACAGGAGTCAGAGCACCAATGAAAGCCCTCAAATGGTGGATATCAACACGTCGCATAATCCAAGGACGAGCTTCCTACCGTATAACGCATCAGCAACAGGAGCAAGCGCAAGCAGTAGTGCAGCAGTTCGGATTCCATTTCCAATACCAAAGCGTACTAGCATGAACGCGTTGACAAGGAAATTTGCGACTTTGGATCTAGGGACTCAAAGTCCACGTTTAGTCGATGAAGAAAGCCTAGAAGGTAAAGAAGAAAGCCTGGAACTTGAAGAGGACAGTGAACAGGGTATTCCTCGTGTACCGCAAGTAGCAAAGGCAAAGGAATCGAAAACGGATGTTTCAAACTCGGCTTCGGCATGTCGTGGCCATAAAGGACCAGGACGCTCTCTGCTTTCAGCCGCACCAGGCTCAGAAATGTCGCCTACGGTGGATAAGCAAGTTCTTGCAGGACACCAGAGTAGCGGTTCAGACGAGTCTATTGGGAGTCCTAGTGGACAAAACCGAAAGGCTCAACATTATGGCTATACCTAATCCATCTTTGGAAGCATCCTTGAAACGTATGGGGGAGTATCGCAAGGGAACCCTCCCCCATACTTTTCAAGATCAAGGATGCACGTGCGAGATGAATTGCGGACAGTGCTAACAACAAGGGAATGCTGTTCATGGCAATACTTCTAGGCTGAAAAGGAATCACGCAGGTCCCAGTAATACGGCAGACACGTCTAGGCAAAGCACTACAGCATCTACAAGAAGATCGCCAGTAAACAGGGGAAGAACGGGCATACAGCAGTCTTCGCAAGCACCGAAAGCCTATTCGCAAAGGTCGCCATCAAGTCAACAGAAAACTTCAGAAATTACGACAGAAATTTATTGCATTCTTATGTTACGACCCTGCTCATTGCTGCAATAATCAACTGATTTGATCATGTTATTCTAGTAGTAGTTTGTTACCTCTAGCTTCTTCACCAACAAATTATTTGTATTTGATTTTTTCTCTAAAATGACTACGACACTCCGGTCGCCTGATAGCGGGAGAAGCTCACTGCTAAGCGGCATGGGTCAAGTGGCTAAGATTCTTCAGCGACGGACGGTCGATAATTTCGCAGCTGCTGTCGAAGGCACCGCTGCTGGAGTCGCTATAGTAGTTAAGAAGACTGAAACTGTGGTAGTGAAAGCAGTAGTAGTTAACTAAGCAGAAGCCAGATTTTTCCATCCAATGACCGAGAGAAGCATCATCTCCAATGCTCTTGACTACGGATTTTAGGTATGATTAAATACACTATTCTTGGGACATTTGGAATTTGGAAAAGAAATCGTACTATTTCTTATTCTTCCACAAAGACCGTTTCTAACATAGGTGGAAGTTTTGGTGCACTGGGCGAGCAATTTCCAATTTTGAGGCATTTGTGGGACTTCGCAAATCACAACATCAGGCGGCCGGAAAGGGTAGCTGTGGCCGTTGTCGTCATGTTTCTTGGAGCGTTTCTCCGCATGCAGGACAATCACATCGGACAAGGCTGAAAATGGGCTGTTGATTAGACTGTGTAGGCTGTTGATAATGGGATTTTTTTCGAAGTAGGACTAGGTCGAAGCGATTAGGATTACATAGTATTAAAATTAAGAATTTTAGGGTAAGACTTCTTAGGATTCAACAAGAAGACGAAGTGAAAAAGACTTTCAATTTCAGTAGAATTCTTAAGACATCGTCTCTCCCAATAATTTTCATTTGTTTGCCGAAGATGCATTCATCATATCATACAACATCTCAATAAGCGAAGCAAATTATGATAGAAGGTGCGCATTATAGACATGGATAAGTGTCAGATGAAATGAATATTCGAAATCTTGAGAATCATAAGGAAAAGCCTGTGTATTTCGTGGAAGTAATTCATACGCCCGCATATCTATCCCTGCACAGAAAATATCGAAGCTGTAGCTGCTACCTACTAGTTTTCTTTCCCCATGTCACCAGCTTACAGTCATCGCACGCGTCTAGATCTAAAGATTCCACCAGCTTCCGCATTGAGAAATCTAGGAGCCTATGCTATATATTATAGAGTAAGTAAAATATCGGGTTTCGAGTTGCAGCGAGTTGCTCGAGTTGCCGAAGCGAAGGGCTTCAATTCTGGAACGAGTTGCCACGAGTTGCCGTAAGATATCCGCTTCACCGGAATGCGGCGCAGCAGGGCGGCGCGGCCACGGTTTTGGCTGCGTGAAGTGTAGAAGTGGCTGCTTTTGTGTTTTGTTGTTGCTCTCTCAGGAAGGGGGCAATCGGTTGCGAAGGAAGGGCTCCCCCGCGAGCCCTTCCGGCTTTTTCTCTTGTAGCGTGTGGGCGCGCGTTTGAAGCGCAGGCATTGAGGGGTCGACGGCTTCGCCTCGTTGTTGTTTTTGTTTGAGGGAGGAGCGTGTCGCTGTGGCTTGTCGTTGGGTCGTTGCCAGTCTCTCCCTTTTTTCTTCGGATGTGTGCGTGGCCAATGAGTCCCTTTTGGGGCTGGGGGTGGCAGTGGGTTCCCGTCTGCTCTGGAGAGCGGCCCACTCAGCCCAGGAAGTAAGTAGACTAGGCTTGGCCACTCTCGTCCCTGGTGCGCATTAAGAAGAAAACCAGGGAGCGGAGGCATGGCGTGGAGTGTCGTACGCTCCTGCTAAGGTATCCCAGAGCCTCATAAAGCTGCGCCCGAAGGGCGCCGCGCAAAAAATTACTGCGAGCAACTCGAGCAACCCGAGCAACCCGAGAAACTCGACCCGTGCCGGGCCAGAAAATTCCTAATTCTAATATAATATTTATAGACTCTACTATAATCTTTCTACGTGCATGGTACGGAAGAAAAATATTAGTGAAAACCACTGCAGTACATCTACAAGGTTGAAGAACTGGAAGGATTTTCCAGTTTTTATCAAGTACACCGAAGAAAATCAACGAGGTATCTATTAACTATGATCTTTTACAACTACAGGATTTGAAAAATATTGAAAGGCTTTATGAATGTTCATCTTCATTCCGAGTGGGCGAACATAAAGGCGATTGGGAAAATCAAAATGACCGAATCTTCATGTAGCTTGAGGTCGTTGTCCTTCCTTTACAATTCATTCATTTGACTGGACATAGCACACGCGACCGCGCAGAGCCTGCCATGTTCTACTTCGAGAGCACGTGCTGGCTTGCTGCGAGAACAAGTTTGCTTTAGCTGGCATGTTGTTCTCACGCGTAGCCCACCACACCGCGGTCGTCTCTTTCGATGTGTTTTTTTTTCGAGATCTCAGAAGGAGAACTACGAGTGTTCCAATATCATCAGTCTCACTATAAATATGTCTAAGTAGTCACCAGTTTGTGTGTGGAGAAACAGGTCGGTTTGTCCTTTCGGAGATGACACGTTCATCAGATTGTCCAGCCAGCATCAGCATGAGCAAGGTCGCCATGACCAAGGTCGCCGACGATCTTTATTGAGATATAGACCTCCACTTGCAGCATCTGTAAAAAGCATCACTGAACTAAGATTCGGTCTTAGCTGTACTACAACACTCTACTACTTAGTAGGGGAACATCAATACATAAGTAGACTATGAGGACAACCCACAACGACAAACCACCTTTTCCTAGGAAGACAAATAGGCAGATCCAGATTCATTTTTGGCAGTTGGTGTTAGAATATGTATGTTTTGAGAACAGGACCACGATGTTTAAGTACATACATCGTTCGCTAGTTGACAGTTTTGGTACCAATATCTTGAGAAAATCTAATGAGAGAAGGAGAATTCTTACGGTACTATGTATTCCTATTCATTAGATGTTGAATGATCAAAAGATGTGCAGAAAAACGTCTACGCATGGTTGTGCTTGTGGTTGCTGTTGGGCCTCTCTGTTCTAAGCGTTGTTCAAAACCACACTCATCCTGCTGGTGCGTGACTTTGATTCAGTTCTGGTTTTGGATTTTCGATTTTCAACGGCGCAAGACTGTAGTTACACACAATCTATTCTTTTGTTCTTTCTTGGCTCGGAACTAAGTTTTATTAGGTGATAACCACTATTGTAACAAACTATAAGAGGATGAAATACAACGACCAAAACTCACCTACTAGCTAGCGTAGATGAAGAACAAGTCCCTATAATAGTTGTGCAGCTCCTCCTGTGGTGTAGTTTCGTATATTCTTTTGTATCAGAAGATATTATCTCTTGATGTGTTGCAAGTAATACCTCGAACGCTCACCCCCTCATAGGTGAGCCAACTCCTATCCTATCCAGTACCTCGTATAAGAAAATTGTCTCTCTGGAGTGAGCATCAAGCATGGGTTTCTTTTCTGTTTTTTCCCGGTTTTGGATCGTATTGTTAACAACTATCATTTTTTCGATCGATCCAGTGCATTGTCGTTCCTTTCTGCATCGGACCGCTACGGCCACGCGACAGCATGCTATCGCAAAAGCAGCAGGCATTGGCACTGCCACTCGAGGCGGCAATGGGCGCGCATCCACTTACTTCGCTGGTCCTCCGGAATCCACCAGAAGTAGGCCAATGCTGCTATCTGGGACACGAGGACCCTCAAGAGTGCCAGCTTCACCGATGCTGTGGCAGAGGCGTTTTCTCTTCGGCGAGCCCGTAAGCGGTTGGACATGCTACGATGCGGAAGAGGAGCGCGGAATATCGTCTACTTGCAGCAGTTTACGTTCAGCAGTAGCCCCCAAGGCGAATCAGGAGACACCGTTTGCAGTTGCAGCATGTCGATGGGGCAACGTTGGGAATTTCGATGTTCCTCAGGACGAGAATAAGCGAGCGCCTGACGATTTAAAGTTTTTGCGCGGATTCGCCAGGATACGCGAGAGCTACAACGACGATGCGGAAGCGCGGAGATTTGGCCATGACATCGTCAGTAAACCACCAAGTACGTTATGGGGGAAGACGAAGAAAATGAATGTAGTGGACAAACAAGAAATGAATTGTTATAATGGTGTATCTTCAACATCAACTTTGGGTTCGCCGATGACGAGTAGGAGTATGACAAGGAAATCAAGTAACCAAGATGACGCTTTTGAAGAGAATGAACAAGAAGCTGTTACAGGGAAGGAGAGCGTCACGCGATGGTGGTTGGAACATATCAAGAAGCGTTTGCTAAAACAAGAAGCGACAGGTAATTTCATATGCGACGACATTATTTGGAACTAGTAACTGTAGCCTCTTAAGTTCTTCATTTGAGTGTAGTGCTCGAACCCGATGCCCTTGATCACTTATACAAATACATTTTGTTTCATCTCAGGTGACGTGGTACCACAAGCAGGGTTTCCTGATGAGCGTCTCCTCAGGGCTTTGGTCATTGAATCCCACCCTTTCGTGGATCGTCATGTTCGACGTGTGAGAGAAATAATGGCAGAAGGGCATGAGCCCATGACAGCAGCAACCGAGACATCGCTTCGTGCGGCCCTCACCATGTTTCATTGGTGTGACCAGCTCCCCGCGCCATTTAGCACCGGCGCACGTGAAGTACTTTCCTCGAACTGCAGCGGCGGCGGTGCAGATGGAGGCTCACCTAGGTCGATCACTGAAAATGATTATAGCGCCGGGCAAGCGGACGAACCACAACTTGAAGCTGAGAAGGTTAGAGAAGAAGGCTTAGCTTCTTCGACCAAGATGAAGCCTGTTCTGGGTAAAGACATTCCTCCTGGCTACTCTGCAGCCGCCAAAACGATGACCGTAGCAGAACACTCCTTGTATTTGGCTCGGTTTTGGCGAGACAACATTGGCCGCTTTGCAACGAATCTGTCTGCGGCAGAGCAAGACGAACTGATCGTGATGACGCTATTCCGTGACGTTTTCTATTTCGCAGATTTTCCGAACCATGACTGGAAGGGTGTCATGCTATTACTAGGGCAGTTCGCTGACCAGGTACAACCGCAGAAGACTACAGCAGCAGATGTAGTTGACTCTACAACGAATTCCGCTCCTGCTCAGGTGGAGAACGAGGAATCACAAGGAAGGCGAATGAGAGCACTGCGTTCACAGAACCATAATGACATTGGTTTTCCTGCTTACCAAAATAGTCTTGCAATGGATGCGAGTCGCCAGAAAAAACTTTTAGAGCTTGAAGCACTACAACGCGCTTCCGCTTTGCGAAAGCAGGGTGAAATCGATCTTCCAGAAATACGCATACGGCAGCAGAACAAAATCAATTTGATGAAAATAGCTCAAGGGCGGGCCTCTCTCGACGAAATGGAAAAAATTGAGAAGAATACGAACGTCAACAGCATCACTAGACACATAATAAAGCAAAGTAGTACTAGAGATTCTCTTTCTCCTGCAGGAGCTGGTAAGGGTATTGTCCAACATCCTCCGTTTGGACCTTCTGCTGCGTCGAGAAAAAGTGTCACCCTGCCTCTGTTGAGTTGCAGTTCATCACGCGGCACATCGAGGTCTAGGTCAACGACTGCGTCACCAAGAATAGGTGAAGAATCTCCATCTGATGACCTCACTCCCACGGCGCTTCATCAAGCGGCATCGAGTCTTGTTGGAGAGACTTCGATAGATGATTCGCTGCTTACCACTTTCTTCGACGATGATGAAAATACGAACAGTTTATCCTCTATGATCAATCGTTCACCTCCCAGAAGTCCATCATTATCATTGTTGTCGACATCTACAGCTTCACCTTCCGCCGGACTCGTTTTTTCTGAACAACCGATAATTTCCGAAACGATTCGTAGTACCCCGACCTCATCTGGAGGAAGTCCAAGTCCCAGTCACCCAACCACCTTGCTGAGTGGTTCGGCTAAAGGTCTTCGTTCACCGTGTGTTGGAAGCACAGTCACTTCGAGGATCCCACAATACCATGTGCCAAGCATCTGGTATCAGCACGTGCCGTATAACCTTGCACAGGCGCGTGTACTCGGTCTTCAGCAGGCGTCGGCGGTCTCCACCTGTCGCCCAGATCCTCTGCAGATTTCGTCGAGTACCGCTGCCACAAGCTCGAATTCAATATCGCTGTCGGGGGTGAACATTTTGTCGCGTGAGGAAGCAAAGGCAGCGCCTGTGGCGCATATTTGAGGCACGAAAGTATGTTGTATTTAGTACTTAGGCTGGGTACTGGCCTCTGACCACTTTCTTCTGTAGTTGCAAGAATCACTCGTCTAGCGAAATGTACCAGCTGTAGCTCGTTCCACTTCCCCGTCTTGAAGTGGTTTGTCCTCCTGCGATATGTCCTTGCGTGCTTCAATATTCATCTGCGTACCAAATAAATTTGAATCAATAAGTATGCCGAAGAAAACAAAGTCCAATGTCGACTTCAAAGTTCTAATCTTTGCTCCATCGTGCAATGTCCCTGTCGCGGAGCGAGACAGGGCCAGCTCGACGCGAGGGTGCGCGGCAGCCGCACACCTCGCGAGTCGCGAGCTTGGTCTCGCAACATGTTCTTTTAAACAAGGATGGAGGCGATGAACAGTTGGCCGAGCTCTCGAAAGCCTGGTTTTTCTACGACAGTTTTTTCGTTGACAAAACTAAACCCTTGATTCCTGTGCGTGGCGTGAGCGCTCTCCACGATCTCCACATCGAATCGCTTTTGGGCAACTATGAAGAAAAAGACCACGAGGTACAGAAAGAGCAGGTAGCTGCGATGGAACATCATATTACGAAGGGAAAGAATATTACATCGACAACTAGAACTGCGTGTTGTACCGTAATCGATCCTGATTTCTTACCGGAACTGATCGAAACTGGAGGAGCTGCTCCCGATAGTACTGCAGCAGGAACTGCCCAAGTACAAAAATCCCATGTACTGCCAGGACACGTTCGGCCGATAGTGGAGGAACCAAGATTGGATAATTTTTACGCTTCTTTGGCTCGATTCTTTATGCGGCAGCGCGTTGCGGAGAGGAGAGAGAAACACACTGCTGCTCAAAGTCAGAACACAGATGATAAATATGGAGCACCAGCACCTGGTGGTTGGTCTCAGTTGAATTCGCTGTCATCTGCGCAGAACGTCAAGGGCTCAGCTCTGTCAGAAGACCGCACAGGTCTACGCAGTGGCAACCAGCAGACGTCCGCGCCGCAAGAGCAGCCTCAACCCCTTTTTCGACCAGAGCCAAAAGAGAGGGCTGCAGCTGAAGAAAAGGCTCACTCGACAGCTTACCAGTCACCCAGTTTCGACAGCAGAAATGAATCAACATCTTCATGTTCCACTTCTACGAAACTAGTTGTAGCAGTAAACGAGCGTATTGACAAATTTTTGGAACATCCGGAGTGGACAGCGCCATCGATGTGGATCGAACGTGTGCCGATCTTACTCGCAAACAAACTCGGGTTGTGGAAGTCAGAAGGAGGATTCGATTTTGACGAGGTGGATCTACAAATTTCCAATGGTGGGCCCGAGTTATTGCGTTCTCTCGGTGTGGGGGACTCGACGCAATCGGTACACAGCCGAGTACTTGTGGCGGAGATTGGGTACGATTATGACTGGAGAAGCACATATTTGTAATCCTCGTATTTGAATGGTAAGACCTTCTCGTAGTCGTAGGTTGATGTTTTGTTCCTGATGAACTGGCTTCTTGCGCAGCAAAGCATGCAAATGCATCCTGGTAGCCTCATAATCTCTCGATCCACCACACCCTTGATCAGAATGTTTCCGCTCCTTGCCTCCGCCATGGAAACGACTGGTATACTTAGTCCTGAAGCTCCGCCTGTTGATGCAAAACTAGATGAATTACAAGGTAGAAGACACAAAAGTTCAACATCAGCTGCAGTTATATCATCACCTACCAAGAAGGCAGATGAGAAACTCTCTGGCTTTCCGCTTCGCATTGTGGGAACTACTTTCATGCAGCAGTTGGAGCAGTATTTCGTTCTTGGAGATCATGCTCAGCAACGCCAGGATTTTTCGGACTCGATTTCACAGCGCCAAGAATCAGCATCTGCATCACTCTCATCATTGCCGATAGGCTCTAAGATAGGCATTCTGTCGTACGGGAGCTGCGACAGCTATCTGCTGCAACGGCTGCTCCTGCAGGATTGTCCTCGTCAACTGCACACTCCTGGAACAAGTGTAACAAGAACCTCAGCAAGCGCAACCTCTTTCTCTGGTGCAGAGGTGACAAGTATAACTACAAGAACCTCAAGAGCAACCTCTTTGTCGGTAGACGAGGTGGACAGTGAACCAGTAGAAGTAGTACATGATGAAAAACACCGGTTCAATGTTGTGCCTTTAGGTCACTTTTATGGGAAAGCCGACGTTCTTCTCAATGCTTGTGGTGGACAAGGACAATCGAAGGTGGATGCGTCGTTTCTGACAGACCCTCAACTGTCTTTGGCACTGGATAATGGGTGTCGCATCTTGAGACGCCTGGGTGACGATTTCCCTCGTTTTCAATGGGGTGCGTTGGTGGCTTCAAGAGAAGTTTTGGAGACCGAGCGAGGCCGTGCAGTCGTGAGTCAGCTTCTTTCTGTCTACACTGCTGCAGTGCAACTGATGGACAAGGCAGTTCTGAGAAATATTTTGGAGTCTAGGGGAGAAGCTGTAGAGTCTGAAGAAGATCTCGTCTTTGCTGCATTGTTGGCGCTGGGCCCAGAGCATTTCGGGGTCTCAGAACACATGATGAAAAAAGCTTTAGCCCGTTGCAGCGGATACGCACTACAGCCAAGGGATGTCATCCGCTCACCTGTAGTTCAAGCTGAACAGCACCATGATTGCGCGGATGAAGTTGAAGACAACGGTGACCACACTACAGAAGCATCTGTTACTTGGCAGGTGAATCCGCAAAATTTCGATGTGCAGGGAGCAGTAGAATGCCTCAGATTAGTGCAAGCCGCAAGCAGTAGAGCAAGAAATACACCTTCGTCTTCCGAAACATCTACTTCTACACGAACCTTTTTCGATTGCACAGCAAAAAATGACGGGAAAAACAACTGCTGCGATAAAGACACGAACAGGTCATTGTTTATTCGCAGCCTCATGGATACTGATTTACTGGCCGTTGCGGAGCAAGATTCTGCTGTTTCTGCAGATGACGCAATGGGTGCGTAATCTAAAAAAGTTAATATTTTTGAAGTCAAAGTCTCTATCTCTAATACATGATCAGGAAGATAAGTTTGCAGTGTATGGAAAAAACTTTGAATTTAAACTAGAAAATGCAAAAATAGATTTCATGAAATGTAGTTGTGCTTTATTATTCTTTGGTCTTGTCCACGACATGCAGTTTGTTAACTCACTAGCAATAAATCTAGAGGTGACAAAACGTAGAGAGGTTGTATGTATGTTACAGCGGCTTCACGCAAATCCAGCATCGCGCTGCTGTTCTTTTCCGATTGAGCTTCGACGTCTCACAAGCTGACGTCGCTTCTGTGTTGTGAAAAAATCTATGATCTTCTCCACCACTGACAATAGCTATAGCACAAATCTACTGGTGATTTTTCTCTTCATTTTTGTGAACGTACACTAGTGAGGACTCTGATAGGTTTCGTGGTTTAAGTGCTCACTGGGGTTCTAATGCCACCGTAAATTGTCGTGATGTCGTTCTAAATATCTGAATCTAGTATGATTCCTCTTGATATCTAGTAGTGCTCTAGAACAGTGAGTAGAAGATTTGATCAAGATTGTGAAAATGTATTGATCGTTTGTTTTCATCCTTTTCGTGTCATAGATCGTCCCGAACGACGAGGACGTCATACGCGTGAAGACTTCTCTAGTACACGTAGCAGAATATTATCTCCATGCAGGAGTGACTGTGTCATGAAAGAAGTAGAAGATGGCGGCCACATCAGTAGCTAGTTTTTGCGATCATCTGGTTCATCCTCTCACTGAGGAGACACAATATTAACAATCTAAAGTATGATCATTCATTCTGGACTTAGGCAACCTAAATTTTATTCGAGATGAAGGCTCACAGATAACGTGCAGGCAGTACGGAGACTGCCGCGGTTTCAATTACCTAGAATGTGTCGTTGCTGATTCTCGATTTGCTGTCGATCAGATGATAGTCTTAGTTGAGAGACGAGACCGAGAGAAAGCGATCTGGCGTTTAACAAGTTCTTCGAAAATGCGAGCGAAATTCGGTAGGCTTGGTCCTCGCTAAAAAGAGCCTCATACGAGTCTGACTGATGATGCACGTGATCTACACATCAATCATGCTTGCGTCACTGTATCATCAATCATGCATAAACATAGACTTTTCACAGACATGTTGCAATCATGAGGAACGTCTAGAAGCAAAGAAGTAGGTCTAGGTGGTACTTTTTTTCATAGCATGTTGCAATTATAAGTGCTTAGGAAATAGCTGCACACGCGCACGCCAGATGTTGTCGTCCTCCCAGTGCAAGTCACAGCAGCCGCTTTAGAAGCCATGGTGGTCGCTTGATACGAGACAAGGCGACGTCTTCATCGTTTACTTTCCCTACCTGAAGAAACGTCATCGTGTACCTCTTGGAATCACTCCAATTCCTAGATCATAAAATTGGCTTGAAGATGGGTGCTGGCGGATCGTCAACGATTGAGGGTAGCGAGGCCAAGGGCTTGGGCTATCGCATCTTCAACCTTAGCCGCGGTTCTCCTGCCCACGCCGCTGGGTTGCAGATATATTTCGACTACATCTGCGCTGTAGTTATCAGTCGTGTTTATTTTATAATCTACTAAATTAGTTATAGTTAATACTAGACATTTTTATAATCTCTCCGTTCCCTTTCATAATCATTCCTTATATATAAGATAACTTTTTTCCCATTCATCCGAACCTCGTACTTGATTTCAATTCATCTGACCTGCCTGATTCCTTGTGATCTATAAGTGATATGAGACAGGAAATGGTGAAATTATAAATAGCTGACGCTTTTCTTGCAAGTCGGAGAAACGTAACGAGCAAAGATGCTCGCTGTATAAGGATGCGACTGCCGGTTATATAAGAGGACTAAGTACTTGAGACGCCATGATGATGATGTAGCTCTAATGTAGACGGTGAACGGGTTGACGGGAATCAAAGGCCCTTTTACGACAGAGTGAAGTCAAAAATTGGACAGAGTGTGAAACTCACGGTCTTCAGCTCGAAATCGAAAAAGCTCAGAGAAGTGTACTTTGTTTTGATAATCAGAATGCAGTTCATCTTGATCTTGTCTGTCATCTAGTAAGGTCTTTAGTTCTTGGTTCAACTTATACTTAACATCATAGATCATACTGGATCGAGCCCGTCTTTTTTTTCCGTGTAAGTACTTCTTCATTCACTTTCGAGAATGTCTTCAGGGCAATACATGATCAACTTATCAATTATATAATCGTATGATCTTACTTATAGGTATACTTTCGTTTCTTTCCCAACGTAGTACACTAAATTTCACCAACGAGTGAAGAAATGAAAGACGACACCACGTGTTCTTAGGTATATAATTGTCACCGTCTTCATCGTTTCCAAAAATATCAGGGTAATAATCCCGAGTACGTCATGGGGTGGCAAGGGGCTTCTTGGTGCCACCATCCGCTTCGATACATTCGACGCTACGGAATTCAAAGACATCCGAGTCACGCATGTCTTTGCGAATTCGCCCGCGGAAATGGCAGGAATCACTGCAGGAGAGGACTTTCTATTAGGGGGCGAGGGGGTGCTATTTCGCGATCTCGACGACTTGATCGAATTCGTCGGCAAATTCAAGGGGAAGTGCGTCTCCATGTACTTCAATATAAAAAATCAAATACCATAGACATGTTTAAGTGATTAAAAGGGCGGCGGCATAAAGTCATAACTCAAAAAAAAAACACGAGCCCGGAGAAAGGGTCGCCGCCGTCGCCCATTGAATTGAACCGACACAAAACTCTTCGTTTTTCAGCATGCAAAAAGTCTTGTGAAGCTTGAAAAGGATGGACTTTTAGAACCAGAACTCATTTCTTGTTCTCTGCTCTCTCATGCGTAGGTATAACACAGAAAGTGAACGTGAAATTTTACACCCGATCCGATTTGATCTGGGTATATCATTATCATTATCATAGTACAACACTAAGTGGATAATATATTTTGTGATCATTGTAGTTCGATTTGAAATCATCAACTTTTGCTTGTACTTATTGCGTCGCGCTTTTTCCTGGTTGTGCTCATCAGGTATGTCTATAACGTGGAGAGTGATGAGACGCGCGCCGTCCCGATCGTCCCTTCGGATGCATGGGGAGGTAGAGGTGCTCTAGGGTGTGAGTTCGGAACCGGGCTATTCCATCGAATCCCGAATCCAGATAGATTGACACAGAAACGTAACGAACAAGACACCAGCGCAACTACGGAAAAAAGCGCCGCCGTGCTTAAGACCCTGCATGATATTTGAATTTCATTGTTGTAGTAGCTCTAATGTTCTCGCTACTGGAATTTCAGTCTGCACATTGTTGTACTTGTAGGTCTCGTCATTGAAATGAATCACACTTATAATTACATTTACAACACATAGATAGTGATAGAAGTACTAGACCACTCGCCGATGGTAGAAAATGGCTATTTGGGACGAATGATGAGGATTCTTCATAGCACACTAGGGTAGCAAGTCTAAGGGGGGCACAACTATTAGTTTGTTGTTTCTATGTCGTCAATAATATGATTGCCTTACCGACTCATCATCATCAACAAGCTCCTCTAAGTTGCCGCCGAAAAGGAAGCCGAAGGGGTCCAAAAACCCGAATCACATCGTGGTTGCACAGGTACTTCTACTTTCTGAGCATTTCATTGCTGAATTTTGTTTGTTGACGACCGGCTGCATGAGGAACTTACACAGTGTGAACACAAGTTGGTAAATGACGAGACATTGCACGCAGAAGTAAGTAGAAGATGAATTACATGTACATGAAATTCTCCACCTTGTACTAACAGGACGGATTGTCACCTGACGATGAGGACCACAGCCCCCTGCTACGAAAGCCCGATGACACTGCCCAGCGCTTATACTCATCAGAAGAAGAGAAAAACAGCAAAGACAGTGCGGCCGCACCTTAAGGCATTCTCAAGACAGAAGACATCTCACATCAGTACCTGAGCAGGACATCATGTTATATATGTAATATTTTTATCCCATTTATTAGAAACCTTGCTAGCCCGACCTCCTCTTCCTGTGTGTGGCCATGATGAAAAATATATAAGCAAGTAGAGCATTTTGAAAGTGAAAATATTTGAGTTTCAATTTTTTGATATCCAAACATGATTCATCAAAGTAAACCTCTGTGTGTCTAAGTCACGCCTGCTGCGCGAACCGCGGAGCCTGGCAAAGTCGGAGGTTTGATTCCGCCTTGCCCGCCCCCACCTCGGAAGAAAGCTGCAACAGCAGCCTCTTCATCTTCTAGGGTCGAGCCGACGCCGGACATTAGCACAAGTTCGAGGGCAACGAGCAGCACGTCTGTGCCCAGCTCTTCTTCTAGCAGTAGTTCTAGCACAAACTACCCGGAGTATGCTGCGAGTGAGGACAGAAGTTAAAGCTTGCACAAGGAAACTTTAACTTACTTCCTCATTTCGAGAAGACGCCATACGTCTTCTATGTCATAGTCATTTCGAGAGAAAAAAAGTATGTGTTCTCGCTGTTGTAAATAAGTCACCTTAATTCGTAATTGGAGCTGGATGTATTTCTATTTTTTTGTTCATCGTTCTTATTGTCATTGTGGGTGTGGTGCGTAAATATAGCCTAAGAAGACGGAAGAAAAAGAAGAAATTGTGGTAGAATACGAAAGCTAAAAAGAGCAGTCCTTGTCCTGCTTCCCTCCGTTGAACTTGTTGGTGAAGAAGTGTTTAAGGTGAGATGCTCATCATGATCTAATGTGCAGCACCTCCTGCACAACCCCAGGATGCAACGAGGCAGGAGGGAGAGCGCAATGGACGGGAGAAAGAGCAAAGCGGTAGCTCCCCAGGTGTCAGTGACGGAGAGTCAGTTACGGCTTATTTTTCATCTTCGGATTCAGAGAATTCTTTCTGCGTGGAATGACGCAAACAAACTCGGCTTTTCTGAGGTTCGGCTTCTCTTCATTTAGACATGGCATAACTGTGTTCCTGCCGATCGTCATTATGATAAATTACACTCTCATGATTCCTATCCACTTTGTTCATCTTTCTCTCTTCTACAATAGACTAGTTTCTCAGGTGGAAGTGACGCTCATGCAAGGCAAAATTCTTCACCACTTAAATCCGAATATGTAGAAGTCCACAATTGAATAGCTGCGCTAATCGAGTAACGGGCTCATCGCCGGCGTCTGAATCTGATGTCACAGGGTCGTCATCCTGCGTGACATCGCCATCGAACTCCAAAGGGTCTAGTCATGCCACCAGTAACAGCAGTCCACAGTACAGCGCTCCGTCCGGATCTCCAACATCACCGATCATCCGGGAACACAAGAGAGAACACCTACTTGGAATACCTCCACCAGAAAGGAGGGACGATAATATTATGGTGGACAAGTAGTACTCGAGTTCGTAATAGTTAGAAGCAAAAGTACAATCAATATCAAAGGGTGAAAAGGAAAACTACTTGCTCCATGCAACCTATTCTTGATCAACGACATGGAGTCAGTGTATTTTTCTACACTCTCGTTCCATCCTACGTACGCTACACTCATTTTCCAGTTTATACTTTTGATTTGTTCAAAAATATATGTCACCCTGCATTCTCTTCGTCGTCATGATGGATATAACAAGTCTAAGAATCAATGTCATGTTTTCCATTTTTTTACCCACCTCCGAGCAAGAGCATAAATGTTTTCAGCGATTTATTATTTTCAAGGACTTGATGTTTCTGCTCTAATGCCAGACTCCACATGCGGTCGGATTCAGAGCCAAAACGGAGTGTGTCACTGCCAGTTGATGCGCCAGAATCTGACGAAGATTTCAATCGTGAACTGGCAAATCGAAACGGGAAAGGCATACCCGGAAACATAAGAAAAGAAGAGGAAAGCGCGCAGGTACTTTCATCATTTCGGAACCACTTGTACTTTCCGCAGGTTGAATCGTTCATGCTAATCTTTGTACTATTCTCGAGCACGCTGCAGCGCTCCTGAAGAATTTGCCTCAAAGAAACTAACATCCAAACCCAGGGGGCCGAATCCGCTGGATCGCATGAGGAGGACAATGCGGCCACGGAGAGCGGGCGTCGAGGCAACGCCGGCAACGGAGGTGGCTCGAAGCCCATTGACCCATCGTCTTCTAGCGCCGATGAGGTCGAGTGCCTTCCAGAGCTTAAGGACGGACAATTTCGAAGCGTGCCGCCTAGTGCTGATACTAAAACGGGAGACCAAGAAGCAATTGTGGAAAGTAGGAGTAGGAGCACCAGCGGGACATCTCGCTCTGATCAAGTTAAGATATCAACCGTACTAGTACTAGATGTCAATGCATCCCTATCCGAAAGATGCCTCAGCGATAGGAGATGTCAATCCATCCCTATCCGAAAAATGCCTCAATATTAATTCATATATATATTAAGTTTGATATGAGGATACAAGAGGGAGTGGTATTATAAAGAGAGGTGCCAAGAAATAGTAGGGCACTGACTGGTGCACAACAGGAACAGAGGCATTACTTAGAGAAGTTATACTTGTATTTTAATTTTTTTTGTACCTCCTGCTATTTATTACAACCTACAGTATAAATTTCGTGATGCTTGGAAGCTCGCACTACAACTAGGTCTGCTTGTTCTAATCATAATCAACGACCTGCTGGCCCACCTACTGAAGTGATTGTATTGGATGCGGGCAGCGGTATTTTTGGTACCTTGTTTCGATGTTTTCATCGAGAGCCTAGATTTATGGGCCGTGTAGGAACTGCATCTGCAAAGACAAAATGCTCCCAGATGCTCTCGTCTGAGATGCATTTCCTGCGCGTCTAATGGATGGGCTCAAGAGCAGTTCGAGCAGCAGCCGCGTAGTAACTCGAAGACGGGAACCATAACGCCGCAACGTTCGGTATCGTTCTCGTTTCCTCCGACTTACGACTCGCCGCCGCCAAAGCACGTCGATTACTTTCTGAGCCAGCAGGGAACAACAGAGCAGCAACATCAATTAAGGCTTGCCCTAATCCATTTTCTGAAGCATCCTGAGTAGGCTTCTCAAGGGTAAAAGGGGAACAGGATGCTTCTCAGGATGGATTAGGTCGAGCGCTAAATCAAGCCGTTCAACAAGCAGCTCAACGACTGGAAGCCCAAAAGGCAGAAGAACCACGTGCGGAGGTAGGAGCACCGGCAAGTGCGGATCAGAACGCTAATAATCATGTGGATGAAAGTCGTACTAGTACCGAGAAGGAGAGCGCGGCAAAGGAGAGTCAAAACCAACTTATGGCTCCACCTTTGTAAGCACTACAAGAAGAAGAACTAGAAGCTTTCTACTTATTCATGCACATATAACCTCCGTCTACTTTCAAACATTCATTATTAGTGCATAGTTATGAACATCCTTCTTATTATTATATACCTAACATAAGCGTGCGCGTGGCCAGCCACTATAGCTCTTTTTAAATATTTGGACTTCTTCCTTTTTGTGTAATTTTGTTTCCTAGTTCCACCGGTATATACGAATTTTGTTAATCTTGATAATCCTTGATATTTATATATGTTCCAGGGCGCGGGGCGACGCCCCCCCCCTAGCGGGGGGGGGGGGCGAGCGCCCTGGGCCCCTTTTTGAGGCGTCTGCCGGGGAAGGAAGGCCTCAAAAGGGGGCCAAGGGGCCACCCCCGGCCCCTTCCAGGCGCTTTGTGTACCCTGGAGGCCTCGGAAGTAGGTGGGAGACCTCAGTCAAGGGGGGACCAAGGGGCTCGCTGCCTCCTTCTCGTTTGCATGTACCCTACAGACTTGAAGGGTTAGAGGGCTACAGACAAAAGGGGCCCACGGGACCGCCTGCGCCCCCGTCCAGGTGCCTGCCTGTGCCCTCAGTGCATCCGTTAGGCTTCGCCGCCACAGCAGTGCACCGGCAGCGGAAGGCCTCCGAAGCCGGCAAAAGGCGAGGGGCTGGACCCCCTGAGCCGTGCCGCCTGTACCCTCCGGGCCCTTGGTCATCGGCTCGCTTGCTCTTGCGACCGTGGCCGTTAGGAACACACTGAGAGGCCCAAGGGGAGAGTCCCTGGCCGTATATACATAGATATTTTGTATGTATTAATTTGTGCTGAAGACGCCGACGGACCAAATGAATCTAAAAAGTAGGAGAGCCACGACCGCATCGAATACGTGCAACCTAAAATGCCGCACGTGAAGTACCAACTCGACTCTTCCGTGAACTTAAGGCTGCTGCTTATGCATCCTCAGCACCATCCCACCTAGCCCTTTTTCTACCTACTTGAAAAAGAAGCCAGGGATGCTCTCAGGGATGCGAACGCGGTAGCTCTAATGAACCCTTCCGAACCAGCACAAGAATTCGTTGCAGGCATGGTGGGAGGTGTGACGGTGCCGCCACGTGGGCGGACAGAGTTGCCGGCCGTAGACCTGTCATAAAAAGGTGATTCAAATTCTTCAATCAACATTTTGATTGTATTTTAAATCTCATGTACACACATTCAACATCGTTTTCAATATTTGTTTGTCTGTCTCTTTGCTAGATAGGTCTGGGTCTGCTCCACCGCAAAATATAGTACGCTGAACCTCATCGTGGAAAATTCGTCTTCTAGTTTTGGGGACATCGATATCCCAGCTCATCTTTGGCTTCACCAGGGTAATGCTGCAGCGGTGTTGTTCGTACCATTTCCGTCATATCCGACAAATCATTCATTTTGCGTGTGACGATGGCTATACGATCAAGTAAACAATTCTAACATTGGTATCTGATTATATTCAACTGCATTCGTGTTTATTGGTATCTTGTACTATAATTCAAGAATATATCTCTTGAATAGATGAAGTGGATTCATTTTATTCTGTATCTCCTGCCTTCATGTTTTCGCTTGAGAACTACACCACTTGTACATCAATATTGCGAGCCCAGCTGTATTTGTCAAGAACTGGTTCCTTGGTAGAGCAACAAGTTAGTCTGTACTAAGTAAATTATTGTACAACTACAACAGAAAGAACAATATCGACGCTCTAAAAAAACGTGAGTAACATCGTAATTGTTCCGCGCGCAAAATCTTAAGAAATATCCTGATGAAGTTGCAGTATCTATGTAGTATGGACTGTACGTATAGAAAATTTATGCGTTGCTGGAAAGTTGTTCGTCAGCTTAGAGCGGCCATCCGGATGATGCACTGGACTTCGAAGAAAGCAACAACATTGTTACTCGGGAATAAACATTCACATACAGAAAATCAGTTATCGCTAAAACGAAATGTCGTACTTAGTCGTCTTGTTGAATCAGAGCAGTGATACTGGTACTGCACCGGGGGGGGCATACTGTCTCTGTAATTAATATTTTAAGCGACATGACTTGAATGGAAAAGAAGACTGAAAATAAACGAAAATACAGCGAAGTGCTCCGTTCCTCGTTATCGTTACCGTTACCGTTTTCGTTATCCAATTACAGCATCACGCGCCGTTCTTGCGGTTACTCAGTTTGAACATCCCCCACCTTGTGTGAAGTCAACGCGGACATTTGCGCGAGCACAGATTGAGTGACTTTCGTTTCTTGAGAGAAGTATTGCCTATTTCGTCAGGGAACCGGTCACATCGAGTATTGACAAATATTCTCAAAAAAAAGTAGCGGAACGCTCTCGTCTCGTGGGGTCCGAAGAGAGAGCGAAGTGGCGCGCATTCTTTTCGCGAATTTCTTCAAGAATACTATGGCATCAAGGTTCTTACAACAAAAAAGCTCTGAACAAGGTCCAGATAAATTTGGAAGATTTTTTTTGATACAAGAAGAAGAATATTTGTCGATAAAAATGTCGGACACTTAGTCAACCATGTCCGCAGGCTGTTCGGCGAGGACACAGGTACGAAGTTACCAACTTGCCTGGAAATAATGGACAAAAATTTTGATGCTGTACAGCGAGGCCGAAGCCGCCAAAAAAATGCAACTCTTAAGGCTGGTTTTTCAACTCTAGACTACAGGTGTTTGCAGGTACTTACCTAGTTAACTACTGAAAAGGATAAGGAAGCAGGATGTCGCATTCGCCCACACCAGTTATTACGGAAAACTGACACCAAGTTCATTCAACTTTTGTTTTACGGGTTAATATGAGTAAGACTGGCGAACCACTTCAGTAACAGTATCAGTCATTTTTACATGTAGTTTATCATTTCGAGCCGGGCGGCATGGTTGTATACTCATACCCCTTGATGCCAGTCGGTTGCAGATAAATGTCCTAACCTATGCCAAGAAAAATCGAATATATCAGAAAGTATTGGATCATGTTGATGTAGACCGCTAAGATCACTCGGAAGCAACACAAGAACGGAAACCAGGTTTATCGCGGACTTATTGCGGAAAAATCCAGACGGTTCCGCTCATGCTCGCGACGCTGTTCGGTTATTATGCCAAGAAAAATGGCTACCTGGATCTATCGCTGGGACTGACAACATTCAATTGCTTTAGCTCGAATACCGTAGAAAACTTCTCATCAGCACGATGGTTCTCCAGCTCTATGGTCAATCAAATTTTTGAGAACTACAATTGCTTCAATGAAGTAAGAAAGTACTTACTTATCGACCCTGCTTCTGCTTGCAACTTCTCCATCTCTAACCATGTCGCAGTTGGCGGCACGTCCTGTATTGCATTAGCCTTACAGGAGCCGAATGGCAAGGAGCGGAGGGAACAAGCGAGAACGGAGCCGGATGCCGAAGCTGATGAGAGCGAGGGCGAGACTGATGTCGATGCTCCACCGGATCCATCTTGCGATGCAGTGGACAGGAAAAGTAGTATCCCCCATTCGTTTCTCGATGCAACAGGCAGTGACGCGACTGGGGGAGGCAAGGTTTTTTGTGCATCTGGAACGTGCGGACCTTCATTGTCTACGGAAGATAGTACAGCTACATGTTTTTTGTTTCTCGCTTGAAAGAAATACATAGAATTATTCCATGTTCTTGCTAATGGTCATACTATACTTTAGCACGGCGCTGCACAATGCCCAGTGGACGCTTTCAAACTCAAAGCTTTGTAGACTTGAGAAGACGAGGAGTAAACTTTTTCTTCGGACATCGACATCATTGATTTTGACTGCATGCAAGGTACCCTTATAAATATTTTTTCAAATTAACACTCACTAGCGCGAGCTGCGTCTGCATCCCAGTCAGTAGCAGAAGCGGAAAATGCACCCAGCCCCACGACACCAAAACTGGAAGCTGCACCTGGAGCGGCACCAGGAGCGGCTGCATCCCCGTTAGGAGGAGACGCCGCATCCGCGTCAGCGGCAGAAGGGCAAGCTGCATCAGCTGCAGCGAACGAAGGGAAAGATGCTTCTGCGTCACCGGAATACGAAAAAGCAGCGGAGGAAGGAGTCGTCGGCGACGGTACTCTTCTGTTGAACTTACTATGCTTGTTAACCCTGAGTATATATGAGGAGCGAAGAAGATATTGCGTCCTTTGGTCTTCCTTCCACGTTCCACTTCATTACTGTTAACCCTACTGAGTCTTCCTTTCGTGTTGCCAACATTCTCTTGGGCGGTAATAGATCACTGTGATAAGTGTACAGGTCAACGCCTAAACCACTAAGCAAACTGCGCAGTTGACTTAGTGGCTTCAGCGTTAACCTGCAAACTCATCACACCGAGAAAAATGGACTTGGAACTGCTATTTTCTACCACAGGCTATTGCAAGCCGCCGGCGACGGTAGTGTCATCCCATTCGGGTGGGAACGATGAATTTTATTATTCGGAAATACCATTTGACACATTGAATAGGGAGAAAAAGTTGAGCGCCGTGGCCACTGGTTCGATCTTTGGTCATGTTGACGTTTTGAAAGCGTTACAGACGGAGTCGTTCTACGCCGTCCTCTCAGGAGAGTTTGCATGCTTAAACCTGGGAAAGTACGAGTCCAAGACATGTGCACAGATGAACGCTCCATCTACTGAGTGCTACGACCAAGAGATAAACGGCGTCAAGTCGATTCTAGCTGGTGGGAAAGCTGGGGGCTCTTGGTATGTTTGGGCAAACCCAAGCTCCGAGTCTGGCAAGAACGTCGATTTTTGGAGAGAGGAGAAAGTGCCTTGCAATATTATGGAAGAGAAGCAGGATGCCCAAAAGAATCCTTATTTATAATAGTGTGACATTTCGTGTGCACTCGCGTTTAAGTATTCATTTTTCTCTTTGTTGTGATATAAATATTATAGGTCGTGCTTTACCATTGTACTACCAAAACTAAGTTGTAGTAAAGAATACAAATAGACTCTCGCCTCGATGGAGCACCTTGAGTTTGAGAATGCTGGTCGTACTTAGGGTCTTCAGTCACTATTTACTTAGCCATTTAATACGCAAGGTAGGTGTTAGAACAAAGAAAACCTAGAAAACTAGACCCGCAGGGGAGTCAAGTTGGAATCGGTACCCCCTTCGCTATTCTATACCTGCGAAGGTTGGAGCAAGTCCTCTCAGTTTGATGATTCTCGTGCAGTTTCAAACTGTGTCAGTTCGTGCCTATGAGTATCAAACTACTCGCTACGCTAGGGATCTCGGTGCTGATGTTCTCGATTCCGATAGTATTCCACTCCTATGGTGATCATCCTGATGGCGGTCCCCTTGGTGTGATCTTGTTGGTCTTCCTATTGGTGTGATTCTGATCCTCTGGCCCTTTGGTTCACGATCTTGGTGGACCTTTTGCCTGAGATTCTTGGGCCGTTTCACGTTGTTGATCTATCCACTATCATCCTGCCCAACAGTAGGGTAGGGGGCGACGGTGGGCTCTTCTAGGTAATCCGATGATGAGCGGCTTCTTTTTGCTCTTATTGTGGTTGTGAACTCTAACTTTTCAGAAAAGCACAGGGACACTAGCGTTGCTGTACACAATGTACCTCTAGCTGCTACAGATCCAAAAAAATTTTTCGAGGAGCACTGGCCGCAGGAAGCAATTAAAGATGGGAAACTCAAGAAAGGGTTTTGCAAATTGGAGCTAGACACCGCCAACAATTGCAAGAAACCGATTTGCGTGGAGGAAAACCATTGAGGTAAGAACCTCCACGAAGATGTGGATTCATCGAAGATGTGGATTTGTTCTCATGAATAAGCGATCAAAAGAAGTGTAGCATTTGGAGGTTATTTATTCTTCTGCGTTTAAGATATGAAAGTACTCAAGGGCAAGATGAAGCGAGTCCTCCTTCACTATCGTCACTTTCGACATATACTCGTCGACAAAACGCCACAGGTATGATGGAGGGAGACGGTATTGGCGGAGATGGTCGGTGTGGAAATGGAATATGGTTGAACTTACTACAGCAAGTTGCAGCAGCACCTCTTATTTGTTGATGCACAAACTAACGTAATGAAGATAGGTTTGCTCGTAAGCAAAGACAGATTATTTGTAGCGCATCGTTGAAATCAAGCTGGATTTGTATAGATGAAGAAACTTGTAGCCGAAAAATACCCGATCATTTTCAAGAATGATTTTTCCAAATGAAGACTTTCATAAGAACTACTGTTAACAATGACTTCAACCGATTTATCGAATTTTCATTTGCGATGATTATGGAGAAAAGGAGGCTGACTGTAAGTCGTGGCTGTCAAAATGTAGTTTCGCTCGAGAAGTATGCAGGTTCTCCCTCTCGCTGTCGACGGCATAGCAATTCCTATCGCATCCTACATGGAGCCAGAAATCGCTATAAGTGTTTCGGAGGATTCGGTCCCTATAAAGCGCGTTCTATCTACAACAGCAGCGTCATTTCATATGGCCTGTGCGGTCTAAGCGGAGGGTCTTCTTGGAGAAAATAACCCCTTGCTTTTCCAATTCAGCAGTGAGAGATTGGAAATGGAACCTAATGAGCGATCACGGTTACCGTATGATTGAAAAGAACCAATCTGCACAAAAGCATGAGGGGATTTTCGAAGACAAACATCTTGCTACTTGTTTCAAGAATTATATCTACTCTCAATACAACTAATTTGCTTTGATCAACATACTTTCACTAATATCAAATATATTTATATATGATATAAGATTACGAACAGGTAATGGAGTACAACTGTAAGCAATCATGCAAATATTTACATGTTGAAATTTACCCTGTTTCTTGTAGTTCTTCTTTTTGCATTATGAGAGGCGACCGGTTTGCTTGGATATTTCATTTAAGTACTTATTTCATTTTTTCGAGTTTAGCTTTAGTGTATCGCCGATCTCTGAGTCTGAGAAAATAGTTTGTGACCTGGTTGTACCGTTCTCACCCGTGACACAACAAGGATGGAGTCCTCCGGGACGACGAAGCTGTCGTTCTGCAGCTATGGAGCTGTGGTCGATCCAACGTTCTGGCAGGAGCTCGCCAGGAAGAAGCTCGATGAGTGGAAGCTGGATGGCGATTTAGCGACGCCGATTACTGCGGATATTTTGTTCGCACCCAGCAAGGCGAACTTCAGCTACAAGTCTTTCACTCCTCGTACTACAAATTCGGCAGATCCTTCAGACGGAAAGGCAAAGGGCACCACGAGTACGATTAAGCCTTCACTCAATCCATCTTTTAGCTCATCTGCGAGCTGTTTTCAAGCAGAAAAGTGGACACAGATGAGGCAGAAGATGGATTGTAGTAGGTTCTAACACGAGTAGTAGTAGCAGCAGCACTCCGCCTCCATCGGGGATAGGAGCAGCCGGGACGCTACGAAACATGAGCACGATCGAGGAGTTCAAGCGGTACGACCGCCAGGATTTATTGGATGCAGCGCAGAAGAAGTTATGGGGGGCACTGAAAGCCGGGGAGCTGTACGGAGAGGCGGTTATGCTCTGCATAAGCTCTATTTGCATTTTATATATATTCATCAACATGATCATCTAGATCTACTATTATTTCATTCACATCAAGATCACTGAGCAGTAGCTCATTGCTCAGGTTTGTCATCAACATCACGTAGCCCGCTCTCACATTCTGAGCAATACTATTCTTGCAATAATTGTTGAATAGTTCTTGCTACTTAAAGTCTACAACGCATAGTGCATAGCATGACTTTCTCGTCGTGCCGGATGTTGTGTTTCCTGTGGATACTAGAAATTAATATTGATAGTACGACTGTATTTCTACTCGTTAGCATATGTAGAAAAATTACTTATAATAAATATCTTGTAGGTAGTTGATAAACTACGGAATTTCGACTTAGTACTTCTCTATAAAAAAACTATAACTCGAACTCATCTACGAACACTATAGGTACATCGAAATCTTATATGACGAACATTCTTCCCCGCGGCTCCCTTTTCATTGCCATGTGCAACCTTGCGTCCTTGTCTCCTTCGCCGATCTGAAGAAGTACCACTTTTTCTACACATTGGGTTTTCCGTACATCAAGCCGACTTGTGGGGTTGACGTGGCTGCAACCGAGGATGTTACCGACCCTACACTACTATCGCAGATAGGGAAAGTCACCGCATCGGCATCTTCAGGAGGATCGCCACTGCCCGACGGCATTCGACCTCTCGGTTTATGATTGAAGCTTGATTAGCCAGAAGTTTCGAAAATGTCAGGATCGATCATATTCATGATTAGCTAAGCTTCACCCGTAATTTTCAGCATGATGATCAGAATCATCAGAGTTATCATCATCCTACTTCTAAAGCCGTTTCTTTTTTTCGCACCATAAGTATGGTGTCGAAGATAAAGTAATCATTTACATTTATTTTTTGGTCTTGCTGCTCTGTGTATTTTTTACGAAGTTTTTTCATATATCGCGCGGAGCTATTGCTGTCAGACAACGTGGGATGTCTTGTTTGGTGGTGCCAAAGAGGTCGCCGTGTATCTGGACAGTGGCGATCAGACAGGCGTGTACGACGTTGGTTTCCGAAATTTTCTTACCATGCTTTGGCTAGACGATGGTGGTGGAAGTGGCAGTGGGTCTTATTTATCATTATGGCTGATCACATCCACATGACGTGATTCGCATTGTGCGTGGTACTTATCTTTTCCACTTATTGTAAGTAGTACATTCATTGTCCATCAGGTCGGGAGACGGACAACGATGAGCATAAAGTAGACAGTGGTGGGTTACACACAGTGTAGATGATATTGAGTTCACAGGAGATGCATCCTTCATAGAGTTAACTCCCTTGCCTCCTAATGTTACCGCGCAAAGAAGATGGAGCAGATAAAGTGGAGGTGCAGTGCTGTGTTGTTCAGAAAGGAAAAACGCCGCAGCTCGTGACCATCCGATATGCCAGTAGTAGTGAAAGCGTTAGGGGAGCTGCGCAGCCGCCTCCCAAAGCTTTTGCAGCAGGGTGAGCAATTTGGATTGGCTTATTCATTAAATGATAAAGTGACACTGACAGATGATTTTTCTGTTCGTGTTGTTCATATGTAGTTTATGCTCCAACCGAGGTGGTTCCGCATTCGTATTGTACGTTGTATATTATAGATATAATCTTCATAGGTCTTTGCCTAATAAAAATCTCCTTTTGTCATAAGTCTCCTCCTCTCACACCAGGTGGCTGAAAAACGAGCAAAATTCTGTGGTGCGTATGGTGGATCTTGCCCAATGGCTAGATCCAGGCGCTATTGCGAAGAGCGCAGTCGATCTGAATATCAAGCTAATGAAGTGGCGTCTCGTCCCGGACTTAGAACCCGAAAAGATCCAGAATTTGCGTTTTCTCATGCTCGGCAGCGGCACTCTCGGCTGCGCAATAGCCAGAAATTTACTCGGTTGGGGCGTTCGCCACATAACGTTCCTTGACTCCAGTATTTCTTTCTCCCACTAGCCATGTCCGCGATTTGCCACATAGGCATAGCATTCCTTGACTCCAGTGTTTTTTTCCCTGTCTTACTTCACGAGCAGGTTTAGTACAGTTGTACAATCTAAATTCATTTCTACTACCGCTTACTTCCGCTATTTTCTTTGTTGAACGCAGACTCTGAACATGCTCTAGCACATACTTACAGCATAGGAAGAATAGGTGTGGAGATACCTGTAGTTCTAAAAATAGCAACGGAATCAAGTAGATCCAGATGCGGATGATGCAGACTTCGTATGCCGAATCTGGATCTTCTTCTCATTCGAGAACTTGCTCACTTTTTCTTCGACAGGTATTGTGAATATGTCGAACCCAGTGAGGCAAAGCCTCTTTACACACCGCGACGCCGTCGAGCGACGGGGCAAAGCTGAGTGCGCCGCACAGCGCGCAAAAGACGTGATGCCGGAATTGGAAGCGGCACATCATCATCTCGAAATTCCAATGCCCGGGCACCCAGCCTCGTTCTTATGACCCTAAAATGCTTTAGTTTGTGTTTGTCCTCGTTCATTGAAGATCTTTGATTGCTGGGAATCTATTATGTTCCCCTATCCCGTTCATGTCAATTTATGAAATACAAATCTACTTGTATTTCTATCATAGCAGGAGGGTGTTGAACATATTACGCAATTATTATGTCCGATTCCATTAGTCAGGTAGGGCGACATCTAATGCAGTCCGAAGAGAGCATAGCGAAATTGGAGAGTTTAGTGGACAGCCACGATGTAGTCTGTATGCTAACCGATTCTAGGGAGAGTAGGTGGTTGCCGAGCCTCCTCGTAGCGGATCGGCAGAAAACTCGTCCAATTTTGGGCCTCACCGTTGCTTTGGGGTTCGACTCTTTCGTCGTCATGACGCAAACGTGTGGTACATGGTTGATTTCTTTTTTTGTTTTATTGTAGCTATGCACGCACATACTTCTTGTAACTATGATAGCACACAAGACAAGAACAAGAAGAACAACATACACATGATCATCATGATGCTTTCGTAGCTCACTAAAGAGACAGCAGATTCTAGTGATGTCCACTGGATCTCCGCTAATATAAAACAAGCATTCATTCTGGCTTCATGCACGTACTGTCTGATTTTAACTCGCTTTCGCTCTGATGACAAAAAGTGTCAACTGACTACATTCATCGTGAACACATTGCCAAACAGGCAATGCTCAGCGCGCGTGTTATTTCTGTAATGATGTGAGCGCACCCACGGATAGCCTGAAGGAGCGAACACTAGACCGTCAGTGTACCGTAGTGCGCCCTGGTGTGAGCGGAATCGCTAGTATGGCTCCCGTTCTTTTCATATCTCTATCTGCTTCAGGGCTCCATCTAGTATCAGTTTGATTGTATCTCTATCTGCTTAAGTGCTCCGTCTAGTATTATTTGTTTGATTATGATTTTCTTCCGTTTCCAAAGCGTGACGAGCGGTAGTTTTTCCTCAAGCTCAAACGTACACAGGAACGAACAGAATCGAGACTTTCTTTTGAGTTGTCTTCATCTGCTAGAAGTAGAAGTTATGATCTACGCAGTACTTCCACTAGACAGGACCGTGGCCACAACATCAACAAGCCCTTTTTCTAACGTGAGTGCCCTCGCCGTGGAACTTGTTGCCGCCATGTCGCAGCACGCTGATGGGTTTCAGGCACGTGCTAACGAGTCACTTCTTGGTCAAGTTCCGAACCAAATCCGTGGATACCTTTCCGACTATCGCCTCGTTCCCATTGAGACCGAGCCATTCAAGCACTGTGTTTGCTGCTCTGATCCTATTATCGAAGCCTATCGGAAAGACGTACTAGTAGAACTATACGTATAAATATGATCTTTATCCTACTTGTAATGTATGTAGTAGGTCATCCTGATCCTGCATATCTTAGAACTGCTTGTAAGTACTACCTAGACTATCTTCGTCTTTCGTTCTTTCCAGACCTTTCGTTCTCCTCGTAGCATCGTATTAAACCTCCAGGAAGACTCTGAGATGGATAAACATCCGCGTAACTAATGTACTTAAATGACATGAAATATCAAACGAAGATTGATGTTAAATGAAGACTACATGTCCGCTGTTTACACGCTTGAATATTCCGTTTTTTACAGCGCGACCCTTACCTTCCGTTCTTGTTTACACCCTTGTATACAGGGATTAGGATTCGTGAAGAAATGCGTTGCTGACAACCGGATACTGGAGGAGATATCTGGGCTAAATGGCATGAAATCTACCGTAGAGGCGCAGGCGCTCGAGGCGATTGACTTAGAGCTTGACGAAGAAGACGAAGATTTGTGTGTGCTATAGAAGAGAAGGATGTTGAGAGGCCTCATGCTCGATATATTAATCGGAGCTCGAGGTTACGTCCATGACATGACATGATGTCCAGGTCGTTCAGCATCTGAATAGAGTCTGTGTCTATATATGTGTTGTGTTCATCTCGTGGAGAGTCATGCCTAATCATGGAATAAACAACTACTTCTAATGAAAATTGCGTGGTACGATTCGCATCCATTGATTACGAGCTGACGAATTGGAATACAATGAAGTACATGTAGATCATTTGTGGTTAATGTCCCTTGTAGTTACTCAGTAGAGCTAGAGGACGAGTGTCCTTCACATGTCTTGTGTAAAAATCTCGTAGTAAAGTAGATGTAGAGACGACTCTTGAGCTGATTGTATCCAGTTGTAGTACGGATGCAGTCGCCTTTTCGTGAAGCGACTCTGTCTTTTTTGGCCGTTTGAGGATTGTTCGACTCTTTATGATTCATAGATTTTTTACAACCGATACCGATACCTATTGAATTCGACAAATGTAGTGTGTCCATTTCTTTTCCTCAGCGCCGTTGGTTTCACCCCACCACGACTGGATATACCACCACTACTGCTGCCACTGTTGAGTGAAGCTCGGACGAGCAAGTGTATTTTTTGCTGGATCATAAGGATGGAGTTCTCCTGAGCAGCTAGAAGACTGACCAACCAAGGATTATGATGTTGATCCACTACATCTACATCTAGTACCAAATAAGGCTACTTACATGATTTCCTTTTCCCAACTACAGACCCAGATCCATCACTCCTTGATTTGCATTATAATTGCTGCTGCAATGTTTTTACCAGTGAGCAACGCGGCAGAACGGTCTGATACCACTTGCGCTGCGGTAGAAGGATTCAAGCAAGGGTCGAAGGTCCTTGTTGCCGCTTGCGCTGTGGGTTCGATAAGTTTATAGATCTCGTCAAGGTTTGGCCTAAGATGATCGCTGGTGTCTTACGGATCTCATGGCCAGGAGCACCTGCGCAATAACTGGGAGATCCCCCTGTAGATCTCTTTATCTTCGGTCACTACGAAGTTTATACTTGTGAAGAGTCTAGGTCAAGGTCGTGTCAGAGATCTGTTTCGAGAAGTAGAGTAGATCCTCCAGCAGAGATCTAGTACTACAAATGAGCAATTCTCAATGACTAATACACTCATTCCTCAAGCGAAATTACTTACTTTTACTTTTTTACTCATTTTTTTTCTTTGCTAAATATGCGATAAGATAGATTGTAATTCATCTCGATTATCTCACGCATTACTACCTCCAGATAAGCAAGTTATTTTCCATATCTCCAGCGCGATGTCGTCTTCATCTGCGTTACCTGGCGATGCCTCCTCTGTTTTTGACGTGCTCTCCGGTGAAGCGGTCAATGGCGATGTTATTCAAGTCCTGACAGCGATTTCCAAATCCGTTGTCGATATTGTTAAGTCTTCGACATTGTTGTATCTAGGTCGTGTTGTATTTTTTCACTGACTTGAGCTTGACTGAACAAAAACAAACTGTACCAACTAGATATGATAATTTTGACGTGAGGGATTTGAACCTCAAGGTAGAAGACTTGTTTCAATTCTTGGTGTTTGATACTGAGAACTGAGGCAGGAGTACAAGTTGTTGTCTAAATGTGTCAACTTTTGGTAAAAGTGTTAGTGTGCCTTCTAACCATCGTGTGGCGCTCAGAGAAGGAGCGTCAGGGTTCAAGGCGGAAGCAGTCGGAACAGCGAATAGTTTCGGAGATGATCAGTTGGCTGTTGATTTAGCGAGCGATCAGGCTGTGTTTATGACGCTAAAATTTAAAGAAACGTATTTCTGATTGAAGATACAATTGGTTGCATAGGTATTCGAATTTTTTTAGAGCTCCTTCCTCTAATTTTTCTTGAAACGCGTCCTAAAAGCATGCTGGCCTTTTCACACGGCCTGAGGATGTTTTTCATGATGACGTTTGAACCTAGAGAAGGAAATTACAGCCGTTCTTCGGGTGTGGGTTTTTAAAGTTCGGAAAATGAAACTACGGTCTTTCATCTTCATTCATCTGTGGATACTGAGTCTTCGGTACCTTGCTCTGCATCTAATCTTTCCTTACTTCTGCATCTAATTTTTTTGCGAGGCTGAAAGCGTCTGGCCTTGTCGCAGTTGCCAGCAGCGAGGAAACACCGGAGGAAGTCAATTTAGGAGGTACTATATTGCGCAGCTGCACCAGCATGAGCATCATAGATGAAGTTCAAGTTATTAAGTGAAACTACCACAACTACATTCGTGGAGGACCAAGGAGTGCCAGAGTACGTATTAACTAAACGACGTTTACGTTTAGTTGTGACTACAAGCGTGGCGAACAAGGAGCAGTTGGATGTTTTTACAGACCCCTTTACTTACACCGACACTAAAGGTACCGGATTTTCGGTAGCCTTCGATCCTCTAGACGGGTCCAGCATAGTCGATGCGAATTTCACAGTGGGCTCAATATTCGGAGTGTGGCCAGGAGCAACTCTGAATTATGCAGCCTCGTCCTCTTGTTCACTGAATCAGTAGTTCTTGAGATTGACTACAAGTGTGTTGTAAATGCATATTAGAAAAAAGAGACTATTAGTTATAGTTGTATAATTAAGCTCATACAGTATTGTCGATCTCCTTCAGTGCCCTGCGCGACAGGAAGGGAAGCACGACAAGCGGCAACCTTGTCGTTGTGTCCCTCTCTTCATCTTCTAATACATGGGTGTCCGAGGAAACGAGCAAGTTGCAGCTGTAATGGCCATGTATGGACCGAGGATCACGATGGCCGTTGCTTGGAGAGGTGGTACTTTTTGTCTACTAAAATTATAGGCAAATAGCCATCTTCCTTTATGTCCTTTCTTGTGTAGTTCTGGGAAGTCGTTCGTGTGATTCCTTAGAGAGGCATTTAGATTTATTTTGCTTTTCGAATTCAATACACAAAGAACAAAGCCAGTCGTTGTCATGATCATCCATGTTCCTTGGCTGTCCACCCTTTTCTTACCGAGCTCACCGCACAGGGTGCGTCGAATTGACATGGATCAAGGGTGAGTGGATGAAGACAAAGGAACTGAAAATAGCGCCCAGCGGGAAAGTGTTCGCGCCAGGGAACCTTCGAGCAACGGCCGACGCTCCAGCGTACATGGCATTATTAAGGCTATAAAAATTCACTATCACTAATTACTGCCCCACAGAATTCACGCCCCAGCTAACGATCGAAACACCTCAACTACCCCATGACCATTTTCAAGTCAAAACCACGATCAGACTTTTTCGCGGTTTTTCAGCAGTTACATGGATAACAGAGTAGTTTATAGCACGCATGGTGCATGGAGTGCATGGAGTAGCATGGACTGCATGGAGCGCAGAGCTTTAAGGGGCGCAAGAAGCTCCCCCTTTAGCTCCATGCTATTCCATGTGATCCATGCACTCCATGCCATGCGAGCTGTGAAACCTTATAAATTGCTCTGGGATAACTATAACCTCCTAGGACGAGTCATGTTGCCCCCTCGGATCGGATACTTTTAAAGATGTACTTAACAAGACGAGCTCTAACGAGGGTACAAGAGTGGATTGCTCAGCGGTATACTCTGCGGTACACTGGAGGAATGGTGCCTGATGTCTACCACATATTGTTCAAAGGAAAGGGAGTTTTCAGCAACTGCAGTTCGGCCGGGGCAAAAGCGAAGCTAAGGTACTTCTCTTCTACTTCTTCTTCTTGAGTGCACGTGAGGACGTTATTTTCGATTTGTTCACTGAGGCGGGTGCGGGTAAGTAAGTAATACATAGTTAGTTTAGTATGTTCGTAGTTGGAGGCAAGTAATACAACGTAGTATGTGAGGCCCGCAAGAAGTTTGATTTTTTTCATATTAGGGAAGGAATGTACGAAGATAGATCACACACCTTTTTTTTCTGGTAGATTTAGCTCCACTGACAATTACCAATACAATAAATATAGCTCGTCCTTCTATCAATGATGTGCAATGTATTCCATTACTGATCCCCAAGAACCAACAAGAATGATATATGATGATGACTTGTTTTCCTTTTTTTCAGGCTGCTCTACGAGTGTGCGCCGATTGCGTTTATAGTCGAGGCAGCCGGAGGCAAAAGTCTGGTCGATCCGATGTTTGCTTCGGCACCGCAGAGCGTCCTGGACGTTGCGGTGGCCGCCTTGGATCAGAGGATAGGAGTTGCCTATGGAAGCTCAGCAGAAATTGAGCTCTTTCAGACGCATATGTTTCCCTGCCCAAACTAATCACCCGTTGTGACGCACCAACGGCCGCAGCACCCTCCATATTATAATATTTATGTTGAGGACAATGAAAATGAATTGGTATTAGTATTTCATGAATAGGTATAAGGTTTTATGTTATTAATATGTGCGCCTCAACGTCGTCCACGCAAACGGACGGAAACATTGTAGACCGCGGACTCTACTAGAAAATGATTTTTGAAGCAAAAATAATTTGTGTTCCTCTGGTGGACATCATGCTCGTCACCGTTCTTGATCTGCTGAGCCAGGGACCGACATTTGCGGCGCTTTGTGCAACATGCGGGAAGGATCTACTGATGCTGAATGCCAACGGCAACGGCATCCACAATCCACAGCAAGACACTTGGTCATTATTTCACTACAGTATCTCAAAGCTTCTCAATACGAAAGTATTTGTTGAAAATAATTGAGAATGGCAACTTCCTCGTCTTGCGTTCCCGCTGGTTTTTGGTGCCCGCACACAGCAACGCACGACTTCGTTGAAGGAAACTACGCTGTTTCCCATTTTATCGTCGAATTTGGGAACACGATCTCGTGCTCCTTCATGGTCTACGCCGGTCTCTACCTCTTGATGCAGTATCGAGAAGGGAAGCGAAGCGATGACATGTCTTCTCAGCAAGAGCAAAAAGATTCGAAGCAAAGTAGAGGAAACACCGGGAAAGGCGAAGGCCCATACTGGCCATGCGAAAAGCTACTCTTGGATGACGATGTTTCGACACTTTTGGTAGGCACGTCCGTGGTACTCGTTGGCATAGGTTCTGCCCTGTTTCACGGCACTCTCCAATACGGGTTACAAGGTAATTCCATTCTCCCCTAAGATTCCGAGCCACCACTTTTCAAGTAGGAAAGTGGGAGTCAGAGATGTTTTGAAGAAAGGAAAAGAGATTGTGTTACCTCCTCCTCCAAGTACAACGGTGGGCTCAAGTCGCGGACGAGCTGCCTATGGTTTGGAGCGCTTTGGGCTTTCAGTTTGCGTTGCAAAATGCGATCCGGAACGCCAGGATGCGAAGTGACTCTTCCTTTCCAGCTACTAAAAAGGGAGCGCGCGCGAGCTTACTCTTGTGGGCGTCATGGGCGATCTGCATGGTTTTGGCAACTGGTCTCTATTTCCTCTGCGATTTCCTCTTTTTCATCGGCCTCTATGCGTTCTTAGTGTGTCTTCTCGCAGCTCGAGCATTGTCCTTGAGGGATACCGATTTCAACATCGACGACATTCTACTTTCCGAAGTACATTTACAACAACAAAAGATGGAGGGAGAAAGGCACATGCGGCAAGTGGTACAAGGGGAAGATGAGGAAGTGCTAGTACAAAAGGAAGAGGGTAAAATCGTCACCACTAGCACAAGGAACACGACAGCGTCGTTGGAGCGCGCAGCACGGCACGCAGTTGTAGCGTATATTGGTGGTGCGCTTTTCTTCTGGATTCCAGTCGAAATCCTTAAAGTGTACTCTCATCCGATGTTAACCCCAACGATGCACGCTGTTTGGCATGTAGCATCCGGTATAGGACCGCTTGCCTTCGGCCAAATGATTGTGTTACTGAATCTACATGGAAAGGTAAAAAATGGGCGGTTGCGCAGCTCGGAAACTGAAGTATGTAGGGCTTCTGGGAGCTACTCTCCTTGTTATCGGAAGGAGAAAATTCCCGGAATGAAGATGACGTTTGCATCAGGTAGCCGTAAACCTTCAGATAAGACCTCGAGCTTCATAGTGGCTCGCTCACCGTGCCTCATGAGCCTCGGTGTAACGACTTATCATCTAGAAGGAGTGGGTCGCAAAAAGTGTGAATTGTCTTCTCGTGTCAACCTCTTAAAGCAGAAAACCAAGACATGAGTGGCACTAGCGTGTGTAGTTCAACTCTTGTTGTTCATTTACGTGTCTAAAGCAAGACGTTACTCTGCTCTGTGACCGCTAGATGATTTTGCTGAAACGGATCCACGCAGTACTAACAGCGTAATTTAAGGAAGGAGCAAGGCGGGAGACGTGAGGAAATCAGACTTTTTTACGTCAAGGAAACTGACCGACGATATGATCAATAGGTAGAAGGCAACTTATTCAATACATAGTAACAGTTAGTAGTGCAACTACTGAAGAAGCAATTGCAATTTTGATTGATTGTGATTTTCATTTTCCAATACAATATCATACGAGCGAAGAAGAAGGTGAAGGTCACTCAAATCAAAAAGATGGTGGCGTTTCGTTCGTGGATCGGTGCCAGAGCGACAATGCTCCTCCGAATCGCTACTCTGCTGAGTTTTAGTGCTTGCTTTTCTACTGGTCTTACGACATTGTATCCTCCCGTGTTTTCGTCACAGCAGAAGATCAAGCAGGGAGTCCAACAGCACACCACCGGAAATCAACATTTAGGTCAGCCCGCCTCGTCTACCTCTCATCAACATGTGGCGCGTACGTCCCAGCTTCAGCTCGTACCGGAAAATACAGGTGTGGTGGGAACACCACTTGTCCAGTCTTTCAACGAGCAGACCCCCATTTTCGGCACTGGAATGCGATCGAGTCAGCTCTTGCGGGGAGTACCCTCCACCGGCAATTTCGACTCATTTCGCTCACAAGCGTCGTACACCTATGAATATCCAACATATCTTCATCAAGTGAATGGATTCATAAAGTAGGTCAAAGACCAGTTCGAACCAACCCCTCGTTCCCCTTCTAATCCACATCACAACCGCTGGATCAAGAGGAGATGGCGATGGGAATTACACGCAGCATCAAGCGCTTTAGAGCCGGCCGACATCTTCCCAGCGACCAAGTAGAGTATTTTCAGCGGGTCCCGAGCGAGCTGGAACCAATCTGGCAAGCCCCAGATGTCGTTACGGATTTGCTCCTAAAACCCTTCACTTGTTCTTTTGTTGAGAGTGTCGTCTTTTGACTAGAAGTTTATTGCTCTTCTTCTTCTACTTGGTGGAAATTACCTTTTTATTCATGAAGTAGAGTGCGGTAGTGTGGTAGTTGGTTGAGGTTGTACTTAAAATAGAATATCTTGGAAAGAGCAGATCGATGTTCCAAAACGGGTTGGTCTCTTGCTCTTTGTGACTACCTTTTGTTCTAAAAAAAAGAGTGAGGACATGCGAAAAAGCGTTGATATGTGGATCCCTCTCAAGGTGAAGACCTTCGAAGAGCTTGGTGGGGCTTACACGCTGCAGTCTGGCGACTTGTGCTTAGTGTGGCGTCCGACGATCGGGTCGTGCGACTACGGCGCAGTTTCTCACGGAAACTGCTATCAGCGGATGGCGCTCTTCAAGCAACCGAAGCAAGCTAGTACAGGTGTGTTAAGGCTCCCACAAATCTTCCATTTTGAAAAGCATCCTGAGACTCAGGCCGCTGTTTAGAAATGCCGGAAAAAGGTTTCAGGATGTTTTTCAAGACTGATTTACATTTATGAAAGATCTAAGTGTGGCGCCTTTGCCGCCTGTCATCAAGTGTCGCCTCAGCAAGCGATTTCAGCTGCCACACACAGTGCGTCTCTCCATGTACGAAGCTTCGGGTTCTAGGGGCATCTGGTACGACGAAGTCTCCAGTCTCGGCTGGCGAGACATGCACTTGGTGCGACACCCGGTGTACCTCGACTACGTCCGCTTTTAAGGCTTCCTCTAATGATCCGTCGATCTCCAGACGCTCTCATCGATCTTGAGGCTGTTCCATGAGAGGGATGAAAAGGAAGCATCAAGATGATGCATCTACTTGTAAGCTAGTTACAGGTCGTGAGCTCTATCTCTAATGTTTCGTCAACGATCGCCCAGCGATTAACAAGAATGTGTGCATGCAGGTGTCACCTTTGGTTGAGAGTTTTCAGGTCGTCAACTTCGGCACCATGATCGACCGCTTTCCCGAGAAAGACGGCTCCCTCAACGACAACTGCGCTAGCATTAAGGCGTACTACCGTAATTCATCTCGAGAAGCATCTTTCTTTGGGTCCTTTTTCAGGGGAAAAGGACGGCAAAGATGCTTCTCAAGATGAATATGCATAGGTAAGCTCTAATAGCAGGGACGATCCGGAGTACCTCACTCTAAGAGGATGTCTGCGGTGTATGAATATGGAGGACACGGACGAAGTGTGCGAATTCAACAACTACGAAGAACTGCTAGGCAATTCCTGGCATGAAAAGTACGTACAGCGGGCTGCAGGAGCTGGTGGAGGTCCTTCAGCTGTTACAACAAATGGAACGGAAGCCACGAGAAACAGTAAATCTAGGAGTTCGAGTTCGACAGCCGCATACTCAAGTTGGGACTTTCGCAGCGATGCATTTCGCCAGAGTGTGGACCCTGTCCTAGTGTATCGGCAGTACGAGGGTTCCACTGGTCAGATTGCGTTTCAGATAAAGTGGCGAGAGTGCGTGGAGAGGCAACTGTGGTCATCGGCCTACTATTAAGGTCAGCTATTATCCCTGATCTTTCTCCGCATCTCGATACCCTTTTCCCTTGTATTTTTAATACTTGTGGGAAAGGGGTCGAGTTGAGGGGACCGAGATGAGGAAGAAAAGGCGACTCTAATACTACAAAATGCACGGCCGTCGCTTGCATTTCGTCTACAAGATGCTTGATGACGCACTACAAGACCGCAGCAATGACGGCTCAGCAGTTGTGCACGATCTCCAGACCATCGATCATTGGTAAGGCTACCTTTAATCCATCTCTAGTATGGGGATCCCTAAGCCTACAGAAATGTCTGAGAGGGATCTCCTTGACGGATTCCCACAGAGATGAACTAGGGGCAGTTCTAACATGGGCGCGGATGGGAGCGAACGTACCTCGGCCGACCACAACACGGACAACGATGGAAGTTCAAGCACGTAAGTTTCGGTTTCCACGGATACAAGAAGGGCGCGGCTTTTATGACCGCAGTACAGGGAAAGAATATCAATGACATCGCGATTTATTTAAGGCTGCTCACCATATTTCCTTTCTTCGATTCGTTTCTCACTATTTCCTTCTTAAACGAAAGTGAGAATAGAATGGCGAAGCGAGAAATGAAATATTTCGGGCTCTAATTCATGGTTTAGCACCACTCCTCCAGAACCAAGCAAATCCAGCAGAAACGGTCTTTGGCCGCGAAGGTCTTGGGGTCGGAACAGCGACTGCAAACATTGGTGGACCAGCTGCGCTCCTTTCCTCAGCAGCGTACGTACGACGGTTACGACTCGCACTAATTCATTTCCTGAACTAGAACTTCTAGTTCATTCTATCTTCTGTACCAGGTAAATATTAATTTTCTATTTAGTTGTATCTATAAGCCGCGGACGAATCCCGCTGCCCAGGAAAAAGATGAAGATGAGCTTATATATATATAGTAGAGAAGGAAAATCCAAATGACATGGACTATTAGTATCGCGAGCTCTAAAACGTGGCGACGCGGGTGCATCTTCGGGAGGAAGTGCGAGCGGTCAAGTTGTAGTCGGCAACAAGGTGCTCACGACTAGTGCTGGCGCTGCACCAAACAGGCAAGTGATTGCCGGTCCGCTCATCAAGAACACGATCCTCTTTCTAAGGCTTGCTATCCAAATCCATCTTCGGAGACACAGACATCATGAACAGCATTTTCAAGGGAAAAGGGGGTTTAAGATGTACCTCAAGATGGATTCGCGCGAGGTCTAATCTTAGATTCGGTGTGTTTTGGCGGAAAGAATAAGCGCAACGGGCGCCGCATTTCTTCGAGTATCGGACGCGTTTTTGAGTCGCTCTACAAACGGGGCTGGCACAAGATCCAAGCGCTCGGCAGCAAGGATTTGCAGTCCGCCTTAAGGCTTTCGCTAATGGTCTCCAACGCTAATGGGGATCCCGCAACCTTTCGCATCCAAATAGATACAAGGGAAATTGTATAAGGCATGTCTTGTTGCGGGATCCCTCACATGTGGGATTAAGGGGGGAAACCTCTAACCGCCTACCGCTTTCGGTTCAACAGCGTGCGTGCCGGTTACCCAGTGTTTAGCTTCGTGCAGAGTGACCGCAGCGACGGCACGCGGATGCTGGAGGAGTACAATTACCTTGTGGGGGACACGGTGGAAGTGGTTCTGGAGCGACAGATGGATCGACATGGGCCCATTTCCGCACGCGCAGTGTCCGGAACCGAGCAGTGGGCTGGGAAGCGTTTCGTGAACGGGCAGAGTTCGAACTTCTTCGTCGGATACGAACTGGCCGTTGTCACTTCAATTGGCAGTTTTTCGCAGAATGTGACGCTCACAACGAGCAATTACTCGCAGCACGGCGGTCCGTCGCCAGTGAAGCCTGCGCTGCGTCTATGTCAGGCACCGGAGGGCATGATGAATATGCCTTCCAGCGCCGGCAATGGAGGCGCGGCCACGACTAACCCGCAGAACAACAATGCAGCAAGAACAGCGCAGCGAGCCCGTCCGAGGTCAGCGGCTTCCTCTCTGAGCGTCACCGAGGTCCCGCGAGCCGCATTTCCATTCCCAGTGCAGAGCACGACTGCTCAAGAACAAGCCAATAGTACGGGTCCACTGTCCTCGCACGGGGGAATCGTAGTCGTGGATGTGAATAACAGAATAACATCTCCAGGAGCGCCTGCCGCGACGAGTAGTAGTCCTAATATTTTTCGCAGTGTTGATGCCGTTCTTGGTAGCGCTGCTGGTACAACTAGTGCTAGTGGCGTGGAAGCGACGTCTTCCTCTTTATCCTCACTACCAGCCGCAGCGGGAGGAGGACAAGTTGTCGGCACTAGTCCCATCGGTTCGTCAGCATCGTCGATCGGGTCAACCGTACGTACCAGCGCGCTAGAACGTCCCGCCAGTGCGCAGCAGCTGCGCCATCCTGTACAAGGCTACACTGCCTACCTGCGGAATGGTCAGGGAGGTACGCTGTTCCCGGCGCCGAAGCGCATTGTGATGGCGACTAGCTACACGAGCCAGTCGCAGCCGGTCGAGCCACCGCGTACACCAGGCAACCGCGGACAATATGTCATCAGCCGCGCCAATCTCGAAATGCGACAAAACAAGGTGTACGAAGACTACCAGGTGCTGCGACCGAGGCTAGTAAAGCTTAACGATTTCCGAGAGAAGCGATCCCCGTACGACGTCGGAGAAAAAGTCAAAGTTTGCATTCCGACTCAACTACTTCCCTCTTCATCGTCTAGGGGTAACTCGAAAAGTGCATCACCTACTTCGAATGGCTCAACACCAGCAAAGGAACAAACGTCAGCCAATCGCGGTTCTTCTCAGCAACTGTCCGCAGCAGCAGGACAACAATCTTCGCTCGGTCAGGTGCCGCAATCTTGTTTACCAACAGACTACAGAACCGGGTACGTCGTACAAGCAGAGCCTCTCAAGATCCAGACCGAGGCGTGGGGACTATTAGAACCATGGAACTTTTGCGGGTCCGACTTCGTGATGCGCTACACCGACTTTTACGCACGTTATGCACCGGGACGAGGGCGCGTAAGTGCATAGCACTTAAGTACTTAAATGTTGAAAAATCAGTTCTACTAAGGTCAACGAACTAACTTCACGTAACAAAAATGCCTTCATCTGAGTCGTGTGTAGCAAAGAATATGAAATTGCGTACCAGTAGAATTTGGACGTAGGCAAACTACGTGACATGAGGACAACACGCTTTTAGTAATGCGGATTGTAATTGTAAATAGTGATCCAAATATCATCATACTTCTCTTATTATCTTGAAAAGAGAGTTTTTGTTAGTGTATTTTCATGTAATGAGCATTGCGACATTGTGTAGCAACAATGAAGATTGATGTGGAGCTTTTTATAACCTTGCAACTTTATTCTCTTCTAGTTCTTATTTGCCTTTGAGAATTCACTAGCAGGTACTTACATACATGATACATATACTTCATGTGGTTTATTCACATGAAAACAGGAAATACTACTAATTCACATAGTTGATGTCATAGAAATCGCTCGTTTCGATGACATAGATAGTTTTAGTTGTTTTTCTCTCTGCATACTCGTTTTACACATATAGCACAGATACTCGTGGTCTCGTAAGTCTACTCATGAGAGCAAGTATCAAGTGCTTGCTGAGCATTGGCTGGAAGCAGCATTGTAGACTTTGTTTCGAAATTACCAATCTGCATGTCTGACAAAACGTAAAGGAATTCTGTAGTCTGCGAAACTAAATCTTCATGTAATAGTTTTCCACAGTTCGTTGTAGCTAATTGTTATGCACAAATATGGCAGTACTAGTACCACGTGCAAGAACAAAGCCTTTATTTATTGCATTTCTCGTTTATGTATGAATGATGAGTTTGGCCTGTACGTAGCAAAGTATATCTATGTATAATTACGCCTTCTAATTGTGGGAGTTCTTCTTCTTTCGATAATTGAACGATTCACTTTTCATACTCGGTGTCCCTGAATATGAAGAGATCTCCCTTCTGTGTTCTTGTGTTGGAAGTGTACATCAACTCACTTTGGAAACAAAGAGAGACTCCCTCGACCTCTACTGGTCTCATCTTCACCACAACAACCTGCTCCTTCAAAATATTTCTTGATGAAAATAGAGTGCTCCTGCTTCTGTATTCTGCAAAAATACATCACAAAAGAAATTATAGATTAGTTATCACAATTACGCTTTGCAATTATTGCATTCTTGCACTTGCTTTGGACGAGCAACCCGAAACATGGAATGCTTTGGCTAGTCAGTCTGGATTCTAAGGAAGTGGCTGCGCTAAGTGTTCGAGTTCGACGTCACACGACGACAACTCTCCTTCTCATTCTCTAAAAAGAAAAACTGAAAGATAGCATTCATTCTTGATCGGTGGCATGACCCTTAAAATACAGAGCGTCCTAGTAACCATTGAACCCTGGCGACGCTGTTATGTATTTAAGTACCCTTTTTGGGCCGCGCAGTCGGTTTCTTCGTTCTTGTTTTACAGCTTTAGGCTAGTAGACTGCTAAAAAAAAGATGAAGATCTTTTCAAACCAATGTGGATTTATTGTTTACTAGTTCCTAAAAAAAAATGGTGGCTGTCGCATGAAAGTAGGCTTTACTCTATTCATCAAGGGTTACCGTAGAGGTTGGAGATTTGCCCGTGCACTACTTCTGATTCAGAAGATAGAAGATGACTTCTTCAAGGTCAACAAAAATGATGAAGTAGGCTCATCACTGCTGGTGTAAGATAATTTGTTGTTCCACACGTTTCAAGACTCGAGGTCAATTTATTTGAGATTTTGACTTTCATGAATCACTTTGTACGTCGACGCATTGTTCTGCAACGAGCCATCCTACTCCAGTTCCAATCTATCCACAGAAGATATTAAAGAAACAACTACCACTTACTCGCTAAGTAACGTCCTCCTCGTCCATCAATTTGATCAATTTTGATAATTTTTTCTCATCACTCACTCAGTGGTCGTAATTGATATATGTCTCTAGTTTTTTCTTTAATATCGGATCACTAGCAGAGAAAAATGGCGCCCGTTTTGGAAAATGACGAGGCCAACAAAGGTGCATGCGGCGAGAAGAGGTTGCGCACTGCAGATCGTGCCCTATGTCGTCGCGTGCCAAACGACGTCACTTTAGGGTCAGAGCCTTGTGAGCTTTTGCGCGTGCTACATCGTGGGTTTCGTGACCAGCTCTCACTTGTCGAGCAGGCGGAATCTTCCCAAGCACAAAGTAGTGCTCAGCCACCACATGACGGAGGCGGAGCAGATCACGTGGTCGATGCTGGGAGCAGAAGTAATGGTGAAGGAGCAGAAGCAGTAATGATGCAGGAAGACGAGAGGAGCATCACACTCACAGCAGGGCTGAGGCTGACAAACAATGCCGACGAGGAGGACGTGGGCATGAGCACCGAAGAGCCGACCCTGCAATCCATGCTCGACCGCTTTCAGAACACCTCAAGGAACAATGGCACCTCCGCGTCTTCGAATTTTGTGCGCAGCACGTCCCTTCGCAAGGCCGACATCGTTCTAGCCGGGAAATGGGAAACAATCTCCCTTTCCACAGAGCCTCCGTTTGAATTGCGTGTCGGCAGTTCTGGTGGAGCACCTAACTCTGGAGCACCTTCGACGACATCCTCTTCCTCTGCTGCCGTTGTGCCTCTACCACCAACAGCCGAAGCGAATACAAAAAGTGACGCAGGAGCCACGAAAGGCCCTACCACGAGTAGCACAGCTTCCTCCACTGAAACTGATGCTGAACAGGGTGAGGGACCACGACCACAACGGGTAGGTGAACGTGAAATCAGCCAAAGCGATCTGCAAAACTTCGACTACAGAGTCCGCCTGGACTCAATTCCGATTTTCTCGTACAAGGCAGCCAAACATGGACAAATGGTGCGATATCGCGGACTTATCTTCAATGTGGTCGGTGAGAGAGAGATCTATCCGGCATTCTCCCTCGTCGCGGCAGAGGCTGTCACTCCGTCAGAGGAGCTTCGATGCGAAAGGTATCTATGACGAGACAAAGGAGCCTGTTGTTGTTTATTATGGTACCGTAATATCTATGACACATACGTACCTTTGTGTTTGTGGTCGACAAGCAAGGCTGGCAGAAGAGTTTATCTTTCTTGTATCTATATTACAGGAAGGTCAACAATGCAGCTAGGGTCAGTAGAAAACAGTTTAAGTTTCTCTTTGTTTCCCCCGTTGAAGTACATAATATGTTGATGAATACAGCGAAAATGTAGCGGGTGCTGGGAGTGATCGGCTCCTAGAACAGCAACATCTTGACTATCCTCAATCTACACTGGAGAAGGAAGTCAATTATACTTCTCCTCACAGGATCGCGCATGTTTACAAGTACACCGACGACGCGCCGCTTCACACGGATCCGACTTTGCCCGATCCCCCTGTTTTTTGGGACCGAAGTGTCGCAGAGGCCATACAAGTACCCTACGAGTCGTCGTGGGTAGAAGCCGGCATGCCCCAACCGAGTCTGAAGCGACGACGCGATGAAGAGGGGTCTAGTGAGGAAATGGCAGTGGAGAACGCCTCCACCATCGAAGCCGAACAACAGACCTTGACGGCTGACTCGTCAGAGGCGTGTAATATAGTGAACGAGGCAGCGCGTCGTCAACAGAAGGTGGCACTGGTGTTTGAAGGCGACCTCGAGGTCGAGAGGGAGTCTGGCGCCAAAATTCATGACGTTGTCGATGTAGTAGCGATTACCTCTCTCGTGCATCCGGAGGCACCGCGATTGCACGTGGTGAAAGTGGTGCAACGCAATCAGCCGCTGCCGATGGACTACGGTATTTTTGTGCTAGCTTTCCGATAAAGTTGAAGGAAGATGAGTCGTCCCATCCAATTCATACTGGTGATAAAAATTAAAATTTTGTCGAGTAACGGCCAGTCACTCCTCCTCATACTTAGTCTTACCTCCGGTTCTCCCTTCCCAACTAGAACCACACACACACACATACACACACAGTGTCCCGCCATTTTTCGTCATGCTCCGCCTATGAATTACCTCAATTACGAGAACACACACTGTCGCATTTGCGCTCCACGCTTCCTGTCAGTATGAGTGGCGATTCCTTGGTCATGGAGTACCTCATGATGGCTCTCTGCGCAAAAAAGTATTGTTTCCAGGAGGATGCGATTCTTGGCCTCACTCCGCTGAATTTCTTAGGCCGCAGCTCGACAGAAGTGGCACAAACATCTCGGGCACTACGGGAAATCCACCCTTACATTTTCGCCCTGGACGCGAGCCTCGAGGGGCTACGCGGAGCTGCTTTTCGGTACGTATGGTTTTATGGAGAAGGCTCAAGTAACTACTTCTGATTTTAAAATGGTTTCATCGATCTGAGTGACTAGGACTACAGTTGGCCATCGGCTCCATGAAGATGAACTTGAAAACCCAAAATGAAAATCTATTATTTTCAACATACAAGGAATCGTCCTTTTTGCACGATTTCTCTTCAGGGGCCATAAAGATCCGGACACGGAAGTGATGACCCCGGGACAGCTGGAGCTCGCAAGTGGCTCTGTCTTGCTAGTGGATGAGACGGAGTTGACCTGTGGAGAACTGAAAGACGAATCTGTCATGAATGCAGCGGTGCTCACCGCTGTTCTGCAAACGCAGAAAGTGCCGATTTCTTTCGGGTTCTACGAGCTGGAGTACGCGTGTGAAGTGCAAGGGATCGTCTTCGGTGGAAAAGGTTCCTCAGTCTATCTACCGGATGGTAGGGTCATGGCTGTCCCAGACGCGTCGTTCAAGGGGAGCGACGCGATGAAGTTCGCAAACGCAAAGCTAGACGAAGAACAAGATTCTAAAACTCGAAGTTGTAAGGATGACAAGAGCGCTCCAAAGTCAACAACTACAACAACAACAACTACAGAAGTTTATCTTGGAAACGAGAAAGTAACAACAGCATCATCTTCAGTTTCCGCAAGCGTTGCAAAAACCACGACTGGGGATCATCAACTCCTGCAATCGGGTGAAGAAAATGTGCGTCACCTAGCGCGTTTTTACCTCCACCGAGTGCAGGAGTTACAGACAAAAGCGATAGCCGGTGACTCTGACCAGTTCGCGCTGTCGACAGACGTCAACGATGAGATTGCTAATGCATATAGCATCACGCGTGAGCAATGCCGGGAAGCCTTTGCGGATCGAGCAAGCTCAGTTTTCAGCCAGGACATGATCTACGCATGGTTCGACTTCTTCCGTTCCTGGTGCCTTTCCCGCGGCGTGCTGCGTCCCGACGTTGAGCAATGGAAAGCTTTTGTTAAGGAGCCCATAGAAATATAGTTTCTGTTGCTCTGTCTCTTTCTCTTGTACTGGTGTGGTTGTGGAGTATCTCTCCTGTATCCTCAGAGGCATTATGAATTTGTGACCAAACTCAAGGAAATAAGCACTCAAGAGGGTATTACACTTACACCTGAGGTTAAGAGAAATTCTACACCAGTGAAGGAATGATTACTGAAAATCTAGCGCTAATTTCTCGCGGCTTGAAGAAGAGCGCATTGCAAGGGTCAAAGGCTGGGTCCAGAGCAAAGGGTCAGCGCGATGATGAAGATCTAGGTAACAACAGACGTTGGATGTATCAATGAAGAACCCTTGATGCGAGACGACATTTGTCGTGGACCAATAGCTACTTGCTTCCGAAAATTTGAAAGATGGATCAAATACTATTTCGAATTGCAGCATCGGCAAATGAGAACGAGTATAGCCTCCTCTGCTGAAGAAATAACTGGAGACAGAGAATTTTGATGTACTGCGAAACCGTCTCTGTGGAAAACCTGAAAGAAGGGCGGCTCATATGAAACCATGACTTTTCACGGTCACTGCGGACCTTGAGGAGGAGGTGGATCTTTGTTTTTGGGCGCAGAAAGTCTCAGAACTCTCTTGTTTTCACAAAACGATTGAATCGGACATAAGTACCTAGTGCTGGCCGGATCATCTAAATCTTGTGTCTTTGAGGTTGAAAAGTCGTTCCCTTTTCATGTGTGAGAGAAGCTTTTTTTTTATCTGTTCACCGTCATATCTGTACTGCAGCGAGTGAGTGGTCTCTGTTTGCGAGTGAAGTCATTTTTGCGGCTCTTGGAAAATGAATGATGTGAGACCGTTGTTCTAGGCGGTCTGGGATGATACCATGCACCACGCGACAAGTATGTGGACCAGCAATAGAGGATGGACTTCGATCTGTACACATCACTCATCGGTCTACACTATGCCCGACGGACTACGTTTGTGGTAGGAGCTATGGCTGAGCGCCGTAGTCTATAGCATAAAGATTCAGAGTGAATATCAGAGTCCAAGCTTTTTTGTGCATTGTGCTGTTAAGTACGTTTTCATCTAGTATCTTTCATCAACACTTCCTTACTCCTTCCCGCGTCTATAAGATCCGAAATAGAAGATGAATGCACTTGACGAGCAAAAGAAAAACGGAGACATGGTTTTTCTTCAAACTCAGTTTGTGTCGGGATTCCTTCGTTACTACCAAAAGTTTCATTTGAATAAGGTTTTTCGCACCTCTGGAAAGATACGCGGTACAACAAGAAGAGAGGCAGACGCGTGATTGCGACACGAGCCGCGGTTTGCGGCCGCGGTTTGTTAGCGCAAGAACAACACCTCCTCCTGAAGGCGCTTGAAAATCACCTTCGAGAAGGGACCAAAACTCCTTACCCGTGAACGATTTCCGGAAGCCGCCAAAAAGGAACCATGTTTATCGGCGCAATCTTCTTCTCGCAGCTGCTATGTCGTTCCACGTCCGTGCACGCTATAATCATACACCAGTGACCCTGAGCAGTTCAAGAAATATATTATAATTTAAGTGAGCATATCATACCTCGATCAACTCATACTAGACCAGTTGCGGGAATCTGATAGCACCAGCTCATCGTAGACCAGTTGCGGGAAGGACGCCAGCGCATCATCACCTCAATGCACCGCGGCACTGTTTTTAACACCGCCTTTCGATACTATCGAAAAAATGGCGGCCGCAATCGAAGGAGGAACCGGGTCAGTGGCTGCGCCAAGTGTAGTGGCACGACAGGAGTCCAATACAAGCCACTGCAATGCGCGACGCAAGACCGACGGCGCCTTGTTGGTAAAAGAAAAATTGGATTTCCTTCGAAGAGAAATTTCAACTTTCGGCTAAGTAGTTAGTCATAGTGATAGTCTGGACAGCAAACGGTTTTTCTCACGCTTTGAATTTTTACAGGAGAGCGTCGATGATCATCATGATTATGTCAGTAAAAGCAGCTATGATCAAGGGTGAAACGACGCGTAACAAGGGTAAGCGTAAAACGGCCAAGGACCACGAGGTCGATTTTATATTTTCAGTACCTTTCTAGTTCAATCTATCACCATTTTCTACAACTCTAGCCGCCCGTCGTTGGCGATCCGGACGGCGTGCAAAAACAAGTGACTGGCATAGAGACCCGAGTTGCGCTCCAGGTATGGATGATGTTTTTTCTCCCATCTTTTCCCAGACCATCTAGGTGAGTGCCCATTTTCTTGTTGGAAGTGTATCTATGTATAAGTAAGTAGATTAATAAAGGCGCCCGGGCCTCGATGGTTGGCCTCCAAGAACATCATTCATACCAGGGCGCTCTCAAAGCAGCGGGGATGGACTCAGCAGCAGAAGAGGACCTAAATTTAAGCACCATGATTTAACAATTCATCTTCACAGACTCCACCCAGATTCCTTGTTTTAACGTGGTGGTTACCTAGGTTGCTTCTGCGGAGTTGGATAATTTCGAGTAATGCTGTTCTAGAGCATACATTATATATACTTGTTTCAGTTTTGGTTTTCTCCTTGGATTCTGTTTCTGAGAGTAGGATCCTACGACTTTCCTCGAGCGCTAACGCGTAATTCTGCGGAGCAGGAGCTGGAGGCGCAACATGTGAATATGTCGGTAATTTAAATTCTAGTCACGTGTTTTGGATTTTTCCCATTGTCTCTTCTGAGCTTCTTGTGTGTCAATCTGTCCTTCAACGATCTTTATCATCTTAGTCGCGAAGTATTACAGATACTAAGTAGACAACACAAGTGCAATTCATCTTCCCACAACCTCCATCTGACAGGAGCAACTGCGTTCGCAAAGCTGGACATTTCTGTTTGTCATAGCTCTAGGAAGTTTAGTCGGAGCGGTGAACGTGCTTTTTCACAAGATGGTGAGTAAGGGAACGGGCATCCTAGAGGCGGCTGGTGAAGGCATGGATCCCAACAAGAGATGGGTTTTTGCCTTAAGTCGACTGGTTTTCAAGGAGCTTTCTCCTGGTCATATGCATCTCATTTCATGTCGTTCTTGTTAAAGTAAAAGTACCTCTACGTCTTCTACATCGGTAATTAGATTTAACTCGTCTGCGTATGTAGTCTCGTGCGTATGTAGTCTCGTACTATTGACTTCGCTCATCCTTTAATGTGATGTAAACGCTGGAGGTGTGGATAAGTGTAGCTGTAGTTTTTTATCCTCGCGCTTCATTTTGATACGAGTACAGCTATCGAAGTGGAAATACTGGTACTACGTGAAGAAGAAGATGCTCCTGCTTGTACTCAAAAACTGAACATAAGCGAGTAGCTAACTTAAATAGCCGAGTATCTGAGAAGATCATGATCACTCTCTTCAGTTTTTACAACTCGCTTATTTCATTTTCAGTTTTTCCAATAACTTAAACTTTTGGTTTCTGACTTTTTGAATAATAGCTCTAATCACCACTTACCGAGTCCTAGTTGCGGTGGCTGGGGCGTCAGTGGTAGGATGGCTCACGCGCAACATCGTACCTGAATGTCTAGGAGGTGGCACCATTGCAACGAAAATATCACTAGCAATCGGGTCTCCAATACCATTCCGAGTGGGTCTTGCGAGACTTCTGTTTATGGGCCTTGCTCAAAGTTCGTAGGAAGATTTTATCAACATCCAGGCTACGGTTGTCAGAGTCAGTTGGGACTTACTAAATACTTACACTATTTAGAAATACATAGGAAAAAAATTATCTTTATCACTCAGGCTACATGCCTAGTAGTGATTGGGAGAAGAACTGTTACTGATTATTTGGTTCATCTTGATTTGGCCTACGCCTAGTATGGCCTAGTCCTCTTGGACACATGTAGGACTGCAGAACTAGAAGTGTTAGAACCACCAGTATGATCATGACAAAGACAATTCTCATTATGCAGGGTTAGCGACATTAAGCAACCTACAATCTAGTTCTTCCATCATCATTGTGCACGACCTTGACGCGCTCTAATTTCCTAAGTAGTCCTTATATCTATGTAAGTAGAATCATGCTGATCTGCTAAAATCTGCACCACGCTGATGTAAATCATTTACGATTCTACTCGTACATCAAAGACAATTCTCGGTCTCCACAACTTTGACGAGATCTAATTTCCTAAGTAGCCTTTACGTAGCCAGCGGGAATCCTCTCGGAATTGAGGCGCCGACAATCCATTTGAGTGCCGCTGTGGCGTCTACTCTACATATTACGGCATCTACTCTACATATCAGCTTAGGGTGACTACTTGAGACGCGAGTGAATGAATGAGGCATCCTCAGCGTCAGCATCATCCGTAGGGCTTTTTCTATTTGAAAAAGAAGAATCCAAGGCTGTGACTGTCAGGGAAGATGCTAACGCGGTAGCTCTAAACATAGCATAAGCGGCATCGAAGCTGTGTGTAATTTCCAGCTTCCCTTGTGCATGGTGCTGGGGTGCTGTGGCGGTCTCAGTGCAGCATTTAACTCGCCTCTGAGTGGTACTCACGTCTAAGTTCAGAAAAGTTACTTAATTTTCGAGGACAACTTGATCATGATGTTAATAAATAATGAAGATTATTTTTTTGGTTATGGTTTACTCGAAAACTACAACATTGATTTCATCAAATGAAATAGTTGTACTACGTACCATTTTGCAATCACCATAATCTATCAAATCATTGCTCAGGGATAGTATTTGCGATCGAAGAATACATGGACATACGGCAGGAAGGTATGGTGACCGCCTTAGTGCTATTATCGTCCTTCTTTTCCTCATTGCTAACACGGTTGACGATTGAAGGGCCGATGTTTCCAATCGAAGGCAGATTTCTCGACTCCTACGAAACGATTCCGTGGCGCACGCTCCTCACTGCACTAGTCTTATGGAAGCTACCGCTAATCCTATTCCTAGTGGTCCCAGTGGTGCATGATCACAATAGATTCTTTGACATAGAATAGGGATCTTCATCGATAAGCACATTTTTGGAAGTATATTCCTACGATGAAGAAGATGAGGGAGATAAAGGCACTAAAACACGTAGATGATGTACAGGGATACACCACAACACTTACTGGAGTCTAATTGTGGTTGCAGTCATGGGTGGAATAGTTTTGCCGCTATTTGGCTCAGCGATCATACGGCTGAGAGCGTTTTGGTACAAAAATCATCATTTTGTTCATCTACACTGTATTAGAAATAGTTGAACTTGAATCTTCGTTTACTTGTTAACATGCTCCTGAGTCTACTCCAGGCTCCTCATGACTGTTAAAAGATACAGTTGCGAAGCTGGAACAAGTGTAGAAGAAGTACATTTCGACAACAATGAATGTGATGGATACCGATTTTTATACCAGTCTCTGCAATTGTTGTAAGTGATGAATCATGGAAGCCACAGCCAGTAGAGTACGATTTTTAACAGGTATTTGCAACCGTATATCAACGAGGCATACATGGGCCTCGCACAAGGACTGATTACCAGTCTTATGGGCGCTGCAGTTTTTCTAGCAACGGGCTACGACGGTGTCTGGGGCCAAGGCGGTCATAGCCTTTATGAACAAACGTGTTGTAGTTGTACGTAGTATAATAAATTTGTACGTTCGCGACAGGTACAGGACATCGAGTCGTGATTGTAAAATCTTGAATGCACAACGCGTTTCTCATGATTGTAAAATTTTGAATGATCTTCTAGGCGTTTCTCATGATCCTTGGAAACAAGTCGTATTGCCTCTCTTAACATTGTCATACCTACTAGTGATCCTTGCAGCTACTTGGAAGTTTACCCCCTTCCTTCAAATCCAAGAAATGTTCATAGTCGACTCCAGATGATCGAGAATATACGGGATCGGCCGAGGGAAGTTCAGGCTGAAGAAGTAGGAAACGCATTCGTCTTCTTCGCTGGCAAAATGGCGGCATGCGCTGTGGCCTTTGCCTTAAGGCTGTAGATAGTTGTAGTTCATCTTTGAATTTGAAAGGATCCTCCTTCAAAAGCATTAGTAAGTATCTATTCCACTTCCTTATCCACCTTGAATACTGGAAGGTAGACGCAGGAGGAAGATACTTTGTGGGTGTAAGTCTAATTGCAGCCGGTGGCAGTGGTGGAATTCTGATGCCTGTCATCATATGTGGCGGGACAATGGGGTACTAAGACTACTTGCCTATCCACAGGACGATTCCACGTCCTCACGTATCCGTTATCGATGTCTACTTTATCGTCAGCTCCTCTTTGATGTTTGTAAGTAAAAGAGCGTGGTACCTAGTACTAGTACAACTCAGCTCTTAACTTATCACTTCTATTAAAACAGTATTGTGCTTGTGCAACTGCAACTGCAATGAAACAGCTCCTTAGGCTTAGGTACTTAGTCACTTATGCTAGAACTCCAACACGGAGCGAAGGCATGACATGACCAAGACCCTTTTTTACTCTCTATCTCCGCAGGTACGTTCTGCGTGGTCTCATATATGCGTTATTTCAGTACGAGTGTGGGCAAGTCGCCATAGTCCTAGGGATGGCTTCATTTTTTGCAGCTCTGACAAGATTGCCTCTCACCGCCACTATCCTCAGTTGCGAAATGTCGGCGATATTGTAACAAATTTTGATTTCTGCTTTTTAAATCGATTATTCTCAAGAAGATCATGTTGTATGCTGCTTACATAGAGTCAGTTAGATTGAGTCTCCGTTTCGTCATCCGATGCTGATCAATTGATTCCATTAGTAGACGTAGACCTCTATAATTAAATTCAGCTAGTAGTAGCTCCTGTTCACCCCCCGCACCCCACACACAAGTGTCAACATGACCAACCTCTTCAGCTTGATCTTGAAATAGCAATACATAGTGATAGTGGTAGGATTACTCTACTAGTGTCATCTACTGTTACCTCCTCAAGTTGAGCATGTTGCTACTCTATTTCTATCTCATCACATGCAGGACGGTCGATGAAAATTTGATTTTCCCTATTTTGTTGGCGGCGATTGTTAGTTCACGGCTAGCTGGTCTTTTTCAGCATTGTACTGTATTTGAGAGAATGATGCTGCAAGACGGCATAAATCCGCTTACCATCGGCGAGCAAATTCACAAGACGGTCCAGATTGACCGAACGGTATCATTATATTTGTAGAAGATCATAGTTCATCTTCATACCAGTTTACAATCATCCTAGTACCCCCTGTCGTGGTAGCGGTAATGGCGAGTGCTCTACTTGACCTAGGAAGTAGACACTGTTAACGCTGGTGTTATCAATTCATCCTAGAAAGATACACAGCGATATTATGTAGAGCAAGCTGTTCCCGTTGTATCGGTTCATTGTCTTTCTCCATTGACATCCGGACGACAGACGAAGCAAGCAATGATCCGCTCAAGGCGGTCGGCAATAGCACCCGACGACTTGACACGAGCTTCACTCGCCCAGGCAGCCGCATCACGAGGCTTAGCAGACTTTCTGGCTCAAAGGCAACGTGGCTCCAACAGTGCGGGATGGGCCAGATCAGACACGGAAATGAGTTAAGTGCCCTACAATTAGACACAGAAATGAGTGGAAGTTGAGGATATAGCTACGTTGTATTGCAGTTATTTAGAGCGATGGCTAATCAACTTCAACAAGGCAATAGACGAGTGTTGGACATGTACTAACATATAACAAGGAGGAGACTTGTACTTGTTGAAACAGAACAAGTAGAAGTTGTACGAGGACCATAGATACGGTTAAAAACAGCTACAAATCAACAAAATAATGAAGTAGACCTCCACCAAATTAAACTTGTTCTTGTACGTGAGTAAGTAAAAGTAAATCATATTCCTTGATGTTCCTAATCAAAAATTCGGCTAGGAATTAATCGCTCATGGTTCTAAGATATCGGACTTGGTGTTGGTGGTCGGGGTGGTGGTACGAGTCAGGTAATTGGTATATCGCATGTGAAGAGCCTTCCGCAGGATAGAACGTCGCTGGGTTTTCAGATACACCATCAGTTTGGCCCTCTGTCTACTATAGGCGGATCAAGCAGCTCCTCTACCTCTCATCCAAATGTAAATGCCAACGTAACTAGCGGAAATGGAGCTGGCGGAGCGAACATTTATGAATTGGATATGGTAGGCATCCGTTCGCGGACTTTGTCGAATTGGTTTCATTCCGAATTTCAGTAAAGGTAAAGAGCATTGATGTTCTTCTTTGTATGTTTGTACGGCGAGGTATCTATTGAACCCGAAGTCGAACTTGTTGTACTAGAAGTAGCAGTGATCTACATGTATGCAATTATGGATAGTACATATTATTATTAAAACCTTCTTCCAAAGATTAACGTGAAGACTACAATACATTGAACAACCTGTTGATGAAGCCGCACACACAGACTCGAATTCCAGTTCTACTACCTTTTAGTTCGTTCATAATGTTAACGAAGAAGATGACGATCTTTTGAGCAGTCGCAAGTCACTACGGATCGGAATGTCGGACGAGCCTGCCTCAGACGATGATACTCAAGCTGACACAGAGAGTAGGCCATCAAAAGGACCTCCGATAATTATGTGAGTGACGACATGAACTTCTCTCAGTACTGGTACTACTGGTAATCATTATTCAATCAGAATCAGTGAATCAACACTGAGGCCAGTATCTTCACGACGTAGAACTAGGACATCACAACATTTTATTATGTTTCTTGCATGCATCCTACAGTAGACATGCTAGTTTTTCGAACAACTGGGTCTTGGGGTCCACTACCTCTGAATATGCACGAACTTGTAAGTACTATTTGCGGAGTTTGAGCAAACACATTATTGCAGTGTAGATCTAACGCATACTAACGCAGGCTCCGCAACAAAACTTGCAGTAGTACCTTCATGCTCTCCGCAGAATCCAATGTAGAGTAAATCAAAATCTTCATTTGAGCCTTAACTAATTGAACATTTTTAAAATCTTCATCTTTAATAGAAGCATCTGTTCCTCTAATTCAAAACGGCATTCGATTGTGTCGAAGAAGCATTCGCTCAGAAGCAGCATCCATTCGCTGCTGAGCCCTTCGCCAAGCTTATTTACCAGTTCACCAAGTATTATATATATTTCTTCGTGATTTAGTTTTGGGTTTTAATCAAGTTTGTTCAGTTCTTATGATAATATACATAGATACATAGGATATAATGTTTTTGATATTCCACGTCGATACTCGAGAATTTCAAGTTTGTTCAGTTCTTATACATAGATCATACATGGCCCATCCATAACATCAACATCGATACTCGATTATTATAACTAAAATTATGTTCTGGATATTCAATTGATTTCGTCCATTCCGATCCATCATCAGGCGTCGTGCAATTTACGGGTGGTGGACAGATGAATCCTGGACAGAGGTCGATGGTGAGTGACAATGTGACGCTGTTGTACAGGGCGATGGAGCACAAAGCGCAGCAGGCGTCACGCCGAGCTTCGCGTAACTCAACGGTGGAAAGTATGGAAAGGAATAGTAAGCTTCGTTTGGTTATAATCTCAGGGACAGAAAGACCAATAGAATAAAGTACTTATACATAGATACATAGTACACGTACAATAGATATAGATACCCATGCATCACCTAAAAAAAGGAGGGTTTTGGTTAGTATCATCATGGATTCCCTGAAAGATGGTCCTAGTATCCCTAAAAAATAGACGTCGTACCTTGTTCAGGTAGGCTTATCAAAGATATAGATTGCCCTGCACGGTGGTCCTCTTCATTATACTAGAATAACGTAGACTCGTCGAGATATGAGGCTTCCTTATTGCTGAGATGTGAGTAATCACCCTGAAATTCAGAGTTTTTGAGGTGCCGGGGTAGGCTTGTTGAAGTGTGACGAGTAATCTGATTCATTGCGACCTGTCTTCATATTGAGGCATATAGGATTGCTACGTGGGAGCACGACGGCACAGACCATGCCCGCGTCGTTGAACGGTGGGACCGTAGGAGGTCTACTAAGTGCCGGAGGCGTGGGAGGAATGTTCGCGCACCAACTCTATGTTATGGCGTGAAAGTTGTAAAGGGAAGATGGAGTGAGCAGGAAGATCTTGTTGGGTAACAGATATTTCTGAAGAGTGTATCTTGGTATCGCCCGCCATCTGGTCTCTAGGGTGGTCGAGAATGACCATAACAGGGGCACATACATACAAGAGTGTATTCTTGTAGCTGCTTCTTTCTTGACACAGATATGCTTTAGCTTTTCCTGTATGATTTCAGAAATTCTCCATTGATTTGCGATAGTTGAACAGATCACGATGAACTATTCTTGGTCACAGACAACTGATCGTGAACAGAATAGAGCGCCAGCTTTTCTTTGTAGTTCATCAGGTAGCAGTCTTTAATGAATGCAATAACGCTTCGAGTTGCGCAAGTGTGGTTCCCAGCGCCTCGTCGCCCACCGGTGCAACAAATGCAGCGTCGCCTGCAGGCCTTACTGTTATGTGGTAGAAGGACGGGGTATCTTCTGTTGTAGGGAGGGTCAAGGTCTTGAAAATAAGGATCAGTCACTTCTGTTGTAGGGTCTTGAAAATGAGGATAGTATCATACGAGAGCTCCACGCAGAATCAATATAGGCGAGATAGCAACTGACGAAGCAACCGCAGCACGCAGTTGCTATCCACACTTTTTATGCATGAGTAGTTCTAGACAAATAAAAAAAAAATTAAGAGTTTCTGCGTAATTATATATATATAAGATTAAGAAAGTAGTTATCCTTATCCCTGAGTGGGTAGGACTAGGAGTACTACAAGGGACACGAAAGAGTGAACTTTGTTGGCATTTAATGCTTCATTCCCAGTGGCTCGAGTTCTAGCAGTTCAACTCAGCCAGAGCATCTTCTCGATACAACTGGTTTGGTGCCAGAAAGACGGAGCTTCGTAGGCCATGGCCCAGCACGTGGAGGAATGGACCAGCTGAAGGACATGTTTCCAACCTCTAGTTAAGGCCACCGCTGAAGCATCCCCCTACATCATGATGACCCTTGTCCTTCTTTTCAAAGGGAAGAAGAAGTGTCCAACGATATGACTGACTCCCAGGGAAAAAAATATCCCACGCGGTATGACCTCTAATGTAGTGCGGACATGACGATTTTCCGCTTTCTGACTTCGTCAGCGCAACAAGCAGTGCGGAACAGTGTCGCATCACCGCTGCCCCTCTTCCCGGATGGCCTGGAACTACCAAGTGGGTCGGTAATGTCAAGTTTCTAAGTGGGAACAAACTAGAAAAAAAAATAGTCTCATAATATGTTAGATACATGAATACGTTGAACAGCGAGTTTTATTTGTTCACCATTTGTTTCTTCAGGGCTCAGTTATGTGAGAATGAACATTATTAACCCACAAAGAATACTTATTCTGAAGTAGTACTACTGATTCTGATATATCTTCATCGAAAATGTTGCATCCCCGCGATCAAGTTCAGGTATCTTTTCCACCGAGTAGCTCGATTCCTGAAGTCGATGAGTCTCAGACGCTAGCTGCTGTTGAAGATGCGAAGCGGCAAACGACGTTGCTGCAAACGGAGGACATCGCGAATCTTCCAGGGGCTAAAGATGACGACAAGGGCTAGACGATTCAATATTTTGCCACCCCTTCAAACTCTTGTCCACGATCACCTGAGAACTTTTCTGAAAACTTTAACTTATTAATGATGGATACCTTGTTGTATCTTACGCTTACCTTATCGAATCTGTGGTGCAGCCCACGGTCAAGAATAGTGACACCTTTCAATTCATCGAACATCGATTAAGAAATATTTCAGACGCAATAATATCAAAAAGAACTGAGTCGGTTCGTCATTGACGGTCAAAATATCTCGAACTGAAAATTGTAAGTATGAACCTACTTTTCCAGATAAGATGTAAATCGCTGTAGGTTTTCGTCGGGGCTAGTCCTGCGTAGCCTAGACTGCGTGCGCCTTCCATGCGCATGCGCACGGTGCCTATACCATGCGCTTGCATCTTGCACACTTAACTCTAATCAACTCGAACTAAGGTCGAAGAATCGTAATCCTTCGTTATACGCATTGTACGCGCGATTATAGGAGTACCTACAAGAATCTACACTAAAATCTTCATTATCGGAAATAGACGCTACCAAACAAATGGATTTGCAGAGTATGACAATCTCTATCTCGCGAAAAGAAAAGATAAATTGATAGGGTGAAGAGCAGGAATAGTATTCTTCTCAAAGTTTCAACCCAGCCAGTGATGCTTGATAGTGATATTTCAGCTGCAGTCGTTTTGCGTGATTTTGAATCCTGAGCAGACTAACAGCCAAGAAGAAAGTAGGCCGTGGTCATATACTAGATGAAGTTCTACTCTAACAACTAGTTTGAGTTTCGTCTTTGTTATAGTTTGATAAGAGTCTGCAAGAACAAAAGAATTTCATCGCATGCGCAAGAACAAAAAGGTCGGGCTACAGGTATTTTCCCCTTTATGCATAGCGATTGCGCAAAATCAGGAAAGGTCGATTGTCCTCTCATTCTTCTGGGTCAGCATCATGTTGCCAAACACCGACGATCTCGGAAAGGTAGTCTAGCGCGACGCTTTTTCGTTTCCTTAGTTCTTCATAGATATGCTTAGACTATAAAATTTTTTGTATTAGTTAGGTGTCCTCCACCGATGTATTAGTACCGATCTAACCTGTTGATGATGAGCTCACAGATAGTATTTTTAGCAGCCTCCGTGATCACCTTTCTATTTTTGAAAACACCCATAATATATCTCTGTGCATGGTGATAAGCATAGTGCCACCGGTAGCATAGGGCGGCGCACTTCACCGTACTGCAAAGCTTCTCGCTGCATTTAGTTTTAGATTTAGCATAATCCTGCATTGAGTTCTCCCTCATGTGAGCACACCCGCTGCGTGCCTGTCATTGCATTAAAAAATGTAAGACACGTCTCATTCCGATTCTGCATCGCATTTCTGGAATTTAATAGATGAACCCCGCTCCTTATAACACAGCTAAATACTAGAGTATGAGTGACTGGGATACAAAAATTCTCGTTTACTCAATCCCTCATATGGAGCAGCATGAGTGGCCGTTGTTCTACTTCACTTATCCTCGACCTCGTCCGTTGCTACTGTCTCTACTAAGTAATTAGTGCTGCTGTTGTCCAAGACACGAGGACTACAAATGACCATTCTTGCGCTCGACTCGGTAATCTTGTATCGTTCGAGTTGGACGCATTCATTTGAGAGTAGTGCTTTTCGTGGATCCAGAGATGAAAAACGGGAGAGCTGCATTTGGAATCATTCGAAATATGACCACGATTCATGCGACTGACATGAGTCTAAATGTTTTTAAGAGCATTTCTTACGTAGGTATGCTGGCAGATCGTTTCTCGAAAAGCAAAATTTTGTATCCACGACTGCTCCGACCACTAAGCTGCGTAAGTACTCTACCCTACGACTACGAATCGCGACAATAAATCGAAACTACATCTCAATCTTCCTTGATGATACCCGATGAACACCAACAACAACGTTGATGTTGTTGACTGAAGCTAGGTTTTTTGATGGGGACTAGCTAGACCCAGGTAGTAATTCATTCGAGAGTCGCGTGAAAAAAATGGAAGCGTATCAGCGAGTGTCGCAAAGCGAGAAGGCCGCAGCCGCAACGGCGCTGATAGGGAAGGCACAGGAACGATTTGGCGGCATTTTCAAGCTTCTCTTCTTCACCTGCGCTTGTGGCGTGATTTTAAGGCTACTCAATCACTATCTGGTGCAGTGGACTATACTGACAAGTGCTGGACTCTTCTTCCTTGTGGAGTTCAAGGGTCCTGAGCAGAGGATGTAGTAGATGGATTCCCCCTAGAAGAAGAGGAGCGAGTGAAAGGGATTTTAAGGCGGAAAAGAACGGGAACCCCAACCCACTTATTGTAACTAAGTACCAGAAATGGTCGTGATTGACTACCTCTAACGTTTGCATCGGGCATAATTAGCATCATCACCGCGGCAACCAGCTTCGCGCCACCATTCGATTTTATCAACTATGTATCAACACGAATATATAAGACTCCTTGCCTTTTTTTCGTTGCGCTCGAATACCTGAACCGCATTATAAACATATAAGACTGGGAGAAAGTAGTTCCTATCGTCCTACTCGTAAAAGAACAAAAAACTGAGATTCATGGTTGTGTTGTTGATCTCTCATCAGTATGCCTATGGATGCGTATTATGATCAAATGCACGGACGACCGAGTAGGATCCTAGAGTGCTCTGAGCCTTCATCCTCACAGCTTCGGTTTCTTCAGGTCTTCGGTTTTTTTCAGGTCCTCTCACACTCACTTCTGTTTCCAGGTCTTCCTCACGATATTCGGGCTCTTGATGTTCTTTATCGATCTACCATACGAGACCCCACTGCTTCGCGGCTTCCGATATGCTATGTTCACCTATGCGCTTTTCATGACGAGGTTTGTCGGAAGGGGTGTATGGTAATGAACGATACGCGTGAAATTCTTACCAATTGCAGATGCAACTAGGTTACTGGAACGGCTCTAATTCGATGCATTTGGATTTGCCTGAAAATAATAATGTAGCATTCTAATATTTATAGATCGTTAATACGTGTTGCACTTGAGTACTCAAGTCGGTTTTTTAGCTCTAACTCATCAAGCTGAAGCTACTCTTCCCAGGTACCTCTTCCTCGCATCAATGACAGTGGGTGCACTATGGGACAACAACGTGTTGCCATTCTTGGGCTTCATCCTCGGAGCTTACATTGCAGCAGTAGCGGGCTACAGTATTGTCTTATCACTCTTTACTATGGTACGCGGTATTTTCTTAGATGAGTGTGATAGATGCTCATGGAGAAGGAGGTGGCGCACGTAGTACTAGATTTTGAATCTTTGTTCACGATTATGTATCATCGAGGATTATGATCATCCTAAATGTTGATCCATCTATACTATCCAAACACCCTACTAACTTCCAACTAGGCTCCTGATTCATCTATTCAAACACAATAACAAGGCATCTTCTACGGATGGCGGTTATCAAAGAGTCTTGAGGGTGTCCGAGTAAAGATATTGGAGCAAGGACCAGAACAGTGGGGAGCCTACATTCCACCAGATGGCCTCTCGAAAGTCCAGTTTCGAGACCTCGCTGCAAGTCTCAACGGTACTACTTCAATGTTAATGAAGCAAGTTATTTGGAAGACGAGGCATGTAGAAATAGAAGACAGAAGGGGTAGTAGAAATAAAATGAAGGATGAATAGGCAGAATCATCATTTACATTACGTAAGAGGAATGAAGAATGGCTTCAGATTCAGTGTGTCCATCCGTCCTTATAGCTTATAGTTGAACGTCAGTGAAGTAACAAAAGCCAAATCCGATTCCCAAGACCACACCCAAGTACAGGTGTCACGTTTACCGACGAGCAGCTTGGCTATATTGTAGCGGCAATGAGCTTCGACGTGCGGTCAGATGATATTATTTCCCGAGAAGAGTTCGAGGAATGGGTTCGCGGCCCGAGCATGATCGTCCTATAGACACAAGCGAATTCGTTCTTGTACTAGGGATTCTGGCCTTGAAGATGGACTCAAAGCGGTACAAAGATGGGTTATGAAACTCCAAAAATGGTCCAAGATGATGTACTAGAACATCAGTCAACATTACTTTCACTCATCCTCATCATCATAGATACGATAGATATATTTCTGTACGAGTTTATGGTTGAAAGCACATGTTGTAGATCTCGATACTCATTTCTGGTGTGTGGGGCAGAAGTATCGCACACATCGCATTATGGATATCCCTTATCATTTTCCACAGTCATTAGCTGGAGGCAAATTTAGAGCAATATGAAGGCTGACGTTGCTTAAGGGAAAGTCGCTGAATCATACGAGGGAAAAAGAATCTGAATCAGCCATATTATGACCACAATGATATCTATTCTCGAACTCGAACCATACCATCAAGCAGATGCTCGAATCATCAAACGGACACTTACCCGCGGTCATAGCAACCAAATTTACCAGGTTTAAGTCATCATCTACCTACATCAGTCATTAATTTTCGGTCAGTAGCGCGATCCAACGATGACGTAAATAGTTGGGATCTGAAATTAATCAGCGAATCGCGAATTCGTTTTTATATGTTTGGAAACCTTGAAGTTGAATGTATACTAATAATCTAACATCTTCATCAGCTTACTGCTCAGTTCATCAACATTCTAGCAAATGTATTTACTTGGCCTACAAAATCATAAAGTGCCAGTGGGGTGACGAGGTGACATCCACTGAACAAGGCACGACACAACCTATATTTCATTTGGCTTGGCAGGGAAACGACTCTTGTGTTGCGAGAAATATCGAAGGGGACCTTGTTGTAGGTCTGTTGCTGTGCTTGTATCTCGTGAAGACGTGCACGCGCACAATAGAAGAGCTATCTTCAATCAATTTAACGGAAGTATTCATCTACAAGAACTGCGAATTGTCGACCACGTGAGAAGCCTGCTCCTTCAGCAGGTTTGTAGGACGAGCAAGGTTGAGGAAGAAAGCGCGTGATGCGACGATAGTGTTTGTTCGGGATAAGCGGTCGCATACAGGTTCTCCTACTGAATGTAGTTGTAGTGCCGGTACTAAGGAAGACAAGGAAAAATGAAGAAAGCAGCTTTTGCTTGAAATTTTCACATTTTTTCCGTCGCACTTTCTTATTACTTACTCCATTTCTAGGACGATTATTCCCGTCCCCCTTACTCTTCGTGTTTGCGGTCGTATACTTATTTTCGTGATTAGTAAAATTTAGTTGAGTAAATATTTGCGTTATGTGACTCCGCCGTGGTTCTTGTATTTGTTTCTGATTGTTTAGCACACCGGAAGATGCTACGTACTTCGGATCAGATGCTAAGCTGATGAAGATTGTTACACCTGAAGGATGCGAGGAGAGCAAAAAGAGTTGAAATATATAGAAGCCACATCAGGAAGTGCAAAGGATGGGCTCGTCAGTATCCTCCTTTCTTGAGTTCGGCTTCGTAGTTAGTTCCCTTCAATATCGCCAGGGCCGTTCTCAGACCAATGCATGAATGGAGATCGGCCTGTGGTGCTTTCCCTTTTTCTCTGGTCGATGTCTGTTGATTGGACTGTCTTCTATGCCCATGGCTTCTGCGGTCACAAGTTATGAAACTCCGAACCTGACTCCGGACGTGTCACGGCCATACGTGTGTAGGCTTGACGTGCGTTTTTATTGACGCAAAGGCGCTAATTTGACTTACACGCACCATGTTACTTCCGAAATTTTGTATCGGCGTCCCCGCCGCCACTCTTCCGCTGATGATTTACCGCAAGCCGATGGTGGACGGTGACAGAGCACACGGCACCTACTATGCCGGATTTGTCGTCGATTTTTACATGAAGTTTGCCAAGCGGGGAAATTTTGACATTGAGTTTGTCCCCATGGGAGGCAATCTGTATGCAACAGATTGGAATAAGGTAGGAAAAGCAATGCTGCAGAGCGGCAGCGCAGACTTGACGTAGACAAATCTGCCGGGTGCGTTTGTGGCAGGTGGAGGCTTCGCGATTACGCCGCCAATGTTTTCCAACACGGCGCGGGTGCTCACCCGAAAGACATTACGCGAAACGGGAGCTATACAGATCTTCGCGCCTTTTGCCAACGAGCTGTGGATGGGCATTGCCGTTTCGGTCGTCTTCGGTGCTATGGTGATGCTCACGATCAATTTTTTTCACTTTCGTCGAGTACCATTTACAGCCGGCCTCACTTCTCGCAATTTTTCCGTAAGGCAGGATGCACGACAGGGCGAATCCGAATATGAAATTCAACAAGGCCGTGCCCCAAACGACGGCCCGCACTCGTGCGAAAGCGAACGTCGAACTTCTCCCACGGCTGCTGCTACTGCTTCTCTCGTTTTTCTTCAAGAGGTGACAACGTCAATGGGGAAAGCGTTTACAAAAAAAGTTCTTGCGAAGCGACCCGTCAGCGACGCTGAAGACCTCGGTCTCGGGCGACAAGGTAGAAGACACTGTCGCGGCGCCGATCTCTGTAGGCAGCACTAAATCCCAAACAGCTGACGCGTCTGCAATAGTCCCGGAAGCATATTCGCCAGCACATCTTCACAATTCAGAATCGTAGGGCGTAGTACCGCCTCGGTTCTTCTCCTTCCTCTATAACACGCTCGCCGCTAATTTCGGTGGCGATGAGTACGACTTGCACCACTTACCGCTGTTGTATGGAAGGACGGATTCACAGACTCGGTTTGCTATTTTTCGAACTGGTAATCACCTCAACGTACACGGCGAACCTTGCCGCGGTGCTTACCCGACCCACGGACATCAATCACGGCCCGAAAACCATGGCGGAACTCCGAGCGGCCAATGTGTGTTGCCGCTGAGTGGGTACGGATTCTTACTTTCGTGAGAGTTTTGGTTTCACCGGCAAGTTCTTGAATCCGCCAATGGAGTACTTCTTCAGCGAGGTGCCGACGCATTCGCGACCAATGAATTCAACAATGTAGAGACCATCACATGTGGACGAATGGGCGCGAGAACAGCTTTTCCAAGGAAAGTGCGACGCAATCCTTGAAATGAACCAGTTTGCTCATCTGGAAAGCTTGCGGTTCTGCGATTCCCTTCATCTAAACCCGGATCTGCAAGTCGGGGCATGATACACCACGGCGCTTTACATTGAGACTTACTTGTGGAAGTCCATCTGTCTTGTTCAGAAGCATCTGGAGATGCGTCTTCAGATGAAGGTCTCCCATTTTGAAAAGCATCTTGGACCTTCGTCGAAGGGGAGAAAGAGTCCAGGATGACCCTCGAGATGGATTCCCGGATGAAGGTCTAATTGCAAAGCCGAAAATAGGTTTGAGGAATAGCAAAGCGTGGTGGAGGCGATTCCGGAGTCGTACTGGCAGAATTACACCTGCAACGCGTCGGAGCCATAATTTGGTGGTCGCGTGCACCGGGGCTGTTTTCTGACTCATGCCCGGTTCGAGATTCCGGGGATGGTCGCGGATCGATTACGTTAAATGTTGCCGATGGAGGAGATTCTTTCTACATCATAGGCGTTTCTGTTACAGTTTGTGATGGCTCTCCTATTAAGGGAGAAAAGCATAAAAGTAACGAACGGGGAACACAAACACCCAAAACCCTACCGCCAACCCTTGCGATTCTGCGAACAATCTTGGACCGGTGGAAGACGGATAGTCGAGAGTGGGGAGAAGCCACCGATTCTGAAAACCGAGGTTCAAAACGAGATGTTGGATCGAAAGCTGATCTTGCTCTACTTGGACAAGCTTGCGTTGCTGGAGGCGGACAGGAAGGAGATGCACAAAGGAGATGCTGGAGCAGGGGACATCAAAAATAGATCATGATTTTTTCTCTGATCAAAAATAGATCATAAGACGAAGATTCAAAAATTGAATTGTTACTCTGGTGCGTTCTTCTTGCCAGTCGAGATCAAACGAAACTCACGTTCTTGACATCTTCAGAAGGGCAATGCCATGATTTAGCAATGCATGCACAGTGAGGGATAGTATTCGTCTTCCAAGAAGACATGACATGGAGCCTTCTCTTCTTTCATAGGAGAAAACTCAAAGAAATCGGATGCATTTTCAGGTGAATCATGGTGAGAACCAGATCAGCAGGCTTGCGGAAGAAAGAGTATGATCTGATGCAACGACATTGTTTGTTCAGAATGAGCAGTCGCACCCAGGCGAGGGTGTACAGCAAAGTTCACATTTGTTTCTAGCTCTTTGTGAATCGTTTCACCTTCTTCCTCCACGTCATCTTGACACCTACATCTTGATCTGATACCCATCATGCCCTAGAATGATCAATAATGATCAGCTATACAACTGTTCATAAACGCCGCGTGCAAGCGGAAACAAAAATGATCCAGCCCTCTCCTGATCATGACGAGCGTGGTCATCTTCCTCTCGGGAAAAACTTCAGGGTCCTGCTTGTACGTTTTATTGAGAATAGCCTCATGCGGCACCAAGACCAACTCGAACCAGCCTTTGTAACACCAACACCAGGTAGCGTAAATTTCCAGCATTACCTAGCCTGTAGACGCACAGAAATATCCACTTCTGATTGACATGGACATTCCTACACGCTTTGTCTTGGGTTTTGTGACTAAGTAGTTGAGTTCGTGGTCGTATCTATACATCTAGAGAGCTAGTAGTACAGTTAGTTGTATTCTTCTCTTCGTCCATCAACTACAACGACAGCCACAAATTATACTACACCGCTTTTGCGAACAAGATGGCCTCGTCATCTGCAGTTGACTCTGAATTGCTCGGTCATGAGCTGAGGTCAAGCAAAGAGCATGGCGCAGTAGTGCAGAAATATCTGGAGCAGAAAGGCCTCGGCTCTTTTGAGCTGCTTGCGGATCTGGGTTGTATCCATTGGTGGCCCGAGCGCTGCCCGGCTCGAACCAGTGCGAGCGCCACAGCCAAAGACATCCTGGGAGCGTGCGAAGTGCTTGAACTTCTAGACGCAGGAATTCATAGTCCCGACGATGCAGCTGGCAATGGCATTGAAAATAAGCGTAGAGACCAGGTACAAGGACCACCGCGGCTGACGAATCTTGGGAAACTGAATCATCGTCTGACCATGAACCCGCAGAAACTGTCCTCGAACCTACCACACGACATTCGCCCGTCCGGCTTTTCTTTTCATGGCCCTTCCAGCCTTTTAGGGCTATTGCTTTGTTTGCGCAGTGATGCCCTTGTGAAGAAAAACGACAAGCAGGCTGGACCTGGAACTGCTACAAGCGTTCAAGATTACAAGGCTGAAATTACAAGGCGTGAAGATTCGCCAATGCCAGACTTTTTGTTTGGTGGATCCACGCTCAACATGCTGGCGGAGCGCACAGTTTGCAGCTACAATTACCTCCCGGGCGGCGCCCGTGAGGTCAAAAGATTGCGCTACCGGGTGCAAAAAATTAACGGTGTCATCTCGATTTGTCGTGTTGCTGACTATGAAAAAAACTACGCAGATCCAGGCTTCCAGTTTGAGCGGCTCGTCACGGGTGGAAATGTCGCAGATCGCGTGGGCAAGACAGGTGCGGGGGCTTCGATTTCTTTAATTGAAACAAATGAGTTCAGATGTGGCCTAACAAACTCGCAATTTTTGAAGGAACAACTTTCATTCATCTGATTACTGCATCTTCAGTATGTAGACTGGACTACATTACTAATTCCTTTCAGGAAATCGAGGGTTTGACTCGATAGAGCGCGCGCAGCTGTGCCGCCTTGGCGGGACCTTCAATGTTCTCTTCGTCGCTGACTTGGATGCATGCGCTGGCCCTCCGCGTGTTCCGGTGGAGATCAAAAGCGGCAATCCTCGCAACTTCGGTTCGAAACTAATCTTGCAGATGCTGAGTTCGGGATCGCAGCTACTCTGCTATGGCGATAATTACTTTGACAAGTCAGTAGGTGTCAAAAAAGTGAGAGCTGTTCGAACCGCTTCTTTTCCAACCCAGGTGATGCGCGACCATGGGAATGATACGCATTTTCTCCGCCGTGCTCTCGGCGATTCTTTGATCGAGACGCTGATGGAATTGAAGGTACTGAGCTTGATTATTTGTATCCTTGATGTTGATAAGGAAGATATGCATCATGCAGCGACGATTGCTATATTAATGATCGCCCATTTCTTGTTCTCAACGTCCTCTAGGTGTTGTGTGCCGACATCCCCGACTGCATGGATGCCGATTCCAAAACGTCGTCCTTTGACCTGGCATGGGAGCATGGCAAACCGGTACTCAAGCCCACAACGGAGTATTTGGATGCCTCATTCGTAGCCCCGAATGTGCTTCGCGAGCTCCTCGACAAACCCAAGAAATGACCCGAACACTAGAGCCATCCTTTGGAGTTGGAAAGATTTCCTCATACAACTTAGGACGTAGTGCAAAAATACTTCAATGTATCGTCACAGTGCTGATTTATTTCGGCTCGAAAGGTACTCTATGAATATGTCAAGACCACAGAGGGAGATATAACAGCGCTTGACTCGAGAAGAAGCGCTAAAAAATGGACAATGAAACGTAAGCACAGAAAGTAAAACTTCATCTTTATTGTTAGCTTTATTGTTTTACTTGTTGCATAATTTATTGATCATGGCAAAATTATTTCGTCCATTCACTACTGTGACGAATCTATCACAATCAACTATGGAGAAAAACTCCCTCATTCCTCTTGTGACCAAGTACTTTGATCTTTGTGGAGATCCTCATTCCGTTTCGCGCTCTTTCATGAATCATGATCATTCATGAAGATGAATACTAGTATGCAAGACAGCACCTCATCTGGAATGAAAACATGAGCCCGATAAGGACCAGAATGTGCCAACCGCCCATTTATCCAAGTTCATTTCGTCTATTCGAAAAACTGAAATAAGCAAGCAACTGATCAGAATAACCGAGATACTGATGAGAAGAAAGAGGAGCCTTGATGTTAACCTACCTTTCCCATTTTTTTGTCAGTAGCTCGTTTATTTTCAGTTTTCGAATAGATTAGTTTTAGTTCATTTCGTCCGCCTTCGGAATCCATTCGATACATCGTACGTCTTCTCTCTTTGTGCGCGTCTCCCACCCTTGTTCGCCCTTTCGTTCTTCTTCTACTACAGCAGAAAGTTTCACTCGTCCTCGGTCGTTCTGTAATAAAGTCGGAAAACAAAAATGCATAAGAATTCAACATTGGAATGATTGCCTCTGTCGGTCCACCAAAATCGGTCGTCATTCATCGGTGGAAATAGACCGACCTCGAACGAGTCTGTAAAAATCAATCGATCGGATCATCCGATGAGACCCCAGCGCGACCAGTCGGACACCCTTGAGACAAGTAAAGACGGATCTTCGTTTTGTCGTTTTGTTTTTAGCGACCGCGTTGATTTTTCCTTAACAGTCTGTACTTACCTCCACAGTCGGTAGTTCCATAGAAGAATTGTAGATGCACTGAACAATTTTTTGAGTTTTAACCATACAGACACGTTCAAACAACTAGAAGTACAGTTGTTCCTTGTGGAGCAAGATGAAGTAGCGGTGTCCTGAGAAACAGCGTCTGTCAACGTCTCTTCTCTCTCCCTATAAAACAAAGCAACACTCTCCAACAACCATCCACATCGACATTCATAATTGTCGAAGATGACCACCACGATACAGGGCTTCGACGACGGGTTTTGTGTCTCGTCGAGCAGCACTTCTGCCTTTGGTCGGACCGACACGAACGGCACACACCCTCGTCAGAGGGGCCGGAATATGATGCTCGCAGATACCAGTGCAGCAGGAGGAGCAAGAAATTCTCCTAGAAGGAGTCATATGAAACAAGACAGTCTCTGCCAGCGAACGACAGGAACGGCTGTACAGACAGAAGAGGTATCCACATCGCGAACGTCTGCCGATACAACACCCAAGACCAGTTTCTCTCGCGCTTTCTGGAGTCTATGTTCATCTAGTAAAACTATGAGCAACATCAGTGTAGGAGTCCGCGACAAGAACCGCAAAACTACGACTACGACGAGAAGAACTAGTACCCGAAAAGGCTCTTCTTCCAAATTGAACAAGAGAAAAATGTCAGCTGCAGGATACTTTGGCTCCATTGGGACGGGAGCGAGAAAAGCTATGCGTCTGTTCGTAGCATTAGGCGGAGCAAAGCAAGTCGTCGCGCAGTTTTCGGCCGCGTTTCAAGGCGTAATCCTGGAGGACCTGGATTGCCCTTGCCAGGATAAAGATCAAGTCTGCTTCATACCCGTGTGTCCGAAAGGGTAGTTCGTAGTTTTAAATTTATTATTGGTCATACCTAGCGTGCAGCACTCTCCGTCTCCCACGTTTGGAGCCTGGGGGGTAGTGAGTGCGAGTGCAGCATCTCTGATTCCGTCCTTCTTGTCCAACGTGCCCCTCAAGCTCAAATATCACTATATATATCTTCAGGGACCACTCTGGAGCACTTTCTCAACTCACAGACTATTGCTCTTCGTTTTTTCTAGTTAGGTCTGCTCCATTACTATTTTTTCTCTTCATCGTTTAAGCCAGGTGTCTATCAGGCTTACTCTTGTTGGACATTTTTCTCGTTACATCCCCTTCTCGTAGGACGACAAAATCGTCGAGGTGGGAACTCATCTACCCATAAGTAACACGAAAAGACTTGATGAATCTTCGAAGTCGTCATCTAAGACCTATCTATGAGTACGAGTAGTGAGCCAACGCCACTCAAGGAAACACTTTTCGTTGCTGTTCACTTTCCCTTTGTCAAGTCTCCCACACACAACTACATCTACTACCACCAGGATGTACCAGTGCTGTTTTGATTGCACGATTAGTACCTGCGATAGAGATGCTCTGGGCTTCTTCCCGCATGGAGACTTGTACCTATCAGAACGAGGTGTTTTGGAGTGCCTTCAATGCAAAAGCGGGGACTTCTGCAGCGGGTATTTTTACAACCCTGCTGTTGAAGAAGAGGATAACTCATAATATAGAGCGATTAATAGTAAGTCTGTTTATCCGTCACTATGATGTACAACAAAAACAAAGTAACTTGATGTACCATTTTGGGCTAAGTATCGCAAACATTAACATCATCGTCGTATCTACTAAATCACTCAACATCATCAGGTGCGATAGTTACCAGGAGTGTCCGGCTTTTCCCACTAAGAATGCTGCAGGCGCTGGTACGTACGAGGCACCACGAGTGAGCTTACCAGGATCTATTTTGTTAAGGCTTGGTTTTTGACATCCTAATCTTGCTAACAAACTAACTATCACAAGTAAGTTCGTTTACTTCTACTTGTCACGCCTTGAATGTGTACTTTTACCAAGTCAACAAACCCAGCATGAATCCATGCTCCCTTTTTTTTCGTGAAGTGAATCTTCTGTCTCTAATCCTCGATCGTGAATGTCAACGGTGCCCGGATGGTTTCGAAGCTGACTTTAGTCGCGATCGCTGTGTACCTCCTTTCCGCAACGATTGCGACATGGTTCTTCTAGAAATCTGTCTCGCTGGATGCAAAGACAACCCGACGAATGACGAGTGCCAGAGGATGGAATGTACTCGTACAACTGTAGAATGCGGCATCTATGCAGCATGCTCTCGACGAGATAACTACGTTCAATTTAGAGGCATAGATAACGGTTGAACAAGTAGGAGAGGTGCGTATGGAGTTTATTCGTAAAAAGTCAGAGTCACTCATCGTTAGGTATTGACTACCCTCCTGCAGACTTCCATCTTCGTCACCAGTGCTTCTGATCCCGCCCTCAAACTAACAGGTCGCATCTTTTGTGCGAACGATCAGCGGGACAGTAATCCCAACTGTCTAGAGGCGCATAAAGAAATGTGTCAGGAGTTCAATCTGCCTATCTACGATCCGGCTGCGTCCGCGTTACCAGGCTTGGCGACGACGACAGAGGCACCAACCATCTTGCTCACCGATGACTCCGGAATCGCGACGGTCGCACCGGTATCTTCATTTGGATTTTTGACAGTACGGGACAACTAGGACATCTCAACTTAAACCTATATTTGACAGGAGTTTTTTTCCGGAAGGTCACAAGTACTTACACAAACCAACTACGAGTGGTTGTACTTTATATTATGATGACATACAACATTCTTGATGATGGATCGGTTCTTTGTAATATCATTATCACCAATGTAATGTTAATGATCAACAACTCTCGTCAATCACCCTTCCAGTTTCGGCAAGAAGTGCCGTGCAGCATCAATTGCAATCACGCAGCCACGAGAGGAGTCGCGATCTCAATGATGTTGCTTCCGATCTGCTTGTTTTGGTTCAATCTCCTCTAAGTGTGAGTACATTGAAACTGAGAAGGAATAGGAAATACTTGTTATAATCGTGAGCGTTAGGTACTGCTAAAATTAGATAGTAGGACCTCATAAGGATAAGAAAGACTAGAAGTATGAAAATCACAATGTCATATTGCTCCACCAGTGAATCGAAAAGCCTCAACTCCCCCTAAAAAAATAAATTACCAGGAAAAACAAACTACAACTAGCATTTGGCCATAAATGGTTCCTGTTGCATCACCAACATAATAACTACACCCACACAAGAGTAGGCTCATCCCAAACAGCAACCTTTTCATATCCATATCATCTGAACTTCAAAAATGCATAGAACTGAATTTAACTCGACCGAAGCATGCGTAGTGCTTTCATTTATAAATCCAGACGAAGTATGCGTAAGTACTCCTAAATCCACCCTTAAATTTTCGCTGAACTAAACTATCGCAGAAACCTCCTCATCCATGATGGAGCATCAACGTGAAAGTAGTCTCAATTGTGCATCTCTTCATCTACTCAATGACCACCTCCACAGTCAGATTTACGACCTAATATTAGTACGAAACACAAGAAATAAGGAAAGTGATCTCGAGACGTAAATTGACATTCAATCGCGATTGTATATGTTACTAGGGCTTGGTACTTCTTATTTGGGTAGTGCTTCTATTTCTACTGCATCCCCCGTTGGGCGGTAGACGCCCTTGCATCTCGCCTGCAAGAGAGTCTCACCGGTGTTATATGCAGAGAGGAGCACCGCGCCTGCTAGCGATCTTGACTCTCGCCGTCAACGATAGCTACAGGTGCCTTGCAGATTTTGAAGGTTGTTGTAACCATGAATGATAAACCAACTTGGTAAACGAGTTGGGCCCTCCATTTGGACGCCGGCAGCGGCAAGATACCCTTGCTGAAGAGTCTCCGATGACTGCTGCTCCCTTTTTTCGAACGAGATACGTCAGGCGGAGAGGTCTTACATCTGTGTTTTTTCTCCATTTTTTCCTGCATACGACACGACAATCTCCAGAGTAAAGTTCATTCACTTTCGTAGAGCTCGGAGGGTAAACCTCGTTCATGCTCAGGCAGACGCCGCTTCCATCTCATGTGTAGAGAACCAACCTTGCTTCTAAAAAGCACCCGGTACATCCACGTAAACAATGTCTCTCATCCGTAACGCTTTCAGCGCAGCTTCTGCTGTCATAACGCACCTCGGAGCGGCCGTCACCGCAAAAGCACGGACATATGACGAAATGTTATCTCACGTTGCCCGGCACCCTGAGAAGCAGATCGAACACTGCTACGTCCTGATAAAGTACCTTCGCAGATACATATACAACTTTAAGGCCCCCCCCCCTCCACATCAGCTTGTACTCTGTAAGACATTAGAACACATTCTTAAGAACATTCATGCAACTCTCACTCATAAACTCATTCGTGCAGTCACTCTACATACAGAATGAAACCAACATCACACACAATGCCCCCATCCTAGCAACATGAAGGTTCTACTCGACGACACTAGCACGAATATGCCTGTTCGCAATCATCCTGAAGTCGCTCAGCATGTCCCAGGAGCCAGTTGTAGCAGCAGCACTCGTCTACATGAACCTCCAGCTCGCAGAACTAAACCGCCTCCAAACCAGACGAATGGCCATTGCTGGAGCTGCAGCCCGAGCAGCATCACACGCACATCACGCAGATTCGAGCAAGTCGCACTCACAGTAACTGTGTTGCACAGCAGCACTGTAGCTCACGTCAATGCATTCAGTCACTCGTTGCATGTCTATCTTCCAATAGCACACTGATGGCAGTTGCTGCAGTTGCTCTCCTTTGTATGCTGTTTCTTGACATAGCAGATGGAGTTTTGTGATGTTGATCTGTGCATTACGCGCAGCTTAGATGTCACAGTCATGTCTTGACAAGTCAGTATAGGAAGCCCACATGAGTGCCAGCCGCAGAGTCGCCCTGTGCCCACAACAAGAAAGTGGTGATTGAGAGAGAGCACATTGTGTCCCGCTCCTACGCAACAGGAGTCAGAGTGATGAAAGAGTGTTGAGAGAAACATAGTCTTCCTCAACAAACAGACACAAAGTGAGCCTAACCTCAAGCTACCTGTATAGCAGCCGCCATTACAACACAGACCTCCACCATCATGGTCAATATCTCTTGTCACTGAAGCGTATCACGCATAAGAGGTCCGCCTAAGTAACGTAGAATAAACGTAAAATCAACCCTCGTCGCATCTAAAAGTCATTTCTAAAACAACATGTCTTCAACCGACGAATCTGGCGATCCGTCAGCTGTGGCGCCCAGCACAGCTGAAACTGTAGAAGCTCCACGAGTCGATGGTGGTGTCGCAGGTAACAAGCTAACATCGCACGACTCCGATAATCCAAAGCCGGATACTGACGGTCAAAAAGCTGACCAGCCTACTGTTACGTCCGTCATCAACAAAGCTGCTTCAAGTAGTAGCAGCAGCAGCAGCCCGTCAACGTTGAACCAGCCGTCCAGTTCGTCAGGAATTGCAGCCTCTCAATCCGGCTCATCGAATGACAGAGACCGCCACAAGTCCGCATCCAAATCTCGCGCTCGTGGCGACTCCAAGAAGAGGGCTTGCGAACAGCAACCGCCGAAATCCATCGACAACAAGAAGCGTTCGAGGATTGACAATGCAGCCAAACTCATGGTTGGCAACCCAACTCAGTTATCTCCTGAAGAAGAGCGTCATCTAAATGTCGGCCTCGGTGCTGACACCTCGCCAACTCCGTATCACGGCCTGAACCTTGCACCAGACGGCTTCATGGAGATTAACCAAGACCACGAGTTTACAGTGCAGCAATGCATGCGCATCGATGGAGTGAAAGAGTTCTTCACAGCCAACCCGTCGTTCGCAGAATGGCCGTCCTTATCGGGCCACTCGTTTGCGCAGTGGCTAGAGCTAGTTCATCGAATTGGCTCTCACATTTCTGTTGAAGAGAAATCTAAAACTCTTTTTCCCAATCGTCCAACGAGCAACAAGATGCATCCAACTCTCAAACTCATCAACAGACAGCCACGTGAATTCGCGCTCAGAGTCCTTAGCGGAGATTTTGCGAAAGATGCGGATGTCGAAGCGCGAGCATCTGCCCTTGATCTCCTGCAGTTCGACAACTTCTACGTAAACGGCGTCGACCACCTTCGCTCTCTACACACCTTGGAGTCCAACATCCCAGGTATCGCAAACTACATCCACACCACGCTGTACATGTTCCCAGTGATGTGGCAGCTCTTCCTACCCTACGAGACCGCGCCGTCGCATGCGTACGAATGCAGCTACCTGTTCTCGCTGCTCGACAAAGGAACGAAGAAAGCGATATTGCAGACTCGTCTCGGCCTCCTTCACGCAATCCACAAGTACAGTCTCCTTCCGCAGTACCTTGTAGAGATCCTCACCGGTAAGTGCCCGATCCTCAAAGAAACGCGAGGTGGCGAGAGTGCGCGCCTCATCCACGGTACCATGCTCCAAGCCATCTACGAGGTATCGCATTTTTGTGCACGAATCATCGACGCTCAGTCGGGTCTCCTAGCATGGCAACCATTTGACATATTGTCACCGCTCGACTCAGTCACAACGCGCCGTCTCACCTTTGCCAACGAGTCCCTTGACCGTGCAGCAGCGAATCTAAAGTGGGACGACGTCCTTAGAGACAAGCGCCACATCGAGCCACCCCAGTTTGCTGGCCAATACGAAGTCTTCGTTGAATCAGGAGGCACGCTCACCGGAAACAGTGACAACACCCTGACCTCCGACACCATCGACTACACAACATGGGCACCCTTCGCCGTCTCAACTGTTGACGACGACAAGACCGCAGACGACATTCTCCAAGACAAGCTTGCCGACGGCGACATCAGAGGTGATGACTTCGTGATGATGAACGGTCTTGCAGGTAGTGGTATGAAGCTTGCTGATGTAGACCTATCTGACGGATTACAAGATGCGGCAGCAACCCAGGCTCATCGTCAACAGTTTCTGCGCCAAGCACCAGAATTCCAGCAAGCCGTTTTGAAAGGCAAAGGCCGATGCTTTCAGCAAAATCGCTGCAAACCAACCCCAATGAGTGGAGTTAGCAAAGGAAAAGCATCGTTACAGGCAGTGTCGCATGTGCAGGTGGACCAACAGTCAAAAGGGTCATACCCTCACCCGGCCCTGAACCCAGTCTCCGCCAGACTAGCGCATGGTGTCCAGCCAGGCCGAATTGGCAACCAATTATCCCAACATTGTGAAGGTTCTGGTCCCAGCTCAACGCACATGTCATCAGCGTCCACAGCCAACGGCAGAGCCAACCTCGTCGGGCCGAGTGCGCCGAAGTGTAATATGTTATCTGTTACAGTTAGTTTCACCACTACATCCACCATAAGTCGCTGACATGATAGCCCGTCTCCATAGGAATAGCCGACTCATCTACAGGTCCTAAAAAACCTAAATTACTCTTCGCCGCCTCTCACGGTCAGTAGCAACCCTGTGCTACAATGTCAATAAGCAACATAGCGTCGACAATCATCCTGCCAAATCACCTCTCACAGGCCCGTCGAACGGATTCCCGCTGTACGAAGACCCAGATGCGCCTAACTTCGACCCCGACGTTGTCTCGACGAAGTCACAAGAAGCAAGCATACCTGTTGCTCATCTCCATCGACACGGTTTCATCCCGATTTCCTACGGCTTCAAGGAACGCACCATCAACGCCCTTGCCTTTCGCAAGCTGAAAGCCATCCTACTTCTGGTAATCGACCACGACGCCGATGGACTATGGGCGGCTGGTATCGACCCAGATGGCCTAGAAGACATCGCCGCACTGCAGCTTTTCGCGAGTAACATCCTGCAATCCGTCATCAAGAGCAAGCGATCTGACCCAGTCACACATGAAGCGTACATCGACGCAGCTGTGACACTCGCCATCAACCGCCTAGCAGTGAAGGATATCAACGACCAGAAGGCGGAAGACGTGATGAAAGATGTCGTGCTACCACCATTTGCAACCCTCGCTGAGCGAGCGGCAGCCCGAGAGCTTGTAGAGCAGCTAGGAGCATCTGCGAAGCACCATAAGTTCTCAATCAGCTCAAGCTTCTTTGGCATCACAACGGAGATCATGAGCAAGGCGTTCACGCATGCAGAGAAAGTGCTGAATGGTGCTGTCACCTTTCGTGACAAGATCAATGATTACTCATCAGACGCGCACCCGAAGCTCGCAGCGGCAGTCTCAGGCACGAACATGTTCCTAATGCTCGCGTATGCAGCCGACTTGCTCCAGAAAGACTTCCAAGCGTTTCACGACTTGAAAGCCGAGATCGACGAGGCCCCAGGCCTCTCGAAGTTTCTTCACGAAGCCGACCAGAAGAAGCTCATCTCTAGAGCAGCCGATGTGTTCAAGAACAAGCTCCGCCCTGTGTCCGCATCTCGCCATGACATCATTCAAGCGGCCATCTCTCTCCGTGATCTAGTGCCGAGGGACAAGACCAGAGTTGCAGCAGCGTCGTCCACGGAAAAGCAGGTACACCAACCGCGCAAACCCTTTGGAGCAGGTAGACAGCAGTCCCAACGCCGTCATCACGTCAACAACAATCGCGACCGCCAAGGACGCGACAAAGTCCGCATTCGCAGCCATGGAAGAGGCCGAGGCCACAGTGCGAGATCTCGTAGTCGTGACCGACGCTCTCGCACACAGAGCCGTGATGATGCTAAGCCACGCAACGACCAGGGCCATGGCCTGACTGAGAAGAAGCAGCGATTCGGCCAGCACGAGTCGAATGCAAAAGCGGCACTCGCAGCAGAGTATGTCTGCGAAGATACCATCGACACAAAGGAGATATGTGTCATGTTCGCATGCGCACAAAAGAAAGTGAAGATCAACATCGGCGGTGAGATGCGAGTACCATTCTGCAACCTTGGTGATGACAAGTGCAAACGCCACAAGAAGACGTCCGCATGGGTAGACACGCTGAAACTGAAGTAAGCATACAGTGGACAGTAATCCACGTCGGCTGTGTCATCTACCTCGTGACGCCACTCTTAATTAAGCTTGCAACTGCTAGTCAGCTCCAGTGATCCTGCATCTCTTAGAGAATTGCATCATCATGTTGCATAGTAAGTCATGGTCTAGTAGACCAATTGGCACAAAGAGGCCAAGATGCAATGCAGCCCAAAGTAGGTAGTATAGCATGCAACAGAGTATCTCACCAAGATCCATGTGCATGACCCCAAGTGAGGTGAGCCTCACACAGCCGCACCATAGCAGCAGCACCCGCCAGGGGCAGAACCACGAAGGTAGAGCTCGCCTGAGGCAAGAGGCGACCCCAGAGTGTGAGCGCTGAGCCACGTTTCTTTCTTTGTCCTGACACAGGCATCATAAGCAGAGTCTGTCCATCTGTTCACTATCGGTGACCCGTTGTTTCTTTGTTTCTACAGGTGTCCCCTGAAAACCCTGATGTAATAACTGTACACCAGATAGGCGCGCCACCTTGTTCACGAGCAGCTAAAACCAAGTACAGTCACTAAGTCCTCTCCTCAGTAGGTTTAGTAAGTGAGCTTTGCACGCACACCTGTTGCCCATTCGGCCTTTCAGCTGTTTCATCAGTGCTGGTTATGTACTTTCAGTACAATGATGTCTGTCGCATCTTGAGATTTCTTAAGCTAGTTATGGCTGCATCAAGCCACCATCACTCTTGTAGGTCAATCAAACAGACACACACCTCTCCACCATAATGTCGCACAATTCCAAGCAAGGCCTCCCTGAAGCGATTCGCTTCCATGCATCCATCGACACATCCCCAGAAGGACTTGAACGTGAACGCGAGCGCCTCGAGATGGTGGTTGAAGACATCCGGTCCACAGCACTCAAAGAGTCTGTTATTCACGGCACCAAAGAAGACCTCCTCGCCCGTCCAAAGCGTGTCACCGAGCTGAACAAATTTTACCAAGGTCACAAGGCGTCCGCTCTCAAGACCGAGGACAAGTCCCCTGCCCTGCTAAAGAGTCTCATGGAGCGTGTGAGCTACGGAACGCAGGAGCTCCGTGAGAGGGTGTGGGGAAGCAACGGCTTCCTTAGCACTGGCTTCCCGACTGTTGGTCCAGTGTTCAAGTAACCTCTCTATCCTACACTTTGTTGCTCGTTGCCTGTTCTGTCAAGTCATGGTAGTAAGTATATCCCAATCACTTTCAGCACCCTCTTCAGATAGTATCAGGACTCGCCATCACTACCTCTGCGCTTATCCACATACGTGTCTCAAACCAACAGGTACGGATCGTGGCAAGACGCCAAGCCAATGTCCAGAGCAGAAATTGACCGAGTCGATCACTGTCCTGTAGAGGATGAAGCAATCCAGCGAGCAATCAACGAGATCCCCCAGCCGTCGTGCAGACCTCTGCCTTGTGAGTCGAATGACATCCTACGCAGAGGTTACGACACAATTGTCGCCAACTCCTGGCCAAACTCGCCCATCATCAAGCCGATCCCCGACGAAGCCATCTCCATCGTCAACGGTGTCGTCCACGTCCATGGTGTGCCTGCGAAGAAGCATATCCGAATATTCTCCATTGGCCAGCGGTGGTGTGATCAAGTCCACGATTGGACAAAGATCAGGTCCATCGCGAATGAGAAGCCCGTTGACACGCGCGCAAGCGCCGTCACCGAGCATCTTGTGCTGCCTCATATGGACGTCATAATCAACGCCATGCAAGAATGTGTCCTGCCTGGGTCCGACGCGCCTCTGATGTACTGCAAGCGACACCTCACAGCCCAGATTGCAGAAGAGCGCCACGCGCAGAAGTCATGGGTAGAACTTGACGTGATCTCTGGAGGATGGAGAGCCTGTGATGTTGTTGATTCCTCACTTCCAGCTTTTCTTCCCGTAGCATCGAAACTTGACTTGCATAGTGCATACTTTCAGTTACCAAACGATTGTGAAAATGATGAGTACTTATGTTCTTTTTGGAACCCTTTTGCTAACCGCTTTCAGTTTGCCCACACTCCGTGTATCACCTTTGGCAATGTTCATAGTGTATTTCATTTTTGTGGTAGTGTCTCACGTCCATTTGAGTTTATCATTCGAGAGATTGCAGGCATTCCTGTACTAATTTATGTAGACGACCTCATTCTCCTCACATGCATCGCCCTTGCAGCGATGTCGCATCGCTGTGTTAAGCGCATCGTAGCGCTGCTTGGGTTTGTGCAATCTGATGCAAAAGATGTCATTGGGTCGGCTCTCTTAGCCTCAGACGTGCTTGGCATCGACGTTGTCACTGACCCCACCTCTGACTCTGTCTTGATCCGCATGTCAAAGGCGAAAGTTGATGCTGCAGTTGACTCAATAAACAACCTCATCAAGCTCATTTGCAGTGCCTCCGTAACCTGCAATGCTATTCACAACGCGTTAGGACTCATTACATACCACCTCTTTCATCGTAAATACTTGAACGTAGGCCCCCAGGTCAGTATACTATACCGTCTCACTCAACCCCGCATAGTAAAGTCCCTAAACAAGAGTAAACAGTTTCAACTAGTAGTTGTCCAATATCTTTTGCAAACGATCGACGCCATCTCTGAGAACCCAGACTTTGTGCTGTCTCGCAGCAAGCTCCTGAAAGATGGCTTCGACCTCTTCAGTGATGCTGCTGCGGCAGGGAACATGGTTTGGGCAGGAGCAGTTGTCCTCCTGCCATCTGGCGACTCATTCCACTACAAATTACAATTCACGATTGGCAAATCTCCACAGCAGTTTCCTAGTGCCTTCTTTCGCAACACTCACAAGATCTTCATCTACGAGCTTCTCGCGCTCTGGTTAGGCCTCAACATCTTCGGTGATCATATTCGTAATCTAAACGGCGTTTGCCATGTTGACAATATTGCAGCAGCGTATGCCACAGTGAAAGGCAAGTCAGCCTCCCCGGCAGGCGCAGCGCTTGCTTCTGACATAGTCCGCACTCTTCGACAAGCTGAGATTGCAACAGCTATTAAGTATGTCCGCACTGATCGTAACCCGGCTGACGCTCTCACACGAGAGAAACTTTTTGTTGCATATACTGAACGTGTCAATAGTATTGACATCACACCATCCCGAGATGTAGTCAATGATATGCTCTGTTGTATAGGTGAACTCATGTGCAACGCTGAGATTGGTGTCAGTCATGTTACGAAGAGCCCTTAATCTCCCGCGCACTACTGTGCGCACTGAATCAGACCACCAGGACTACAAATTATGGCCGCTTGAGTCGGCGCTATCGCCGCAGACTGTTCGCTGCAGACGTTCTCACTGGAAAGCCTTCATTGCATGGTGGGCAAATGAGTATCCATCTCGTCCTTTTCACATCCCACCATATGCCACATCGCGTGCTGACTGCACCCTGCCGAATGTGCACTTCACTGAGGAGCTCTTCGCCTTTGGCCGCTACCTCATCTCTAGGGACATGTCCCGATCATACCATGTGATCCTTGCAAGCGTCTCGCAGCGCCTCAAACAGCTCAACTGCCTTGAATTAGGCAGCCCCTGGGCATCAGACAACCAGCGTAGCATGTATTACGCACTCAACAAGCTCAAAGAGACCTTTACCCGCCGCAAGGCAATGCCGGTGCCAGCACGCCGCCTTCTTCAGCTCGCCCCACACAAGCGAGAGATCGCGAAATTCTGGGTCTCGGGCGCATACCGCCTTGCGTCTCTCCTGTCGATCATGCCAGAGATGGTCCAACCGCTCAGATCAGACCCATCATGGGCTACCATTGTCGTCCCAGACGTGAAATTCAACCCAGATGAAGCAGACCTCTTCTGCAACGCAGTGCCTGCCGCCGTCACGCCAGCCTCGATCGGTTCCTGGACCGAGCAGAAACTCAGGTCCATCGCAGAGGAGTGCGGCTCAACCCCGCACGGGATGCGTCGTGCATGTGCCACAGCTGTCAGAATTGTTGCTGCAAAGCACGGCTTCTGGTCTGTCGACGAGCTTCCCGATCTCAACCTTCAGCGTCTTGCAGACCATTTCGGTTGGTCTCGAGCTGGTGTCATGAGAATGTTTGACTACTACACACTTGATTTTCGTACATTCATTGGTCTTGGATTTTTCCTACCACGTGCACTAATGTACTGGCTCCTTGAAGACATTGTATCTCCATCCACAACGGACTCTGACATCTGGTTCTTCTCATGATGCATCCACCAACCAAGGCCTCGCGCCACAGTTATAACCACACGAGGTTGCCGACCAATCCAGTTCTAGGATGACTCTAGAGCAGTGTTCCTTTGAGCGTCCTCCATCCGCACCCTCCTCAGTTAGAACGACCACTCCTCTATTAGGAGGTTGAGCTATCGCTATATCAAGTTGTCGGTATCTCACCAAGTCGGTTTGTGGTGGAGTGCGCAAGGCTTGCTCACCCATCGGAATAGTTCTGCGTACAAACAATCATTACAATCATATGTATCTGTTGTACCTGTTCCATGTCAAACGTCTCGGAGATCTCGTCATTATTTAGACAGATTTATCGCTGTCGTGCTCTTTGTCATCGTCTATTCAATCGATAAACCCTAGAATTCAACAGATATGAAATTCTTGAAACGCAACACAACTACTCTACTCCGATTGTAGTTCATCTAACACTGCATGAGCATGTGCTCAACTTCGTAAATTCACCTTTCCGCATTCTTCAGAAAATACTGCAACATTCTGCGATGATATCGTAAAAATCGTAGTAGAGGATAAACCGACGTAAAGAACACAAATATAACTATCAAACTATGTACTACTCGTACTAGTGATATTAAAATAAATATGTCTATGTCATACACCACCACAGAAAAATTAATTATCCAACGTAACAAACAGTACAAATACCGATGAGTAGTATTTCCTAGAAAAATATGAATATCCTCAGGAGCAATATTGATTCCCACTGAACTCATTATGAACTTGCAATGTGAGAAACTAGCTGAAAGTAGCAGCTAGTCGCGATAACAATGGCAGACGCAATAAGATTCTCAATATTTGCTGCCGCAGTAGGCGCATTAGGTTCATCGACCAATGCAACCATCAAGAATTGACTGCAGTGTAGACGTGACAAAATCCCTCGCGGAAAAGCGATCGCGTTAGCACAGTGATCTCATCTGCTCGTGAGTTCCAAGGTCTGGAGTGACCGAATGCAGGACGATCGCTTCAGAGGCGGATATCACCGCATCATATTCCCTAGTATTACCCGGACATAAAGAGGCACCCGCGAGGTTGTGAAGAGTCAGTAAGGAGAAGAGTGAAACTCGAGTGTGAAAAAAGCAGAAACAAACTACGGAAAATTAAAATCATGATGCCAAAAATGACACGGTCGACGTCATCCTCGTAGTTCACGTCGTCAGTTGCCTGCTTCCTGCTGGAGGAGCACAAATACGTTCACTACTCTGGATGCGGAAAGACATGTTGTGCACAACATTTCTGAGGATGGGTGTCGTGCCCCGAACCTGGTGCGGGGGGATCTTGATCTTGGGGTTACGGTTGGCAGGGCTAGTATTGCAACCTGTCGTAGTTGTTCGTGGCTATGACAGCCAAGCATTCAAGGCGTCAGAGGACCAGCTGAGGCGTGTGTGGAATTTGCCTGACTGCTCAGACGTGACCCAGGAAGCTGTGACAAATGGGACCACTTTTCCAGCTCACTCCATTGTATGGGCGGACGAGAAACCAAAGCTGGCGGCCACTGGCGGCTATCCAGCGAATTTGCCCGTGGTCATGGAGATCCTGTTTGAGAAACTGCTTGGGCACGACACTGTCGAGAAAGGACTCGAGGCGACGCAAGAAAAACTGACCGATGCTTCCCACACATGCCTATTCGGCGTCTCGGCGTTGCTGTTTTTTTACACCAAGTACTGTCTTCGGATTACTTAGGCATGATCCACGCAACTGATGCAGGCAGTCCTAGATTGATGCTAGTGCGAGTGATAGGTAGGCACCGTGTGCAAAAGCTTTTACTTTTAGCAGAAACTACAGAAAAGAGATGACCTGAAGTTACTTTTTGTCACTCTTGAAGATCATGATCTTCTCGTTATCCACTGGTCCCTCATATGACAACACGAGGTATCTCGTCGACTTTGAAGACGATTTAGACGGTGCCTTTATCTACCATTCGCTGTTTGATGCTTTTTACGCTGGGTCGCATCCACATTTGAGCGAAAAAGGACATTGGGGATTCGTAGATGCTGACGTCACCATGCTAAGACAGCGTCTTCTCGAAAAGAAGTTCCAAAGAGGTAAGCGCAACGACGAGAAAAAAGCGCAAGAAGAAGCTAAAAAGGGAACGGAAAATTAAGAGGAGGAAGGTTTTTCATGCGCCGTAAAAGAACGGGTGTTCCTAGTGAATACCTTTTTAACTTTTCGTAGTCATTCGAGACGTAGGATGATGCGAACGATTGAGACGTAGGCTCCTACAACAACAAAGCGGCCCGCTTGCGCTGCTCTAAGAAAAGAAAGAGATCGTAGAAGTGAAGCCAGCAGATCGGCTGTTCTTGAACAGCGTGGCGACAATGGCGGTAGGCAAGGATACGGACGACGATGGCAGAATCTGGTGGCATCGAGAACACACAAAGAATTATGATTTACGTTCTAGAGGCAGTCCCGAACACTTAACAGATGAACAACGTTGTGACAACGATGCACCTTTGAAGCTGAAGATTCACTGTCCCATGTTCAAGCACACGCTCAAGAGTGATATTTACATTTTCGTGTTTCATCATTCTCGACATCAAACATCAGTTGCAGACTTGCTAGTAGAAAGAACGCAAGCTGCCCATCTAATGCAGATTACTGTATCGGGCACAAGACAAGATGCGAGAATTCGTCATCAGTGCGGACAACCCGCTGGCTCGGCGATACTATTGTGAAATAAAGGGTGGCGACGCGCATCTGACGACAGCCATGGAACGACATTTGCTGCAAGTGTTAAGGGCTTCCACCAAATTACATTCCCCCGTACGAAACCATCCTTGGCTCTTTTCCTAGTAGAAAAAAAAGCCAGAAATGTTCTGAGGAATGTAAGTAATCCCGTAGCCTCTAAAGGTGGGGGAACTGGAAGAGTCGGCGCTATCCATCAAGAGTGACCACATAGAAGCAGAAAAAAGTGAGCTTTCGCCGTGTGCCACGGACCTCCTAATGAAGCATGCGAAGGCCAAAATACCACATTATGTGTCATCGTTTCTGAGGGACTTTCCGAAAGTCTTGAAAGTTGGAAGAGTTCCACATGTAACAGGTATTAATTGTTCAAAGTAGGTACTTTCGGGCGCTTAGAGTATACTGAAACGAAAAATTATGAATATATATTATATATAAACATGACTTGTTAGGTGCGGCAGCGGCACATCATAAAAATAGAGACACGACAGGACGACACCATCTAAGAATCTCAATCCGCTGGGGCGCCGCCAATAAAGATCTACGTGTACCCAGTGATAGAAACACCAACACTATTTCACCACTTGGCTCAAGCAGCTAGCTTTTGCGGCAGAGGACAGTGGGCTTCAGAAGTACACTTTCACGATTGGATTATGCAACATGGTTAAGGCGGCTTATTTCTTGTTTTGCATGTTTGATAGTGCACACCCACACTCAGGCAATGAATCATGGATTTTCATAGAATAGCTTCGCTTGAGACGCCATGGCGATGAAGATCTGCTGCGGACTCTTATAAATATCAAAGGGTAGTTTGTTGAAGGGCGTTTTCCAACGCAGTTGTTATCCAAGCAGCTCTTATCACTCCTGGTATGCTAGCCAGTGTTAGACTTCATGGAATGCATATGGAATCGCTGTAATAGCGCTTGGGGTCTTTCTATAGTGAGTGTGAAGGAATCTGAATGTTTCTAACATGTAAGCCTGCGCACGCTCGATCCTGAGGAAGCAGACTACTTCTTCGTTCCTGGTTACGCGATCTGCATTTTCGAGTCTGGCTTTCTGTTATGAGGCTCCGTCTTCTATCATTCTTACTTCAGGTTCTTCGTCGGCACTCGTGTGCTGAGAGTTCAACATGTACTCGAAATTCAGTTCCCTTGGTCGCAGGGCAGCAGTTCATCAGAAGTACGTCTCTGCTGTTGTTTTTTTCGTCAATACATCAAAAGCGAATTAAGATAGTCGTCAAAAGTGTAACTACTGTGACTGAGACTGTGTTGTGATCATAAACAGGATCACTCTCCTGAGTCGTGCAAGACCTTAGCTCTAAGACCCAAGCTGCCGGAAATCGATCAGGCCTACCGCCAACTGGTCCATGAGCTGCCATATTTTAATCAGGGCCGGGAACGTCGACACATCTTTACGTTTGGGTCTGGCATGGGAATCAGCGTGTTTTTCAGCTGGAGGCAAGTGTTTCCCGAGGCGATATTTCTGACACCAGTATGATGGACGTTGTAACTACTTACTTGATCATGTAAGAACTACAACTTTATCGTATGCCTATAAAAATAATCGGTGTCATCGACAGTGTGAAAGAAATGTATTAGTCAGAACCAAAGCCGCTCTTATTTACCGGTAACTTCAATCCACATTGTGCATGGGACTTTCACTTTCTTTGTCCCAATGTATTACGAATAAAAGGTTCTAGTTGAAAGCTATGCTGGTGCAATCTACCTATTCTTACTCACTCTCATAGTCTGAAACTAGTCTGTACAACGACTTTCCGCATATCACTGAGGCGCCGTTTTCTTCGTGGAAAGACATAGCGATTCCAGGCTATTTGCATCGCAGCGAAATTGCTTCGCTTACGGCTGCAGCTAGGCCAGTGGAGGAAAAAAAGTGAGACCCTCATCGCTTCTTAGTTTCAGCGAACTTTATGTTTATCGCGGTAGAGATCAGTTACAGTTCCTTTTTCTCTCTTTCTTTCCTCATAAGCTTTTCTGTTTTAACGATGTGAGTGACCACGTGGTTACCCTAGACTAGTAACTCACAGTCACACCAGAAAATTTCCCTTCGAAGATGCCTGCGTAGTCCAACAAGATTCTTTGGCCAGGTATACAGTAGTTTTTTTCGAACGGACTTACGCAACAAAAATATGATCTGGCCAGGTATACAGTAGTGTTTTTCGGACGGACTGACCCGAGTCGTGGCGTCCATCCGGCTTTGGGCGGCCTCGATGTACGCAATGAGATTGTACGAGTGATGGCGGAGATGCCCGAGCCGAAGGAAGACTTATATTTACGCTTCAGGAAAATATCTAGAGTAGAGCGCTTCTTCAGGAAACATCAAGATCAAGAGTACTAGATCTAGAACAAAGACTTATGTTGAACATCGCTTTTTCAGGAAAATATCTTATTTTCAAGAGTGCTAGAACAAACGTTTTTCAACGTCAATAATAGGGTCGTCAACTACGTCCACCTCCAGGGTATCAAGGGTTCGTAGAGCAAGTGTTTGATGGGGTACCTCTCAGTGTATATCTTCAAGGCTCTCATCTTCATATCTTCGGGATCTTTAGGGTCGTCTAATGCTAATCCATTATTCTCCATCTAACAAATGTCGGCTACACTTCCTTGCACGAAATGCACGATCTGATGGGTTCAAGCCGCTTCTGTTTCATACCTCGAGGGAAGTCCGCGTGGTCATTACGCTTTTACGAGGCGCTGTTTGCGGACTGCGTGCCGGTCCTGTTGAGCGACTATTGGGAACTGCCTTTCGCCGACTGGCTCGACTACGCTAAATTCACGGTGAATTATGAAGGGAAGAGTGGTCCTGAGCGACCACAATAAGCTTATTATAACCTTAGATAGTTGAAAAAAAAAATTCACATTTAAGATGAAGAAATCCCGACCACAATAACTACTCTCTGTGGGAGAGAGTTCTCTAGCTCATGAGATCCCAGAGACTTGTAGCTGTAGGCGCACCAGTAGAGTTCACCTTCACACACTGTTGTAGAAGTAGATAGAAACGCGATTATAAGTTTAAGTGTTTTATCCTGCTGAAAGAACAACAGCTGGAGACATTGGCAGCAGCGATGTCACATTATAGCAGGTTTCCAACCACATATAGCTCTAGCATGATCTGCATGTCACAGTCACGACTTTCTCTAAATTGAATGGCCTATGAACCGTGTCGGACCGGAACTTATCGACTACCTTCGATCCGTAACACCTGCGGTCTGGCAGAAAATGGTAGCGGAAATTCATCGTGTGCGCTGTTGGTTCGTCTACCCTAGCATCGCTGCAGAGATCCATTATTATGATACTGCAGAATAAGAACGATTATTTGTAGTTGTAGAAGTCGCAACTTGCCAAGGTTATTCATGATGATGCTCATTTTTTTCTAAGAAAAAAATCAATGAATTCTGCTGTACACCTTGGTTGTATTTTTTTTGTTTGAAGGATCCGTTGACGCCATAGGGCGCAGAAGAGCATGTTGGAGATTCTGAGTATTATTACTTTACTTCGGACTCGGAGTATTTACGGTTACTATTATAAGTACTTTCCTTAATAGAAGTGGTTGTATTTTCTGGCTCATCTAAAATGACAGCAATCCTGTGGAAAACAATCTGCCTTATTTGTGCCGCAATCCTACGCAATTCGCAGGTGATGCAATTATTGAGGTCCTAAGGCGTAAGAATCTGGCAGCACGTGACCCTATTTTAGTCCCTGACAGCAGAACGGAGCCGGATCCGATGAGCGCACTGCTACAAGAAAGTGGAGAAAGCGGAACACCACAGGATGAAACAGAGGATGCGAGTGCGACAGTTAAGGCAAGTAGGTAGTACTAACTTAGTGTTCTTGGAGTTTGCGCGTCATCCAGTGTGACCCATCTCCCTGAGCTGAAATCCTCTTATACTGTAAGGGTGTCAGGGGGACCGAAAAAAAAAGATCTGTTCTACTCAGGATTGAAACGAATTTATTTGATCGCTCAAGTCCCAATGATGAAAAAGAAAAACTGGATTGCTACTAAATTAGGCGAGCAGAGGAACAAGGCTGACAGCGGAGTAACAGGTAGCGGATTATCGTCGTCAACAACTGCAACTCTAGAGGGCAGTGCTACGGCAGAAAAATCATTCTCGAAAGAAGAGGAGTATGCATCCTCCAAAGTTAGCCCGAGCAAACCGGCTCCCGGTCCTTCAGGGGCTCCTACGACAAGCGCAGGAAAGGACAGCACGACAGCCCATTCACGAGAACCGCAGATAAACAGCAGCCACAAAGTGACCGCGCAAGAGCTAGATCTGCAGACCGGCAAGGTAGACACTGGGAAAAAGCTAGTGAAGAAGATCATCGACGAAAAGATCGTGCGGCACGGTATGATGGATGAAGAGGAGGGCGACGTGATACAAAATACGGAAGCATCGGGAGTCCTGCCAGATAACGTCGTGTCCTCGATAACCGAACCAGCAGCAGCAGTCACTTCGAATAGTGCTGAGCCCTCAATTGTAGACTCGATTGTTGGGCTATTTCGCTAGATCACCTTCTATTTTCACTAGATCACGTATTCTTGGATAGAGGCACTGACCCTGCTATTATACTCTGCTTGCATGACACTAAGGCTCCTACATCCAAATTTACATTTTTATTCTCTTTTTAGGCCTTTGCCGTGGCTCGATACAACTGAAACACATGAATTATGAACCTGCGTGATTGCAAACGCACGTTCATGTTTTATCAGAAAATGGACACGTCACATCAAACACGTTGGAAGGTAAAGACAAAGAGCGCATCAATCATACTCACGGAGTACAATGAGTTCTTAGAAAAGGATAAGTAAGCAAGCGCGCAAGGGCAAGCAACTGTCTGTTGCAGGAAATGCCCTCGAAGGAATCGCAATGCATCGCCATGGACAGAGCGTTTTCGTCTAGTGTGTTTGGTGGAGGACGATCAATACACAATTCTGTCAGTCTACCGCGGCTGCATCTACACAGAACACAATTTTGTCTAGTACTCATGATGCATTTGCATAATCGAGGGAAATGAGCACGAGTGGAAGAGGGTACAGGTTCAAGGCGGTTGCTGTACCATTGAGTTGTAGAGAGACACTTGAGAGCGAGAGTTGATCATGCTTGAAAAATAATGGAGCATTCGAGAATGTAGTATGAGGCGAAGGATACGTACTAATCAAGTTTCGGTGGAGCGCAAATACAAGGTTGTTCAACTTATGATGTGGGCACGTCTCTTCTTGCATTCGTCGTCAATCGGCACAGTACTCGGCGCAGTGTCGCCTCCGTCCGCACCTCTTGAAGGTTATCATGTCAGTCATGCGTCGAGCAAAGGCAGCACGAATTCGCAACTCGGGAATTTTTATGCCGGATCAAGCGTTGTAACGGTGGAGCGTCCGCTCACGAGGAAGGTTGCAGATGAGGTTACGGCATTGCTATCCGGTGTTGGACGCACAGAGGAAGCGAAGACGGTAATATTGAATGTGGATATCGCTTTGAAACTCATCGAAGGCGCATACTGGTCGTCTGCTGTAAGCAGCTCGAGGATAGCATGAGTAGTAAGCAAGAGTGTAGACTTCATTTTCAATCATGAGCAGGAATATGTCCATAGAAGGAGCGAACTTCTAAATGATAACCTCATGATTGAACACGCCACAGGTAGCAAAGCTGTTGGGCGCCGCCGCTGCTGATGAGGAATTGACATTGGCTGAAGCAAATGAAGAAGGGACAGGAACAGGATTGCCTCAGCTTACTAGTGAGAGAGCGGAACATAAAAAAGGAGAAGATCCACCGGTCGTGGTACTAGATGAAGTGGAGAATATAAAGATCTTGGGAAACCGCCAACATTCCTCCACCTCGACTCCATCAAAATCAAGCAAAACCTCTACCGACAAGAAGATCATCACGGACCATGATCAACAAGTTCAGGATCCGCATGCTGCTCCGCCGATCGTGTACTTTCGAGAGCCCGAGCTCGCATCTGAGAACGTCATCGAGGATGCGTTGGTTAGTATGCAACGACGACAGCTAGTACAGATGGAGGAAAGAATTGGGCAGGACGAGGCCGCAGCACGCGACATCGAACGCAATGAGGTGACGAGGAAACAACGCGAAATTCGCACGTTGGAACTGCAGATCTTAAGGCAGGCTGTTGTTCTTTCCATCTCCAATCTAAAATAATCGAAGACCAACGCTGGTCTTGCTCCTGTACTAAGTGCAACAACTTGCTACACGTACGTAGTAGAGTCTTCACAACTATATGATCAACCCATCTCGTCTAAGTCCTGAGCGCCTGCGGAGAGACATCTCGCGAGCTGAAGAAAGAGCCTCACGGAAGCGCGCATCAGCGGAGCAGAAGAGGGAGCAGGCAGAACGAATTCGAGGCAGGATAGGAGAGCTGACCACCGCCATGCAGGATGCCAGAGCTGAGCGAGCGAAGGAGATGGGAAGGCAAAGCGCAGCCGACAGGATCTCCAAGTTGCTTCTCGATGCAACGTTAGGCACCAAGAAGAACGATAGCGATAGTAGTAGCACGAAGGCCAAGGCCAGTAATGCAGGAGGTAATACTGAGATTGACAATCCACGAACCTCCACGAATCTCGAGCCTGAAGATGTTGCAGGACTTCATACGAGAACAGACTCAGCGAAGATGGAGCTGTAAAATCCTGATGGAGTGAGGCTTGTCCTTGTCTCTTGGATTCTTCTAGTAGTGTTCCCAAACGAATCACTGAGAAGTTTGTGTCAAAAGTCAACTGTTGTTGTCTGTGAAAAAATCCATTTTATTCGGCCAAGGCATGCTCGCATTGTCATTTTGGGTCAATGCTTGTGAAACGAGGAAGACCATGTTATTTCGCAGAAACTAAAAAGCGACTTTCTTTTTCCTGATCCTGCAGACTAAAATTGTACCCAGCACGAAGTGCATGTGCAGACTTTGATGAGCAGACGCATACACAGCTATGCATTTTAATGTTTTCTATGTATCTATTGATTGTTCTTCAGGGTTGGGGGTCTGTGTTCTCAAGATGGTGCTCTGTTGCAAGCCACAATCAATTTTACAGATCTTTGCAAGTACTCAGAATTCTGTTCTCCAACAATCTCGTCAGCTTTCGAATTCAAGAAATGTCTCACTTGTAAATTCCCTCTTCCTCAGTCAGCTTTCTCTTCAAAAGCATCTTCTCCTTTCTTCGCTTCATATTCGCTGCTCACGTCACGCTAACGTCCGCGCTTCGCGGAGGTGGTACTGCATATGGTGGCTCGATTATGTGAAAAACTTAGCCTCGTATTAGAGCTACCGCTTCGCATCCCTGCTGAGGCCATCCCTGGCGTCATTTTTCCCTTGAAAAAGAGCGTCACTAGCTGTCTAGTCTAACTTCAGCTTCAAGCACAAGACGAGGAAGAGGCTAGTATAGTTTTCATGATTATATTTGAATGTATGATATTCTTCTTGACAAAGAGGCCAGGGACGACGATGATCATGCTGTCTTACTAGTTACCTTAATAGTCTGAATTCGTCGTGCTCGCCCGCTTGGATTCCCGTCACGCCATCTGAGAGACAACACTCGCGTGGCGTCAACTGATAGTCTTCGCCATTCAGCACGATGTGGAGGACGAGGTAGACATGGATGCTTCTGAAGAAGCTGAAGATGACAAGCTAGATGATGACTCATTTTACATTCGACCACCACCTTGCTGGTCTTACTTTAATATCACAGCAAAACGTGCGCACTGGGCTGAGGTCCTTTTGCGCGGAAGAGACGTCACACAGTTCCGCCACCATGTCGCGGAGCTTCCTTGGCAAAACTAGAAGACTAGTGCCGCTATCGAAATAAAAGCCCTCTTCAACTCCGCAAGCTTCGCCAGGGAAGTTGAAGCGTGCAGACTTTCCTGCGCTGTCGATGCAATTAATATTTCAGTTTCACCAGTTATTTCCTCGACTGTAGGATGCACTTCGAGATCTTCGTACATGATCGGTGGCCTCGATGTAAAGGACCCGGACTTGTTCTTGGCCTTGCGTATTGCTTTTAACCTCTCCGCCAGTTGTTTCTCCGTCAGTTGTAGTTTTTGTTGTGTGGTGGCACTGAAAGAATTTAGTAAGTCAGAGTCTAGCCGAACAAAATACCTTGTTCTTACTCTCCCACTTTCCAATAAATAGTTGCAGTACATACGGCTCTGCTCCCAGAACAGCGCTCTCTTTCCACAATTGTTGTACTCTCAACAAATTGACAGCCATACTAGGGTGACTGTCACCGGCGCGCGCAGTTGTTGAAAAGACACGTTGAAAAGAACCGAGCCACAATGACAATGAGCCCTCGAGTTTGTCTTCGCTTATGCGAGCAGGTTTCTGATCTGCTGACGCCGTTGGCGCTTCTTCGAATGAAACAGTGCCATACTCGAATCGCATGGCACGCAGCTCTTTATCGACGGCCCAGACCTTCTCTCCTTGATACTGTTCTACCTGGCCACGCAAGAGCTGTCTTCGCTCTGCTCTTCGCCCGGGGCCTAGCAAACTGCTCGCTCTGCGAATTAGGTTATTTTTCACACGGCTTTTATTTCCTTTTCCACCGGGGTGCTGGTCCTTCATCTTCACACTCGCTTGCTTCGCTTTTCTGACAGATCCGCGAACCGCTGCGGCTAAAGCTAAACGGTGAATAGTGCTGCCGCTAACATGCGCCGCCCGTTGCTCCCGCGCCAAGCTGGGAAGTCCTAACCCCAGTCAGCCCACAATGTGGAATGTCCTCACCAAAGAAATCCCACATAGCACGGTCAGCCGGATCGACCACAAGCATTTCCCCGTAGCCCACGTCTAAAGAGGACACTTCCTGCTCGTCCCACTGCTGTGGTCGTTCCTTCGTCCTATAATCCTGCTCAGTAGGCAATTGTATGCGTTCTCTAAAGTCAGCTCCCAGGACAATCCCAGATCCGTAATCTACTTCCACTTCTTGCAATCCACTTCCACCAGTTGTACTTGTATTCACGTTTGATGCCCTCAAATTCATCAGCATAGATGAAGTACTAGAAGAAGTACCTCTACTTTCGCGCGAAGTACTAATCTATTATTAAGCTATAATTTTTCATCTTTTTAAAGTGTGAAAACTGTAACGCGCGCGCGCGCGTTACGCGCGCGCGCGGGTTACGCGCGCGCGTTATAACGCGTTACGCGCGCGCGCGTTACGCGCGAA